ACAGAAAACGAAATTCTGCGTCTTCAATAGCCCGGTCTAAAAATTAAAGAAAAAGAATACTTTTAAGAACAACTGACATGTATTACGGGTGGTGGTATATACAGTGCAAGTCACTCCCATATATAACCTAAACCTTATCGTCAGTATTAAGTAACTTTTAATCCTCTTAGTTTCTGAACTTGGTCTAACCTATAATTCTAGAAAACCGCAATTAATGTTGCGAATCTAAGTAAATAAAAGTTGAGTAAGTGATCTTGATAAAAACTAAATAATTATTTCAATAATCATACAACGTTTTGTTATCGTAAGTGTTTGATGTACACATGGTCTCTGTGGGAAAAGGCTTTTCGAGGAGGTGTGATAAGGCATGTATACTTATGTATGACTAAACATCGGAACGTAATATCTATATACTATCACAGGTGGACGAATAGGGCCCTGGATTTTTAAATTTGTTTTAGGCGAAGGGGGGTCTCATGTCACCCCACCACTCTTTGACTTTGGATCCGCACGTCTTGTTTTTGTATAAATTCAGGGCACAGCTAGAGAGGGAATTCTGGATTCAATCTATTAAAGTATATCATGCTGCGAGTCCTCAATAACAGGAAGACGTTACATCATTATGCTCTCTGTTTTATATATACTCTTCAAAAAAGTAGGGGATATTGAAATGCAAATACCTATGCAGGTTGTGATATGATAAATGGTCATGGACACTTGACATGCTTTGAGAGTATGTTCACAGATGAAGAACTTATCGCCCCAACAGAAATGAAATGAAATGAAATGAAATGGGGTTTAACGTCCTACTGTTCTGCTCCTAACCTGGGCTAATGAAGACGGGCATACGCCATACAGTGTGCTATGAGGGAAATTTTGCCCGGACAGCGGCACTACGGCCTACTCTTATATCGAATTCCAACTGCCAAGGGATCTTTTACGTGCACGCCAATGTGTACACGGGACCTCGGTGTTTCGTCCCATCCGAACGACTAGACAGCTTTCCTTGTCAGCCCCTCCGTCCTGCATCACTGACAAGGGAGAACCACGCCGGAAAATCTGGATGAACTTTCTCGGCCAATGCAGGGATCGAACACCCGACCTCCAGGCTAGCGAGCTAGCGTCTTACCCACTTAGGCACGTGACCCCCCGCCCCAACAGAACCACCGAGCTGCACATGCGACACGCAATAGCGCCATACACGTGGGAGGGGTTCATTGTCAAATTTGACACTTCAAAGAAGGGTTGATGAAAACTGCCGCGTGCTGGTTTATCTATCCATGTTTGCTTTCCTATCGGTTCTTGCATAAGATTTACTGTTTAGCGTATCTTTGCTTAAGTGTGTTACGTTTAATTTGACCGGGAGACGTGTTCGTCGACGTCAACGTCAACCGACAACACTGCAAGAAATGGCCGTGGCACTGCAAGAGGAGTGTGTCAGATTGTCCCAAATCGTGGTTAGACGGATGATTAGGAGCATGCCACGACGAATTGCTGAATGTCTGAGGATTGGTGGAGCAATTATTCATTATTAAGACTAAAATCAAAAACGTCCACATTCACTTTTCACGGTGTTTCTCTTTGCGAGATAAAGTAGCTAAGTCTCTAACTCAATATCATCCAAAATCTTCCGACATTGAAAACACGATTTATTTGTCGGTTTAAATCAACATTGATGTTGTGATCTTACCGGGAAAAGATGGCCTTCTGATATCCAATATTTAAGACAAAATTAACATTTTACAATTGGTACTACCATAATACGTTCGGCGATATTTGTAATAAGGGACTCAAAAAACGAGGCTAGGCATATTCCACAAGTCATGTCAAACGGTGACGCTATATTCTTATCTGGAGAGCATGCCCAATAAATACTATCGGCGTAGACTGGAATAACCAGAAGCTAGAGATTGAAATTCGATTGAGAATACTGGCGTATTTCGCCGAACCTAACTGATTAAAAATTACAGTAAAAACGGAAACGATTGAATGTAAATCAATTTATATACATTCATATTACATTATTGTATGCGTTGCGACCCATTTGTGTCAATTTCTAGGTCCCAAATATTAGCGACTTAGCTCCTTTAAATGGGGCCGTCAGATAAGCCGCCCAAATGAACTGTTTATGTTCATGTGCAATGTAGGCAATTGGTCTGTTATTAACATACACTGGTTACCTCTAATAAAAACAGCAGTGCATTTCCGCAGTTTTGTATTGTTTCTGAATATCCCCTACTTTTTTGAAGAGTATATATATATAACATAAAGCATCAAAGCTTTTTGTTTTTGAACATAGCGAGGAACATTTAGAATAGCAAAATAGAGGAAAACATTAAAATAGGAGTTTTTGACCACCCACAATTACTACAATAACCTCGCAGTTTCTCATTTAATTAATCTCATTGATGTTTCGTGGACTGTGAATCCAAGCTTGTTGTAGAAGATGACACACATTCAGTTGTGTTTAGAACATTTATTTCATTTTATGATCAATTCTTGTGAAAATATGCCCTTATGAAAGTTATGCCAAATCACCATTTTCGCTTGTTTCGTGGTATTTTGATCACGATCAAGATACTGACTGCACTATTAATCATTATTATACACAGAAAAATCCGAGTATGGTCACAAACGTTGTCGTTTTATTTATATGCAGTTCAAGCGAAGGTCGGTATATTCTCATAATGGTCACCATTAACATACACTTCCAATATGTCTGTCGTAGAGGGGACATAATAAAATACAACAGATAAATCCGATAAACGCTCTAAATCCAGTGTCCCCAATAAATTCACCTTTATAGAACACTATTTCGAAACACTTTTTGAATACATAAAACGCGTCTTCCATCTTTCAGAACAGTTTGTGTTCACTCTCAGATACGTTCAGTTTTGAATGCTTTTGGTTTAGAACAAATAAGGTGCGTAAAATGTTGTTATTTTAGAACACTACAAATTGGTCCTAGAATACAAGAAGGTGTTCAACGGAGTGAGGCAGATAATGAATACTGTTTTCTCTGGCCATAATTTTGAACACCGTTCGTTCAACACTTCACACACGGGGAGGGGGGGGGGCAAGAATCCGTTAGATTTACAGTGTACTATATACCTGTAAGAAAAACCTCTTCAGGTTGATATAGTTTCTTTTCAATCTGCCTTTTCAATAATAAAAATAGAATTACTAGCCAAAATACATTATTTTCTTTATTTAAAACGAAAAGACATACTTAAATTTGCTCGTTCTCTTATATGAGATATCAAGGACAAAGTTGTTTCTGGGGTGTTTTATGTTATGAAAGCTTATTGGTTTTGTTAAAATTATTACAATTCTTTTTTGTGTGTGTATCCTGTCAGACTTGTATCTCAGAATCTAACCATAAGATCTTTCTGAAACTTTTATCTATACCCCCCCCCCCCCCCACACACACACACACACTCCCAGAATGGGTGGTGGCTTTTGTTTCAATATATTTTCAAAGTGTTATACGAATCCGAAATCACCGAATTTAACGAACAAAAAAATTGACCTACATAGCTGTAACTAATCCTTTTTTCTTTGAGTACCTTGAAAAAATCCATTTTCACCTGCAATTTTTGAATTTCGAAAATTCGTCGCTGTGATTTCGTCCCGGAAGTTCAGACCAACTTAACAACTTCATTAATATTTGCACGATTTTCATGACAATCGACAAAAAGTAGGTCAGATTGCCTTGAAAAAAAAACTATTTCTGTACTAGCTAAGACACTAATGATGCTCACACATTATGGAGTTTGTCTATGGAGCCGGAAGTGCCACCATCTTGAAACTTGAAAAGTCCCTAATGCTTTTGTGATATTTAACTTACAGACATAGGAGTTACGTTTTATGAATCTTTGAAGAAATGCCTAAAAGGGTAACAGCAGAATTTCGATTTCAGTCAACTGATGGTCAGTATTTTGAATTGAATATGAAAAAAGTGAAAAATCCACAATAACTGGCGTGAAAATAAACAGAATAGCCCGTAGTTTGAAGAATTCATTGCACATTTCCGAAATGAATACATTTCTGGATAGCCGGGATCTGGGTCCAATTTTTGATATTTCAAAATTTCGAATTTCGTCTTTGACCCTTTTCGTGCCGACAAAGTTATTTACAGGACAATTTATTTCATTAATTTTTCAAATTTACAAATTTGACCTAAATATTCGAACAACTGAGGTCAATCTGTTTCCAAAAATATAAGTTCCATTCAAAGTTATCTCATTTCATTTTTCGATATTTTGTCGCCAATTTTTAGTTCTTTCCCGCCATCTTCATTTCATTTTCTGATCCGCCCCGTTTATAACCTGCTTGATCCCCTTTTTCTGAAACTTCTGGAACGAGAAGTCAATCCGATTAGTTTTCGCCCGGGTGAAATGTTTCTCCCTATATTGAGGCTTATAACTTCGCGAGTTTTTGACCGATTTTAATAATTACTTTTTCGTGTTCTAATCCACGACACGTGACGATGAATATGAATATGAAAGCTTTAATATCTGCATCACACGCAGTAGCAGATCTAGTTTGTTTTTAAAATTGCTTGATTTCATTTCAATTTCATTTATATTCTCTTGCAATATGTATATAATTACTGTCTATGCTGTATTATGTATCGTTTGTTCTGTCTATATTCTGTTGAGCAGTTATCCGACAACATGATTTTGAAGCCATTATATATTTATCTCGACTAAATGTCATAAATGATAAATAGTTTCCAATTTAATACTGAAATAATTAATACCATTTCTGTAAATATAACTTCTACTTTATTTTTTTTCTCACACGCTGTTCCTTGCCATAAATGTAACATGTAATGTTAACTAGACACGTTATTATGTCTATTCACATCTCTCATGAAATATTTATAGTTTATTGTTATACATATATAAAATATACGTGCGTTACGCCTGCGTAATCGGAATATTTGAATTAATTGCAATTTAAATTTGTGACTGGTTTTAATTCCAGAAAAAGATAGTTATGATTAAATACAAATGGGAAATGTGTTCCTGTATCGTAAAAATATTAACCTTCGGTAAATTAGAACAATACGTCAAGTAACCGTTAAGTAAATAGCAAATGACCCCGACCGACCCTTGAAGGTGTACTCCAACAGTGGCGATATAACCAACACATGCAGTCATTGTTGTAGAAAAGGTAGTCGTCACACAAGAGTATATAGCGTGTGTGTTTGTATGCTGTATCTGCAAGGATGGGAACTATTCATACTTTCTTTGTAATTTCCATTATTTTCTCATGTTTATCAGGTACGTACGTGAATTATTTATAATTTATTTACATGCAATATTTACTACTTATATAACGTAAAATTCAAAATTCTCCGAATTTAAGTTCATACCCCCCGAAAGGCGGTAAAAAGTCTGTGATTTATATTTTAATTTGTTGAGATCTTTTCAAAAACGCTATTGTATTGCTTTGTATAAGTCAGGTTTAATCGTTCTTTTCACTAAGTCTTAAGCTTTTAATAGGCCTCTTATACAGGCTTGTAATCGAGATTATTGAGAGATTCAAATAAACAAGAATGGATTTTTAAACGCGTCTTGATTTTTTTATTTATTTTTTTTTTTGAGAGGGGGGGGGGGCATTCTACCTTTCAAGGCAGATTACGTACGTAGACATGTGCACAATACATTAATGTAAATCTAATTGATGCAGTATACTATATTATACTGTATCTACACGTACAATCATTGTACTAACATAATACCTGTATATTGTATTACCCATGTATCCCGCAATCCCACTGCAAAATCCGGATGTTTTGAACCAAATAAAATGTCTCAAGGTTACATGCCCCAGACAATTATTTTTAGGATAACGTCATCGTAGCACAAAATTGGAAAAAAAATGAACAGTTGCCACATTATATAAGATAGCCACGCCCATAGACACTTGAAGAGGTGATGCGAATTAGGGGCCAGAGATGGGATTTTAAAAATCGTCCAAAAACCCACAACATTCAGAGGGCTCCCACACTTCCCACCAGGACCCTGTAAGACCACCAACTTCCTTTCTAAGATCTGATGTTTGCCACTATCCGGGCAATAACCCATTCGTATAACTTTCTCCCATATCAATATACTTAGCTGTATACAACCCCGTGAAGGCCATCTTCTTAGTCGCATTTTGCAAATGAGAAATATACAATGATACTGCGGCCGCGTATTCAAGGATGTTTACATTAAGGCGTTTGGTTAGTGTGCTTGCCGTTATGAGTAAATAAAAAATAGTCTTTGTACACAATCTCGTTGTTTGCTATACTCGTATCCATATTCCACACTAAAAATAACGTGTGTTCATGTTACATTTAAATAATAACACCATGATTTATAATAACATTGAGCTGAGTTTCATAGGTTCTAACGATCAGGGTTCAACTTTACACGAATACCCGGTTAGGGTGGAGGCCATGTTTGCATTTTAAAGATGATTATTAAGAAGACAATTACAATGTAATTGAATTCTTTTATCACTATAGGATAGGGATCACTTGCAAACTACAATATTGTGAAAGTTGAATTTCTTTATTCTGCAAGTTTATCATTAAATAATGCACAAAATTATACAGCTTAAAACATCGGTTCAAACGTGTTCGATTGTATTATCTGGAATATCAGTTCAGAATGGTTCAATTCCGTTCAATATTTACAAAGAATGTGGAATGTGGAATTTAAATTTCATCGATCTATGCTGTTCTCTATGTATTAAGCTCGCAACTATTTTGTTGTCCGCGAAAGTTTATTGCTAGACCTGTTTTTAAATCCAATTGGTTCCAAGCCGTAACATTATCTAGCGTTGGTATTTTGATTTTTTTTTCTAGATTAATTGTTAAATAATTAATCTGTGTACATATTATAGAGTGGATTAAGCCGGAGAATTTGATATTTTAGCGAAAATAAGTACCCTATAAATACTTTTATGGGAATGCATCTTTAAAGATTGCATACACTCTAATCTGGACATGCCCGATATAACTACGTCAAAGGTTCCAATGCCTCTTCAAGAAATGACTAATTTGTCGTGTAAGGCTATACTATAGTACCTTTAGAACATATACAATAACTTGTACAACATCTGGTTTACATTATACAGTTAGGTATGTCATGCTTACTCTGTTACTCTACATGTATAGTAAAAAAACAACTTATCGTTATTCTCTTAATCATTCTCTCAGCCGTTATCGTGCTGTTTGGTGCATATAGATTTAACATAGACACAATCAGGAAACCATGAAGACAAAAGGACGAGACTACAACCTTACTTGTATTAGGCAGCATTATTGTTTTACAAATGAACGGATATTTTATTATCCGAATTTAATATAACCTTTTTGTATATCAAGTACTTTATGACTAGACCCCTTTGATTTGTCTCCAAAACGTGATGCTAACATTCTACTACATGGTTTTACTTTTCAGCAGAGGCTCTAAAATTTGATTGAGCATTGACATTCATAAATATATGGTTATTAAGGAGTTGCCAATAGGAAATACTTTTAAGCTATTTTTTAGAGCAAAATATGCCGAAAACTGTGAAATTTTCTCGGGAGCTTGGCTAGGGATAGAGTTGTGCACAATTTTAACAGAAAAAACGGGTTCCAAACATAAAGCAAATTCGACAGCTTATTGACAAAGAGAAAGATCAATATTTTAATTCTTAGGAAGCTCTGCAAGGTACAAAATATGAGTGGTCAATGGAAAATAGAATTTTAGTGCAAAATGTGCTCAAAACTACAAATATTTCTCAGGATAATCTCTCCCTAGGAATTGTAAACAATTGAACAGCAAAATAACAGGTTTACAATCGCAAAAAAATATTGAGATACAACCTTGGATCAGACCTGAGCTTCTAGATAACAAGAAATGTCAGTCTCTCATAGCAAAACTCTGTAATCTCGATATATACAATTATTGATTCGTATAATAACTTGCGATATACTTCCCACTTGGAGAGAGAGAGGGAGAAAGAAATGGGGTTTAACGTCCACTCGACACAAACTCGGTCATTTCGGGACTAACCTATGGTTTTATGTTATTTAAATAATTCGCTTGCGCATAGGGGTCTTTAGCAGTGGGAGGAAACCGGAGGACCCGGAGAAAACCCACGAGGTTGGACAGGCGACCCTACTCCCCACTTGGAAGGGGCTAGATATAATGGTAAACATTTAGTGGTAGTGATGAGCATAGGATGGATCCGCACCGTCACTGCAGCATCGGGTGGGCTGTAAAAAGGAACAAATGAATATCTTTATTCTGCAAGTTTATCATTAGATATTGCACAAAATTATACTGCTTAAAACATCGGTTGAAACGTGTTCGATTGTATTATCTCGAGCGCTCGACTTAGTATCTCGAGCGCATGAGATATTATTTTTTTTTTTTTTGCGTGTCCTAAATCAGCCACCGTAGCCACCGTAGTTTAGCGTGGCAGTTGTGTCTTTTTTGGTGTATTATGCCGTTGAAGTGTAGTGGGGTACAAGTATAAAAGACACAGCTTGGCTCCGTTACATATTTGGTTATATTATGGGCCGTTTAATCGCTCGTTAGAGTAAAATATTCTCAACAACTGATTTCAAATTTCCTGCGTTGGCGAGAAAGTTCATCCAGATTTTCCAGCGTGGTTTCCCCTTGTCAAGGATGCAGAACGGAGGGCCCGACAAGGACAGCTGTCTAGTCATTCTGATGGGACGAAAAACCGAGGTCCCGTGTACACATTGGCGTGCACGTAAAAGATCCCTTGGCAGTGTGGAAATCGATATAAGAGTAGGCCGTAGTGCCGCTGCCCGGGAAAAATTTCCCTCATAGCACACTGTGTGGCGTATGCCCGTCTTCATTAGCCCAGTTTCATTTCGATTTCAAATTTACGTCTGTATTATTTGGGCCAGAATAAGAACCAAGTAGGCCTATATATCATTGATCGATTTAATAGTGTATCACCATGAATTATACATTTATGATATTCTTAAAGTGTTTACAGTGAACGGCTCTTCATGTTATTTGTAGTGTTATATTATGGTTATTTCAACAGATAAAAGTTGTGGGACGGATATAGCTCAGACCAGTTTTCACGGGTGTTTCTCATGATTTTCTAGAAGACTTTTCCTCTTTACTAACATATATCACCTATGTCAAGATAGCTTGCAGGGGCGTACATATCCATTTTGTTTGAGGTGGGGGGGGGGGGGCAGATTGTTCAACCAAAATGATACCGACTGATGCACAGGCCCTAATACGAGTTTTCTAAGCGGGCTCGGGTACATGTTCCCCCTGAGAAATTTTTGAATCTGGAGTCCCTGAAATGCTATATATATCCTTGACTTTGGGGAGAAATTTTGCAGAATTCTGATGGTCAAAAAACACTTATTATTACATGAGTTAAAATGAGTACTATGTGCATGGGAATTCATGTTTTTTATTAGGAATTTTGCAAGAATGTACAATTTACATGGACCTATATATCTTCGATACATTGTTGTGGTGATTATACATAAATTAGCAAATATTTGACCATGTCCTCTTATATTTTCATCAACCTTCGCGCTTACTCAAGTTTGACCACCGGTCGGCAATTTTGTCAAGATGTATCGTGTCCGTAAGGTCACGCTCACATGCAAGTGTCATTAGTTCATTGAGGCGTTTCTGTTTCATTACTGAACGCATAACAGTTTTTACTAATTGAGCTTTGAAAAACTGGCGCGTATTGGGATTTTTCCCTTCTAATTTGGCATTGTTTGTTTACCTCAATAATTCATTTAGTTGCTGATGCATAATTTTGGGACCGACTGCAGTGATTGCACTTATTTTGAAACCGACTATTTTATTTCCTGGGTGGTGTATCCCCCCCCCCCCACACACACACACATTTACGCCCCTAATAATTTATTCATATTTTATTTACTATAAGTCACCCGACTACTTAGGTTTAAGTTGAACAGGGGCTCTAAATAGCACAAACATAATCATATTTTACTTATTGTCTCCTTATCTAATGGATGTTTTTAAAATTGTTCGTATAGGATTGGTATCTGTAAGAAAAACAATTTTTATGGAAACTAAGTTCGAAAATAAGACGGCAATTCACAAGCACGTGGACGTTAAACTATATCCCCCCCCCTCTCTCTCTCTCTCTCTCTCTCGCTCTCTCTCTCTCTCTCTCTCTTATTTTTATTTAGTAACAAAAACACTCAATTTGTTGTAACATTAAATCTGTGAATTCTCATTAAGAACAATTTTTTCCTGAAATTTGTCTTCATAGCTTTTTTGCCTGGAAATTTGATCTGCATTAATTGTTACTGCTGTCATGGTTAATGAAAAAATGAAATGAAATGGAAGATAGAGAGAAATGGGGTTTAACGTCCACTCGACACAAGCCAGGCCATTTTGGGACTAACATATGTTTCAATTTTATGTCAATAATTCGCTTGTGCGTAAGGGTCTTTAGCAGTGGGAGGAAACCGGGGGACCCAAGGGAAACCCACGAGGTTGGAAAGGCGCCCCTACTCCTTGTCGCGTACAAAACCACGCCAGTTGACTCAATGGCAGACCTTATGATACGACGCGCATGTGCTAACCATTCGGCCATCCATCCCCCCGAAATGAAATGGGGTTTAAGGGCTTACTGTTCAATCTGATTAAAACACAGATCCTATTTCGTTTCGTTTTTTATAGTTCACAATTTCATTTTACTTGTCTTCACAACACTAGTATCTAGAAGAGTTGTTATATAACAGGCGTTCTAGTTGATGTGAGGAATTAGCCAATGAAACGGTCTGTTACGGCAAGTTCTTGGCGTGCTCTGCACGGAACTGTGGGTAAAACCCTAGAAACGTCAATGCTGATTGATTAATCAATATCTGGCGTCATAGGGTCAAAAGCCGCCTGTGTGACCCCTGACGCGACCTCCCAGTACAACTGGTCAGATCTTTATGTAGTATAGACCATCGAGAGTAGAGGCTGGCTCGCTAGCCTGGAGGTCGGGAGTTCGATCCCTGCATTGGCCGAGAAGGTCATCCAGATTTACCGGCGTGGTTCCCCCTTGTCAGTGATGCAGGACGGAGGACAGCTGTCTAGTTTTCGGATGGGACGAAAAACCGAAGTTCAGTGTACACATTGGCGTGCACGTAAAAGATATTTTACCAATGTGTACAGGATACCTCGATTTTCTGTCCCATCCGAGTGACTATACGTTGTCTCTTGCCGGTCCCCGATCCTGCACAACTGAAAAGGAGGAACCGGGCCGGAAGGTCCTGATGAACTTTCCTGGCCAACGCAAGAATCGAACATGGGCCCCCCAGTTTAGCAAGCCAACGTCTTACCCACTGAGCCACCATAGCTCCCATCATGGTTAATAGTAACAAATTTAATACATACTATAATAAAAATATGTTATATTCTACAGTAATTTAAAAGATTATCTTTTTTGCTTCAATTTTGATTTCTATTGATTATAGGCTCTGTTGATGTTCATTTTATAACAAAACGAGATGCAAGCCTTGATGATCGTAAGGACTGTCCGCCCGTCGAGGGTCAGGTAAATTTGATTAAATTGAAGATTTATTTAAAATGTAATCTGTAACTACTGCTGTGTGATGGGAAATCCTGGAAAAAATAATTGAAATTAACATGGCATATTGCAGTATCAGTAGACCTATTTTTTTTTATTATTTTTTTTTTTGCCTTTATTTGAAATTAAAAAAAACCCCATAATATAAAAATGCCTTCCATATTCAATATAATCAACAATTTGTAATGACACCTTTCATGTCAACAGAATTAATCACGTCAGAGAAAGTACTCAGTGTTCTCCGTCGTGGTGTCCGGGTTTCCCCCCTGTAGTTGTTCAGGAAAGTATGTCTAGTCGTTCGTATGGGGCGCAAAATCAAGGTCCTGTGTACATGTTGGCGTGTACGTAAAAGAACCCTTAAAAAAACTAGGATGTAGAGCCACTGTCCAGAAAATATTTCCCCGCACAGCACATTGCATGGCATAAGCCCATCTTCATTAGCCTGGCTGGTGTAGGACTTTGAACCACATTTGTTTATTCATTTCGCAACGCCATATAGATCAGTTGAATTTAAATTAAATTAAATTGACAATATATTCTTGCAATATAATTATTGTAAAATTGTAATGTCAAAATTTCCACGTATCGTCCCACACTAATTATATACTGTGATGTAAATAATAATGAATGTATGGAATCATATATAATCAAAGACATTGTGTAAACAACTTTATTTAACATCCCCGTCAACAATGCTGTGATATTGTGGTGCAGATATCGTGACTGTCGTACATCACAGGGTCAAACTGATGCAGACAAATAGGAGGTTAAACTCCATTACATTTCCTTTACAAATTCACTGATTACAAACTGTAAGTACTGTTACTGTCAAAATTAAAAATAACTTTTCTGTTTCAGCCACAACCCCCTACCAGAGTTGACACTACAGCTAGATTGCAGGCTTTAAGAACAGAAATGGGTACAGCGGATGTTGATGTGTATATAATTCCTTCTGAAGATGCTCATCAGGTAACAATATCCTACTATAGTGTGTTTCCCAAAACTTTAACAAATATTCGAAAACTAAGCATGGCTGTTAGGGGGACATACCCTATAATTCCAAGGCAAATAGACTGATAAGATATTCAGGGGGCGTGTCCGGGAATTTGAGCAGCGGGGGGGGGGGGGGGGTCCAAGGTGGCAACAATGCCAGGTTTGGCGTTAGATCATTCAGGTGGAACAACCCGCGAATTTGATAAATTTAGAAGCATTGAGACAATACCTCTGCTCATTTAGGTGCATACAGGTATAGGATTACAGTGGAGCAAGCCAAAGCGGGGTTATTTCCATGCATGTAGCACCCACCCCCTCTGGACACGGGCCTGATATTCTCTTTAAAGTACCATTTCTAAATGCTGGAAATGGATTTACTACTGATATTACTGGTACCATAGTCTTTTATAAATATTTCAGAGTGAATATCCGCCATCTTATGATTTAAGACGATCTTATATATCAGGATTATCTGGTTCAGCAGGTAAATTATTAATTTGTTTTGTCTATCATATTCATTTACTATTCATCATGTACCTTCTTATTTTGACTTACTCTGCAATTGGTAAGCAAAGTAAAAAAAAATTGGGATCTTTATTAAGCAAATAAAGTAAGAACTTTTTTTAAAAAAAAAAATCCATCTATTCACCAAAATATTTATTGACTGAAGCCTAGTCAACATATACTCATCAACAAGGTTATAACTTAATGTTTGGTTGTTGCACATTTCATATCACTTTCATAGTAACTGTAACCTCATCAAATGTATCCTGACATGCTCTTCTATGACATATACTTTACCCACTGACTCTGTTTATTCTTCAATATTTTATTTTCACATTTTCCAATCTAATATCAATCAAAATTCAACATTTCTCATTCTTTGTAATGACTTAAGGAAATTATACTATGGATAGGACACAACAGTGGTTAGTTGTGGTAGGATATGATTATCCTTTTGGTAACGCCCAAATTCGGTTTAAGAAGATGCAAAAATATATAATTTATAAATCATTCTCTCGTTATTTTGAACGGAGATTCTGACGGTCCAAAGATATTAACGTATGGGCATTCAAATTTTTGATTCAATGTATTTCTTGGGCCTTGTCTTTAATAATTATGAACTGCTCACCTATCTATGAGTGGAAAGATTTTTAATGTCTTGAATAGTTAATATATTTTTTGTGATATTAACAGGTATAGCAGTAGTAACAGCGACCAAGGCAGCATTATGGACTGATGGTAGATATCATTTACAAGCAGATGACGAGTTAGATTGTAACTGGATTCTTATGAAAGACGGTAAATAACCAGGGACTATTACTAATGTAACAGTAAATTTATCGTAATAGTTCAGTTCATAAATTTATTATACGTATTAGGTTGTATTGTATTGTATTGTATTGTATTGTATTGTATTGTATTGCTTTGCATTGCATTGCATTGCATTGCACTGCATTGCATTGTAATGTATTGATTAGATTATATTGTAATCATGGACCTTATAATACATTTATAGAACCGCAGTGGCTCAGTGAGTAAGACATTGGCTCGCTAACCTGGAGCACCCGTGTACCTAATGTTGGCCAACAAAGTTTATCTGGATTTCCCTGCGTGGATCCTCCATGTCAGTGGTGCTCGACAATGGACAATGTATAATCGTTCGGATAGGACGAAAAAATGACTTGTGCTCGTGTATTGGTCCACAATTCGACCTCACTTATGAACTCTTGGAGCCAAACAGAGAATACGCACGAACCGGAGATATCTTAACAAATTAATAGCTTCGAACCTATTTAAAACTTATTTTTTCTCAGAATTTTTAAGTCTAATCCTATGCAAAATAAATAATGAAATATTCTTATTTTTTCTTATCAGTTCTGCTTGGTGTTTATTTTAAGGTGTCGAAGGTGTTCCTACGATGACAGAATGGATTATAGAACAAATGATGAACTCTACCACGAAAAATGTTGGTGCAAGCCCGTTCTTGTTGAGTAGCAGTAAGTATTTATAATTGAATCAGTAAGTGACGTGGTGTCAATCATAATATATCTAAAACAAAGAAAGCAAACCACCAACTTACTACAATATGATGAGATAACTAGTATAACTAATATTTCCACAGACTTTAGGCCAGTCTAGTATTACTAATGGTATTGTCCACATATTACTGATATTGTCCACATATTACTGATATTCACCACATATTACTGATATTGTCCACATATTACTGATATTCACCACATATTACTGATATTGTCCACATATTACTGATAATCACCACATATTACTGATATTGTCCACATATTACTGATATTCACCACATATTACTGATATTGTCCACATATTACTGATATTGTCCACATATTACTGATATTCACCACATATTACTGATATTGTCCACATATTACTGATATTCTCCTCTTATTACTGATATTCACCACATATTACTGATATTCTCCTCTTATTACTGATATTCTCCTCTTATTACTGACACTGCCCTCACAGTACTGATATTCTCCTCTTATTACTGATATTCTCCAGACATTGCTGATATTCTCCACATATTTTTCTCTGTCTTTTTTATGGTAAAAGACATGACATTGTTCGTTTTGTTTGTGGACTGCTTTGTGCAGTTGTAAATATTACTGATATTGTCCACATATTACTGATATTCTCCTCTTATTACTGATATTCACCACATATTACTGATATTCTCCTCTTATTACTGATATTCTCCTCTTATTACTGACACTGCCCTCACAGTACTGATATTCTCCTCTTATTACTGATATTCTCCAGACATTGCTGCTATTCTCCACATATTTTTCTCTGTCTTTTTTATGGTAAAAGACATGACATTGTTCGTTTTGTTTGTGGACTGCTTTGTGCAGTTGTAAATATGTGCTCCTATTGTAGTCCTAAATAATTCAAAGCTAGCTAATAATATCAAGACAGACTATTTACAATTTTCTATTACTTTTTGATTGTCACAGTCTTCTGTGTGTGTGTGTGTGTGTGTGTGTGAGAGAGAGAGAGAGAGAGAGAGAGAGAGAGATGTGGTTTAACGTCCACTCGACACAAACCAGCTCATTTCCTGACTAACACATGGTTCAATTTTATTTCAATATTTCGCTTGCGAGTAGGGGTCTTTAGCAGGTGAGAACCCGAAGAAAACCCACAACATTGGACAAGTGACCCGTCGTACAACCGGGAAATCGTAACCACGTCAGTTGACTCAGTGACAGACCTTATGATACAGTGCGCTCGTGTTAACCATTCGGCCATCCAACTCTACCAGTCTTCTGTAGATCAATCAGGATAGGCACCAATGTATTTGGTGTCGTTTGTAGTTCATTTATTCGTGGTTAATTTTCCCACTTCTGAATATTGATATTTATTTGCATTATTTCCTATTTATAGGTAAATGGAAGACTTATGAAGAAGCTTTCACACAAGAAGCGATTACGATGAAATCAGTTGGTGCGAATGACCTCATTGATAAAATATGGACATCAGGACGACCAGAGAAACCAAAGACACCTATAAACGCCCTTCCTTTAAAATTTGCAGGTATATACAAACCAGTGTTTCTAAATAATTAATACCAAGGATGGGATATAATAGTCTATATATAATAGCCTATATTATTGCAAGTGCACCTGTTTGGTAGACAATTTATGATCGTTATGCACTATAGAATCCATGGTTCTTATTTGTACAATGTATGTGGTATATACTTAATTCTTATTAACAGGTAGAAGTTGGCAAGACAAAATAAACGATTTAAGAAGTGAAATGACCAAAAAGCATGCTGGAGCATTCATTGTAACAAGTCTAGATGAAACGGCGTGTAAGTGCTTGTATTTGATTTTATAGGAAGGATATCTATGTATGCAGTCCTGGTCAGAAATTTGAACACGTACACAATTTGAGTTTCAGAGCAGTCTCTACTGCTGCCAACATCATGAAATTGCTAAGACACCTTTGCTACTGTAGCCATTATTATATTATAGACCATTACCACTTTCTATTACAAGTCCATGAAGTTACAATTTGGATAAATAAGAGTTTGGAAAATGGTAACAAATATTGTAGAAAAATGGTTTGCTTCCAGTAATTATTAATAACAGCAAGAATTAATGACAGTTCTTATGTCGGGCTGGAATTTGTGTAAGATTGTATGGTCAGTAGGAAGGACGCTCTGCCTCTATATACAGGACAACAGAATACCCTTTATTTATTATTTTAACAAAAAGGCAAAAAATTGTCAAATTCATTGGAGTTTTGTATTCATTGAACAGCTATTGATAAGGACAGTTTTAATTAACCTTAAAATGAAACTAGAATAAGTAAACAAGTCAACTTCCGTTTAATCTTGCAAAATAAAAATGCAATGGAGAAAAAATTACCACGGCATTAACTGAAATAAGAAATCAGATAAACCCAGTTCACTACTTCATTTTTTTACTTAAAGATACATTATGTAAGATTTAGATAAAGAACTAGCCATTCTTGCCTTAATAGTTCGAAAGTAGATGTGTAAAATGAATAATTTGAAAATTTCATTCAAATTAATCTTTTGCAAGCGAAGATATTAGCCTTTGATGGTTTGACAGACGTGTGCAATAATTTCAACCACCGTACTGGTTGATCGAAGCTAAGTCTCGGTCCTCCATATTTGATTAATTCAAAGTATCGCTGAACCATTCTAATCTATTTAATATCGGAGAAATCTGATGCCATCGAGAGTTGATTAAGGCCTGGATCAGTTAATTAATGTCTAATTAATACTTTAGAAAACATTTCAGGCCTAAAGAAAGACCCGCAATAGGCAGATTTTGCTCTTGCATAATGCATGTTTAAAGAGGTTTAGCTCTGTTCACATGGGAGAGGCTCACACCTATACAGAAGATACTAATATCTTTGATAACTCCGGTTTTGTATGTATGATTCTGCTGTCAAACTAGACAAAAACACACGCTTATATATAAAATATTTCAATAGACTTTGAATTATGAATAAACTTTTTTGTTACAGGGCTATTCAACATTAGAGCTAATGACATTCTTTATAACCCCTTTGTTGTATCATATGCCATTGTGGAAATGAACCAGATAAGGTGACTAATTCAATGTTTTGATAATAGATTAGACGAAACAGCTCATCCCTTCCCCAGGTTCTAAATACAAAGGAATATGGAAAAAAGAATCCATAACAGTTAGACACAACAACCTTTTCGCTTTCTATTATCCGGTACTTTGTTTGTGTCCTGTCATCAGTTCCCCTTTATTTAATTACTTTGGTGGTATCATTTTTTGAAAGAAAATTTGTAGGCATACATTATATACAATACCTGCTAGACGTAAACAGACCTGATGATAAGTAAAAATGAAAATTATGTAAATAAATAAGAAATACAACACCAGATCAAAGATTACGACTAACATAAACAGGGTTACTGAAAAGCTCCCTAGCAGAGTATTTAAAAAAGACAGTGAAGCAACATGATAAATCAGTTCTCGGAACCTAATAAATAATTAATTGATGCTTTTTTCACTCCAGTCCATGCACAAAGAACATCGCCAACGTAAAATGATAAAAATAGAACTGCTTTTAACTGGAATCGTTTAACATTTTTGTCCCCCTGTCTCTTTCGAAGAAAGCATCTGACTCTTAAAATGGGTTCGCCTGTCAGTCTATCTGTCCGTCCGTCCGTCCGTCCGTCTATCCGTCACACTATTTGGGACACAAAAACTCTCCTAATTGAGCTAGAAAGTTTAAAGTTGGTGTAGGTGTTTATTAGGACAATGTCGTGATGGAGATCGAAGATGAGCATTTTCTGCTTAGGGTAAGCAGAGATAAGCAATTTGATTGGTTGATGCTTTTGGGCACGATAACTTCTAATTAAGTGAGAGTGATGAAACTTGGTGTATAGTTTCATCACATCAATACCTTGACTAAGTTCGACAATGAACATTTTCTGCTGAGGATAAGCTGAGCGATAACCAATTTGATTGGTCGAGACTTTGGAACACAATAACTCTCCTCCTAATTGGGCCACAATGTTCACACTTGGTGTAGGTGTTTATTAGGTGAATGCTTTGATGAGAATTTTCTGCTATGGGTAAGCAGAGCTAAGCAATTTCTTTGACTTTGATTCGATCTGATGTATAGTTGATAATCAGTTTGATTGCATGATACTTTTGAAACAGATCAATGTGCAATTAATTAATATGTGACATCTATTTATTTCGGGATTTCGGCAGAGGACATCAGCCCCACTGTATTTCTTGTATTTCTACCTTTCTATTGTTTTAGTCTTTATCTTATTGATTCTTCCACTAAATTGTCACAAACGCCAACCGATGAAGAGACAACTGAAACATTATATGAACATCTTAATACTAACCAGGATGGAACTTGTACTGGTAAAACCGGACTCTGTGTGAAGGTAAGGAATTGTCAAAATTAATCATAATTATAAACCATATATAACAGGCATATATAATTCAGACTTTAGAGTCATAGTGATTGAGTGAGGAAGATGCAGGCTCGCTAACCTGGAGGTCGTGGGTTTGTTCCCGGTGTTGGCCGAGCGGCATGGTTTCCCCTTGTCCGTGGTGCAGGACGGAGGGCCTGACAAGGACAGCTGTCTAGTCGTTCGGATGGGACGAAAAAGCGAGGTCCCGCATTCACTTTGGCGTGTACGTAAGATATTCCCCGGCAGTTGGAATTCGATATGAGTAGATCGTAGCGCTGCTGCCCGGGAAAAGATTTTTTCATAGTGCACTGTATGACGTATGCCCGTCTTCATTATCCCAGTCAGAGCAGAACAGTAGGACGTTAAACCTCATTTCATTTCGATCCCAGTGTTGGTCATTAGGATTTTAATGTAAATGTTGATAAAATGTATATTAATCGATTGAAACAAATAATGCAAGTGTTGATGAAATATATATTAAATTATTAAACAAAATAATACAAATGGCCAGTTGAATAAACCAAATAAAAGTTAGTTGCCCATCTTTTCTGCACAGGCACGTGTGAATATTAATCAATTGGCGACAAAGGTGGGTATATTATTTTAATTATATTATTATCAATAATCTAAAAAATAAATTTCTTTCTTTTGTGACCTGTTCATAATATTTAGATTATATATTTTCAGGTGTTAGAATACAATCAGAGTGGGCTACTGACAGACATCGAAACTTTAGCAGAGACATCTCAAAGTCTAAAAGTTTGGGTAACCATCTTGTGCAACCAAGCTATATATGAAACAATACCCGAGGTAGGTAAAATATCCAGACGAAAAGGAAAATATAGACTTTCAGACAATATTCATTGCCAAATTTACTAACCTTGAGATAGTTCATTTTTCGTTTCAGACTCGACTATAGAATAAATATAATAATATCTGTTTTGTATTGCTTTAAAGATATTATCTACTGTAAAAGTTACTGGCAAAAGAATTAATTATTGTTTCTCACAGATTAAATAAAGAATATTGAAAATGATCAATTATTCTTTATTTCTAAACACGACCTTAAAAACTCAAAAAATAATTTTCTCTGGGCCATTAAATCAACATTATTTATTTATTATGAGTCACTTCAAATCTACCCAGCTAAACAAGTCCTGAGTTCAGATAAAGCACATGCATGTTAAAATGAAACACCCCACTGAATGTTTTTTTTAATTACAAATTTAACGTCTAATCATCAGTGAGGGTGGTGTCTTATATACAACTATGGTTAATGCATTTTCGTTTATATTTGCAAGACTCAAGTTATACAAGCTAACTCCAAAGTTGCTCTTATAAAATCTATGAAGAACAGCGTAGAGAGAGCTGGCATGCAGAATTCTCACGTGAGTAAGAACAATTCTGTTTTAATAAGTAAGTAGGCCTACTGTTGAATCTGTGCGCAGTATGTGTTTAAAATATAGGAAGAGAACCATCTTTTTGCAGACTTGGGATCAAATCCACACCACTTTACTCGATGACAGACCTGATGATCTAAAGCACACACCTTAGACCAATCAAACACCATAGCCCTTTGACGTGCACGTAAAAGAACCTTTGACAGTTGGAATTCGAAATAAGAGTATTCCATAGTGTCGCTGTCGGAGCCAAATTTCCCTCATGCATACTGTATGCCCATTCGGTGCAGAACAGTAGAATGTTAAACACATTTCATTTCACTTTTAACAAATAAACATCAAGAAATGACCCAAACAAAAGTAATGATAGATACTTAGGGATTATATGTTGATTTATACGAAAATAAAATACCTTTTCTTGATTATAGATACGAGATGCTGTCGCCTTAATAAATTTTATGACCAAGCTGGAAAAAGAGGTAAATAGTTTTGCAAGTAAATATATATCTGATGGTTTTATAGGTACAGGACGTCTGTTTATTCAAGATCGAGTTGATTATTCTATTTATGTATATACCTTTGCAAACAATATGGGCACATATCCATTCTTTTATTCAGCACAAACTTAAACTTCTGTTATTTTTATAGGTAAAGGAGGGAAAGAAATGGACTGAAGTATCGGCTGCTGCTGATTTAAAAACCTACAGATTGTAAGGAATGCTTTAATGCTTTTGTCCGTTTCAAAATATTTGAACCCTTCATAAACACACGGGATCTTTTTTGTGTGTGTTTGGGGTGACCGACCATGATTGGAGTACCAGTATGTTTTCATTTTAGGTTATGCCGGAATCATAGCAGGCCTGGGAATGTACATCAGCACAATTTGATGTTACTGTTGTGTGTATATGTGTTTGATATATCTTGGCATCAGATTTGTCTCGTAGGTTTCTATTTAGTTGTTATGTGTGGTGTGGTTCTCCTGCATTTACCATTATTGGGAGCCTTTTCCTTCTGGATGTAGACTTCGAACAGGAGATCTGGAACAAATTGAATAAGACACCCGACCCAAACCCCCTCTTTAGATTTTATGAGATTTTCTAATAGTATAGACATGATCATTATAATAATAATATCTTTATTTGGGTTGATACTTAGGCCTAGGGCTCGTTTACAAGTGGCTACTAAAACAGAACATATCTACAAGAATTACGTATTTAATATCAAGGCTGATACCTATTAACTTATTTCAGATAAATACCCCCCCCCCCCACACACACACACTATAATGTCATAAATAATACCCCTCACCTCATATCACCTGTCATCTGTTCATAAATTATGTTAATTATTCCACAAAAAAACAATGGCTTAAAAATGAAACTGATATCAAGTCATTATTGATTTGAAAATATTAGTCTTTATAGACGATATGTCTTTAACATCTTTCAAATTAGAAGGCGTGTCATTCCATAATTTTAGCTCCTTTGTAAGTGAGTCTATTATAAAGGGCCAGTGTTTGCTTGAGGAGGCAATGAATTTGAATTTAGTTTATTGTAAGACGTAACCATGAATTGGAAAATGGTTTTGGAAGAATTTTAAGTAGACAAGTCATTTTATTATAGAGTTGATGTTTATAAAAATCTACTATATTTAGAGATTTTTGAAAAATTAGGTGGAAAATCAGAAGATGATTTGACTCAAAGCATAAAATTAAAAGCCAGTTTTTATTGTTTCATTAAAGTGCTTAACGAAGAAGAATTTAAATTATCCCAAATAGGGGAGCAATAATCTAAGAAGCACTGGATATGTGCTTTGTAAAATAGAGCAAGAAAATATGTGGGGAGAAATTTTTTAATCTTTCGAAGTTAATAGACAAATGTGTAGGCCTATTGATATATTTACGTTTTTGTTGGGTGCATATTATTATGGCCTTAGTTTTCGAGGTTTTGAATTAAAAGCTAAAACACTACCCTAATGTAACTACAGTTGGGAGTTATACCTCCCTGGTTTATGGTTGTAGTGTTACAATGACCAAATGTCTTACGCAAATTATATGTCGGAATCCTGGATGTATGTCGTGTTATTTGACGACACTGACTCATTATAATCATTTGGACTCAATCAAAAATGTGGTTCACTTTCCAGTGCTATCGAACATGTAGTAATAATACAGGACTTATTTTATATTCTCCCAATCATTGAATTTATGTTTTATTTTATTGCAGCGATCAGGAATATAACCGTGGATTAAGTTTTAACAGTATTTCTGGTGTAGGATCTAATGGCGCCATTATACATTACTCACCCAGTAATATCACAGATAAACAAATAACAACATCAGAAATGTATTTATTAGATTCAGGTGGACAATACCTGTAAGTATTGTTTTACTGATGGTACTACATTTGTAGATATTTGAAATATGCATGTACACTTCTCTGTTGCCATCCACACACAGTAACTTATATACATTTCATTTTATATAATCATAAACCATGCTTTACAAATTTTTATCGGACATGCCCCAGATTCGATTAAAAATGAAATTAGGGTTGTTCTTTTTAATTTAAATATTTTACATTTTTTAACATTTTAAATCAATAAATTGCAGACTAAATATTTGAGGCATTTAAACACGGTTTAAATTAAACAAACCTGTTTAAACAATAATGTAATTAATGATTAAACTTGATCAACATTTCAAAAATATGATCCTATTAGAGATAAAGTGATTAAATATAACAGCAAATTTCTTCATTTTATGGAATCGGTTTTAAGGCATACTACTATTCTATTGTCCATTTTGACCACATAAAGACTTTAGGAACTTTACTGGACTTAAGCCTTCTGTTATGGAATCTATCATTGAAATTTGTGAAAGTATAATCTGTAAAGTGAGAAATAATAAAGAATTAATGTTTACTTTCTTAAAGTGATGGAACAACTGACGTGACAAGAACTTTTCACTTTGGTACACCAACCGAGTATGAAAAGGTAAGAAGTTTATAATATCAAATCTGTTATTTTGTCAAGTTCATGCATTTATAGAAAATTGCTGAATGCACAATATAGTGTTGTATGTTAAAGGACAAAACCCTAGTCCATGCATTTCAGATATGTGATATAATTGATTATAGAATTGGTTATACAATTTTAGAATATAGATCAATTCTCATTGACTGAATAAATGAAATATTAAATGACATAATTCTATAAAAGCTATTATTTTAAATAACAAGAGTCTGTAGAGATGTAATCAGTATTTGTGTTTATATTTACAGGAATGTTATACACTTGTTTTAATGGGACATATTGATTTAGCTTTAACCAAATGGCCACGTGGTTTATATGGTAAGGTATCATTAAACTTGTACATATTTTGTACTAGCGTAAAAGATTTCGGGTGAATGATATTTTCAAAAATCATCTAACTTATATCTCAATGATGCAACTTTCTTTGATACTAAGTATAAGCTTTGCATCAAGATGTTTGCTTAGAACCCTTTGTGAAACAACAAGAAAACAAGAATAATCATTGTTTGTTTTAAAACAGTAAAGACACGTGCAAACATGTTCTATTGTAAACAAAACAAGCCACGTGGTAGTGGTAGCTATTTTAACTATTTAACGTAGAAGAGTGGTTAGTAACTAAGGTAAACATCTTAGCAGATGTTCTTTAACCGTTATCAGTTAAGTTCTGATTTGAGGTAAGAATTAAGATCCTAAACCAAAAATCCTAACCAAAATTTAATGAAATTGATTTAATACAATCCCATATATTTTCGCTGTATTGAAACGTATTAAATATTGTGAAATATTTGCCGATATAATTCAATGAATTTGTTACCTCTCTTTAGGACGTGACTTTGATGCCATAGCAAGACATCCATTATGGGATGTTGGTTTAGTATATCGACATGGTACGGGACATGGTATTGGAGCTTATCTCAGTGTACATGAAGGTCCTGGTCGAATCTCCATCTCTCACGCAGTTAACCCTAGTGATGAACCTTTGGATGAGAACATGTTTTTCTCTGATGGTAAAAATTAATTTTAAAATCCATCAAACATCTATATCACTGTCCAGTTTTTACCATAAATAATCAGTACTAGATTCCCTGAACAGGTTTCAGTAATAAGGGGAAATAATTTTAATGATAGATAATTGAAATGTTTCTTTTATTAAGCTGTAAAACAGAATAGAATTTTGCCTTTAGACTGATTCAATGTTAATGTGGCCAGTGATAAAATTGTTTCCTGATCTAGGAACTGTAAATTATATGACTACCAAGCCAGTTTTAACAATTGATATGATTTATTTTATATATCTCAGAACCTGGTTATTATGAAGCTGGTAAATTTGGAATCCGTTTAGAGACAATAGTAATGACAGAAATTGTTGATACAAAGGTAAGTTCTAAGAAATGCATATGCCAGTACTGCTGTGGAAATGTGATCCCCTTCTGTGCCTTACCTCCAATCGCTCAGTGGCATTATTACTCTTTGTGCAAGAAAAATTCAACAATACACTTAATGAATACTGATAATTACATGAAAAATTTTAGTGTGGTTTCCCCTGGCTAGTGGTTCAAGACAGAAGGTCTAGCAAGGGACAGTGTCTAGTCATTCGGATGGGACAGAAGAACGGGGTCATGCGTACACGTTAATGTTTACTTAAAAGAGAAATTAAAAGTTCGAATTTGATTTGACAAAGAGTAGACGCAAATGCCGCCCCAGCGAAACTTCCCTTATAGCACACTGTGGGCGTACCGGTATGCATGTCTTCATTAGGCTAGTTGGTGCAGAAAAGTGGGATATTAAACCCCATTTCATTTCTGAACTGCCTGCATGATGATAATATTTTTGTAACCAAATCACTGTGGTAATGTGTTAATAGGCGTTAACTTCCACCCATTTCCTAAAAATTATAATTGTTATGTCTTTTTTTCTCCAGTATCACTTCGATGCCACAACTATGCTAGGTTTTAAAGCCATTACTTTGGTACCATATGAACCACATCTGATTAACTTCAGTATGTTATCACAGAGACAGGTAAATAATTAATATTCAAAATAACTTTATGGATTTACTACTTCTTGGTTTATTACATCCAACGTTTCAATACTCTTACATGTATCTTTGCTTGATAAACCAACAAGTAGTAAATCCATAAAGTTGTGTTATTTAGAATAGTATAACTCTACTTCTAAATGCCATTCAAGGACAATATTAATATTATATTTCAATTCAGGTATGTCCACACTTCTCTTTAATAGCCAACAATTGAAGTGATTCCACATCCTATTTATTTTTTAACAAAATGACCTATGCGATAATAATGTTTTGATGGTATTGAGGAAAATGTGCACACATACAGTAATGTCCTCTATCATCAGTGCTCTGCCATGTTTGATTCTTTAGCAGAAACTTGATCAACTAAGGCCGGAGGTCTAAAGATGTTATTTTTTATTCAACTTAAGTATAACCCGAACGTGTAACTCATCCTATGCATTAAATGCAATGGTTAAAATGCACTAAATACAATAGATAAAACATATTAAATACAATAGATTAAATATAATAGATAAAACACATTAAATACAATAGATAAAATACATTAAATACAATTGGTAGAACACAATCAAAACAATAGATAAAGCACAATGAATGCAATAATACAACGCAATAAATACACTAAATAAAATGCATTAAATACAATATACAATATACTAAATACAATAGATAAAACACGCCAAATACAATAGATGTAACACACCAAACACAACAGATAATACATAAAACACACTAAATACAATAGATAAAACACACTAAATACAATGGGTAGAATACACTAAATGCAACAGATACAATACACTAAAATAGATACAACACACTAAATACAAATGATAAAACATTTTAAATACAATAGATAAACACACTAAATACAATAGATAAAATGAAATGAAATGGAGTTTAACGTCCTACTGTTCTGCTCCTAACCTGGGCTAATGAAGACGGGACAATAGATAAAACACACTAAACACACTAAATACAATAGATAAAACACACTAAATACAATGGGTAGAACACATTTAATACCAGTAAAACTGTCTAAATTCAAACTACCAAAGATATTTGGTTTACTGCTAAGAACAGGTTTAAAGGTAGATAACTGTTAATACAACTGTTTTATTGTAGATTGACTGGTTGAATGCCTATCATAAAAGAGTAGAAAATGAAGTTGGACCTAAATTAAGCGGCGAACCTTTGGAATGGATGAAAACGAGGACTCAGCAAATTACAACTTCAAGTCCTGCTTCAATTATTTTACCCTCCATTTTACTTATTTGTATAACTTCCATTCTTTCTCTTTTAAAATAATCTCATCTTACAAATTTATTTCTAGATACAAATTGTTCCTTTAATATTAGTATAATATTTATAATTATTGTTTTTTTTGTGAAACTCAATAAATTGTCCTTTTTTACCGTGGCTGAGAATACTTCCCCAAAAAGTATAAAGATTGAAAAGTGTTCTGTGGATTGTAGTTTAGACAGTAATTCCTCACCATTTAACTTTTAATTCAAATTAATTAAATGTATTAATCACCCCTATTTTTAATATAGTATGTGTAATTGTAATATTAGAGTTCTATCAATCACCCCTATTTTTAATATAGTAGAGTATTAGTAGAGGTAAGTGGTAAAAGATTATTATAATTTACAAATATATTTAAATCAGATGCCCAGTCATTGCAGATACCTTACTATCAAATATTGAAATAGTTTCCACAATGCAGAGTGAGATACTTAACATTTCTTCTTTAATTAACAACTATTGAAAACTGGTTTGATAGTGGATAATGGCTGGACTGTAATAGGTCACACCATATACTATATCAATCATCAAATATATTTTGTGACAATACACTAATTGTAAATATTTAAAAAGGGAATCATTGACTTGAACCCTCCTCACCTCAAGTACTGTGTCTATATGTTCATTTTAAGCTACCTCCACGTTGCATTGACACCACTTTCTCATATTTTGAGGTTCATGTATCCTTCCCTCCCGAATTCTCCAAAAACCCTGCAACCAAACCTTCCTCTTAAAAAGTTAGTCTAGTTAGTTGGATTTTTCCGTAATGTTTCTAAAACAGTAAGTTTCGTAGAGAAAGGGCCTTTACATTTGTAGTAATTATACTTTGTAACAAATTCGTCATGAAGTTATGATTTTGCCATAATATATCACTATTGATTAATAATGGATAATTTGTCTATTCTCGTGTAATATAATTAAAGTGTAATCCAAAGATAACAATATATATTTTCTTAAGTTTCTAATAAAATGATTTTTTTTTCTAAATAAAGCCTGTCTTTAAGAATTATTCAGAGTTTTTTTTGTTTTTTTTTTCATTTTGAAGGGAAGTGACAATATTGTCACCAAATTGTAGCAAATGGTCAAATGTTTGCTAGATATATTATGATGGGTTCGAATTGCAAAGAGAAGTATATGTCCTATTGTTTTAAACCCTAAAAAGGAGAGAAACGATTGTATACAAATGATGTCCTTTTCTACCCCCATGGCCTACAACGTCTTCTCCTCCATTTACTATTTGAAAATACTATTGGTTCAGTATACCTGAACCGACGAACCTTCAGTATGCGCCGCAGCCAGATTTTCAAACGGCGTTCCAGTGGGTTTTAGTAGCTGCCCAAGGAAGCGCCAAACCAAATGGTTGTAGATCAGAAAGTCGCGGGGTAGTCTGAGGAGCGTTCTTAGCATGAAGCGGGTCTCAGAAGCCCCTGTATATTCTCCCATATATGGTCGTATATTGTCATCTTCCGTCGATCCGTCTGGCGTCCGGTGTCCACTATAGGCTAATGTCAATATGAAATTGACTTTAAATTTATACACTGTTAAGGTCATTAGACGAAAAGCCTATTGCTTTTCGATAATTACTGCCAGAGTTATGATCCTTGATTGCTTTGGAAATTTTTGTGAACACTTGAAATTTATAAACGGTGCTTTAGCTAATCCTATAGATTTTAAACGATTTTCAAAATTCTTCCAGAGTTATAGCCCTTTGAAAATCTTTTGGTCAATCTAGAGTCTTAAACACCGATAATTGGAATCTACGCTGGAAAATCCCTAGAACTTTTCTCGACAAATAACGGGATCGAATCCGAGACCTGTCATTTAGAGACGGAAATGGAGTGAACAATTCCCCTGAGAAGAATGAGAGATTCAAGTGGTACTAAGGGCTTCTACTACCTTCAATATATTCTCCCAGGCGTTGTTTAATATTCTCGAAAATATGCTTCAAATTGACCCTGTCATACATGCCTGAGCAAACCACAAAGGGAATATTTGCGGGAAAAAAAATCCACAAATTTTAAAAAAAGAAGGTATTTTCTGTTTGTTTATTTTAACTAATTCTATACAGTTTATTGCTTATAAGAATACATTTAAATGTTACAATTCATCTCTTGCACTTCGTTTTTATAAAGCTACAAATTAATTGTAAATATATTTAACAAAAGAAAATGTACAATTCCTAGGCGAAATAGTATCATATTTTTCAACTCAAAAAGTTGCTGTTCATGTTGACTTAAACCAAGACGAGAGTCGTTTCCGCCTGTATTAAACATTTTATAAACCATAAACAGGTAAATCTGCTTATTGCAGATCTTTCTTTGGGTCTGAAATGTTATATAAGTTTTTAATTGGACATTTATTTACATGACAAGACCATAATCAACCATCGATGCCATTGGATGGCTCCGATATTAAGTAGATTTGAATTGTTCGACCATTAAATGATTTAATAGGCCTTCGCCCAAAAGAATGTAATTTGAATAAAATTTTCAATATATTCATTTTGCATTATCTATTTTTGAAATATTGTAGCGAAAAAGGCTAAATCTTTATCTAAATCTTACATAATACCCCTTTAATAAAAAGGTAACAGCAATCTAATAGCATAGGACCCCATCTTGCATTTGTTCCGATCTAAATGAACACTCTCTGATATATTTTAGTGTATTAAACTGGTTAAGTCGGCTTGAAAGTCTTTCAGTCTCAGAGAAACACGTTTTTAATCCTTTGTTTGGGGCACAGTCATCTTCTTCATATAAATGCAAATGTTCAGTTTCCATGTGGAGTTGGTGGTAAGTCTCCAAATTTCAGGCTATATTTAATATTTCAATACTCTTTCACATTTAGACGTTTACTTTGCATATACTTAAATCCAATATTATATTCTAACTTTACTTCATCTAAGGCCAGAGAGCAACGACGAATGCACTGCACTTTGAAATATATATAAAGGCGACTGCAACAAAAAATTACATTTATCTCTCTTATCATTCCGGAATTTTAATACGTCTTAAATATGCTTTAATATTTACAATAAATCATTTCTATCTTACTGTGCGTATGTACATTATTCATCTAAATTTTAAAAATGCGACGTCTAGCTCTTGGCGTGATAGGGCACAAAGATGACGTTTACAACTTTAACCTAACATATATTATTTACTGTGTCACTTTCTTAAACTATCATAATAATTAGCCAAGTCACATTTATGATTCATTAACTACAATTTGGTGTCTAACTTGTCTCAATCTATCTTCTAAAATTACAGATTGTAGGAATGTTAAGAATTTTAAAGTTTCTTAAAACAATCTGACGATGTGCTACACCCTCAAAAATAACAGTTTCACATGATCAAATAGAAATTAGTCAGAATGAAGAATTAAATAATGACGAATCCAAGGATTTTATTATTTACAAATCCCGGCTCTATGCCGTAAGTAATCTACTGTCCTTATTAAAACTAATATATTTGACTTGCTAACTTTAATTTGTGGTTTTTCGTTATATTCAACGACCTGTCATTGTAAGACATTGTATTCTATCTATAGCCCGTTCTAAATATTCTAATTCTCCTCGCAAATCTCTTGTAACGCTGTGAAGCATGTCTTTATTGTTGAGAGTCTGTACTGTTTGAGTATACGGATCATAACGGACTTCATATGGTCTACGGATATTTGCAGCATAGTTCCTGAAAAGAGAAGAAACACGTTAAAAATAGCACGTACCGTTGCAAGGCAGTACACGCATCCTATTAGTCAAAAGACGCCACATACGACGTAACATTGAAACTGAAAATGATATATCATTTCTGCGCCCAATAAGTTTAAACATAAAATTGATCAGCCTGAACCACGAACCTATCAGGTTGAAATTGAGAATTATATTCCATTCCGACGCCCTATAAGCTTATACCGAAAATTGATCGGGCCGACATGCCTCATCTGTACATAGCGTCGGTCAGGAATTAACTAGTTCTATCTAACATGTTGCTAGTTCTGAGAAAAATGAGTGTCGGTACCCGTCAGGGCCGGCAGAAGCAATTCTTGATTGCTGGGGGGTGGGGGCGCTACCCTCCTAGGGCTTTAGACGACGGTCCAGGGGCCGCCCAGACCCCGGAAGCTCCCGGGGTTCTTGATACTTTCTGGCTAATGAGCAATGAAGTGAAATTTTATTTCATTTCTAAATCCCTTACCATGCAAACACAGTCGATGGTCGTTTCCTGTGATGCTGAACTTGACAAATATATGCATAATAATACCAAAGGTTGTGGACACTCTAGAGGTCACAATTTTTATACGGACCGAAACAGCCCGACAAAATGGCCGCTACATGTAATACCCAGATCGTGGGTCATCCAGAGGTTCGAATTTTGATATATCCCAAAGGCATGGGTTCCTTTCGATACTGCCGCGTAAATTTCTGAATTATAACCCCTGATTCTACGAAACATCACGTTTTGAGCTTGTGGACACTCTAGAGGTCACCATTTTTATCTTTTTTTCAAAACCGACCAAATATATCACCGTTACATCATAATTATGGTTGAATTCAAATTTTCCTGAAGATCGGACCGAAATTTTCAGTCAAATCGCCACTCCCCTTTACGCAAATGGTATAAAAGCATGTAATACCCAGGTTGTGGACCGATTAGAGGTCAGAATTTGTATTCCGATTTAGATGAACTTAAAATGAGTATCACTAGCACTTTGATGATTTCAATTTTGGTTCGCATTGCCCCCCCCCCCTTTCCTGTAATATGAATGAAGTTTGTGAACCTTCCTGGGGCTACAATTTTTTTTTCCGATTCATGAAATGAAACTTAAACTAGGACCAAAAGTTCTTGGATGAGTTCGACTTTGGTACGCATCAGACCTTACCTATATAGCCTCTGATTTTTACGCAAAATGTGAAATATATATGAGTTTTTAGGCCCTCCAGTGGGGCTACAATTGTTGTCCCATTCTGATTAAACTTAACAAACATGTTAAGGATCAAAAGATCTTAAATGAGCGGATAAGCCCTATTGATTTTACCTCTTCCCCATACATTTTATGGAAAATGTGGGCGTATTTTGCATGGCAACCGCTTGTTTTAACTGATCATAACTGATAGCAGTGAATTATTTGATAGATAAGGGACACAGAGAAAGACTGTGAGAAAAACTCTATACCGTCGGTTTTTAATTACCTAATGCCCTAATCGGTCATAGATACAGCGGAAGTGAGATGGGGTTGAAATAAAGATCGACTGCTCGGTTAACTAATCGTGATCCTCGCAACTGGGAGTCTCTTTACCCAGGGATCAGTATAGAGCATAACAGGGTTTTCTTCTGAAAGTCGACGTTCTAGCGGTCTCACTTCTATGTTAAAATCAGACCTTGTTGCACATAATGGCATAATTACGGACATAACGGACTGCCTGTATCCATACTAACTGACAGAAATATAGAATCCCGAAAGGTCACACACAATTTCCTGAGAAATATAGACTTTTTTTTATATATAAAACTAGTTAATTCCCGGCCGACGAGTCCAAACTGAAATTATCAAACTAAGGAAACTTTGACGTCGGGAAGAAGTTATATCGTATGAAAAAGTAAACAGTTTTTGTAAGACATCATACACTCTGCCCGGGTGACTGTGACAGGTTATTAATACGTCACGAAATGATTGGTATCATGTGTTCTTGAAAGTGTTCTAGAAAGAGTTAGCTAGGTTTTCTGGGGAGTTAGCAAGGTATGGTAGAGAGTAATTCGGGTTTTCTACATTCAGCTGGCTACATTTGTTGAAGGACATGTTATGAAACTGATCAGCAGTAAATATTCGCTTAGCCGCTTCTATCACTGTCAGGGGTGACGTCGGGACGAGTTAATTAGTTCTTAATATTAACTTCTTTTCTGTAAATTAAATTCCGAAACAATTTATGAATATTTCCTGTTTGGTAAAATGGGTACATAAAACAGTAAACCAAGGCACAAAATGAGTAAAACGCACCAATCTGCACGGACCGATGAAAACAACGCACGTTTTATCGATGCAGTGTGATATGAAGTCACCTATCGACTGTTCCTGCACGTGATCTTAAAGGTCAGTCACCTTTCACAGAGTTAAAACAAGGCTTTCGCATTACCACTATGAAACATATATGTATATTATAGAACCTCTACCGCCACCTCCCTTAAAGGAGGCAAGTCTTTAACTCAATATCAACCAGTCTTCGACATTGCAAACATGACTTATTGGTCAATTTTAATCCACATTGATGTTGTTAGCTTACCGTAAAAAGATGGGCTACTGATATTCAATAAAAATGTTTTAAATTGGCACGCGAATCGCGTGTCAGAATATTTTCGAGTGCCATTTGTAATGAAGCTACTCAATGAACGAGGCTAAACATACCCCATAGGAGAACACCACCGGTGTAGAGCGGAATAATCCGGGGCCAAAGACTGCATTCAATTCTGCGTATTTCGCAGAACATAGGTGATTAGAAATTACAGTAAAAACGCAAACGATTTAATGTAAATCCGTTTATATACATTCATATTACATTATTATATGCGTTGCGACCCATTTGTGTCCATTTCTAGGTGTCAAAGAATAGGGATTAAGGGCCTGGATAAGTAATCATGTTTATCTTTTCTGGCAGACGTAATTATTCGTGCTGCATTTCATTTTAGCATATCTTAACGACCACAACTTTTTTGTGTTTCACCTAAATCGTTATTTATTGCTACAGAATTGAATAATGAAATCAATATACAGTTGAGGTATTTAAATCTATATATGGAATGGAATCATATTTTAAACTCCCTTTTACATGTAACCGGTGGAGTTTTTTTCCCCATGTCAACTCTAATGTACCTCTTTATTTATGGCTTTTAAATGGTGCATTTTATAAAAAGGTTAACCGAGCCACCACACAACACGTGTGTCTCTGGAACTAATTAGAGTTCCATGTTGGCGGAAACGTGAGAAAAATCAAACGATACAGTTTCATGGAGATCGATATTATTATTGTATTTATTCGACTCGCGATATTCGTGATTTTTTATCCTTAACGGAGCAGCATGAGGTAAAGAGACTCGTCCACTACGTCATTATATTGCGATAATCGATATCGATCCAATATCTTGATTGCAGAGAGCAAGTTAAAGCGTGTTTGATGTTCACTGTATAAGAATACAATTAAAATTTCTCAATGCGGAACGAATAATAGACAATTATTTATATCAATTCCCAATAAAGAAACATGTCAATAAAAAATATTTTTCTTTGAAATAAATCTTAGTGGAAGATATCAATAGGCATGTTTTATTATACTGATGATAACGACAGTGATGGATGTAGGGGACTAGACAGCTTACCCTTTTCAGAACACCAGGTACTACTGTCGTTATGATCTGTCGAGCACTTTGATTTGGATCCGTTGCATTTTTTACAGCTAGTGGTGCAGGGTGGCGGGTCTGGCATCTATTCGTTCTGATGGGTTGAAAAATCTGGGTCCCGTGTACAGAACACTTGATAGTTGCCGCTGCCCGGGCAAAATTTCCTTCGTAGCACACAGTATGGCGTATACCTATCTTCATTAGCCCAGTCAGTGCAGAAAATTAGGAAGTTAAACCCCATTTCATTTCATTTCACTGCATTTTATATTTTGATTTGTTTCCCGGGAAGACAATCTGTTTTCGTTGACTACATTCAGATGTAACCAATTTTGTGTTCCGCAGTCGACACATTAAACCACAAATGAATCTCAAGTTAGTAAATAAGCATAGACCTTATCCTATCACTAATCTAAAGAAATAGTACAATAGATCAGATCAACCCAGTCCAATTCTTTATTTGGACCTTAATAGAGGAAAGTTTCACTCCTTTAATAATAGTAATGGAGAAATAAAGTAAGGCGTACCTCATTTTATCCATCATATCTTCAAATGATTCAACGACATAGAAAATAGGTTGAAGATCTTGATCTGTATATTCTTGTAGAGATGTCTTTACTGGATCAAATGCTCGTCTTTCTGGTGTATCGCCCAGAGCATGAAGAAGTTCTCCATACGATGATAAAACTGCGGCACCATAAGCTCTGATCTGCCCTCCTTGCTTACACAAACCAAACTCAATAGTAAACCAGTACAGCTATAAAATAAAGGCTCTAATTCACTGGCTAGCTCCCCAACTTAAGAGTCCGTTAAAAAAACGACAACATTTTATCTATAAAATATGTCCATGGAAAGTTTTACCACAAAAAATGACCTCACAGCGATACACTCTTACAAATTTGATCTATAGTGGCAAGGGCAAATGGGGGGACGCGTATGGTTAGCGCGTGTGCGTTGTATCTATATCGTAGCAATGATCTATGTGTTAAAATCATATTTGGAACGTGTTTAACCAGTTCTATCACATATGTGATAATGACTGACGCCAATATTGTCCTTTAAAGAGTAAGTCACTGGTCCACCAAGCAGGAGATCCTAAGTACAGACAAAATTTGTAACATACGTAATATTTCTAAATCAAAATATGAAACAGAGAACGTCGAAAATCTAACTAACGGCGATAAAAGCTATAACACGATGGTAGAAAACTATAGAATAGAATATAATAGAATATAATAGAATGGTATTGCATCGAAACTAACTTTGATGGCAGCATTAAATATGTAAATGTGAAAATTAAAAGAAAACATCTTATGTTGCTGTTCGAAATCCTATGAATATCTATAATAAAAAGCTTAATTGTAATGCCATCTATAATTCTTACCGTTGCAAACTTCTCAATATCTTCATCCGATGCCCCTAGTGAATTTAAACCAAGCTCCTGTGAGAACTGGGCAAATCCTGGATCGGCTAACATTGGTACGTGACCCAATAATTCATGAATACAATCACTAAAAGATCAAAGAAATATCAAAATTACATATTTAACAGGTAAGGCCCTTACATCACTATTAACATATACATTTGTAATCTAATCGAAAAGTTCCGTGGTCGCATGCATGTACATTATTGTATTGTTGTATTGATAAATTACGCCATATAGATATGGATCCATATGAAAGAATTTTTTTGGGAATGGCACATCCCGGGTCCTATAATACTATAGCAGATCTAAAGTTAAAATAAGGACGAACTCTGTGTACTCACGGTTCCGGGGTGTAATCTGGTTTAGATCCATGTCTAACATACTGGGTACACTGAAATACACGGAATGCCAGGGAGGCGAGAAAATCACGAGCTGTCAGTAAACCTGATACCGGTCGTAGTTGAAACCCTGTTTTACCTAAAATAAACAATTGTTAAACATAGAAAATATAAATAGGGCTCGGGATATATCCGCGACTTTATTTGAAATCGAAGACACGGGTAGAGGCAAACGTAACAGTACAGTGTCAGAACATCAAGAGCTATCAGTAAATCTGATAGTAGTTGAAGTGCTGTTTTACCTAAAATAAATAATTGTTTTAAATAAACAAAATTAGACGTAGGATATATCTGCGACATTTTTAAAAAAAAAACCAAAAAAAAATGTAGCTTCCTGCCCTAGAGTCTGTGATCGACGGAAAATACATTTTAGTAGAGCATTTAATATTGGCAGCGATACCCTTCCATACTCGACAGCCTGTCTGCGACAATCTTAGAAATATCAGACATTCTAAGCAGTAATAAACCAAATTTTTAAAAGCCCGTAATGGTATGGTAATCTGATGTTGTTCGTAAGAGATTTTCTCAGTGAAAATCTTTATTTTAAAGTGTGCATTCGAACCCAAAAAACACACGAACCCAAAAAACTAATAAGTTTGAAAAAGAATTGATTATTAGAATTAAAGTTACAATTTCATATTTTCTAAGAAAGTCAAAACATAATTATTTCTATGTCTTTTGCTCAATAGGTTGTCAACTTATTATTATACGATCTTTCTCACACTTAAAAATCTTCACACCGGAAATAATAACACAATTACCTCCGAATTACCTCCCTTGTTTTCTATTCCCCCACCATGGAATAGCTATCTCCAAACGTTTGAATTTGAAGTTGAAAATGATATTTTTGCCAATTTATCAACTGGCAATAGTGATTTATAGGATTAATAGGACTGTTTATAGATATCATCTATTTTAGGGCTTTATTTTAATACATTTTAAAAATATAACTTAAAAATATGAAATTGTAACTTTAAGTAAGAACTTACGTTTTAAGAAATTAGATATATCCTCTAACTGAGGTATATTATCTGCTGTATATCCACATTCATCTTCTAAAACTTGAAATATATCGCGATGTATCTTACACGCATGGGTGGGAAATAACTTCTTTAACTGACGGAAAACATGGCCCCTGAAAATAAAATTTGTGTAGGACTTGATAAAAGCTTTTATTCAGAATGTGCGCTTTAATGACAGAACTGGTTGACAAGTCTTCTGTTCGGTTTTCTTAACTAGATTGTCATGATTGTACTTAATGCATATTTCGGAAAATATCTAAATTTTCAATACTTACTTCATGCTAAATATACTCATATTGAATATTTAACACTGCATTAAGAAAACGAACCCAAGCAATTAAGTCTGACGAGTTTGCAGAAGAACTCGCGAACATATAGATTTCAAAACAAATTTTTGGCCGAATGTTGCAAAATTTTCAATTCATGAACCATTTTCTCCCGAATGAAGATCAGCGTCTTTAAAGGGGGGTACCGATTGATCGGGATGTGTAAAGATGGTATTAGAAGCCAGTGGATGAATGATGACGATCGACCGAGTTATATGGTCCTCGAATTAATTGAACATGGACTGTCAACATTAGTGTACAATGAAATATTTTGGTTTGTTAGTCTCTGTTTAAAAATGACATCAACCTACCATGTGTTGATATCTTCCTGTGTATATTCTACTCTTGGAATGGGATCACCACTGAAAATAACATACAATAATACCAATTAAATTAAAGATGCATTATACAAGAGCTAAATACGTCTACTGCAGATTTTTCTTCTGTCTCCAATTGTTGTCTAAATTATTATTTAGACATTTATTCACAATATAAAGCCGATAATCAAATCTCTAGAACATCGAATGACTTAGATATTGAATGGATTAAACAATGTCCACCATATCTTCGTTAAACGATAATATGGCAGCGCTCAAGGTGATGGCCGATTGGATGACTGAAAACCGAGAGTTTGTTTTTTTATCACGGCAATGGTACTTGACAATCGGCAATCGTCGTAAGCAATTTAGGGTATTTCTTGTCAAAACTTCTAACATTCATAACTTTGCCCAGGATAAAGTACTTGGACTGACATTTTCAATATATTCATTTTTGAGCTATATTAGCAAGAACCACATGCTCCTTGTTTAAATCTTACGCGATGCCTCATTTCCAAAGACTTGGTACTGCTTCTCCTTTGGGAAGTCTACGAAGCTGGTTGGACTATTATGTACTATGTATACTGTCAATCGATTGAGTAATAGTCTGGTGGGTATCACGCGAGAGGTAGTGTACGATTACAATTTACGAAACACCTACTAATTACATAGGAACTTCCGACAAAGTCCAGTAATATAACACTATTGTATTGACTTTTAAATTGAATACTCTTTACAATCGATGGCATTATTTAACATTTTGTTCCTAGAAATTAAAATTGTCAGGTTTCATGTTTTGGCCGAGACGCCACCAGACAAATGATGTGCACATAAACAGTGAAGCAAATGTTTCTGAAAGGGCACTCAACTAGTAAGCATACCACACATCATGCATGTGTTATACTGCTTGTACCTACAAGATCAAAGAAAACAACAATTGAAAGCAATTTAGAAACAACATGTACGCCAATACCAATTAAACAGGGTTTTGAAACTTACTGTTTATAATCAAAGGCAATATCTGCTATCTTCTGTCTTCTGTCACGATAGTCTTTATCCGTATAACCCTGTAACAAATAGCACATCATACAAACCAAAACTATTATCAGAGACCAATCAGGGGCCTGTTTCACGAAATTTCAACTAAGATAAAATACAAATTTTAGTAATTTGATTGGATAATATTAGATTGATTTTAGTGCTTAGCCAATCAAAAGTGAAGTATCTACTAAACTTTGGATTTTATCTTTAGTTAAGATTTTGAGAAACAGGGCCCAGGTGTATAATCTTTAACGTTATGACCATTGACTGTTTGAGAAGGGTTCAAATCTTGTTTTAGATGCGACTTGTCAGTCCGAGCGATCGAAGAACCGAAGTTCCTTGTATACCATGGCAGCACTTTAAAGATCACATGAAAGTTGCTGTCAGAGCAACATATATCCCACAACACACTGCATGGCATCAGCATGGGCTGAGCATGGCGTATGCCCGCATTCATTAACCCGCTTGGTGTAGAAAAGTAACACTTTAAACTCGATTTCAACTATCTTAGGGGCAACATTGATTTTGAGTACCAATTAATCACTTCTGTAATCACTGTAATAAAACTCAGATTACTTACCGGATGATCTAAATCAAGCTCGGGTTCAAATTTAGAAATAAGATGAGTACATTTATCAAGTTCAGAGATATGTCGTGGAAACCAGATTTCTGAAAGTAAAAGAAAAATGTACCAGTTAATAATATTAAACCTTAAAGGGAAGTAATAACTGTTCATTCTTATTACATAAACTTAAACAGGCTTTAATTGAGAATAAACCCAAAAGATAAATAAGAATGAACGAAAAGGACAAAAATTTAGGAACGAAAAGGACAACTGAGAAGGAACTAAATGAACAAATAAGTAGGAACTAAAAGTACAACAAACGGTGTTTGAACGCCAAATGGATAAATAAAAACGGTCAGAAAGGGCAAATAAGTAAAAACTTAAAGGACAATAAACTATTTTGGAAATAAAAGAACAAATGAAAAGGATCTGAAAGGACAAATAAGGGCAATAAACGATTTTGTTTGAGTCAGAAGAACAAATGAAAATGATCAGAAAGTGTAAATCAGTAGGAACTAAAAGTGTGTGGGGGGCACAAAGGATATTATCTAAGTCAACTATTTTAATTCATTGTACCGCGACCATCTTCAGATTGCTCAAATTTCTTTGTGGGATAACAATTTGCCTTCATTGAAAATTTAATGTCTATATATGGATTAAACCAATTTTTGGGATATGTTCCGCTGCTGACATTGCAATCCGAAAATTAAATTTCAAATTAGTACACAAACCTATTTCCGCTTACTATTTCGAAACACTTGCCACATCAAAAATTGAAATAATACATCATATCAATCTGATTTACGTGTTTTTGGCCTAAATCAAGGTCAAGTACCGACATATTAAAGTGCGCGTTTTGAACAGTTTGGTTGAATGACGCATATGTGTAATAATCTAGCATCTATATTATTGGGAGGGTTATATATATTGTCTCACCTGGTTTATTTTCTGGACTCGATTCACTGATTATATCAACACCCGAAACTTTACTATGCTTCTGTATATTAGTTGTGGCGGCTGTTACGCCATCTTTCTTACCAGAACATAACAAAAACACTTCTGAATGGGCGTCGGATTTACGTGATTTTCTTGTTTCAATGTGCTTTATTGTAATACGAAAGTTCTGAAATTAAATTGAATTATGATTATTTAAATGAGACCATTGTTCAGTGTACAAGTTGAAATAGGAATAGATTCTGTAGTTGGTGCAAATAAGAAAAGTCATCAGAAGTCAAACTATCGACTATCGATGGTCTGATATTGTTGAATTATCATGATGGGCGAAATACCTATATATTTGTATCACAGATTTAATGTGGACATGTCTTTTTTGTGTGTGAAATTGGGACTTTTAATTGATTTGGTAAGAACAATTTACATCGTTTTAAACTATTATAAGATCTGCTTGGGTACTGTATTATATATTGTGTATGCTAAGGTACTATTTTGTTGCTTGTGGAGCCAACAAAGCCAATGTTTACGCTATGAATCAACTTTGCTCTAAAAAGATGATCAATTCCAAAGAATAAGTAGGAATAAGTCAGTCCAAAAACAGGAAATAGACATGAAACAGAGCTAAAAGGCGCGAACTTCTCCATTAATTAATATGAATAGCGACCGAACAATCAGACAAAAAACACCTTAACTTCTAAATTCATTCTAGGTTCATGTAGCCTCTTGTTCATCTCTATCAATTTAAAATGGCTTATGGTCATTGTGAAGGAAAAAAAGTATCATAATCACACGCTAAGGTTCACGATCTTTTGATATCGTCTGAAAGATTCATGAAATTTAGATAGGTTTAATCGCTCGTGTGAGAAAAAACAGCGGCCATATTTGAGCTTGGCTTAGTTCCGAGTGAAAATGTATGTCCCGGAAATTCAATGACATTTAGTCTGAGTTGACTAATGCGTTTTTATTTTAAGTATCGACAATATTTGGAAAATTGGGTTTAATGGATGTCACTACAATAGAAAGAAAGTTAAGATAAATGTTCACTCTCATTATAAGATTATTAGGTCTCCAAGATTTTTTTCAAGCGATTCCAATCACGTATCGACTGCACCATTCGTTCAGAACTTTTAAAACCACATGTACGTTTTATTTTCGTAAAAGATAAGGGTGTCATCTCAGGACACTGGTACATTTTACACGATGTAATTGAATACAAATTTAAATCGGAATCAATTCGTGAACTTTACAGAGATTCCTCATGACATACAAAACTAACATCTAGATTCCTAGTAGAGTCTGAGTAAAGAGCGCCAAATGACAAATACAGACGTGAACCCGTTCCATTCACCAGTGATCGAAAAGGATCGAGACAATTTTCACCGGAAGCACTTAATCGATTGTATTAGTGCGCTTTGTATGGATGACGGTGACTTGAGAAATTCGGCGAATTGAAGAAACGGAATTTCTGTTTCCGTCTCGTAAATAATTGAACCTGCCTCCATCTTTAAATAATTGCTTCGAGTCTAAAATGAATTCTGGACATTGAATATCCGTAGGAAGCGGAAATGAAGGCAAGGCGTTTAGAGGATAGAAATGTATGGTCGACTAAATCACATCAAGCGACATCACAGATTTATAGAGCGTATGCAGACCAGCTACGGTGACTTTTGAAGGCCTACAGTAAGTTTCAGTTTGGTGTTAAACAACCACCGACCGAATCCTTAATAATTTCAGCTATTACATACATGTTTCTAATCCATTTGATTATGAGTAGGCCCTACAAATTGTTTTGTTATTCCTATTATGGAAAAGTACGAAGTTTTCTGAGGGGGGCATATGCAAATCATAGATAGCAAATCACCGGCCTTCGCTTCCCCTAAACCTGTGTAAACCAGTTTTTCAGCAAATAGAGGTAGAATTCAATCTGATTTAAACACAGATCCTATTTCGTTTCGTTTTTTTATAGTTCAAAATGTCGTTTTACTTGTCTTTACTACACTAGGAACCGGAAGAGTTGTTATATTACCAGCGTTCTGGTTAAAGTTAGGGATTAGCCAATGAAACGTTCTGTTACGGTGAGTTCTTGGCGTGCGATGCACGGAATTGTGGGTAAACCACGCTGATTATTAAACAATATCTGACGTCATAAGGTCAAAAGCCACTGATGCGACCTTCCAGTACAACCGGTCAGATCTTCATGTAGTGTAGGACATTGAAAGTATAAAAAACGAAACGAAATATTGATCTGTATTTTAATCAGATTGGGGTAGAATTATGATTTTTCCAAGATATATTATAAGGTTTTTCGATCAAATGGAGAGTTGACGGAGAAAAAATTCACACATAACTTGATTTAATAAATAGTTATTCAGATAAAGTGTATTTCAATTGTATTTTAAAATTAATCATAAACAATCAACTGAGCCCAGGCACCAACCAACAAAGCAGTTACAGTATGCAGGGGTCGGGGTGGGCGTTACTGAAACTTTTGCCCTGGGGCGCCACATAGGCTTGTGAGGACCCGGCTCTGAGTATGGTAATCCATCCTCGAGCCACAGAGCTTGTTCATTCTTTAGTTTCACGAATTCACATATCTTGCTAAATATGTAATGCGGTCGTAGTTTCGATCCCTGGTGTGAGCGTATCTGACTTGAGTTTTCTCCGGGTACTCTGGTTTCCTCCCACACAAAATATCCCGACGCGTACGCAATGCATGATAGAATAAAACAACTTGTCTACGATATCACCATAGGTGGAAGCGGACGTTAAACACTAATAGAAGAAGACGTATGATATTTATGTTAGTATCGCAACATAATATTTTATAAAGTCTATTCTACTAATATCCCTACGAAGAGAATTTCTGGTTAATACACGTAATGTATGTCCTGAATATTGCAGGGGTGTCGAAAATTACAAAATTATGGACACTCTGGGCCTCCATTACTGGGCCATATATGTGCTGTGAGAGAAATATTGCCCGGACAAGCTAACGCGTCACCCGACCTTGACAAGGGAGGAGGGGTGGGGCACACCGGAAAATCCCCTAAGAACTTTCGAGACCAACAGCGGAATCGAACCCGGGGCCTCCATATTAGCGAGCCAGCGAATTACTCACTATATAGTTATTGATAAACGCTTGTCGTAAAATGTTGTCGATTTAAATCTCTGAAAAGCCACTTAGCATCTCTTCACGTTTCATTGTTTAACGGGATTGACGTTGTAATTGCTGCAACCATCTCTTGATACTGACTATATAAAGTCAATACCGATGTAAGTAGATCTTTATTTAAATAAAAAAAAAACCTTAATGGCGAAGGCAACTCATATTTTCAAGTCACGGATGCACTTGTTAACTTTGATAATGCCAGCGCCTATACAGATGTTTAAGGATTCCTGAAAATCGAAGTCATATTGTTTCATTTTCATGTAACTTTGGTAACGTCGCGTATATCTGTTTCTATGTGTGTATATAGTATTATGATATATATGTACACGTGAGAAAAGATAATGACTCATCTTGTCCACTACATAATTACATGTATTTGCACATTACAGAGTGAGGCACAGATTGGGAAAATTAGAATTTCGTATCGTTTGTTATCTGATATTGTACTATTTTTAGAAAAAAAACGAACGAAAATGTAATCTGATTTTTAGTAGATTGGAAGAATTAGCAACCTATTGAATACAAAGGGAGGGCCTTTCGGCACATGCAAATCCTTATAATTACATGTATATTCCCCGGATTGCTTTTCTGAAAAAGATATGGAGTTTTCTGGACGTAGACAGTGGAACCCTGGGGTTGCGGGAAAGTTACTACAATAATATCACGCACATTAAAATTTGGCAAATAGTTTTCCATGCTTACCTCAAACAGACTTATAATTGGTCCAATATTAGTCGAGCCGTCTTTCAAAGATAAAATAATCCCAAACGTTAATTTGTTGGATTTATCTGAAGTTACGATGGCATCACCATTCACAAAAACATCCTCTTCCTCACTTATAGAATCTCCTTTACTGTGTATCTTCTCTCTTTTTTCAAATTCGAGATTTGACAAAGTTTCAAATTTGGCATCATCAATTAAACTTTTTCTTCTCCAGCCACCATGCTGAAAAACAAAAACAAAGGGGACACAAGAATTAACACAGGAACGCTAAACTACTTCATGATCAAGCTTATATAATATAGTTTGAATCTGCTTGTTTTGGGAGTTTTGCGGTTTACATACTGTCGGTGTTTTACGGTAAGACTGTTCGACGTTAGGATGCAATGGGACTTAAAGCCAACCGCTTGAAGACGTTCGTTTGAACAGACAGAAGATCATAGCTGATTAGTAAGTTAGAAACATTTAATTATAAAATAAACTGTGTGCTATAAAATATCGAACTTATAAATTATACACAAAAATCACCATTTTCCTTTTTGACGTGATAAAAAGAACACCGGTCTTCGAGGAATCTGAGTTAAAAATATAGAATTCTAAACAGTAATCCATCATATAAGACACAGAAGTTGGTGTATTTTGATTTTATAGAAACGATCGAGACGAGAATTAATTACACGTATTAAAAGGTAAATTAGTTGAGGGATTAATAGGGTGGTATGATCAATACCCAAGTTATCCCCCTTGTTGGCCTGCTGGCCTATGATCATCATATAGACATGAAGCAATAAGCTAGCGCCATAAACTGTTATATATTCCATTTATTTAAACAGATTTGAAGCAAGCAAACAATAATTATTATAAATCACTGTCTGTTTGCTTTCAATTAGTAGAAATGAAGTCGTGGTTGTATGAATTCGGACCATAGGGAAATGAAGTAATATTTGATATGTAGTCTCTTGAACCAATAATACAACACGGTTTAAATCTGTTTCTTTTGTTTTCATTTTTTTGTCTTAACGATTTTTCGATAATATTTTATGCCTTGGCGTGATAGTGCCTTAAGGATGATTGTCCCTAATTGACGTGTCATTCAGCAATTTATCCACAATAATAGAACTTAGTTATATAACTGCACGTTATACAATATGTCGCCACTCCTATTTGGTTAGTTCTAGTTTCACATGAAAGCCTTGTAATAAGAGAACAGGTTTGTTTTTTAATACAACCTACAATAGTATTTTTGATTAAGGGTGAATAACGGATAGATTCCATTGAAGAACAATATAAGGTCGTATTATTTTAAATTATTCATCGGCGCTACGGTGAGATGGTGAGATTGGTGTTTTTTCTTTCACCTCCATTTTTAATTACGTGCATTTTAAAAATTGTATGGGAAGATAAGATCTAAATAATTGTAGAAAATAAAGGCATTAAAATAGTTTCTATATAACATATACGGACAGTTTAATTAAAACAGGGTTAACGTCTATTCAACACAAACTAGGTTATTTTGAGACTAGCATATGGTACATCTTTATTTAAATAATCCGCGTGCGCGTAGGTGTCCTATTTTGATGTCATTTCATGGCCTACACTTGAGTTCAGATATTCTTTTCATCCGAACATTTAGATTTTTCCTTTCCAGACCCTCGGTAAACAAAGTAACAAACTAGTTGTTTTTTCTCAGAGGCCATAAGCGTTTTCTTTTAACCATTCGCCTGTGTTTTCTCCGGGTTCTCCGGTTATCTCCCACGGCCGAGGAATCCCCCACCCTCCACGCAAGTAAATTATTGTAGGATACAATGATTTTTCGATCAGGGATAAGCCGATCGTTCTTTCACTAAAAGTGCTCTCAGATAATAAAATAAAAACATTTTTAAAAAGTCTTGCTGGAAATAAAGGTTTCCTTAACATTTCCATTGAAAGGTGGTGTTAAAAGGTTGGGGAAATGAGCTTTTACAAGAAAAAGGTCAACATCAAACTATGTAAATATATAAACACTTGTAATTTACCTGCCAGGTAAACTCACAGTCAGTTTGTTTTCAGTTTTATTGTTCACTGTATTGAATATGAAATTACAATACAATATGAAATGTGAATATTATGGATGGGAATGTTGTATTTATCGTGATATTGTGTTGTTTAGAATGTTTATATAATTTCACAGCAATAAATGCCATTTTATTACTAATATAGCGATATTGACAAAATAAATATCAATCAAAATGTAATTATAAAAATCGAAGTAGTGGCAGATTAACCTAAGCGTATAGAAGCGGCCATATTCAATATTAAGTTTATTACTTGTGGTGTATTATAATCGGTGGTGGTTCATTCAGGTAGAACTAATATTCAACTTAATGCTGACATCTTCGATTTCTGATATCCACTTTATTTCTAAAGATAAAGTTGGCATTTATTTACGTACGAGATTTGATATTGACTAACGAGGTGCTGAATGAGCTTTTTAGATTAAGAAATCATCTCAGATATAAGTGATAACGGGTTTCGTTCATATTATATAAATGGCGGGGGAGTGGGGGTGCATGCGCTTTATATGGCACCTGCTAATATTGTAGCTTTAATTAAACGACTGGACCCACGACTCCGCTATTAGGCTTTAGTCCCAGGATCGTCTTCCACCCAGAAATGCATTCAGTCTGAAAGTCCCTGGGCGGGATTCGAGCGATATAAGAATCCCCAGCAAAAACAATATATTATGAAAGTTGAATCGTTAGGAATATCAGTCGACAAATGGTAAACTTCCGTTCAGTATTTACAAATCTATGGTAAACTGAAATTCCATCGATCTAATTTGTTTCCTTTGTAAACAAGCAAACCGCCATCTTTATGTTTCGAGAAATATAATTGCTGGGCCTGTTTTTAATCAACCTGGGTATATTTTAGCGTGGATTAAGCCATGAGAGATATGATTTATTCCGAGTAAGAAACTTTGTTGTCCGCGAGACAAATTGTTGGGTTTTTTTCGTCTAGAACACCTCTTACCAATTATTCTTTCAAAATTTCACATCGCCAGTCAAGTTTTGTAGTACATGCACTTATATTTATATATATTGATATAAAATAGTATTATTTGCAGTAGTCTAAGTAGATACTATTGCCCTTGTGTTTTAAATTCCAAACCAATACGAGATTTGAATATCAGAGCCCATTACAGGAAAAAAAATGAAACCAGCACAGTAAAGTATTTTTAAACGTGTTCAACAATTTGCTGAGTGTTGTTTTACCACTTTGAACCAAAACAAATCAAGACTGCTTAAGTAACGTTAAATATAGAGTACGACAATAGCTTCACCCTCTCTTCGATGCAATCAATTAATTTTACCTGTCCATAAAGTTATTTTCCATGTTCAATTCACCACGATAATTAGAGATGTACTTTTTACAATGAAATTCTAATATTCTAAGAGCATTTTCAAATTTCCAATGGTTTTGCCCGGGTTCGATCTTTGTGTAGTATTCAACTTATATAACATTAAACAATTGTGTATAAAATGCTCAAAGGTGCATGACTCTAATTATCCAATTTGTCAATTACTTGAAACGTTTAAAGGAATGCTTTAAACTGAAGATTTATATAATGGGTCATATATTAACTGGCAGGTACTATGACCCATGTTTATATTTTATAAACATGACCAATCAATAAGGGGTTATTTTATGTGTGTATACCAGATCCGTATGAGGTTATTTTATGTTTGTGCCCGATCTGTATGAGGTTATTTTATGTTTGTACCAAATCCGTATGGGGTTAGTTTATATTTGTAACAGATCAATATGGGATTGGTTTATGTTTGTACCAGATCCGTAAGGGGTGTTTTTATGTTTGTAAAAGATCCATATGGGGTTATTTTATGTTTAGACGAGATCAATATGGAGTTAGCTTATGTTTGTTCCACATCCTTATTGGGTTATTGTCCCCCCAAAAATAGCACGCCAGACCCAAATTTATACACCTATGGTCATTGTAATGTGGACCCTGCGATCAACATTAAGAAATAATTTAAGGTCACTAAATTCGTCAATAACCCTTTAATAATATATGCTGGGCACTAACAGAAACGGAACACATATCTTTGTTGGTTTTATTAATTCTGATAATCGACGAATACTATTCAGATCCTATGACGTCCCCGCTCCCTCTGGATGCCATTAAAATTATTGCTTTGAATAATTGTGTCAGTGATGTTATTTCGCAGCAAGACTTGTAAGCAAAGGACAATATCACATAGCGACATCCAACAAAAATAGTCTTTTAATCAAATAAATATTTTCTGATAAATATGGCCCATTTTTTGATTCGTATCTGACACGCGAGCAACAAATTCAATCGCATACCATCAGATAAGGATTAGTTGCTGTAATTGTGAACATCGAAATATTATTGACTTACACGGCGACAAATAAAAAGCTAGCCAGGGTCGATTTCCATTTTACTACGCCTTCCTTGCGTTCTTAAAGCTCATAAATTTGACATATAATAAATATTGGATACCTCTGTTTCTACTCCATTCATTTCTACTAAAAGCATTGGTAATGGTGATGTTTACACAAGATAAATATTTTCTATACGTTTTATAAACATACATGTAAAATAAATAAAGGTATTGGGTTTTCTATTGTTTCAAATTTTTGTTTTAAATAATATTGATCAGTATATATGTACTAAATTACAGTGTAGGTTTATATCGTAGGTCTATTCAGTTAAACCGTTTGTCATTCTATGTCTGATTTCTTTAATGAATACTCTAATTATCTGAATACGGCCCTGAAGTGTACATGTCTATGTTTACAACAATTCGGTATATCAGGATAAATTTTCCAACAAAACACGGATTCTAACAACTTTTATTTCTCTAAAATGAAGCGAATGTATGTCTGAAGGCATCTGAGGTTTACGATACATGTACCGTATCGTACTTAATAAGATCAAAATATATGGCATAAGATCAAAATCATTGGGTACACTGGTGTCACTTGCGGTAACTCTAACACCTAAAGCACGGCACCACACATACCATGTCCCTGAAGCAACGACTGAGTTTTACAAGATATAGCTTGATAAGATGTACAGAGTTAAAGCGAGATCAATCCTTCAATTGATGATGTACGTATACAGGCATTTTACATACACGTTCAGTTTTGTCTGTCTTGATTGTGTCCAACTTTACACGTTTTACTGTTTCTGTTGTGATTTCATTTCATTCAAGACAATTCATTTGTATTAGAAATCGATTTCACCAAAGTTTCGAAATCAAACTCGATAGCACCGAATGAAGCCGAATTATCAACATATTCTCTGAAATTCCCAACAGTCTAGCGGGAGCCGTGGTGGCTCGGTGAGTAAGACGTTGGCTCTGTAACCTGAAGGTCTCGTGTTTGATCCCGGTGTTGGCCGAGAAAGTTCATTGGCATTTTCCGGCGAGGTCCCCCTTGTCAATGGTACAGGACACGTAAAAAAAAATTCGACAGATAAAAGAGTAAGCCGTAATTCCGCTGTCGGTCAAAATTTGCCTCAGCACACTGTATGACGTATGCCCGTCTTCATTAGCCTAATCGGTGCAGAACAGTAGGACGTTTAACCCCATTTTGAATTCTTTTTATTTCCAAGCAGTCTCCCACCTTCCTGGGTGGAAGATCACATTATATGTGATGAATTGTTTTCGTTTGTTCAAAACCATATACGTCTGCATAGCTAACAAATTTGTTTCACTTTTGTATTTCCACGATTATGCATCAATTTAACCCTTACACAATGTAGAGAAATTTTGTATTTGAAATTTAGCTAAATAAAATTCATTTAAGTTGCCCTAAACGGAGTCAAATTTCACAACTTCTCCATGCCCCCCGCACTCCCTAGAAATTCGATTTCTTACACCAATAATTATAATATTCAAACCACCAAGACATTGAGAAACGCTTGCTTTGTATTGTTTTTAAAAAGGGGTCCAGTGGATCTGGAATGATATTCGTAACCTTATTATGTTTAGAATAATGTTAAAATGTCTTAAAATACATGGCATATATACACAGCAGTCCTACCTTGTTAAAGAATAATCCTATTAGTCCTAAAATCCAGTTGAGAAATTGGCAAATATATCATGTTTTTGTTGAAAAGTAAAACGTTTACTTTTGAAACTCATTCCAGGTTATTACGATGTAATAATGATCATTAATAATTATATTATACATATCAATAGTTGCATAAACATGGTCACAGTAATTTAATCAGTAGAACTACCACAACTCGTAAGCTGGGTCCAATATGGCTGCCATGGATGGTGGGGTGGATCCAGTAGAGCTACCATAGCTGGTAAGCTGAATCCGGTAGAGATACCATAACTAGTAAGCTGGATCCGATAGAGGTACCATAATTAGGACGCTGGATCCAGTACAGTTACCATAGCCAGTAAGCTGCGTCCGGTAGAGTTACCATAGCTAGTAAGCTGGATTCAGTAGAGCTACAATAGCTGGTAATCTGGTTCCAGCATAGTCACAACTGATAGTAAACTACCATAGCAAATAACCTGGATGCAGTACAGCTAAAATAGCTAGTAACCTGGATCCAGTAGAGCTACGATAGCTAGTAAGCTGGTTCCAGTAGAACCACAATCGCTAGTAATCTGGATCCGGTATATCAAGTAACCTCGATCTAGTACAGCTACCATAGCTAGTAAGCTGGATTCAGTAGAGCTACGACAGCTAGTAATCTGGATCCAGTATAGAGCTACCATAGCAAGTAACCTGGATCCAGTACAGCTACCATAGCTAGTACCTCGATCCAGTAGATCTACCATGGCTAGTAAGCTGGATCTAGTAGCTTCTCTTGATGTTTCGTGATAAAAAAAATTGACTAATATACAAAGCCTGTCAAACAACTAACGAAAGGTACATTAACACACCGGGAACTACAAAGCCGTCTATATAACAAAAGACTAACTATACGCAACAGTATAAGAAAAAATGGCCACCTCCTATATCGGTTGATGCCAATCCACCAGAAGATAATATACCAAGATAAGAACAGACATGAAAGTAAAGGCAAACTGAAAATATAAGTCATTTCGACATAAAATTCTACCACAAAGATTAATATGTTCATGCATAGATAAGTGAATTATGAAACAAATAGAAATTAAGTTGGTTAAAGAATCAACGAGTCATGACCTTTACTTAAAATTTCCATACATTGATTATACACTTTCGTGTATGTTCTGGCGGAAATATCTTGTTCCTGACTTTTTGGTGCTATAGGTTTAAATCACAAATTTATCAATATATCGATAAAATCAAAATAATTGATCCATCAGGAAAATTTCATTCTAGACTATAGACTTATTTATCAGTCTATCAAGTGTTGTCCTTTTTTTCAATAAGCTGTGGTTTATTACTGGGTTTTTTTCTTTGTCAAAGTGGGCCGTTGTATTTAGTTATTTAAATGTATGTTTTTATCACTCTATCAAGGTATTATGTTTTATCAGATCATCAGAGCAAGTGGTTTTATCAGATCATCAGAGCAAGTGGTTTTATCAGATCGTCAGAGAATGTGTTTTTACCAGGGAATGTTGATCAATCAGTTTGTCGAGGAATGTTATTTTATCAGTGTATAAAAGAATGTGTTTATCAGTGTATAACGGAATGGTGCTTTATCAGTTCGTCAGAGCACATGTTTTATAGGTGTATAGAGTGATGTTGTTTTATCATTCTATAAAAGAATGTCGTTTTATCGGCGTATAAAGGAATGCTGTTTTATCGGTGTAGGCTGTTTCGTCTGCTTAATCGTCTTTTCATCAGTATATCATCGTCATTTAAATATACATTATGCAAGAGCTAAATCTTCCTATTTGCAGGTCTTTCTTTAGGCCTGAAATGTTATCTAAATTATTAATTAGACATTAATTAACTTATCCAGACCACAATCAACACTCGGTGTCATCGCTAGCATGCGATATTTACTGGAGTTGAATCCGAGTTGCGGCTCAACGCTCAATGATGATTTAATCCAAAAATGGATAATCGAGACTATGTTTTTTTTTATCGTGCCGGCTTTAGTGGATCAATTTGACTGAAATTTTCATCAAATTCCGTTTACATTATCTACTTTTTAACTATTATAGTGAGAACAGTCAGCTCTTTATCTAATCCCCCATAATGCCCCTTTATGTGATTGGGGAATATTAGTCTAAACGGGTGCAATTCCGATAATTTAAAAGAACATTAAAAATAGAAAATTTGTCAAACATCCACTACAGACGATATAATATGGGATATGGTCGAAACCAACCACTGCTACATATAATTTACGGGATATTTTGATTTTATTTTCTTAATTAAATACTAAAAAATCAGTGTGAGCATATTTTTGCGTGGATTAAGTTATGAAAATTTAGATATTGTCCGAAAATTGCTAATAACGATCAGAGACTTAAAGACTTTACTCTGTTTTCTCCCATCATGGGGCGCGCCGTTTTATTGGTCACTTAGGGGAAATGTTGTTTTAGTGAATTATTAAGAAATATCAAGGAGTATCTTTGTTTATATTAAGTTAATATAATTAATTTGTTCTCGGTTTATCAAGTATTGACTTTTATTAGTGTACATAGTCATTATATTATTATAATAATTTGCCCAAATTTACGTTATTAATTAATATTGATATGAAATTGTAATCTAGTAGGATAAATTATGCAAGCGTGGACGTATTGCTGTCGATCTTTGTGCATCCAATTTTGTAAATGAAATGCGCGTTTAATAACATAAAGTTCCGTAACATCTTCTGGCGACTATGTCATCGATAATCTTATAAAAGGATCACTGTATTAAATATTAATGATAGACTATCCTTGTAGTTTATGGCTATTTTCTCACCTATTTTCAACTGGACGCTATTTACAGATTGGTGCGTGTTAAAGTGATATGTTGATAACTCCTGTTCATTATATATGTATACATTGCCATATGTCCATCCGTCGTATAATACAAGTTCATTGATACGCGCGAAAGACATGTTAAAGTCCCTTTATACCTGCCTGTTAATTGATGTAAATTAAAATAGACGGACAGGCGGAATTAATTACACATAATAATTGAGAGAGAGAGCGAGAGAGAAAGAGAGAGAGAGAGAGGGGCGGGGGGGGGGGTAGCAATATAAGTATATACAATACAATAAAATAAAATTTATGACAAATTTAATATCCACGTAAGATCCATGCCCATGTGCTCAATAAAGAGTGCGTTAGCGGCAAGGTCGATTAATGGACTAAAACAATGAAGGAAAATCGTGTACAAAGTACCAATAGTTATAACTATCCAAAGACAATCGATATACCATAATGATTACCTTCAGGGTCCTTTATTAAAGTTCATGTTAATTAGTTTCAATTCTGTCTTCGTTGCATTATATACGTTCTCCAAATGATTATTAATCTTAATATAAGGTCTTCGATATCAAAACTTCATTAAGGAACTTAATACTCTTCGGCGTTCGTTTATATGGCATATAGTTAGTCCCGAAGTTTTCAAAAGCTAAAGTTTTATCAAAAAATCTCAAATATCTTACCTCTTGGCTATAACTTTTCTGAAAAGCTAACCTTCTTTTGACAGTTTCTGTTGCCATCGCTAGATAACTCCCAAAGCTAGGCACAATCTGTGAGTATGACTATATGTATTAATTACAAGACATCCACAAGTATAGAACTATTTCTATATAAAGGTGTTGTGTAAGTCAGTTTATAGCTAGAGTAATAAAAACCGCCCGCGATCGCCACGGGAAAAGGGCCAATCGTTCCTCAATTCATGAATAATTAAATTTCTGTCCAATCATTTTCATCGATAAATGAATTTGGCTTGGAATTTTCGATTCATATGTATCTTCGATTTTTACGCCAACCAGTGTCGTTTGAATGGAGCTTTTCCGTTCGTTTCCTGTACGTCATATTTGCCTATCTGTATACCCGCCCACTTGTAGACATGTCGAGGGGATAAGAAGTCGATCGACCAGTGACCAAGACCCAACGTTCCAAGTCACGGCCTCTCAATCAATTAATATAGTAACGTGGTATTCAACTGAACGAGGTGTAGATTATCATTGGAAACAATTACTTCCACTTATCTTATACATCAAATTATTGTCATTGAAATTTCCATACTGAGGAGTAGCGTGTTTTGTTTAGATAAGGTATATTCAAACTAATGAAATTCTAAAATGTTTTCACTTTTGATTATGTAACAATGGAACGCCATATCACATTTTTTAAAAATTTATATTACAGACCCATATTTAGTATAAAAGAGTCTATACATAAAACTTAGCGTGCATAACAATTTCTATTTTCATGCTACAATGTTTATTAACGGTTTCTAAAGTAAACAAATTCATATTAATATGATCACCGTCACGTGATCCTTTATTCAAAAAATTTATTTATATATTATGAGCATTGTTTTTAATCTGTAAGGGCTGTCTGCTCTCAGATGAAATAAGTTCACTGTTTGATTTGTCTGGGTATATAAGTTTGTGATATTTACACTCAAATGATCTAAGTTTTGAATTTAAAGGAGCTAAGTCGCAGTGAAATAAACCATAGTAATTGTTATCCATAAAAGTGTGTTTTTGATTATGTTCCAATTACTAAATGCCATTCAAAGAATAGCTAAGTCGCTAATATTTGGGACCTAGAAATTGCCACAAATGGGTCGCAACGCATACAATAATGTGTGAGAGAGAAATGGGGTTTAACGTCCACTCGACACAAACTATGTCATTTCGGGACTACATACAATAATGTAATATGAATGTATATAAATTGATTTACATTCAATCGTTTCTGTTTTTACTGTAATTTCTAATCAGTTAGGTTCGGCGAAATACGCCAGTATTCTCAACCGAATTTCAATCTCTAGCGTCTGGTTATTCCAGTCTACGCCGATAGTATTTATTTGACATGCTCTCCAGATAAGAATATGATGTCACCGTTTGACATGACTTGTGGAATATGCCTAGCCTCGTTTTTCGAGTCCCTTATTACAAATAGCGCTGAAACGCATTATGGTACACGACTCGTGTACCAATTGTAAAATGTTTATTTTGTCTTTAAATATTGGATATCAGAAGGCCATCTTTTCCCGGTAAGATCACAACATCAATGTTGATTTAAACCGACAAATAAATCGTGTTTTCAATGTCGAAGATTTTGGATGATATTGAGTTAGAGACTTAGCTACTTTAATGTTTACGCCTACTAGCATTCATAATAGGCCTAAAATGTTCACGTATCTGAAAAATCGAATCAACGTGGTAGGAATAAAAATTTCAACGGCAGTGACGACGGGTGAAACACTAAATGCATGTTACGTCCAGTGGTGTACCCAGGAATTCCCTAAAAAGTGAAATAAAAGGGGGTGGGAGTGCATGGGTTAAAATGACCTAAGGTCATTTAAAGACCACTGAAGTTACGAGTTTGCTGTAGGGGGATCCCTGGCCTATGTTCTAAAACATTTTCTTTTAGAAAGAACAATAACTGTAAGTAACTAAATTCTTTCATTGTGTGTATATCAGATATAAATAATTTATCAAATAAGAAGGATGTTGTTTGTTTTACTTTCTTAATAATGTATATGTACATGTCTTATTGTTACAACCGATGGGTGTTTCATTAATATTGAATTCATGCTGGGTGCAATGTTAAAAACCATAAACATGCGTTACAATGTTACATATATAGGGGCTAAATCGCCGCAACGCATATAATAATGTAATGTGAATGTATATAAACTGATTTACATTCAGTCGTTTCTGTTTTTACTGTTATACCTAATCAGTTATGTTCGACGAAATATGCGAAGAGTCTAATTGAATGGCAGTGGTTATTCCAGTCTACACCGGTAGTATACTCCTACATGCGATACGTTTAGCCTCGTTCATCGAATCGTTTCATACAACTGGCGGTCGAGAGTATTCTGGCACACGATTCGCGTGCCACTTTTAAAATTTTCATTTTGGATATCATAAGCCCAACTTTTCACGGTAAGATAACAACATCAATTTAAATTTACTAAAAAGTCGTGTTTGCAATGTCGAGTTAAAGAGTTGTCTCCTTTAAACAAATGGAATTCAGTGGTTCTCTCTTATAAACGCAGTTCAACGATTGTTTTCCTGATGCCTATGACAATAAGCTTGACACAATGAGAGATAGAGAAATGGGGTTTAACGTCCACTCGACACAACTTAGGTCATTTCGGGACTAACATGGTTCAATTTTATTTCAACAATTCGCTTGCGCGTAGGGTTCTTTAGCAGTCGGAGGAAACCGGAGGACCCGGGGAAAACCCTTGCGGTCGGACAGGCGACCCTGCTCCTTGTCACGTACAACCGGGGATTCGAAACCACGCCAGTTGACTCATTGACAGACCTTATGATGCAGAGCGCACGTGCTAACCATTCGGCTATCCACCCCCCTTGAAAAAATGAACAGGGCGTTATAAGTATAAATTTCGGTTTTATCTATACCAATGTTTAATTCTATTGGTTTGCAACTTTCAAAATAAAGTCAAATTACTTTGGGGATAACAAGCGAAATGTTTGCCCTTGTGACCAAAATATACCTATGTTCGTTGTCTATTTGTCCGCAGGACCGGATTAAAGGGTTTTAGTTTTAATTCTATGACCGTATATGTTATGCGGTATATTATGTTTATACCGATATATATATATATATATATATATATAAACATAATATACCGCATAACATATACGGTCATATATATATATATACCACACTGACATATTGCATTTGCGCAAGTATGACGGACAATGACCAGAATATGCTCCTCTTTCAATGTTGATGCAAGAGCCCCCGTCACATTTTCAGCCAATGGCCCCATGCAAGCTTAATTCGGCCCTGTTTGTCTATTTTACATTAGGTAGATGCGTCATTTTGCCATATCTGTTCTTATTCAGGGTTATTCATATGAAGTTGATCTGTCAAATTTTACCGTTTACACTTTTTTTCCTAAATCACGTAGTCCGTGGATTACAACAGATTCATGAGATATATTTCCTGCATGGCATTAAATCAGATTTGTTAAATCTGATGAAAGAGTAACTTTGTACGTACGACTTGCACCAAATTTAGTTGGAACGCTCATTTTGTAGTACCCTTACAAAAACCTGTAAAATACAACAGTTTGAACTTATTGAGATTAGAAAAACCTGATTGTAAAGATTAATATTGGTAGATTATATTAATAGATAGCAACAAGCGATGACGGATTAAACCCATACATTATTCCGTTGCTTCTTCAACAGCACACTTTGAACATTCGTTGATTTGTAAACTTCTGGTCGGACCAGAAATAAGGGATGGCAAGATTTTGTATTAGGTAGTTTCCAATTCTTTCCGAGAAAAAAAACGGTATATGTATATCGCTTGTATACCACGGTACCCCTGGAAACCAGGGGTGGTCTCCAGATTTGTTTGATACAGTATGCTACTATTTACGGCCTATGTTCGATCTGTTGGCCGTATATGGTTTTTGTTTAAAGATGCATTATTCAAGAATTAAATCTACCTAATGCAGATATTTTGTTTGGCCCATAATCAACTCTATAGAACTTCGGATGATTTTGATTTTCAACAGATTTAAATATGATTGGCATTTAATGATTTAATTTAGAAATAAAAAATCAAGACTGTTTATTATCGTAACAACGGTGGCAATGACAATCGAGACTACACTGTTCTGCAAACGACGATAAATTCGCTTTCCATTGTCTATTTTTTTAAAACTATTATGAGAAATGTCAGCTCCTTATCTAAATCTTACATAATGCATCTTTAACTCAACTGATTAAGAAACGTGTTTTGGTACACAGATATACGTGTTTGATTTATTGTATTTGATTAATAATTGATGGTTATCTGACCATTATATAAATCAAAAGACCACTATTATTTATTCATAAGTCATCAATGTATTATATAAGTAAGCTAAATATATGTGTAACAATTAAATAGAGGAAAACAAACAAATTAAATAAATGGTCGTGGTCTGAAACTAGTTAAAACATTGTATATAAATATTACTTATGACATTACTTCAAATTATTTCGAATTGAGTTAAAGGAAACAAACAAAAACACAACTTTTATTTTGCTAAAGGAAAAGAATTAACGTGTCGACCCCCTTCCTATCAAATCATCAAGTTAAAATAAAAGGCAGACATTAGGATTATTGTTTGGGCAGTTATGAACACATTTCAGGTCAAATAAACCGTGCTCGGATTTGATACATTAACATTTCCCATCTTCGTCACAGAATCGGAAGTTTTAGTCAGTCTGTCGTCTGCAAAGATTTATTTCCTGCTAAGCCTTGTAATTTTGAGCAAAAATATAACACGTATTTCTATATTTGGAACCATTAAATTTATTTTGACTCTATTCGGGTTTTTTTTTTAAGTAAAAGGAGCTAAATCTTTATTCTTTGGCAACTGGAAATGGACACAAATGGGTCGCAACGCATATAATAATGTCATATGAATGTAATATCCTTGTTGCAAACACGACTTATTGGTCAATTTAAATCAATATTGATGTTGTTATCTTACCATGAAAAGATCCAATATTTAAGGCAAAATGAAAATTTTAAAATTGGCACACTAATCGCGTGTCGATGCTTTCAAGCTCAATTTACTATGAAATGACTCGATAAACGAGGCTAAACATACCTTACAGGAGAAGACTGGAATAACCAGACGCCAAAGACTGCCATTCAATTTGGACTCTTGAAAATCAGTTTATATACATTCAATTATATATTATTATATATGCTTTACGACCTATTTGTGTCCATTTCTGGTTGCTGAAGAATAAAGATTTAGCTCCTCTAAGAGACGCACCCATAATAGCGATGGGGTGAGATGACGGGGCACACATTGAAAGGGCCATTTTCTAAGTAGGTCATGGCAGTGCTTAGATTGACAATAATGTGATATATAAAAGTAATTACATTTGGGGTTTTTTGTTAGTGATAATACCTCCCTAATTTTATCAGCTCCATCAGCTCGACACTAAAGTCTTCTAGTGACAAAAAACCTTCGAGATGTTTCAGGCTCGATTTTTACTTGTCAGGGGTAATATCGTCATCCCGTAGCAAAGTATTACTTCGATTTACTGCTAATTACTATATTTGTTGACAGCGGGAATTTTGACCAATCTGAATAAAGTGCATATCTGAATTTCGCCCAGTTTCTTAACACTTCCGATGGGCTCCGTTCTTTATAGATCTAACTGGTTTCCGTGGGAGGTGGCGGCAAGGATCATATATTACGTGGACATTGATAGAATTACATAGACTATTTATACTTTAATCTTTTATTTTGTTTGTTTTGTTTGCAACAGCTCAACGAATGACCCAGAATTCAGTGTGCAACTCACACAAAGCTCAACTAAACGGACCACCCAACCCTCTTCAACGTAATGATCAAAGATACACACAAGTCGATATACCTAGATTTCCAGAAAGACCTTGATAATTTCCTGAAATAGGCAAAGTCCCCTAAAACAATTGGAATGCTAGTATGCAAAGAGAAAGGCGTAGATAGATTGACTCTGACCATGAATGACAAGCGCGTCGATTTTAAACATCATACCAAATTTCTTGGATCAATCTTTGATCGATGTCTGACCCGGAGACCACACATAAACATGGTTGTGGATTCACCCGCATCCTTAACTTAATGGGGGAAGTATCGGGCAGTTAGGAGCGAGTCAACACAGTGGCATAAACGATGGTGTATCGTATACTATTGCTCTTTGGTCTCCATGAGTTGCGCATCAAATAATAAAGCACTTTGTGTATTGCGACTGGTGTCGGTTTTTGGAATAAAATGAGAAGCACATGTGCAGGAAACTGGGAAGTTACTAGTATTACTACAATCTGTTTCACAGAGGATTACGAAAGTCTTCTAATATCTCTGTAAAAGATGACTACCTTCAACACGCGACGTCTCATCACGCGACATCAATCATTGGCTCAATGGCGCGTGGATTGTTTACATAAGACCTTACAGGTTCGGGCGGAATGGAGCCTTTTACTCATTTTAATACCCATTTACACTAAACAGGAACTACTTTTTACCTACAAATACGTCAAACGTCTTTATTTTATTTGTTTCCTAATACATACAAAAATGTTTTAGAATTTCATTTGTCGGGGGAAAAAGTTAATATTTGTGGCTTATTAAGTCGCATCGATGTCATCCTTATCAGTGATTGTCGCGGCCTATAGCGAATATTCACTAGAGAGAGAGAGAGAGAGAGAGAGAGAGAGAGAGAGATGGGGTTTAACGTCCACTCAACACAAACTAGGTCATTTCGGGACTAACATATGGTTTTAATTTTATTTCAATAATTCGCTTGCGCGTAGGGGTCTTTAGCAGTGGGGGGGGGGGGAACCGGAGTACCCGGAGAAAACCCACGAGGTTGGTCAGTCGACCATACTCCTTGTCACGTACAACCGGGGATTCGAAACCACGCCAGTTAACTCAATGACAGGCCTTATGATACAGCACGCACGTGCTAACCATTCGCCCCCCCCCCCGAAGGAAAGTACATAATAAATAGTAATTACATTTATAACTACAATATTATACAATAATTATTATCAACTATTTTTGTCTTATATTCCTAAAAATACAGATATTAATATTTAAAATTAAACAGAATAATGGTTTTCTATATTACCATGTTATATATTTTGGTGATTTCATTGCATTATTAAATTTTCTTTTCATTGCTACACTTACGCAAAATGAAAGCAGTTCTGTTTTTTATAGAATATTAATTATATCCCTTGTTTATACTTGCATTTTGTGGATATTTTAGCTGCTAATTGTGTGGAAATAAAAATCCGTTAAGTGAAATATTATGTTAAACAAATTTATTTTATGGGCATACAATAGAGTATTAGCGGAGATATTTTCAATCGATCGTTAAACATCGCAGTAAGGGAGTGTGCCTCGTGGGTGCAATGAGATATAGATTGGCTAATGGTTGTGAAACGAATACCAATATTTATTGAAAATCAAAGCTAACAGTCATCCTCTTCAAGTGAGTACGATGCGTGTAATGGAATAAATAGCTATTTTGGATAATAACTGGTTACTAAACCTCAACGAACGGAAGTAGAGAAATGCTGGCCATTCATACGATGCAAATCATTTCGTTATAGGTTTCGCCAGTCGATTGAAATCACTCTATAGTATCACAACACTATAGCTTTATTATACCTTTATAGCGTATAGTCTCACGTTAAATAACAGACCAGTTTACTATAAGATATTGGCTGTAACCAACGCGCATATTTTACCCTTTAAAATATTATGTTTGAAGATAGTATCTATAGTATTCCTACAACGTCCGTTACATGCATTAAAGTAAGGGGCCGCAGTGGCTCAGTGAGTAAGACGCTGGTTCTTTAACCATCGATCTCGGGTTCCTTCCCGGACACCCGGTGCTACTCGAGAAAGTTCCTCGAGATTTACCGTCGTGGTTACCTCTTGTAAGTGTTGCAGAACCCATAGCCTAAAAAGGAACTGTGTATCTTCGTTGGGACGTGAGACGGAAAGCCGAGGTCCAGTATATAAACTGTATAAACGTCAATCTATACTCTAGTCCAGTGTATAGATTGACGTACACGTAAAACAACCCTTGACAGGTAGAATTCGAAAAAAGAGTAGATCGTAGCGTAGTTGTCCAGGCAAATTGGCCCTCATGACACACGTCTTCATTGGCCCCAATCTGTTTCACAGAGGTATTGCGAAAGCCGTATATATAAGTTCGAGTACGCTTTCTACATGTGACGTCACATCGTACGGCATCGATCATTTGCTCGGTGGCGCGTGAATTGTGTAAATAGCACGTAGTAGCGTAAACTGGTCCGTGCAGAATGGTGCCTTTTACTCATTTTATATACCCATTCACACCAAATAGGAAACATTTTTTATCCAGACATACTTCAAACATTGCACGGTTAAGAATCAAAATTATATCATTAATTCTTCTCAATGTATAGGTTAGGTTTAATTGGGGTGTGGTTGTTTATTGCCTTCCCCTTTGTTACGAAACCTTGTCAGCATTGGCGTAGGGGTCTTACATTAAGATGCGATCTTTTTGATATGTATAGTAGTATCCATACAGCGTCTGCTACGTGCATTAATGTAAGGGAGTCGCGGTGGCTCATTGAATTAGACGTTGGTCGACTTACCGTCTGTCTCGGGTTCGTTCCCGAACACCCGGTGCTTTATTGGGGTGTGGTCGTATATTTCCGTCCCCTTTGTTATGAAACCTTGTCAGCATGCACGTTAAAGTCTCCAATTATGAAGCGATCTTTTTGAAATTTATCTTGGTTGTCTATCATATTAAAAGAAAGGCTCCTATTGTTTTTCAACGATTTTCAATAAAAACGCTAATAGGTAGTTATTCCCTTTTGTTGCGTAAACTTGCTGTACCTTAGACATTACTTATGTTTTAAGCAAGAGCGTGCATTTTTGAAAAATTTAGGTCTGCAATTAGGTCGTTATTTTGATGATATGAAATTAAAGATTTTAATATACACGTACTGACATTGAAAAACAAAATAAGTGGCGATTCCTGGCTCTGTTCATGAGTTATTTCTTTCAGCCATAACCTAGACTGGGGGGTTGGATGGCCGAATGTTTAGCACGTGCGCGCTGTATCATAAGGTCTGTCATTGAGTCAACTGGCGTGGTTTCGATTCCCCGGTTGTATGTGACAAGGAGTAGGGTCGCTTGTCCAACCTTGTGGGGTTTTTTCCGAGTCCTCCGGTTCCCACCCACTGCTAAAGACCCTACGCGCAAGCGAATTATTGAAATAAAATTGAACCATGTGTTAGTCCCGAAATGACCTAAAGCGCTTAAAACTTCCGTTTTTAGTAAAAAAAATATTTTAGGTCGTACTGGTGCTAAACGTTCACTTCCACCTAGAATGATATTGCAGACAAGCTTAATTACTTACTTTCGTTCGTCTCTGACTCTGAGGGGGGGGGGGGCTAACGTCCACTTCAGTGGAGTGTAATATCGCAGACATAATTAAAGAGAAACGTACGTGCTAGAAGAGCTAGTCATATGTTTACTTTAAGACGCTTGTCCAGCATAAGGGGTGATCAATGGGTGGGCGAGAAGGGGGAAGTTGTCGCCATAATCAGAATGGTTAAACTTTAACTTAAAGGCCTTTTTGAGATACAGCGTCTGTTGTGATGAGACCATTCGCTTACTTACGGAACCCTTGGGCTTCGCTTACTGCGGAGATCCCCGGGCCTTTTTAATATTGGTTTTGGGAGACATCATTAAATATGAAGCAGTTGCTCAGATATATATTCAATTTAAATATATGGAAGGCTTACTTCATTATTTAAATATAATCAACAGAGTAATAACATCCACACAGCAGTTAATATTTGTCCTAGATGTAATAGATTGCATAAAATCGGGAAATTGTCATATGAGATGAAATAGTTCTCCCATCCAACACATTAAAGATGGCGGACAAAGATCGACTGTGTTCAGGTAATGAAGAAACATGTGCATATGGACCACGAACCATCATATTTAAATGATTTTCTTTGAATAAATCAATTATCACTACTTTTTCCCGTACACTGTTTGACAAAGCTGTTCATATGCAATTCATCTGCAATGTCTTGTCATACTTGGCTTGAATTTATAATAATTTTACGTGTCGTAGAACAGCATCACGATTTACTCAACGAATCCAGCAATATTCCAACTCATGTCACATTAATTACCGCCATGTTTCGTTAATCGACGGATCCTGGTGTCAATTCTATCTTTTTGTCAAAAACAAATGGATTTTTTTTTGGCCAAAAGGTCTTTAATTAAGTGGCCATAGGCAGGGAAGGGAGTGAAGGGACATAAATAGCAACAACTTGAACAAGTCTAGGCCTACGGTACATTTTTTTTATCCAGACCATGTTTTTTTTTTTAAAACAAACTCTGTATTCAATAGTAGATAATGGTATACATTTAACCAAGCATTTCTGCAATCCTATTCTACCAACATCTGTACTGGAGTTTGATTTCATGGTTGTTCAAGTGGCAGTACCGTACTGAATTATCCTAATCAAGGTTGTTTCCTACCACAAGCCTATGCTTTATAACATCAGTATCTTATAACCTACTGCAGTACTGATTACAGTGTACAATAACTTTGTTGTTACTTTTTCTACTATCCATCTTTCTCAATTTTCCCAGTATTTCGTACCCAGGGCCACAAGCAGAAGATGATTTCAAAAGTTCGGAGAAAAGGCCTTCAACCGGGGAAGATAATGGACCTCCAGCCAAAAAGATATCAATGAATTTCAAGTCAACTAAACTTGATTTAAAGTCTTCAGGAATAAAGAAACCAATTGGGACATCCTCAATAAAAATGTCTTTAGGCTCTCAGGTATGTTATATTTTAATGTCATTAGGCCTACCAATAAGCAATTTTCCTTAGAAATTGTTACTGTTAGAAATTATTACAAATTTTGAAATCTTTACAGTTTAGAATTTAGCGAGGGTTTTAAACAAGCTAAACCACATTGATTTGTGTCAAACATTGCATGTATTAGATGTGGGTTTAAAGTATTGTTTTGATTAGTAATGGAACAAACTATATGCAGTTAAACCATATTGATTTGTGTCAAAACATGCAAGTTTTAGATGGGGATTTAAAATATTATTTCGGTTACTAATGGAACAAACTATATGCAGTTAAATTTTCGTTTTGAAAGATAAACTGTGTAATTTGATTTTTGGATTAAAAAAAAATTTCAAACTAATTTATCTGTTAAGAGTCTGAAAACATGTAAATCCAAAGAAAACTACATGACATGATTGAGGGAAAATCCATTTGATTTTTGGATTAAAAAAAAATTTCAAACTAATTTATCTGTTAAGAGTCTGAAAACATGTAAATCCAAAGAAAACTACATGACATGATTGAGGGAAAATCCATTTACAGTCTGTATTTGTCGTTACTCGCTGTCCATATACCATCAATATTGAAGCCTAAGTAAATTCATGGATTATCATCTGCCAAATTCTTTTCCCGCTGTTTAGTCTACTGAGTGTTTAATTCCCTCAATGTTAGCCATTAGATTACCACATAAGATGTGCTCCTTATATTACTTGGGGAGGCTGACTGTCTTTTAAGGATACCCTCTCATATTTGTCTTGTGCGCGCCTCAGGAAATCCATTAATTTTCTGGTAAGACCTGGTGTAATGACTTTCCATATATATGAAAATTGCCATACTTTTATTGGAAATAATAACTACTTGATAAATACTTTTTCAGTTAGGACAGGATACAATATGCCTGGCACAATTTGATTTTCCCACGAAAACACTGCTTTTGTATATTGTGTTGTGTTGATCACCGTATTTCATTTATTTTGATATGTAGAATAAATGATTTTATTTACAGAAGCCAAAAGAATCCCCTGTTAGTGTAAACTTAGTGAAAAAGAGTGGTACTGTAGCTAAAGCTTTTAATTCAGATAGTGAGGTAAATTTTACATATTTTTCTATACATATAAGTATACATATAAATAATATATATGTACAGGCATATAAATTATATTGTAAATTTTACCTACTATGGCTTATAATCCTTACTTCTGAACAGAATGGGAAATGTTTGAAGAATGAGTGATATGGTTTATTGTACCCTAAACTATACACATTTTCTTTTTAGAGTGACGAAGAAGAGATGCCTCCAGAAGCTAAAATGAGAATGAAGAATGTTGGCAGGTATGAATAATAATGGTTTTATGTTAAAATATTATATCTTCATATGATAATGGGGGGGTTGGATGGCTGAATGGTTAGCGTGCGCGCGCTGTATCATAAAGTCTGTCATTGAGTCGACTGGCGTGGTTTCGAATCCCCGGTTGTACGTGACAAGGAGTAGGGTCGCCTGTCCAACCTTGTGGGTTTTCTCCGGGTCCTCCGGTTTCCTCCCACTGCTAAAGACCCCTACGCGCAAGCGAATTATTGAAATAAAATTAAACCATATGTTAGTCCCGAAATGACCTAGTTTGTGTCGAGTGGACGTTAAACCCCATTTTTCTCTCTCTCTCTCATATGATAATGTATGATGTAAAAAAGATAATTTTAATGAATCAGATAAAAGAGGCACTAGAAGTACATACAGCAGCCAATTATGTTTCTTGGCTCTACCAGTTTTAAAATTTCAGTAGACTTTACATTAACACTTGCATGAAAAATCTATTTTCTAGATCTGCAGATCATTTAAACTTAAAGATACATTATTGGAGATTCCATAAAGAGCTGGCAGTTCTCACTATAATAGTTAAAAACTAGATAATGTAAAGGGAATTTGCTAAAAATTTTATGTCAAATTGATATACTCTGAACCGAGAATTTAACAATTGTAGTTTCGGCCTAGCCTCGATCATCATTACTTAAGTCAGTACAATAAAAAACAAAGTCTTGATTATCAATTTCATGATTAAATCATGAATGAAAGTTGAGTAGGAAATCAGATTCTAATCCAGTAAATATCGCAGGCTAGCGATGACACCAAGAGTTGATTATGGTCTGGATAAGTTAATTAATGTCTGATTAATAATTTAGATAACCTTTCAGGCCTAAAGAAAGACCTGAAATGGGCAGATTTAGCTCTTGCATAATGTATGTTTAAATTAAGCTATTTATCAGTGTGTCATGTTCTAAGTTGTATATTGTAAACACAATTGAAATTGCAGCTGTTACAATCACTTTGAGTAAGACATCATCCACTGATCCATGTATAAAATCATGTGCATAATGCAGTGGATATCGTTTGTACAAGCATCAGCAGCTTTATATGTACTGATGGTGTATTCAATCTTATATAGTTTAGAAAATCAGAACCATAAAATCAAAATGAAATTAATATATGATTTTAATTATATTGGGTGTTGGAACTTGACTGACCCTATCATATTTTCATTTTAATTTGACTGATTTATTTTTCCAGAGATACACCAACTGCTGCTGGTCCAAATTCTTTTGGCAAAGGGAAACTGGGGTTTACCAACCATCATCGATTATTAGAGAAAACAATTGCAGAAGAATTAGAGAAATCTGGAGATTAGATTTTTTTAAGATGATTTATTTTGTATAATATTGTATATAATAAATGAATACATGTACGTTCAATTAAGTAGATGATAATTCATACTTCATAGGTTTTATCCTAACCTAATCTATTATGTTCATCAGTTCATCTGCTCTATTCATCAGTTATCTTTTGTCTTCTTCACATCAATGCATTAGCTAGCAAAATGGCTCCGTGGTCTGCGAGTTAGATCTGTAACCACATAGTTGCATGTTCAATCCTCATTGCACAGTCCCCATCCATCCAATGGATTTAAAATATTAAAAAATTAATGTATGAACTTTTCATTCAAAGGTGTCCATATCAAGCTGCTTTCTTGAGCATCTAGAGCATTGTTCTGTACAGGCCGTAGAATTTTTTAGTGACATGGCAAAAGTCGATCTAGCCATGTTTGAAAATTGGGTTTTAAAAATACAGTATTTTTCCTTTACTGGGGTGCAAAATGGCTGGTTGGTCAGATTTAGTTTCAATCATTTTTCATAGCCCTCGGTCATCACTGATATGAAACCCACACCTGGACCAAAATGTATGTTTAAACACAATTTATCATCACTTATATGTTCTTATTAAGATGCAGTTTTTTGGTTGATTGGTTCCCTTATTCAGGATATACTCCAAATTGCATATTTACCCCAGGAAATTTTGAAATTTATCTCAGAAAGGACACTGATCTCGGATGGCCATAATTTATGTTAACATTTGATTTTTTTTGGGGGGGGGGGGATTTAGGGGTTATGCACAATACCAAAAAGCATATATCAGTCCAAAAATGTTTGACTTAAAAGTCTATATTTGGTGTTTATTCTTAAATATTGGATCTTTTAGAAAATGCTTTAAATCTGTAAATCATATATTTTAGTTTACATTCAAAATATAAAAAAAATTATAAAATTATGTTAATAGCAGATTGTGGAAAATATGAATAAAAGTTTTTCCTGTACACCTTTATTTTTAAATGTTGATTAGTTTCAGAGATCAGCCCTAGATTTGTTTCCAGATGTATATATTCACAAATATTTTTATATGCCTACATTTAATGTGGGCATTATATTGTTGACACTATTAGTCTTTTGTCTGGCTTAGATCGGCAATCTGTTATGAACATTCTATACTCAGGGATGCTTCATATGTTAATCCTTTCGAAAATTCCCAAAGATATACCCGATCAGTGATTGACTTAAAGGAATAGTAAGCGATTGCCATGCAAGATAAACCCAAATTTTGCAAGAGATGGACCGAGAACAAGCTAAAAAAAAAAGGGGAGATTGTATGTACAGTCGGGGGCCATAAACCAGGAAGTTACCATGCTATACGTGCGAGTATCGAAAGGAACCCAGAATTTATCCCCAAAATGAGTGTTGTTCACAAGCAAATAGCTCTAAATATAATGGAGTCAGGTTCATAAATAAATGTTTCCTTCCCCTTTATTTTACTGTAAACCTAAGTGCTACCATGACTTCCTGAGCAACCTGCAGAGATAACGAAGAAGAATTGCCCCCCCCCCCCCCCCAAAAAAAAAAAAAATCAAAAAAATCTCAGTTGCTGAAAAAGCGATGTGAGCAATGTCAGACCGAGGACTCCATCTGCTAGTGTCAGTGGTGGAGCCCTCTGACACCCGATGTCCTGGACATAAGGCCCCTTTAATCCATACGGTGGGCCCGTGTTGCAGTTGACATCCGAGCATTCGGTGTAATCCGGCGATGCCGAGTCGTACTTTCGACTGGTATCCGTGTTTCTTTTATTTAGTGGGGAAATGTGTATCAGGAAAACGCATTAAAATCATCTTTAGCGGCAATATTTTGGTTGCAACTTGTGCTACTAGGAGGTGGGATAGGGGGCCTGTTGATGCCACAAAATTCACATAGACGGTTGACGTACGTAATTGTAGTTAGCTGTATAATATTTCCATGGATACATCACATCATGATCACATGGAATAGTCTGATTTCTTGATTGAATCCCGTGTTATCGTAGTTCTTATAGTGTTCGGCGTTCGTCAAATAATCGACTCCGGTCCGTTACTATGTCGTACGTTGCGGCCTGCGCGAAAATTTGACGTAGTTACATTCTGTGGAATAATACTGCTTTCGTTCTAGTCACTTGTGTTAGGCCCCAACATGCTGAAGGCCCCATGGTACCCACCATGGTTAATCCGGCGCTGCAAACCGGGGTGACATTCTGTCACCTAGTTGTGTTTAACTTTTTAAAAGTTACATCACTGTATAATGGAATGGGGTTTAGGTCTGATCAACACAATACTTAGGTCGTTTTGAAACATGGTATTTTGTCTACAGAGGTTACAATGCTGGAGCGAAGGAGGTTTCCCCGGACATTCAAATTCTGACTGACAAAGGATTATTTTACGTACCGACCGTACACACCAACATGGACACGGATGGATCTCTGGTTTTCGTCCCATCTGAACGACTAAGCCCATATTTCTGTATATTGCGATATAATTAACCTAAGTTGTGACGTAGAAAAATATTTCGTTATTTCCACAGGTTCCTTTAAAAAAAAGTGTATAACCGTCCTGAACGCAATTTTTTTATGATTCAGGCCACTGTTGTTGTTCTTAGCGTTTAACGTCCGCTTCCACCGAAGGTGATATCGCAGACAAGTTCATTTTAATGATCTTAGCGCACGCGCAGGGGTCTTTCCTGTGGGAGGAAACCGGAGTACCCGGAGTAAACCCACGAGGTTGAGAAGGCGCCCCTATCTCCAAGCCACATACGCTCACACCTGGGATCGAAACCACAGCCGCAAGCCAGAGGTGACCGGCCAACTAGAGGTCGAAGCGTGGCACTCTAGACCACCAGGCCATCCCAACCCCCCATTCAGGCCACTGCAAGTATGGATTATATATAGTAGAACTAGAAGCAGGTGGTTAAAGGGAGACAACTACATTTTGTTAAAAATAACCGCCAGACGGCGACAAAAACACAAAGCGGTACTGAAATCGACACATTTCAACTAAATTTACTTTTTAATTTAAAAGTTCATCTGTAATTTTGGGAAGAATTGCAAAATATGTCGAACAATAGCGGAAAAGCGTCCCTCAGTATTGGTAAAGATAAAAAGGATAAAGATGTGAACGAAGACGAAAACAAGAAGCGAAGTTCGCCGGCTGAAGACAACAATGACGGTGCCGATGGAAGAAGAACCAGCAGAAGAAAGCGAGCTAAGGTATTTTATTTTGTCCGCTAAACAGTATTGATCAAAGGCTTTTGACATAAGTTTTCAATAATTTTACACTGTCGGCATTGTTAGGACAGCGCCATTGATTGAATATTATGGCAAAACAATCAATCAGGGGGGATAACTAGGATAAAGAAACGGATTAGGACCAGGCTCATTTCTTGATTTTTATTTTTTTTAAATATTCTTATGATCTTTATAATGACAGCCCAAAATGTCACTATTGTCTGATACAAATATTGAAGGGAACTTGAATATTACAATATTGTGACAAAAAAAAAAAAAAGACCCATTCACTATTCAGATAAATCTGATGTTTTTATCTACCGGTATGTTTGGAGGTTATAATCCGCAAGAGGCTCTTGTAATATTGTAATATTCAAGTTCCCTTCAATGACAGAGGTACACCAGACGAATGACAAAGAATGACAGAGTTTCACCACACCAATGACAGAGGTTCACCAGACGAATGACAAACAGAATGACAGATGTTCACCACACGAATGACAAACAGAATGATAGGTTCACCAGACGAGTGACGAATTGAATAGCAGAGGTTCAGTTCACCAGACGAATGACGAACTGAATAACAGAGGTTCACCACACGAATGACATAGGTTCACCACATGAATGACAAACAAAATGACAGAGGTTTCCCAGACAAATGACAAAGAGAGTGACAGAGAATGTTCACCACACGAATGACAAATAGACATAGGTTCACCAGACGAATGACAAACATAACGACAGAGGTTCACCACACCAATGACAAACAGAATGACAGAGGTGCACCAGATGAATGACAAACAGAATGACAGCGGTCCAGCAGACGAATGACAAACATAATGACAGATGTACACCAGACGAATGACAAAGTTTCACCACACCAATGACAGAGGTTCACCCGACGAATGACAAACAAAATGACAGAGGTTCACCACACGAATGACAAACAAAATGACAGGTCCACCAGACGAATGACATAGAATGACAGAGGTACACCAGCCGGATGACAAACAGAATGGCAGAGTTTCACAACTCGAATGACAAACATGACAGAGGTTCACGAGACGAATGCCAAACAGAATGACAGAGATTCACGAGACAAATGCCAAACAGAATGACAGAGTTTCACCACACCAATGACAAACAGAATGGCAGGATTACCAGACGAATGAAGAACTCAATGACACAGGTTCACCAGACGAATGACAAAGTGAATGACAGAGGTTCACCACACGAGGTTTCCCAGACGAATGACAAAGCGAGTGACAGAGGATGTTCACCAGATGAATGACAAAGTGAGTGACAGAGAATGTTCACCAGACGAATGACAAACAGAATGACAGAGAATGTTCACCAGACGAATGACAAAAAGAATGGCAGAGTTTCACCACACGAATGACGAACAGAATGACACAGGTTCACAAGACGAGTGACAGAGTATGACACTGTTTCGCCAGCCTAATGATAGAGTCCATAGACGTAGCAGCAGAACCCCCCACCCCGCATCCTCAGATCCGGTGAACCGTCCATTTTTGGGCAATGTATTTCCGTTCTTCCGGCACAAACATTAGAAAATGAGATCATATATCATATAATTGACAAATGAAATTCGCTCGCGGTTTACTTTTTGAATACTACAATACGTAATATAAGTGGAGCTTTGTGCAAAACTCCTTTTAGTTTCAGATTGATTCATTCTAAAATTTTGGAAGACAAAGGAAATTTTCCGGCAACCAGACGACTGACAAAGTGGATGATAGAACATCGCCAGACGAATGACAAAGTGAATGACAGAAATCACCAGGCGAATGGCAGAGAATGACACAGATTCACCGGACGAATGACAAACTGAATGACATAATCCACACAAAGATTTAGAGAATGACAGATGTTCACGTGACAAATGACCAAGTGATTGACAAATCCCCAGGCGAATGGCACAGATTCACCGGACGAATGACAAAGTGAATGACGAGTCACCAGACGAATGACAGATCCATTTTTAGTATGAGAAGAGGTCTGATATTAGCTACGATAACGTAGGTAAAAACGTTGAGAAATACTGATGGTCCAAGGTTGAGAGATGAGGTTTCTTATCTAGTGTGATACAAGCTTTTCCCTGATAGTTTCATCCAATTGAAATAAAATATTAATTACCCCCAAAAATACAAATTAAGTCGATAGTTATTAAACTCAATACTGTACATGTAGTTGAATTATATTGGCCTAAAGGGAGCAGTTATTGCTTAGAAATTCCTTGTCATTCGTCATTCGCTTGTCATTCGTCATGCAAATTAGGGAGACCTAATTGTTATATATATATGTTAAAATTATCTAACACTCATAATTCACAATGCTTCATTTAGAATTTTGCAATACATATCAAAGTTCAAAATGACATATTATATCGTTCTGGTATAAGTTTATTTTTATTAAATTGATTAATTTAGGTTGACAGTGGTGCCAATCCAAATGCTTCAGAAGATGAGAATTCTGATGAAGATAAAACAGAGAAGAAAGAAAAAGATGTAGGGAAAGAGAAGGAAAGGATAAAAGAAGAGAAACCAAGTAAAGGAGAAGGTGAAAATGAACAGGGAGAACATGAAGATAGTGAAAATGATGACCCTACAGGTATGAATTAGATTATTATGTTCTAAACAGATACGTAAACTTTTCATTAAGTACAACTATACATTTTGGTAAACTAAACTGTAATTACTACATTGTACTTACCAATATCCTTTGTTGTTATTATCATGTTTTAAATCTATTGGTGATCCATTGTTTAAAGGACTTGAAGGTGCTGCTTTCCAGAGTCGTCTGCCTCTAGATAAAATGACATCACAAGAAGCAGCATGTTTTCCTGATATAATACAAGGTCCTCCACAAGCTCAAAAAGTTTTCCTTTATATAAGAAATAGAATAGTAAGTAAACAAAATGGATGAAACAAAGAAGAGAAATTATTATGTTAATACTTGTAAAATTTAATGTCTCTTATATGAAACAAAATGCTGTAGGAAATGAATGCAACCTTTGTCATTATCATTCTATCTTTACAAGCTTTAGTTAGTTTTTTTATCCCATGCCGAATGAAGGATTACATGTCATTTTGGTCCCGCGTCATTTCGGACTTACGTCATTTCGGACTTACGTCATTTCGGACTTACGTCATTTCGGACTCCAAAAAATATGTCCTCGACATTTCGGACTCGGGTAGGTGACGTTTCGGACTTGGGTAGATGACGTTTCGGACTCGGGTAGGTGACGTTTCGAACTCAGGTATAGAACATAGAATTATAGAACACTGACGTCAATTTACTTTATAAAGTATTTTATTTATTAATTAACAGCGATTTATAACAATGGGCATATTTATTTGATGAAATAATAGCCTCAGTCGGGTATTCATTTATTGTATAAAACATACATTTAAATTCATACATTAACATAGCATACAGCGATTTATATCAACGAGCATATTTATTTGATGAAATAATAATAGCTTCAGTCGGGTATTCATTTATTTTATAAAACATACATTTATTTTATTTATTTTATAAAACATACATTTATTTTTTCAGTTTTCCAATTATTTTAATTATTTTTTCACTTTTCTTTATTGGGCAGGTGGGCCGTAGAAATGGCTGTTTGGGTTTTTTTAATAGCCTACTCGTACTAATATCTTGATGGTTATATCCATCCCATAGTTGAAATAGTCGGCCCTCTATATGCCGATACCGGCTTCTCCGGTGCCGTCACATCAAGCTCTCCGACATCATGGTAATGTTGAAGGGTATCTTTTCTGCCTCTGAAAATAACTCACAATTAAGTAAATAAAATGACACCGGGCCCCTGGCGTTGACTCAATCAACAAAAGAAAGGTAGCGGTGTTTTTATTTCTCAATCGTTTCTTAACGGCTTTAATCTAAACTTACTCAGATTAAATACAACAATCGCCAATCAATTAAATAGAGATTAAATAATCTCGGCTTGGTTTCACTATATTATCATATACCTGACAATAGATAATGCACAGTTGTATATCTGTTTGATTTGTATATAAACTTTTGGGGAAAAAATTAGCAAAATAGCTACATATAAAAATCTATAAACAAATATAAAATGTATTATATGTTTGTCCATGCATATTGTGTATATTTGTAAATAAATAAAGCTATTAAAAAAAATAAATAAATACAGTATTTGCCGATCAAGTAATATTGGTTTTACTTCAAGTGCGTAAGGTCTGTATGGGATAAATAAAACACAACTAACAATGTTTATATTCTTTATTATAGTGAATGGTCTGTCTTCGGCCCCATCTAAAACGAAAGAATAAACAGTAATTACAAATACATACATATAATTTTTCAGCTTTTATTGAGTCCGTTATTGAGTCCGAAACGTCGTCAGTACGAGTCCGAAAAGTCGCCAAGTAAGTCCGAAAGGTCATCAAACTGAGTCCGAAACAACGTTTGTGTTGAGTCCGAACTGACGCGGGACCGAAATGACGTGCTACCGAATGAAGCTAGGGAGGGATAATGAAATGGGGTCCGCCCGTCTATCCTGATTTAGTATCCGGAGCATATCTCAGAAACCGTTCAAGATATCTTTTTGAAACATCAGCTTATTACAGTAGTTGTGCCTTTTGCTAATTTTGAATTTCTCAGATTTAATCATTTTTGTGTTTCCATGGAAACAAATTCTCTGTTGAATGATTTTTGAATTTTTACTACACATTTGACTTAGTTTTTGCTATATAATTATTATACTAGAGCATATCTCAGAAACTGTTCAAGATACCTTTATAACACTTTCACATTCATCTACCTATTATTTAATTTCTGATGACCATCCTACTGTCACGATTTCATTTCCGGAGCATATTTCATTATCTGTTCAAGAAATCTTTTTGAAACTTTGTACAAACATCAACCTATTATAATATTTTATTTTCTGATGTATAAGTTTATTGTTTAACATACAGCAGTTGATTGAGGTAGGCAAATGTTGTTGTGCAAACATAACAGGGAGTAGCGACCCTGCTTTGCCCAGCTACTGTGATCAGAGTATGATAATCTTCTGACTAGTCCCATTGATATTTCATGAAGTTGTTATTCCTTATGCCTTCCAAACAAGTGCAAGGGTGCTGTCTAGTCATCTTGTTAGTATTTTATATAGCTTGTTATGAAATTTTATGTGTTTACTTTTCTTTCTTTTTAGCTTCAATGTTGGTTAGAAAATTGTAAAGTTCAAGCTACATTTGAAAGTGTTTTACCTCAGATAGAGACTCCATATAATAGTAAGAGTACATCTAATGCTTTATTATATCAGTATGATTCTTTCTCTTTGTAGATGCCAACATTGAAATGTGGCCATATATTGTTGTCACATCTGTCCATCTGTCAGTGTTTTTGAACACTCTACAATCTACAAACATCGCGTTGTTAAGCAGATTAGAAGAAGAAGGAAGTCTATTGAAAGTTTTGGACCTAGTAAACTGTAGAATCTTGCGAATGTTATAGTGACAATAGTTACCCTCCAACCGGCTTTAAATTGATATGCATTTTTCAGATTAGTGAATCGAGGAAGGCTATTGTATTTCAATATATTTAGTTAACTACTTCTAGACTTATGATCCTTGTTCTCTTTGTAGAATCTTGTGAACACGAGTGACAAAAGTTTTGTTACCTGGTAACCTATATTTTTTAAATTAAATTAGATTATTATTATGCGACACCAACAAACTATTGCTTTCAGTTCAGATCTCATTGTATTATACAGAGACATCTTTAGAATAAAGACAAAAAAATGTTATACTATTTCTGTGTGCTTATTTCAGCTATGCTGAAAATATATTGTTTTCTGCTGTTTTCATTTTACAGGTGACGGACCATTAGTTATGAGAATACATGCATATTTGGAAAGATATGGTTATATAAATTTTGGTGTGTTTAAAAGATTGAAACCATTACCTAGTAAGTACGAATAGATCAGGTTTCTTCTTCAAGCATCGGGTGTTCATACATGTACTTTAGACTCGAGGAGAATTTCTTTAACAATTTATAAGATCCAGATGACCATGGATCTACCTTTGGAGTTAGTCTTAATCTTTATAAAAATGCCACCTTGTTGGACTCTAAATCTGAATGTAAAGTGGATAAATTTAGTATCCTCTAATTTCATTTACAGAGTATATGAATTACATATTTTTTATCTTTAACAGCGAAGAAACATGGGCGTGTAATTATCATAGGAGCTGGTATTGCTGGACTAGGGGCAGCTAAACAACTATTAGCCTTTGGATTAGATGTTGTAGTTTTAGAGGCTAGAGTGAGTCAACTATTCTATTTAGTTTTTTTTAAAAAAAAAACCTAACATTTTTATCTGGTGCTCACTGTACTTTCTCCGATTTTTGGGTATTTATTTTCAAATCTTTCTGTATTTTTGATATAGATAGTAGCACTATCTGTGGCTGTGGTTGCCTCATGTTAAGATAGTACAGCAATGACCCCCAACCTTTTTCTGTTAAACTAAACACTATCTCTAACTCCTTGATTAGAATTACTGGTAAATATTTGTTTGCAACATGTCTTTTGTCTTTATTTATTTTGTATTTGATTTAACTGACTTCTGCTTCATTGCAGGAAAGGGTAGGAGGTAGAATAGTAACATTTAGAAAAGGAAATTATGTGGCAGATTTAGGTGCAATGGTTGTCACTGGTTTAGGTGAGAATTTTTATTTTTCAATTCTTTTATCTGAATATTTAAATTATGAATCGATTGTCAGAATGTTTGTTAGAGTAACTGACTGTTATTATATTTTAGGAGGAAATCCCGTGACTATTTTGAGTAAACAAGTTAATATGGAACTACACAAAATAAAACAGAAATGTCCTCTTTATGAAAGCAATGGAGCCACAGTAAGTTTTATGTTTCTTGATATTTGTTTAAATGAAGATACTAGTCCTCATAGATGATAAACCGTGTCACCTTGAAGTGACGAATTTTGTTATTGCAGCTTCAGTCCCTAAACTGGTAGATGGATTTAATTACTCAACCCTATGATTCTTAAAAATGGACAAATTTAGACAAATTCTTTTCCGAAACAACTTTTGCAGGAATGTCTCTGTTTTGTTGTCATAAAAGTAGGATGTTGAAAGTTAACTTCCATTTGATTTCATTGTTTTGTAGTACCATTTCATTTAAATTTTTTTAACAAAATTGGTCAGATGTAGACAAATTATTACTTATGGCTAGATGTTTATAAATATTTCTTTAAAGGTACCAAAAGAGAAAGATGAAATGGTAGAAAGAGAATTTAACCGTTTACTAGAGACAACATCATATCTCTCACATCAAATGGACTTTAATTATATTGATAGTAAACCAGCCGCTTTAGGTCAAGCATTAGAAGCTGTTATTAAGTTAGTCATTTTATATATTATAAAAAATTTGTATGCTATATTGTGTACATGTATTTGAAATTTTCTTAGTATATCTATGAAGTGATATAATTCTTCAATTGCGCAAAGTCATGCCCTCTTGTGTGTGGTGTGATATCTAACTATTAAAATGTGTAATTTGCCATTTGAATTTTGTTTATATTTAAATTTCAGATTACAAGAGAAACATGTAAAAGAAAAACAATGTGAACATCAACGCCATATCATAGAATTACAAGAAAAATTAAAGAAAAACCAGTCACAGGTAAATAGTGATTCAACCATTCTTAGTTCTTTGATTAATCTAAATGTAACATACATATTTTTCCTCCTGATGGGAACACTGTTATAACTGTTTGGTTGTCTTGAATATTTAAAATTACCAGTCAGTTTTCCATGTATTTTACATCTGTAATTTATTTATTTTAGCTTCTTCTTGTAAAAGATAAAGTAGAAGAAATAAATAAGCAATGGAAGGAAGCATCTGAAGTTAAACCACCAGGTGATATTACAGCAGAATTCCTTATTAAAAGTAAATTACGAGATCTTAATGCAGCATGTAAGGTTAGTTGTGTATTTATACTGAACAAGTTCTTTGCCTTATGACTGCTATGAAGAAAAAATCTATGCTTTATGCGAAGATCCCAACATTATCTTTATTTCTTCTTCTTCTTCTTCTTCTTCTTCAATCCTATTATAGATTTCATATTGCCGCAAATTCTGTAGATTCAGTAAATTATTAATGTTGTGAAATAAATTTTAGGAATATGATCAAATGGTAGCTCAGCAGAAAGAAATAGAGGACAAATTACAAGAATTAGAAACTAATCCTCCAAGGTAATCCTTCAATAATCTTAATTTTATAATTTCTTGCACTTTCCCTAACATTCTATAATTTTAAAGAAATGTTTCTGTTATTTCAAAGAAAAAATGTTTCCATATATATTTTGAGAAGTTGTTTGATTGATTTTGAAACTATTGTCTTGTTTATATTATCAGTGATGTATACTTGTCTTCTCGTGACCGCCAGATTCTAGATTGGCATTTTGCTAATTTAGAGTTTGCCAATGCAACACCACTCACAGCTCTTTCTTTAAAACATTGGGACCAGGATGATGATTTTGAATTTTCTGGAAGTCATTTAACAGGTATGTAAATCAAATTTCAATGGAAAGAAAAGGCAGTGTCTGGGTCAGATAGAGGGGTAGATGGAAAGTTTGCCAAATATTTAGTAATTAATGTCCTCAAAGTATACTTCTTGTTCATTTGAATAGATTAAGCTATTACAGATATATTTAATTTGAATATATTCTATCTTACAGTGCGTAATGGATATTCTTGTGTACCAGTGGCTTTATCTGAAGGTTTAGATATTAAATTAAACACGGCCGTTAGACAACTTAGACACACTGCTAATGGTAAGATTTTAATTTAAAATTTAATATAAATTAATCAGATTGATCTAAAAAAACAATGCAGCATCTGTTTTATTTTATTTGACTGTTAATTTATCAAAATTTTCACTTTCAGTCATTTTTGATAATACAATAAAACTTTGCACATTAATTTGATAGTTCATGTTTTTAATTTATGATAGGGTTTCACAATTCACATGTCTATACCAATTTGTTTCATGGTGTATACAAAATAATTATCCCTGTATGTGGATATGCTATTGAAATGCTGTTGTGAACTATTCTAAATGTATCATTATATCTTAGGTTGATATTAATTTATTGTATTTGTAAATTTCTAGGTGTTGAAGTAATCACAACTAATGCTAAGAATAAAAGTAATCAACAGACGTATAAAGCAGATGCAGTATTGTGTACATTACCATTGGGTGTTTTAAAAGAATGTTTGAAAGGATCTGGTCCAAATAGTGTGCAATTCATTCCACCATTACCAGACTGGAAAACAGCAGCTATACATAGACTAGGTTTTGGAAATCTGAATAAGGTATAACTTGTTTTTAAAATTAATCTTTTATAGAGGACCGTAATGAAATGAAAGGAAATGACGTTTACCGTCCTACTTTTCTGCACAACTGGGCTAATGAAGACGAGCATATGCATGTAGTATGCTATAAGGAAAATTTTGCTTGGACAACAGCTACAGTCTACTCTTATTTCAAATTCCAACTGTCAAGGGTTCTTTTATGTGCACTCCAAGTTTTTTGTCCCAGGCTCTCCTTCTTATATCACTGACAAGGATGAAACCTGCCAGAATATCCTGATGAACTTTCTCGGCCAACATTGGGATCGCACATGGGACCTCCAGGTTAGTTAGTCAACTTCTTACTCATTGAGCCACTGTGGCTACAGAGCTGAACAATAGGGCAGTGTCATGAAACTACTATTGGCTTTTGAAAAGGTGAAATCAGTGTGATTCTGAGGACTTTCTGTATTATGTATAAATAAGAAAAATGATACTGAATAGAAATAGCTATGAAATGATCAGTGTGATGATTGCTTGAATATTTGCTAAGGACTAGATTAGGTATTGATTTTCAAAGCCTGAATAGTGCTAGATATTTTACCTGAATGCTGTAATATATTTAAGTTGAATTTTTTATTTTTTTATTTAGGTTGTTCTATGCTTTGATAGAATATTTTGGGATCCTAATTCCAATTTATTTGGTCATGTTGGCAGTACAACAGCTAGTCGAGGTGAATTGTTTTTATTCTGGAATCTGTATAAAGCCCCTGTATTATTGGCGCTAGTTGCTGGAGAAGCTGCTGCTATCATGGAGAATGTTAGTGATGATGTTATCGTTGGCAGGTCTATAGCGGTTTTGAAGGGTATATTTGGAAATAATGCAGTACCACAGGTGAAATTATGTTAATTTTATCAAATATTCTGTTTTGATTTGGGTACATAGCCTACAACTGATATGCTTTATACAAGGCTCATATTTTCTGAATTTTAACTGGTAATTCATACTCGATTAATTTTTAAAAATTGTATAATAAATAGAAAAAGAGTCACATTTTCTTACCATTAACAAATATACTTCAAATAACACACTTTTATGGAATATCAAATATTCTTATTTATCTGTGGTAAACAAAATATATGGTAGATTGAAATACGTGATAAATTGAAATAAGAACATTTTAAAGTGAATGGTAGATTTGTATATGCCTATGACTTCATATTGTTATTATCATTCAATTAGTTTGATTTGATTTCATCCCTTTAATATTTCTGTAAACTAACAATGTTTATTTCAGACTGTGCTAACAAAAAGCTTTATTGTCATATCAATGTTAGTGTGATTTTGTAAATGCACAATCTCTATTGATTTCATGGAAGACATTATTCTATGCTTCAGCCCTCAAGGAATATGTACTGAACTTATTCAAAAAGAATTATCAGTTACTGTATGGCTCAGTTGTAAAGCAGATGTATATTATATTTCAGCCTAAAGAGACACTTGTAACAAGATGGAGGGCTGACCCCTGGTCAAGAGGTTCTTATTCTTTTGTTGCTTCTGGATCATCAGGTAACTATATTCTCAACCGCTGACATCATGGCCTAGAAATTCATTATGGAAATCATGTTTCATTTCTTTAGTACTATGTAGTGTAGCTAATCAACAGCAACAGGGCTGAACATCAAAATTTCTGATTGTACAGTGGGATTAATAATCTGTCTTGGTCATATGCAGTGGTAATGTAATCTGAAATGCGAAATCCATGAGTGGCGAATAGCCGTCCCAGATTTCTCAGATAAAGCGACTAGTTTCGTTCAGTTCAAACTTATCAGGTTAAGTGAGATTGTGCGGATGTTCCGTTTATATAGTTTTTGAGGACTGGAGCACAAAATAGTTCTCGGATGGACCAGCGCAGTGCTGTATGACCGGAGCAACTGCTTCCGTTTAATTTTGAACAGAGAGACGGCTGAAATGCTCAAAATTCTTGGGTATTGCTATTTTAACTATGCGATATGTTCTATCAAGCAGTGATTCCAGAGGGTCAGAATCTAGTTTGAAACAGATAGTTACAAGAATGTGATGTATTGGTGATGATGTAATGTGACCAAATAACACATGTATGGACAAATACAGTAGTGGCAGATTAAGTTTTTCTACTACATATTTTTTCTATGAATGGATCATTATTTTTTTGTTTTGTAGGAAATGATTATGATTTGTTATCAACACCTGTAGCACCTCAACAAGGAGCTCCACCACGACTTTTCTTTGCTGGTGAACATACAATTCGCAATTATCCAGCTACTGTACATGGTGCTTTTCTTAGTGGATTAAGGGAAGCCGGGAGAATTGCTGATCAATTTTTAGGAGCACCATATGCCATGCCGACAAGACCACCCACATCAAATCAAGTCAGTTGAAAACTATCCTGTAATTAATATACTTTCAATTTAATAAAGTCCAAGAATCGGGAAAGAGTGTTACGGAGGGAGAATCTTTCAGAATATGGACCTGTGATTCATTGATATGGATGTGATTGGTCAGGTGGTTTTGACAGCCATGACTACCAGTACCATATAAAGTTTCTGTCATCATTGTACATTTATGTGTAAATTTCATACACCCAATATTTCAACTTTAAGTCTACTTTGATGCTTATGAATGTTTCTAGTGCTATATTTGTAGAATTTAATCAATGTCATATCGACTATCATTATATAATATGTCTGAAAATTTCAATGAATTTTAATCAAACATTCTCAGGCATATGATATTGTCCTGTAGTTACCGGTACTATATTTCTGTATCATCTTTTCAAATCTAATTGATGAAATTTATTTGCTTGCTAGCTGCTTTTTTTAGATTATGAAATGTTCAAATATTTATTTTCATACTTTGTACATATCTCAAATCTGTATTATTCATTTTCCTCATGATTATGTCATGTGATTTCATTGATTATTTTTTTACAAAAATAAAATAATTTTTGGTAAATGAAAGTTTAAAAGGATTTACACTATATCAAATTATATATGTTTCATACAAAGAAAGACTCTTTTGAATTCAATCCTCAGCAGGAATAATTCGTTAGTTTAAGGAGGCAAGTCTCTAACTCAGTATCATGCACAGTCTTTTCGACATGGCAAACATGACTTATTGGTCAATTTAAACCAACATTGTTATCTTACCATGAAAAGATGGATTACTGATATTCAATATTTAAGTGAAATGAAATGAAATGGGGTTTAACATCCTATTCCAACTGGGCTAATGAAGACGGGCATATGCATACAGTATGCTATGAGAGTAATCTTGCCTGTACAGCGGCACTACAGCCTACAGGTACTCTTATATCAAATTCCAACTGCTACGGATCTTTTACGTGCATGCCAATGTGTGCGGGACCTCAGTTTTTTGTCCTTGTCCTACACCACTGACAAGGGAAAACCATGCCGGTAAATCCAGATGAAATTTCTCAGCCAATACTGGGATCGAAACCGTAACCTCCAGGCTAGCAGCCAGCATCTTTCTCACTTAGCAACCGTGGTTCCCCAATATTTAAGACAAAATGAAAAATTTAAATTCGAATCGCGTGCCAGAATGCTTTTGAGCGTTATTTGTAATGAAGCGACTCGATGAACGAGGCTAACCATATCTCACAGAAGAAAACTACAGGTGTAGACTGGAATAACCAGACACCAAAGACTGCCATCCAAAATGGACTCTCGTGTATTTTGCTGAAGGTAAATGATCAAAAATTACAGTAAACACAGACACGATTGAATGTAAATCTGTGTACCGGGTATATACATTCATATTACATTATTATATGCGTTGCAACCCATTAGTGTTCATTTCTAGGTGCCAAAGAATAGAGATTAAGCTCCTTTAATTAGCTGATAAATGATAAAGTTCCCGTGGTTTAATGATATAGTGCAAGACTGCAAGGTATTAAGTAGTATATTGATACTGTATAAGGGTAAAAGCCCGAGTGGTGTCTCAATATAGTACACAATGTCCTGCTTGAGATCATTAAACAACTTAAAATACATACACTATCCTGCATGCGCATTTCATCAAAATCTTTAGGTGAATCTGATATTTCATCTATCGGTAACACCAACATAAAAGGAATATGTTGCATCTGTTTTTAAATGCTTATGAATACAGTGTAATTCAACAGTTTTTGTCCCTGTTGATAAACAAGACAACCTACTTAAAGTTCATAAGGATTACATTTTAACCAAGACATGAATAGTCTAAAATAGTCACAGCTTTCTCGTGTGTTCATACTTTCATTGTTTTTTTGGTACCATTTGTTAACTTCAGTGGTGTGTTATTATAAATAATAAAACCAAACTATTTCTTGATGATTTATTAGAAAGGTAGTCCTACATATACACCGGACCTAAAATACAATTATTTTATTTTCATAAATCCTTTTAAACAGAACCATTGCCAGATTAAAATACATTTTTAACATACATCTTCATTTAAATTAATATTTAATCAACATCTTATAAATAATATTCTTAAATTGCACGAGTTATAAATGATACAGAATATTCAAAACAAACAATTTATTAAAGGAGACTTGGGTCAAATGGAAAGCTGTTTATCACTGGAAATGTATTTGATAAAACCAAATATCTCCATATTCAAGCATTCACAATTTTAATCCTCATTTGTATTACCAGATTTTCTCGTGGTAAAAGCTATTTCTTTAACTTCTGGTACAAGATCTTTAATATCACTCTGAAGACCTTCTAAATCTTCTGTACCTTCTTCAGGATTATTCCTAAGTTTGGTGTCTTTTATAACCAAATCTGAAATATGAGATCAATGACATTAAAATACAACAATGGCAATGAATTCCAAAAGAAGTAATAATACCGGTACACAACTCCAATTTTTGTCAAGCTCCATTACTGTAAAATTAGCTCAATAATTACTTTCTAACAATTCTACTTTATCTCTGACCTGTACATATAACAATTAAAAGATGAGGAGGACTGACATACAGAATTCCAAAGTAACATACCTTGTAGATTAACCAAAACTTGGTGTTTTTCTTTGTCCATATAGTCAGCTAGAAATAAAAGTATTTGTGGTACAAGTCTACCAGGTGCATCTAATATACTCTGTGTAAAGGTATAGAATAATATAACACTAGCTAGATGTAAACACATGGCTGCATCCTCTTCTTCTTTCAATTGAGCAACCAATGACTGACGATGACTGAAAGTTAGTTGTCTGAAACACATACAAAAATAAATCAGGTTGGAAACAGCAGTTTCATTTATATCACAATTACGAAATTGACAAGCTGGAAAATCAGCATATCAATCAATCAATAAAACATACTGGTGTAATAAACCTAAAATAGTAATATACTGATGGTAATGTAAAGAGAACAGTAGACAGCAAAGGATTAAGGAACTAAATAAGGTGATAGGTCTTGGGTTTGATCCCATTGTTGGCCAGAATGTTCTTCCATGTGTTTTCTCCTGGCAAGGAATGGCATCTAGTTGTTTGGATAGAATTAAAAATGGGAGAAACTGTGTGTACAGTGTATAGGAAGATTTTACTTGATCAAAATATAATTGATTACTACCATTGTATTTAAAAATATACTTTGAAAATATCATCTCACAAATACCCTAAAATCTAAACCATATGTTTAAATGGAGATACCTTTCTTTCTTTTTGTCTATTTTTTTCAAAATTAAACCCAAATGTTCTGGTCCACAGAGAGTTTCAAATGATGTACAAAATTCATCTAAATTCTGAAATGTAAGAAATGTTTTAGTTACTTCAAATTTTAATACCCCATTCACTTTGAAGTTAAAGAGGTATTATATCGTTTGTAAGATCTTTGCCAGTTGGCACAAAAGTTACACCAGGGCTGTTCAAATCAGATCTGCCAACCCACCATTGAGATCTAAATGTTTTAAAGATTCATTATGAGTAGTACACCTTAAGTGGTTAAGATCTAAATATTAAGTGGTCGAAAGAGATAAATCCTCTTCAACAACTGCATTAAGTAAGAGATATATTTCCCTATTGTAGGTTTTTAGTTTGGCTTCAATTGTTATATAAATTATTATTTAGACATTTATTCAGATGACAAGCTTCTAATCAACTCTCTAAAGCATCACATGGAGAAGTAAACAGATTGAAATATGATTGCCTTTTAATCATTTAATTTAGAAATGGAGAAGCAAGACTGAGTCTCGATTAACAAGTAACGTTGCTACGATAATAAACAATCTATGCCACACCTTGTCAAAACTTCAAACAGTGATAACGTTACTCAGAATAAAGTAATTTGAATGAAATTTTCAATGTATTAATTTTGAATTATCTATTTTGGAACTATTATAGCAAGAATGGCCAGCACTTCATCTAAATCTTACATAATGCATCTGTTTCACCGTAGTCACTGCTTTCGAAATAATGTGTGAACAGAAAGTCGACTAAAGAATTGCTGTTATAACCAGCTGTTGCCAGGCAATATAGGCCCACATTTTGCAAGAGATGGATAGAGAACAAGCTAAAAACAAACCAGCGATTTTTCGTACAATCAGGGGCCATAATCCAGGAAGTTAGGGTCTGAAATGTGCGAATATCGAAAGGGACAAGATCTTTGGGATATAACGATATATTTTAAGTTTCATCAAAATTGGACACAAATTGTGACCTCTAGAGGGTCCACAACCTTCGTATTACATACTATTACAAAATTGCCTAAAAGGAACGGCCATTTTGTCAGGCAGTTTCAAGTGGATTTTCCTGAAATTTTAACTCAACCTTCATTATGGTGAAACGGTGATATATTTAAACGTTTTTTAAATCAGATAAAAATGTGACCTCTAGAGGATCCATTAAGAAGAACTATCACAATGGATGGCTCAATGATAAGATTTAGTCCAGAAGGGTCCCCATCCTCTTTGTTTACATTTGAATAAAAATGAATATTTTATGTAATCATTTATGACATACATTAATACTTTACTACATACCTTTCCTCTAACAGATAAATGAAGTTTTAATAATGGAGTCTGGTCTTTATTTGGTAATTGTGTTATTAACTTGTATCTGTCCTGTAATTAAGTATGATATATAAAATTACATTCAATACACAAGACAAATATTGAAAACAATTTAAAGATATGTTCCCTTAAGGTTAATTAGGTCACTTATTGGAACCCCAAAACTATAACGCATAAAACAACCAGGAAAATTAAAAGGATAGACCTGGGATGAAAATAAATAAAATAATATTATCATTTTTGTCTGTCAAATAGTAAAAAGGATGCATATGGCATGATTAAAGTAAACATCTACATGTTAGATAGTAACATCTAATGTGTTCTGTAGTGTGTGCATGCTATCACTTTTGATCTGAGGTTCAAATCACTGTTATTTGCCAGCTATAAATTTATGGATCATGGATCATGATTTGCAAATACCATCATTATCTTTCAATATATACATCTTATTAGACTGGGATGTTACTTGAAATGAAGTACATATACTCTTTATAATTCTTCCTGTAGACATTTATTAAAATTTATTTTATAGACAATATGGCATACCTCATGTTTTAAAGTTGTTTCATCTTCTATAGCCATTTGATGATCAGCAGCTACAGCATTGGCTATTATATTACATATATCATTACCTACTGTACTTAAAAGATGCTTACTTAACTGAACCTGACTATCATCTGAAATAATATATAAAACTTCAATATGGTTCAGAGTTTACATACAGCAAACAATGGTTTGTTATGTTTCTATTTAGTTACCTTCCAAAATCAAAAGTCCAAGTTCAAACTAAGCTCTATGCAGTGACAGCTGTTGTAAATGTAAACATACATAGGTCGCATTAATTTCAATATATGCTGATGACTTTGCGGTCAAGTTAGTTTACATTCTTTGTTTTTCAGTACATTATATTTGAATACACATGAAATAACTTTTACTTACAGTATCATAAAAGATCCTTTAGTGCATTTGAACAAAAAACCTTTTGAAAACACTCTTACTATAAAGCATTCAAAGGGTTTTCATGCAAAAAGGACAATTTTAGATTCAGTGTAAGTGTGGAAACAGGAACTCCCAAAACTGTTTGTGTGTAATAGATAACACACCGATAATAGACAATAAGCTCACCTTTAAATAATTTTACACCTTTTTCAAATAATTTAAGATTTGTCCACAGACCAGTTATTTTTTCTTGTAATTCATTATGTGTTTTCTTTCTATCAACACTGGATTTAGTACCTACTATTTCATTTAAAGTGGCGGATGCTACCTCTATATACTCTCTTGTTAAAGGTCTATAAAGATAAAATACAAAAACATCTTTAACTATTAATGGGTATATCTACATTTCAATAATGTGCTTAAAGACTTGAGTCTAAATCAGCGAGAGGAAACCAAAGAGTGAACCCAAAGAAATAGCATGTCACCAAACAAGCGAATACTTACACATCCCCCTAAATCTTTTAGTTATCAGAGATTCAAGTACCAAACTTGCCTTATTAAAGCAGTTTGCACAAGCATCCACTTAACTTCTTAAAACCACCTATGGCTATTCTGTGTAGTGAATATTAAGATATGAAAAACTCAGATCTGTCTCCAAAATATAATATCATCAAATCATGGCAAATCGAAATTACTTGCAATGATCTAGAAAGTGCTTATGCCTCTTTACAGTGACTTATTATAATAATATGATAAATTCTAAAAAAGAAAAAAATGTGAAAATATCAATCTTACTTATAAAGCTGGGTAGATATTTCTTTAACTAAACGTTCTGGACAATCTCTAAGGAATGGCTGTTCTCTAATAACATCTGATAATTCTTGTACACTCATAAACTCTATCTCCGGTTGAGAAGATTTACTTTGTTTTGAATCATCATCTGAATCACCTTTATCAGCATCTCTACCACGCCCTCCTTTTTTCTTTGTAGATTTAGTTTTTATTTCACGACCTTGTGTTCCTCCACCACTTTTAGTACTTCCACTACCAGCTTTAATTTAAGTACATGTAACAATAAATAAAACTTTATTCTTGTGTCAATTATCATAGCCCTTTTATGAATGAAATGGGGTTTAATATCCTACTTTCTGGACCGCCTTGCTTAATAAAGACAGGTGTACGCCATACAGTGTGCTATCAGGGAAATTTTACTGTACAACAATGCTACTGCCTACTCTTCTATCAAATTCCAACTCAATTTGTACACAGGACTTTGGTATTAGTATTGCTGTTTTGTCAATTAAAATAGTGGCCTTGATAGTACTTCTCACATACAGATGTTTAAAAATATAAATATCTACAAATGACTACCTGCTGCTTTTTTACGTCTCTGTTCTCTTCTTTCTTCTTTTACATCAATATAATCATCATTATCTTTACCTCTTCTATCTTCTTCTTGATTGAACATTTTAGGATTGGCTAATGCATCCTGTACAACATACATAAAAATCAATGAATTTTTATGGAATTCCTCCCGTAAGTCTCTAGAAAATATGTTGTAATTTACATCAACATGAAATCTAAATCCCCCCAAAATCTTATTAACAAAATAAATCTTCTTGATGTACACAATTTTTTACGAAAAAAGAACTGAAACTAACTACAACTGTAGTTACTTCCATTTTTGTTTTTGAATAAATGCTATCCTGCAATCCCTTCTACACAAAATTTTACCAACCTTTTTAGCCTTTTTAGAAACTTTATCTTGAAATAATTTATTACACTGAGATATTAATTTATCACTAGCTATCACTGTTCTACCACAAACAAAAGCACCTTGATGATTCTTTTGATAGGATGTTAATAACTGATAGGCATCATTAGAACTAAACACTGATGGTAATAATGTCTGAAATTACAATTAAATAACAAGTTTGGAAATAATGATTTTAGTTGTACTGTGTTGCAGACATGTATTATAAATAACATTAAAAACATAGAAAAGAGATAAATCTGTACCAGACAAAATGACAAGAACCAGAACTGTTGTATCTGACAAACTTGAATTTGTGTCTGACAATGTCTGTGACAGCTGCCTTCTTAACACAACATATATAAATACCCAGTCTTTTGATTTGTGGTTACCATATATTGCTGAAGTAAAACCGCAATGATACCACAATTCATATTGCTGCTTATTTCCAGGCCTTTTATTAAATTTGTTCTTTGTATCAAAATCTGTGTGCCGAAAGAGTATGTGATGATCAAAGTCTGATTGTCACATTAGTGAGAGATAATCGTACGTAACTAACGTATGAAAATTAATTGGTGGCTAGCTTTTTTTCCGCACATATACAGTGAATGGCCATTTTGCTCAGTAATCCCAGCCAGAATTTGGCTATTCTCTAAATTTGCGTTAAAGTTTAAAATATTTGTTTTAGAACTGAAATAAATTAACTATTAGTCAATCCCAACGCTAAAAACATCAACAGAATTGATTGTGTATATCTGAAATAGACACGACCGACGCACAAAATAGTGCCAAGATGGCAGCCTCTATGAACAACCATTCGTGGGCGCTGTCATTGTAGACAACGTCAATTCTATGAGCTGTAGATGTTATTTTTGTGAAAAATCATTGGAAGAAGAGAGGACATGTTGGGACTGTACCAATTATATAGTCTTTATGGGTGCAAAGGACACAATGCTGAAGATAAACCTATCGTGTACAATGTAACGTGTTGTTGACCTCATGACCCATTGACGTCAATGTCATGACCTGTGATGTGTAGATCACGTGATATGGATATCATGGCTATTGACGGTGTCTGAGATACTTCTCCGCAGGTAGCGTGTCTCAGATGTTCAGAATGAGAGATAATCTGACCACTGGTCATTCGTGCACAGAAGTAGATATTGAACCAAGTACAATATATACATATTGTTTAGAAGAGAGATTAATAACTTACAGATATATCAACCCAGCTATCTTGTGATAAAGCTTCATCAACAGAAGCCTCAACAAGATCTTGTATAACTCTACCAGCACAAGATGAACTCAGATAAACTATATCTTCTTGATGAAATCTCTGTTTTATATACTGTTGTACTTCAGATATACCGAGACGATGTAATGAAGCATACTCTGAAAACATAGAATAGATTGTTAATATGCTATATAATGACATATATTTAATAAAACTTCTAATCAATTTATTTTACAAATAAATGTTTAGTGAATTAATAATAATTTCTTGTAATAAAAACTGAAATGATGGAATTATTCCATAATTTGTTTACCTAAGTAACCATTTTGATGATAAAATGTATCCACCCAGTCATTCTGTGATTTTGTGTAAATATCTGGTGTAAAAATGGATCCCATCAAAGTTCCTTCTAAACGTTTGCTGTTAACTAAATCTTCCAAAATAGCTGCAAATATTAAAAAAAAACACACCTCAATCACTTATTATAAAAACAAGCATACAACAGAAAATAAAACTATATCATGATTATTTCTATTTATTAGAATAGTTATAAATTATTCAATAGTTGTACTTACACATGAACAAATTTTCTTGTAAACCAAGTAGATTCTGTATAGCTGTTATTGTAAATGGACTGAAAAAATAAATAATATTTAGTACAATTGTGTACCTGACCTAAATGTCAAGTTTTCTAGAGATCTTATCCAATAACACAATCAGAAAAAGAGGATAGTAATAGAATTGATTTATTTACCTGGTAATAGCACTAAAAGCACCTCTTATTTTTGCTTTCATGCGTCGTACAAAAGCTTCTGTAAATATAACATCTCTGTCAGTTTTATCAACTCTACCTTTAATAGTTGAACCAAGTCGAGACAGAACAACCTGTAAAAAATCGATCATAAATATCTATCTATGTCATTACTTAGTAGGTTTTCAATTTTTGCATTTAAAATTCCAGAATTATCTGGTACCATTATGCTAGATATAAGTAACTTATATTTTGTGTTACAATGTTATTATGTAATACTGTTATCAACTTATGACATGAGCATGCGCTGGATAATGAGATTCAATTAATTTAATCTGTTGATTTTGATGGTATGTCATACAATTAATTTTTCTTGACACGAACAAACCCTACATTAGTAACAATGAGCCTCAAGTTCAATGCCAAGATTTCCACTCTTTTGGTCTTACTTACCTTTGAAATAAATTCAAAAGGTAGGTCATATTGTCTAACTATATCAGCAATTTTAACATAACCTTGTTCTTGTAATTTATCATTTACTTCTTCTGCTAACTGATTCTGATAATTCCTAAAATAATCAAAATAAGAAACCAAATAAACTGAGGATAACAAATGTATTTACCACACATTATTCATGGTATTAATATTGGCAAGTTTGTTATTTTATTACTCTTTCCCTAATTCAAATTATATAAAGATAGCCCTGCAATGAGTGGAAATACATCTACAAGACAGCTATAATTTGAAACAAACCTTTGGGATTTTCACCTTATTAAACAGATGGATGCATGCACAGACAAAGATGAAAATTGTGGACGCTTAGGCTGCTGGATGGAGGTAACACAGAAGGCATGGTCCCAATGCCTCAAACCAAATTTGAAAAAATTCCATAAAAAACTCTAGTCTCCTCAACATTAAAAATAAATTGTTGACAAACTGAGATGGACAATGGTGAAAATTGATAGGGGTCATCTTCATAATGATATTGGCACACACAATAAAAATTAAACAAAAATCTATAAATATTTGTAGCCTGTAGAGTGAGCACAAGCCAAATGTGAATATACAGACCGATGAATGGAAAGGGTGATCACAATATACAGTGGGTGTATCAAAAATAGAGACCATATTACACAGAAAATATTTAAATTTATAACAATGAATGTGCATTGCATACTTACTTATCAATAAGTTGTCCTAGAATCAATGAGAAAGTTCCTTGTTTTATGATTTTATTTACTTGAACTTCAATTATATTCAAGTCAACATTCAAAATTTCTTGTAATTCAACAAGGTTGATCCGACCTGAAAACAAACAAGTGAACTCTTCAAAATTTTCATTAAACTTGCCATAACCTAAAGAATTGTCACAATCTACAGTACTTATCAATATCTAAGTGGAATTGTTAAATATAGTTAAATAACTCAAAATTTACTATTAACCTCATTAAATCTCATTTCTGACTTTTTGTGTTGAGTGGATGTTAAACCCCATGTCTCTCTCTTTCTCTCTCATTTCTGAGTTCTTAATATCTACTTCTAAACTTACATCACCAATATCTTTGCATTCAGATATGTTGTAACTCTGCAAACAGAATTACTTACCTCCATGTACAGCTAATTCTTCTTTGATTTCTTTAGATATTTCATCATGTGTTAGATATTCCTTGCCATCACATGTGTAAACTACATCTATCAAGTTAAATTCAACAAGTTTAGATACAATTTCAACAACATTTCTTTCCGATAATCTGAAATATATTTAAACATGAAAAAGAGGTATAGTTTACAGCATTGGAAGTCAATCACATCTGAATTTTTCTTGATGAATAGTTAAACAAAATTGTAAATAAAAGTGCAGTGGAATCTGTCACATTTGGCTTCTGAATACTATAGTATTTTGTCGCATTCATCCTAATTTTTTTCCTTCTTACAGCACTTCAACCAGGACAGTTTTGAGTAGTCTGTATTCTGAATATTACAGATTATGACATCAATTAGCAGTCCAGTCACATGAATAGCATTGATTTAACATTCTATAATCTGGTTTTTAATCAGTGGGTGTTAACCTACAAAAAATTGACAAGCATTCACCAACCAATCGTTGGTAAGATTAAAACCGTGTTGGTCTTTGTTGAGTTTCAGACATTAACCTCCCATGTGTAGCACATAGAGTGACAGACTGTAAATGCCAGTTAGCTTTCCAGACCATTCCTTCCCTTTTTTTTTTTTAAAATCTCTCCTGGATTTAGATTGAGTAGAGAAATTTCCATATTCGCAAGAAAGTAGAACTTCACAAACAAATCAACAATTATAATTAAATTAATTATAGTTACAAATTTGTTTACATATAGCTAGATTAATAGAAAATGAAATGAAATGGGCTTTAATGTCCTACTGTTCTGCTCCGACTGGGATAATGAGACAGGCATATATGCCATGCTGTGAGGGAAATTTTTCCCGGACAGCAATGCTACAGCCTACTCTTTTGTCCCAATCGAACAACTAGACAGCTGTCTTTGTCAGGACCTCCGTCCTGTACTAGTGACAAGGAGAATCCAAGCCGGAAAATCCCCTCGGCCAATGCCAGGAGCAAATCTGCAACCTCCAGGCTAGTGATGAGCCAGCATCTTACTCTCTTAGCCACCATGGCTCCAAGCTAGATTAATACAAGTGGAGTCTAATAATGAATCAGGAACAAAGCATGAAATCATCACAGAATTGTGACGACATATCTGAATTGGAAGTTAGTCAATTGATGCAAGATTGTCCAAAGAACGAACATACAAAGTGATTCTAGTTTCTTGTACTTGTGCAATCTTCCACCCCACTGCGTGAATAACTGAACTGAGTTTGTTGTGATGATTGTGAAAACAATCCATATGTTTACGACTTATCGTACGATTTTATTATAGTTATCATCGTTAAACTAGCAACACCATATTACGGATCAAAAGAAAGTGAGAGATTAACTAAAACCAATATATTTATATTACTTTTGTTTGGTAGCCGTTAGTTGTACGAGTCGAAGTTTCTCCTGCAGACGATGAACTTCTTCTAAGTCGGCCATGTTGGCAGTTTGTAAACTAAGGGGAACAACTCTGATCGATAACTTTCATGACAGGGTACAGACCACAGGTTCCAATAAATCGGGTAGGATAGTCGGCTACCGGTAGTAAAAGTAAAATAGTTCCATATTCTCAATTAATTTATTCGATTATCTAAAAACGGAGATACGCCTTTCCGTGCATTGTTAGATATCACAAAGCTCAAACTATAATTTGGGTGGATTTTATTGTCTGAACAAGTTTTTTTAAGTTGAAAACCCTGAATACGGAGCCTCAAATACCCAGAATACCCTAATCCAATCGAGCAGCCAGTTCATCGTGTCAACCGTTGTTTCATAATCCTGTGCTGCTCTGGCAATATTGAAACGTGTTGTTGAATTGTTTTTCTGTGTGTGCGAGGGGTGGGTGTATTATTAGCATCAATAAGGTTTCTTTAAATCTTATAACTATTTGTACAGAGAATATATCAAAGTTGCAACGAGTCTATGCACGCCAGAATAATTTGTCGTAGTGATCAGCTTTTAGTGATACTAATTGTTGAATATACATATGAATCTAGAAACTCTAACTATTTAAGCTTCATTACTTTCAAAATAATTGAATAATGCCATTGTTTAAATCTCTATAACACGTACGCCACTCACGGTAAACAAATGTTTGTTGGGTATAGCCTATATACCAAGTTAAGAATTTGAGTTTTCAAACGTTGTATTTGCGAAAAGAAGAGGTTTTTAAGATTTAATCAATTTTATAGACGGCCACAATAGAGTATGGTTTAACTCTATGCAAAGACTGGAGCGGATTCAATCCAATTAACAAACAAAACATAAGGTTTTTTTAAAAAAAAGTTGTTCGATCCGTTTTACGTAAACTAATAAAATATATTTTAACTGAAAAAAAAAAACCAACAAAAAAACATTTGCGAATCCAGGAGCGGATTCAATCCAATTAACAAACAACTCTTTACAAAGTTGTTCGATCCGTTTGACATAAACTGACAAAATAATGTTTTAACGAAAAAAAAAAAAAAAAAAAAAAAAAAATGTAATTTGCGTATTTCTGACGACAGCCACCCTTTGACAAATCCGGGCGTAGATATGGTTAATGACAATATACGAACATTATTTCTCCGATCGCCTTTTGAAGGATGTTTAATAAATAATGTAGCGGAGAGAGGGATGCGGAGGGAGCGACGGCCCCGAGGGCATCCAAACAGAGGGTGAAGTTATAAGTTTTTTGAATATATCGCTGCTTTGTTTTTACATAACATATTATATAAAATGTCTTCCTTTCCCACATTTCTGAGTACTAGCAATACTATGAAAGCTGGGTCTCTAAAAGAAATATCAGTTCCAATTAAGTGGTTGAATCCCGTTCAGTAGGCCTATGTCAAAACAAGACAGTGCCACCTACAATCTTGGTTCAGAAAAACTTTGATGGGTCTCTTTTTTTTCCAACTGAGTTGATAGGCTATTTCATCATGATTATCATCATCATCATCATCATCATCATCAACGGTGAGGCCTTTGGGTAGGTCAACGATTAGTTTTTTTTACACAGAGATCCATAGCATTTGTTAGAGCCTTAAGCTGCATTTCCTTTAGTACGGATCCGGTCCGGCTCCGGTCCGGTTGCGGATACGGAAAAAATCACTTTCATAGAATTTTAGTAAGAGTGTTTCTTTATGTGCGGGTGCGGATACGGTTCTCTATGCGGCGTCCGGTACGGTTTTTCGAAACGGACCATGTCGCGATCGGTACGGTAACGCATGCGGAACCGTGTCCGTAAACGCACATAAGGAAACACAGTTTGGGTAGCCCGCACGGCAAAAAGCTAAAAATAGGTAGGGAAATTCCAATCAGAAAAAGAAAAGATGAAAATCGAAAGAAAGGACATAGAGAAACTGATTGAACTTGTACGTGGCCATCGATGCCTGTATGATGCAAGCTGTGCAGAATATGTGTAATTCCTGAACGAGATTATTGAATGCTCCTTGTTCCTTTCGTCCTTCCAAAATAGGGTGCACCCCCCATCGGTGTTTTCTTTTGTTTTTACTTTTCTTTATCAGTATGTATGCTGCAGCCAATATTATAAATGTTTTTCTTCTTCTACGAACCATGACAATGCCGGTGCCATGTCTGCTCCCGGACCGGAGCCGGACCGGATCCGTACTAAAGGAAATGCAACTTTAGTGTTACATTGTGAAGTCAGTGCGGGGCTAAGTTAGACTATCTGGGTGTGGCGTGGTGGTGCGCTAATGAGACGAATAATATGAATATATGCGGGGACTCCAGGCTTTATAAATCCAGGCGACATTTGGATTTTGTTTTCGTTAATTAAATGGTAAAAATCAGTTAAAGAATCCTTTGGCATGAATTAAGGCGTGAAAAATATATATATTCCGAAAAATGCAAAAGCAAAAGAATTCGGCTAAGTTTGTCGAATGTATCTGTGCTAGCCACGTGTCGGACGGTACCACAGTTTCTGCATAAGTAAACTAACTAAACTGTCTACGCCTATAAGTTGTTATTGTATAACTAATTACTGCCCGCGACTAGTAAGCCATTTTGAAAAGACAAAAGATGAGTTATTTATTAAGTAGACCATTAATATGAACTTTGGGCGGGAAACGTTTTAATCAGGAAGCTGTTAAGTTACTGTAGGCTATAGCTGTAGCTGTTTTCATGTTTGTATGGCAAGTCTGAATTGAAAGAATAAGAATTCTGTTATTCAAGGGTAGAATAAGAACTTTTGTCTAATCGGTCAAATTAAACATTTTGCCATAAAATAATTCACATAAAACAACTCGGTAGCCTTATTTTTATACCCGCGATATAGCCACCTTTATTTTTACACCAACTTTAAATAACATTTTACGCCACTCGATCATATTCGCGTTTAGAAACAAACATTTTTATTCGACTGTGTAATTGATCCTTTAATGTTTTTATAAATGCCGTGTTTTATCTTTTATAATCAACTTAATCCGATAAATATAATAGCCGTCGCAACAGCCCTCCTGCAAAGCTCATATTATCCATGTTGCCATGGAATGAAAACGATAGGATTTAAAATATACTTCCACGAAAAGAAGTCCCCGAATTGTTTTATGTTAAAAGTTTTTTATTTGCATATTAATATCTAAATATTACATTTGATAGTTACAACCCTGTTTACAAATACATCCACATCAAATACGGTGATAAACGGTTAAAAAAAGAATTACATTACCCCCTACTGTGATATTGTATTATTACGCGCCTAACCACCTGTTTGCGTCTGCTCGCGAGACGTGAACATTATAAGATGAGTAGAAGTTCGGACTTGTAAAATCAGTTTTATTAATTAGTTGTTTGTAGTTGTACCTCAGACTGCCAGAGGTGTATTAATCAAATTTTGTACAATGGCAGATGTGGAAAGAAGCGAGGGACTGAGCGAGAAAGAAGCAAACAAGCCAGATAGCCCTAAGCCTGATCAAGAAGTTGCGCCTCCGCTTGTTTCTGTCAAGAGCGATAAAGGTTTGTGGTGTCAAATTTCATCCCATATTATCAATGACAAACATCTTTGTTTACAAATGGCTACCTTGGTTGACAACTGTTCGTAAAAAATGTCTTTATTCTCGGTTACCAATATCTATTTCTCTAATTTTAAATTAGGTCTTTTAATACTCTTAAACTAAACACTAGGCCCTATCTTTTCTTTCCAAATCCAATCCCACATGCCAACCTGTTTAATGTTTGGACTCTTGAGTACGGGTATTTAACTATTTTGTAATATAGTGTTAATAAATACCATTCACCCGTTACATCTAATTTTTACTATGGGCGCATTGGGGTTGCTCAATTTTGGACCAGTTTTATTTGACCTAGGTTGAAGAATTACTGTAGATAAATTGTTTTTCCTAAATTATATATAAATTATAAATGATAGTCCCGAATTTAAAACCACTGCCGTGCCGGCCGAAGCTGTCATTTAAAAAAAACAAAAAACAACTGTTTTCTGATGGTAGACTTTTAGGATCTTCATTTAAAGAGACAATATCACTTGTAGGGCCTAACAAGACTTTGAAAACTATTTTAAGTAATTATCCCCAGTCTGTTTAAAATAACCATGTCCATAGATTACTTGACTGTATGCGACTTTTCGGTGTTTTGTTTCGATCATCATGGTCAAGAGATTCAAAACATGTAGAAAATATCATAGATTCTGTTCCAGATAGGCTATGTAACCTATAGATTATTTTTATCATTTACTTTTCCAATCTGATTAAAACACAGATCCATTTCGTTCTGATTTTATAGTTCAAAATTTCGTTTTACTTGTCTTCACAACACTAGGTTATGAAAGACTTGTTATACCGACATTCTGGTTCTGGGATTAGCCAATGAAATGAACTGTTGTGGCAAGTTCTTGGCGTGTGATACACAGAACTGAGAGTAAACCACTAGAAATGTCAACACTGATTGATTAATCAATGTCTGAAGTTATCTAGGGTCAAAAGCTGTTCGTACAACCCACACGCGACCTTGTATTACAACCGGTCAGATCATCATGTTGTGTAGGCCATCGAAAGTTTAAAGAAACAAAATGAAATATAGATGGCACTATCAGTAGGCCTATTTCTAACTGCTTTCCTGTCATTAGGTGGTATTGTTTTGGACACTACTGGTTCCATGCAGCTGTTTTACATGTGGTAATATTGATCAACCACACATTGAAATTGAAAACGTATTTCGTGACAAGGAGTAGGGTTGCCTGTCCAACCTCGTGGGTTTTCCCCGGGTCCTCCGGTTTCCTCCCACTGCTAAAGACCCCTATGCGCAAGCGAATTATTGAAATAAAAAATTAAACCATATGTTAGTCCCGAAATGACCTAGTTTGTGTCGAGTGGACGTTAAACCCCATTTCTCTCTCTCTCTCTGAAAACGTATTTGTAAAAAGTATCCCATAGCTCCAGAAAGTTACAAATGACTAAGAAAAGGTGTTCAGGAGTCTTTAACCACAAACTAACCAGATTTATTCATTAGAATATATTTGGGGAGTATCATTTATTAGATGCACTTGTCAGAAAAAGATTGGCAGATTTTGCACACAATTTAAGGTTAGCATGTGTAAACGTATTAGAATTAAGTCAAATCGAAAAAGAAATACCATGCAAAAGTTGAATTTTCTTTTTAATGTTTAGGCCTAAATGTTGTCAGTAGAGTGTGTGTGTGTGTGAAATTTAGTTTTTGTTAATGTCTGCTTCCACTGAAGTGATAACTCTAAAAGAATTGTACCATATACAAATGGCAGTATTTCATAAAAATTTTCAGTACTTGCAATAAAAATGGAGCACAATTGATCCTAGAAGCTTAACCATTATTGTGACGTTTCAGTAAGTCACACTAAGGCTCATTGGTTTTTAATAGTTAATGTTTCTGCCAGCTAAATATGTTCGAAAAATTTGGCATTAGTCATCAGTTACCAATATTAAGCAAGGTCAAAACACCTAAAATATTCTACAGTCCTTATTATAGTGTTTACAATGTGACTAGTCCAATGCATAACTTGGTAGTTACTGGGACATGCTTTAAGATACAGTAATATAATGTGTGAACAGTTCATTGATTTGAGTTAAGTCACTTAAGCTGTCATACAGGTGATAAATCATATTCATAGAGGCTATTCAGACATAAAAGATTGTCTGAGTTATTTGGTATAAACACTTATCTTGCCAATTCATAGTACAGTTTATTTGAATGTACAGGGTAACAGGCAACCAATCTTTATTAACTGGCCTATCCAGTATGATTAACTTACCTGTATGTGTAATTTATTTTTCTCGCCTAAATCAGGTAGAATAAATAATTGACTAAATTTCCTGTGTGAGTATAGTATAGTAAGATCTTTTTTTTTGTCTCTACTAAATCAGACAATATATAATTGACTAAAATTGCCTTGTGAGTATAGTATGATGATCTCATATTTTCATAAGCTAATTCTGGGTCATTATACAGAATGAGGAATATAATTTAACACCTGAGTAGTTTTGATTTAATTGTAAAATTCATAAATACAATCCATTTTTTTTACTACTAGTAATATGGCTTTTTTGTAATATTAATCCTGTTTGATTACAGATTAGACAAAAGTTATTTTACTCGTACATTTTATTTGTATTAAAGAATAAGGTTATTGAATGGATTAAAAATGGCAACTAAATAGTTTTAAAAATTCTATTTTCAATATCAGTTGAAATATTTACAAATGTTAATTTGATAAAATCAACTAATATTAAAAAATTATCAAAAATGGTTTTGAGGGAAATATACTGATTTCAAAAGGTTTTGAAATTAAAAAAAAGGTAAAAAAACCTGATTATTTCAAATTAAATATTCAAATAGCAATCAATAATTACTAAGATTATTCAAATAGCAATAGCAGCATTCGATGTGAACACTACCACAAATATATATTTATAATTTCTTCATAAAAAAGTTAATTTTTATGTTCCAGATGAAAAGAAAGCTGAAGATAAAACTGATTCTAAGCCAAGTAGTAATGTTAACAAACCCAAGACAAAGGCCAGCTTGCAACCAGCAAAGGTATGAAACAAAATATTCTTTAAAATTGGATACAATAGTCTAATCTAAATACTTTTGAAGTACATGTAGTTCACTTTTTGTAATGTATGGATTTATCCATTAATATTGTGATATTGTTTGTACAGAACATTGATTATGGAATATGAGAAAACTGCTCTCTATATTATTTAATTGATATCAATATTGTGTAGCAGATTATTCTGAACCATTTTTATTTTTGGGAAAAATAAACTTATTTATTCTCCAGAAAATAAACCGGTCTCAAAGTTTTTATCTTTTAATCTACTCACTTCTCTTTTATTTTCTCAGGCTGTTAGTAAAAACACCAAAAACGTTATTTTGTCTGGTGAAGCTGCGAAAGAAATGCAGAAAGCTGCTAAAGCGAATAAAGATGAAAGAAGATTAATGGTAATTGAATGGATTTTTATACTAAAATGATAATCGAATTACATTTAAAAATTATGGTCTTTTGATTTTGAAGAGCATAAATAATGCACGATTTGCTTAAAATGATCAGTTGTGGTAACAAATAAAACTGTTAATTACTGAAGAAAGAAACCTACACTGACTTATTGATGAATCATGGAAACATCGGGTTGTGATAAATATCTTTTATCTTTATTGATCTATCAGCTCCTAATTTGTTACTGTCTTTCCTTATTGATTATTGACATGATACTTCCTGAAACCTATTAACCCGTTCTATTGTTATCGGTTCATAATAATAGTCTTCCAACAAAATTGATTAAGGGCCAATTCTTACGTGTTGGAATCTTGCATCTTCTAAAATTCATGCAAACACCAAGAAAGTTTGCATGATACCAATTACTGCTGCGAAGAAATAAGTAATAAATTATTTATACATCATGGTCTTGTTCAGTTGTTCCCCTCCATGTTATCAGTTTGATTATGCAGTTTGAATTGAATGGTTTCAACACAAACACCTGTTTTCCTGTCTTTAATTATTGTGAAATCATTTGGAACACGCCAGTTTCCTGTCACAATATATTATATTATTATATAAGACAATAAGTATGTCTAAATTAATGGATGAAGGTGTATCAGATTCTGGAATTGAATTGGAATGTTATCATCAATCAAAAGCTCCTTGTGTAAGAATATCACATATTTATTATTCGTGTCTTTATTAATATAGTATAAAAAGAGTATGGTTGATCAGGCACAATGAGTATTACATTTTTTTTCTTTTCGTTTTTATTGTTATATCTATGTAATATCTATCACATAGGTTTAAATATTTTATTGATGAACAAATATTATCTTGATTTCAGTTGGATTCAAGACACACCTATTTATTTAATCAGGTAAATTTCAAATGCTATTTGGTTTTAATGACAAAGAATTATGCAGGTTTCACTGACTATGTCAAGGCATTTGCTATGGAATTTCCAAAGGGGAATATAAGCTTAAATGATTAAAGAAGGTCAACACTATTCAAGGATATATATAATCTTGTAATCTGATGCTTTATTGACATTATGATAAGATTTACTCTATTATCTCTTTACAGATTGGAGATTCTATTGGACTGGATTTAGCTACTGTTGAAGATTTTATTTTAGGTGACGATAAGGTAAGAAAAAATTTAAGACCATGTTTAACTTTTGACAAAACAGACACACAGGTTAACAGTTTTTAAACTAAAAAGTATTTCCAATCTCACTTCTCTGGCCTATAATAGAAAACCACCTGCAAAACGTGATAGAAAGCTATTGAAGAAAAAAAAGAAAAGTAAGCAATCTCTAACAGGTAACTATCAAATTAAGTGAATAAATCTAGAGACTTAAGATTTTGATTATATTTTTTATTTCAGTTTGATTTGATAGGACCGTTTTTACAACAGAATGGGTCACGAAAACTAATGTTTTTCTATCAAGATATCAGTGTAAGTAAAAAAATTATCATACTGCCTAATTGACAAATTTGAACAATTAACTGATTTAATTAAACTGTAAATTGAATATTTTGTCTTGGCTGTCATAAGTTTAAAATTTAACCTTGGTAAACAAAATCAGAAGTGAATTAGTAATTTGTCAAATTTATGGCAAACTAAATACTAAAAGATTAAAAAGTAAAATAATTTTTTTTTTTTTTTCGTTTTAGCCATCATCAGGTACTGCTCAAAAGAAACTGTTCCTGACCAATGGAGACTCTGAGGTAACACAAATTTTGACCAGTTTTTCAGCAATTTACTCGAAAACAATACATGTACTTGAATCAAGACGTTGTTTCATCTGACAATCTGATATTGATACATTCAATCCATCATTTTATATTTAAATAGATTCAAGAATAATTAATTGACCACGGTTGAATATAGTTGTCAATTACCTATTAAAGCTTACTAGTATTGTAATGTTTTCTCATATTTCAGGGATTACATGGAATTTGTTTGTACTTTCTGAGAACCACAACTAAAGCTATAACTGTTGCTAATATATCACAAGAAGTTAATTTTGGTATGATGGATGGTAGTAATGGTAAAATATTAAATGGATTGGAGAAACATTTAGCTAAAGTTGTTTTACCAGCTCTCAAATCACTGGAGGTAAATATAAAGTTGATTTATAAGTTGTATTTAAAGTAATATAACTGGAAGAGAATGATTGCTTTGAAATATCTATCAGTACCCTAATGATAAAGTCACAAAATCATGTTCTGAAGTTTCTGTATATGTATTTATAACTTATGTTTGTTTCTTTTATAGCAATGGGGATCTCTAAGTACTGAAAATGGATCAAACCCACAGATTGACGATTTTCTCGAACAGTTGGAGAAGTTTAATAAGAATCTTTTATCAGCATTAGATAATATGCAAGGTCAGGTGAAATTAGCCGATAATGGTACAGAAAACATTTTGGAAGGAATGAATACAGTAGCAGATTATCAAACAGCAGGTACAATATATCTGTTATTAGCCAATATTACAGTAAAATTAATATTTTACTTTCTACAAGCCATTATGGCACCTGTAGAACAATTACTTAAAAGAAGAAAATATCAGTTTTGTCAGTTTTATTTATAGTTTGCCATTATTAATTTGAAATCCTACTTTTTTTAGCTGGTAATACAGAAACTCTAGAGAAAATGGAGGAATTATTGAGTACATGGTCTAAACAGATAGAACAAGTTTTAGCAGAGAGTGAACAGATGAGACGTGAAGCTGATGATATTGGTCCAACTGCTGAATTAGCTTACTGGAAATCAAGAATGGCCAAATTTAACACGTGAGTTTGTCAAAAAGATATTATCTGACTGATAAATTTATATTCAATGATATGAATCGATTTTTGATAAATGAATGATTAGATTATTAAAGTTAACAGATTGCTGAAAGAAATGTAACCGACTGTGTTCTGCTTTCTTTTATAATACAGTAATCCATTTATTATTTTAGCCTACTTGAACAGATGAAGAGCCCTAAAGTGAAAGCTGTTCTTGGAGTACTCCAAGTTGCCAAATCTAAAACTTTAAAAATATGGAAAGACTTGGTTAGTATCAAAGATTGATTTTTTTAAATTATGGGCATTGATAACAAAATGTATAATCATCTATAAACCTACATTATAATAAGATTTAAATAAGATAGGATTTCTTATCGCTTTAGCCATGCCAAAATATTGTAATTTTATCTACTTTTAATAAAACCATTAGATATTGTAGATTAGGTACTCGTAATATGATATTTGTAAATTAATATCTTCAATTTAATTTTCCAGGATGGTCGTATAACAGATGCTGCTAATGAAGCCAAGGATAATGTCAAATATCTGTACACACTAGATAAATTCTTTGGACCTCTTGTCAAATGCACACCAGTAAGTTTTTGTCTTTTCTTTCACTGAATCTAAACCCTACTGATTGAAACTTTGATTTCTATGACTTATTAATTTCCAGTTTATTAATATAAAGTGGGGAATAGGTTTGTATAAATAATTTTATTTACCAATTGTTTTTTTTTCTTCAGGCCACTATGGTGGAACATATTCCAAGTTTGATGAATGCCATTAGAATGATATACAGTATTTCTCAGTACTATAATACATCAGAACGTATGACATCATTGTTTGTAAAAGTAACCAATCAGATGATTACAACATGTAAAGCGTACATCAACCAAGGAATCACCAAAATCTGGGAACTTCCAAGGTAAAGGGTTCACAATACTTAAAATGTCATCTGGATAATTATGGGTAGTAGTCATTATGTTTTAGTGAATGGAATTCAAGAGCGAGTCCTATGACCATGTTAATACATTTTTTGAAAAAAAAAAAAAAAAATTGTTAGTGTCACAATTACCATGAGAGATTATTAATATCTCTAGTTCAATTTGAATACCAGTAGCGTAATTGATTTTGAAATATTTCTTTGTTGAAATTCATTTTATTTATTTATTTTCAGAGATCAACTGCTGAAGAAATTGAATGAATGTATGAAACTAAATGAAGAATACCAAAAGCAGTTTCAAAAGACGAAGCAAAAACTGAAGGAAAATCTAAATGAAAGACAGTTTGAATTCAGGTATTATAAGAATTGCATTCCCCGAATTGAATTTGTTTAGTCTTATATGAAATTATAATGGCCACAGTTGTTTCTTATTTGATTCATGTTCTAAATCTCTATCAAACTTAAATCAGACTTTATTATTTTCCTTTTATTTTTCAGTGAAAATTACATCTTTGGAAAGTTTGATACATTCTGCAAAAGACTGGAAAAAATCACTGATATGGTTAATACTATTGAAGTTTTTTCTGGTTTGGCTGATGTGAAAGTTGAAGGCATTGAAACAATAGCTGTGAAGTATAAAACTATTGTGGAGGCCACTAGAAAGAAAAATTATGATGTTCTTGATCACAGGAAGGGAGAGGTAACTTTATTATATTTGTCTTCCTATGGAGTAAATCATGATACAGGTAAAATAGGACAAAATAATATGAAACTTAACAGTGCCTTTTTATTAAGTTTTAGTTTATTGCGAAGTCAAGAATGTGAGATGTCAAAAATATATCAATTTTGAATATTCAATTGAATACCTAGGTTTTGAAGGAATGGAACAGCTTTAATCATTTTAGGTAAACTTCTTGTTTTTCCAAATGTTTACAAGGATTTTGTTTGAGATATTAGTTCCATCTGTTGAGGTAATGAGATCTCAGAAGTTTTGTTAATGTGTAAATTTAAATTGCAACGGTACATTTTGTTTTGTTGTCTTTTTTTTCCAGTTTGATATTGACTATATGGAATTTCGTAATCAGATTGATAACTTAAGAATGTCTATTCAAAATTTTATGGACTCTTGGTTCCAGAGATCCCTTAGTGTAAGTAAAAGATCTGTTTCCTTATGCTGAAATGAAAACCATTGTCAGTGATCCGTAAATCTTTGATTAATTTAATTCTTGTAAACTAAAATCTTCTGTAATTTGATTGTCAGGTAAATGTAAAATACATTTCTCTTTTTTTAAAGGCTAATCCTCTATACCAGCACATGGTTGCCCATTGTAATTAGTGATGGTTGCAATTTCTTTTGTTTTTACAGATGGAAAAAGCCATTGAATTACTTGGTAAATTTGAGTCTATCAAGGGTGCCCAACTTGATATGAACGACAAGTATATGAAAGTAATGATGGCTTATGGTAGAGATCTAGAGAGTATTAGGAAAACTTACCAAAAGTTTAAATCAGAACCTACCATACCCAGAAATCTTCCACCAATAGCTGGTAGGATAGCATGGGCCAGACAGCTTTACAGAAAGATTGAATCACCCATGAAAGTCTTCAAAACTAAACCAGAAATTCTAAAAGTAAGACCTGCCACAAAATAACCTTACAGTATGTTTTTGAAATAAAGTTATTATTTTAAGTATACAGATTGAAATAAAACAATCAAATTGAAGTCAATGATTCTATGTTCATTTTATATATTTCAGAATACTGAAGCCAAAAAAGTTATCAGGAATTACAACAAAATGGCCGGAGTTCTTCTAGAGTATGAGGTAAGGTTATAATTATCCTTTTAGAAATTGCCTTTTACAATATATCTACCATGTATAAGAAATAATGCTATTTATAGTGTCCCAGAATGACCAATCCTAATGCGAAAACTGTTTTTATTCTTAGATGCTATATCATCGTGGTTGGTATAGGGCTGTAGAAGCAGCTAAAAGTGGACTTCATGCCTCACTGTTGGTCCGGCACCCTGATACAAATGAAATTTATGTGAACTTTGACCCTCAAATTATGGAGCTAATACAAGAAGCCAGGTGCTTACAGGCCTTGAATCTTGATGTACCTGATGCCGCCAAGGAATTGATAGTTAAGGAAGAATCTATCAAAGAAAATCATGTTGCGTGAGTAATTTATCTGACTTGTTCTATGAATAATTGACATGGCTGTATCAATATCTTGATCTTTAATTTTGCTGGGAAGAATTTTTTTTTGAGCCAATTCATTTAAACTGTTTTTGATAAAATCTTATTTAATGGGTTTTTTTTTATGTGAAAAATCAAGGTCTCATATTATTATTAGGTCAGTAATTATTTTTAAAAACAATTTTTTAACTTTTATTTTTCAAATTAATTCAGTTCATAGATTTTTTGAAATTTATGTGGATTTTGATATTTTTTGGCAGATTACGTGAGATGTTGAATGGCTATAAGGACATTTTATCCAAGATTCCCAGTGTTTTATTGCCACTGATAACACCATTTAATAAGAGAGTGGAGGAGGCATTAGCACCTGGTTTGTCTACACTGACATGGACATCTATTAATTTGGATGGTTGTAAGTATTAACAGGATACACAAATTTATTAAACTGTTGTGCATAGAGAGTAGATTATTTTTGTACATTAAAATTTAATGTACAAATTTTGTGCTTTTGTTTGGGTAATTCATCTAAGTCAACCTTTTTTATTATTAAAATACTTTGTGATTGTTCTCTGACAAGTAACACAATTTAATGTCATTTGCTGTGGAATTTGTTAAAAAAGAAGTTTTCAAGAATTTGCAAGGAGTTAGATACTTAAATTTCTGGAATTCTGCATTTAAGTTAAATTGTTAGATTCTCTCTGTTTGAATATACATGAATTTAGGGTGTGTATGTACATAAAGTTAAGATGTTCATGAATGTTGTTATTTATTGCAGATATCAAGAATATCTACAATGTGATGACAGAGTTAGACAAGTTGTCTAAAACAGTAACTGATATACTAGAGTGTCGTATAGAAGCTGTATTACAAGATATGTCATTAACTGCTTTATGTGATCTACCTGATGATGAAGCTGTTACAGCTGAACAGTTCTTAAACTTAACTACAAATGTAGTTAGCTTAGCTTCAGAATCTCTGGCTAGGTAAGTGACGTTAAAGTTCCTTTTTGTCAGTTAAGTTTTGTATATACTTTAGATTTAGATAAATGCAGCAGCAGCCATTTTTTCAATTTTTATTATGCTTTATTTGAACACCATTTACATTTTGTATATTATGTTTCTAACTTATAGATTGCATAAAAATTGTGTTCTGTTAATTATAAATTGCAGTCAGAGTCAGTTGGTAGAAAGATCTGTTACTGAGTTAGTAGAAGCTATACAGAGCAAGTTATCACCAACAGAAAAAGTCAATCTTTCAGCTGAAGAAGGTTATACATGCATTCAACCCGATACCAAGAATAAAAAACAAAGATGCCAAGAATGTCTACCATGTAGTTATTATCAAATACTCAACTATTTCACACAGAGAAATACCGAAGCCTTGGTTAAATGTAAGTACAGAAAATGTTAGTCTAAGTTAAACTGGATACTTGAAACTATTATTTGATTAAAAAAAACACCGCACAGTTTTAAGGTATAGAACAGTATTTTAACTAAGAACACATAAGTTTTCTTGAATATTGTTTGAATTTTCATTGAAACCTGTTTATCCATATTAATATTATACTATTTTATCTATTCTATTTAAATAGTAAGTGAAGGCGAACTATTCTAGAATTTTCTTTTCCTTTCATAGGTACAAAACTATCATTGGATACCATCAAACGACGTCTGCAGGCATCAAATCGTTATAGTCTAGGTGATGAATTGAAGGAAGATCCTAAACCACCATTGTTTGTGGTAGATGTTATTCTAGCTATACCTAATGTTGTTGTTAAACCTAGTTTAGATGATTTACAACATACCCTGAATAAAGCTGTACAAATCATTCTAAAGGCATCATCAAATATTCCACAATGGGAACATCTAATGCTTCACCAAAAACAACAACAGAAGGTAAGTCTCCTTTAGAGTAGGCAGTGCTCTGAAATTAGGAAAACTCTTGAGTGTTTGCACAAATCCCTTCCAATGCTAAGTCTGTTATATCTGCAAATTTTCAATAATTTCTATTGGAAGGCAATCAAATTGGAAAGAGTTCTGCTTTTTAACCCGCTGTTGTGTGAAGTTGTTTGAATTGTAGCACTATCATAATATTATGTATATTTATATACCAATTTGTTTCTCTTAGACTCAGTTAATTTTGTTTAAATTGTCAAGTTTCTCATGTTATTTGTATATCAAGCTGCTTGAACTGTATTATACTATAATGAAGGTCAGTTTCATGTCATTGAGCACTGGCTAATGCTATAGAGAGAGAGTTTTATTAAAAATACAATAATATGTATGTTTCAGCATCTTAAAGGTTGCACAGGTTGATGTATTATAATATCACTCTAGATTTAGTCTACTTCTAGTCTATGACTCTTACATTATATATACCATAGTCTAAATGCATACTTAGCATTTTATCTTACAATATAGTCTTTATATAATAGTGTAATTAGTCCTTAAAATATTATTTTTTTTTTATCAAGGTTTTATACAGAAATTAATTAATTTTTTAAATTATCAACACTGAGTAGTGCATGTTTTTCATTTAAATGACCAAACTAATGTCTGTGAATACAAAGTTCAGATACAAATTTGAATAAATTAAGAGTAGTATTGTAAGTTTATAATTAGCTTAAGTTTTCCATAAAACTATAATATTCTTTTACTTTATATGATATTTCAATGTTATAGTGTAGTTGAAAGATGTATGCCAAGGGTCAGTACCTAGCATACATATTAATACCAGGGTATTAGCATGTCAAGTTATAGACTTAGATACTTTTAGTTGTTTACATTGCCTATTTAGTAGAAGATTAGTTTTTGTCTTGAATATCCAAATAGTAATAGATCTCCATTGATTAGACAATAAATCTAAGATATCTGGCTATTTTCCTCCAATTTTTGTTCAATTCTGAAGAATCTCACAGAAGTTTTAAAATATAATAAGAAAAAATATAATGTCATAAACAATATCGTACTGTACATATGTATTAATTCTTCCCAAGACACGAAAAGTCAGAAACTAATAATATTACTTGATTGGGTGACTTTATGATTGTATTGATTACTAATACTATAGGAAGCTGAAATGGCTAATGCTGATGATAAGGAAGATACCACCAAGATGATTCCAGTCACTCAGATTAAACCACTAGATAAGATCATTAGTGATCATAAAGATGTTGTTAAGATTGTCATTCAACTGAACTCTATTATCAGTACCTTTAAAGGAGATGTACAAGAAAATCTGGATGGTTATACTAAGTATTCAGAACTTTGGACAAAGGTAAAATATTTAAAACAAAACAAACATACATCCTGTTTACTTATTTCAGAAAATTTCTGAATAAAATATCTTTAGAAATTACAATTATTTTATATATATTTAAGCATAGTTATTTGACTTAAGTATTACTTAATGCTTATTCATATAAAACTGATATTAAAATCGATGTGACTTTATTTTATTTTAGACCCCAGATGAAACAGTAAAGGAATTTATGGCAACAAATCCTTTGATGTCAGAAATCGAATCCCAGATCAAATACTATCAACGCCTGGAAACAGAAGTGGAAGAAATTCATGCTTCATTCCGCGTAGGGTCTGTCATTTTCCAAAATGATAAACTTGTTTTGGCATTGGTTACTGAAACCAGGAATTGGAAAATGGCCTATGCTAAGGCTCTCAATGAGAAATGTGGCCGACAGATGGATGAAGTATTAGAATTTACTGAAAATTTGATGAAGAAATTGAGTCGTCCCGTTAAAGATCTGGATGATGTTAGAAGCCACATGGCTGGATTGAGTGAGATTCGTGAGAATGAAGTTCGTATTGATATGACTATAACACCTATAGAAGAAACCTACGTCTTATTGAATAGATACAATATATTTTTTAATGATGGTAATGCTGAACGAGTTGATTCACTCTCTTATAGCTGGAAAAAACTCAATCATCAGGTGAGTTTATCTAAATATATTATCTTTCCTGTATTTAATCTGAGACTGTGTATATGAAGTTATCATTAAATTATGAATCACTACCAGAATTGAAATTCAAATAACGATTCTGATATTAAAACTGATTTTGGGGGTTAAAAATGTAATTTATTTTAATCATATCAGTAATGTATAAATGTGATTATTGAATGTTCTGTGGGTTTTTTTTTTCTTTAGGTGACATCGGTACAAGAGCACTTATTACAAATTCAACCTGCCTTTAAAGCTGATCTGTTGGCAGGTGTAGAACAATTTAAAAAGGATACTGATGAATATGTTGCTGAATATGATAAAAGGTACATATAGTATTAGTTTGACTTATCTTGTGGTTCTTAAGAATTTTCAAATGACACAATCTGTTTTAATGAAAGGTTTATTTCGGACCACAGATTTATTTTGAAATTCTTTCAAGAAACGCCTGTTCCTAAAATCATTGTTTCTGTTTTAGTGGACCAATGGAGGATGGTATTGTACCAAGAGAAGCTTCTGATCGGTTGAATATCTACCAGGCTAAATTTGATGAACTCTATCGCAAATATGTCACATATTCTGGTGGTGAGGAGTTGTTTGGTCTAGCTCAAACAGAGTATCCTGACTTGATGCGTATTAAGAAGGAGTTGAACTTGTTACAGAAACTGTATCAGTTATATAATACTGTATTGGAGAATGTTAATGGTTATTATGATATTGCTTGGGCTGATATTGATATTGATAAAATCAATACAGAATTACTTGACTTTCAAAATAGGTTAGTTGCAATACTTTTACTAAATTAAAAAACTAATTGATATAGATTTAATTTATTCTCAGTATCGTTAGAGAATTTTTATCATAAAACTTTAATTTTTATGGTGACATTAGATATCAAATTATTAATTATTTCTAAAAATAACAAACATTTTGTTACAAAACAAATTTATTATTAATACAAGAATCTTTATTAATTATGACTGCTGCAGAGTTGAAACACGGTAACTCGCTACAATATCTGTTATGAGCACATAGATGCATGTCTAGATATCTCTAGTTTTATTAGTGTAGAAAATTATCAAAAATGTAGATACAATCGCACATAAGAATAAGGTATTTTTACACAGTTGTATGTGCATGTTGTTGTTTGTTCAATATCTATTGTCTTAATTAAACTAAACAAAAATGATGAAAATAGATTTAAAAACCATTATTTAGATTGTATTACTATAAATGATGATAAAAATATCTAAAATAAAACTTATGTTGTAATAGATGCCGTAAGTTGCCAAAGGCCTTAAAGGAGTGGCAGGCCTATGAGGATTTGCGGAAAACTATTGATGATTTCAATGAGACTTGTCCCCTATTGGAGATGATGGCTAACAAAGCCATGCAGGGTCGTCATTGGGAAAGAATTTCTCAATTGACTGGACATACACTAGACGTTGAAGCTGATAACTTCATGTTAAGAGATTTGATGAAAGCGCCACTCCTACAGTATAAGGAAGATATAGAGGTAACTTGGTTAATTCTATTTCATCCACATGATTAAATTTTAATATTATGACTAATCACTAATAGAATTATTTATTAAACAATTGTAGATTGTTGAAATATGATCAAAAATCAATTAGATCAAAATGTTTTTCAGGATATCTGTATATCGGCTGTGAAAGAAAAAGATATTGAAGCTAAATTGAAACAAGTCATCAATGACTGGAGCACTCAGAACTTTGAATTTACAAACTTTAAAACTAGAGGAGAACTTCTTTTGAAAGGTAAATTTATTAAAATTCTATTATCTCTCCAAGCAAGCTTAAATTTTTCATAACTATGGATGCAAGAATTAGAGAAGTTGTTAAAGGGTATTTATTCACCCGATGATTACTTTATTTTAACTAGGTGATACTATTGGTGAGACAGTTGCTTTGATGGAAGACAGTTTAATGGTATTAGGTTCTCTGCTCAGTAACAGGTAAGTGTTTCTAATTGAATTTGATTTGATATGTTTTATTTTACATTATTCAGCTTATTGATTTCATTCATACATGTATCTTTTACATTATAACGAAATGAGGTTTAGCATCCTACTAATATTTATGTTATTTTAATAGATATAATGCTCCATTCAAACCAAATATCCAAGAATGGGTACAGAAGTTGACAGGCACCACAGAAATCATAGAAAACTGGTTGATTGTACAGAATTTGTGGATTTATTTGGAAGCTGTATTTGTTGGTGGTGATATTGCTAAACAACTGCCACAGGTATTCATTGTTACACTTAAAATATCTCCTTAATTTGACTTATAAGAAAATTTGACATGTAATAAACATATTTCTTAACTTTAATATTAATATCTGAAATTGACTTGTGGTAAAAATATCTCAAATTGATTATCAATTTGAATGAATATTGATTAAAATAAAATGATTTCATGTAAAGAATTAAATGTGGCTAACAAATTCTTGTGCTGTTGTATACTTCTATATAATTGTTCTGGTGTATTTTAGTATATTTGTAACCTGCTTTTGTCTTGTATTACAGGAAGCTAAGCGATTCAGTAATATTGATAAATCCTGGCAGAAGATAATGGCTAGAGCTCATGAGAATGTGAATGTTGTAATATGTTGTGTAGGTGATGACACATTGGGTCAGCTTCTACCTCATCTTCTAGAACAATTAGAGATATGTCAGAAATCATTGTCTGGTTATCTGGAGAAAAAACGTCTCCTATTCCCTCGATTCTTCTTTGTATCAGATCCAGCCCTCCTAGAAATTCTTGGTCAGGCCAGTGATTCTCATACAATCCAGGTATGTGCGACTGTGATTAATTTGTTTACAAATTTTATTGTTAATATCTATATTTTTGTAAGCCTATATTATTTAGTGTGAATTACTGTGAATGTGTCTGGTTGGTCTATTGTAACCTTCTTGTTACCACAATACACTTCAGAGCTTTTTATACTAATTTTTTTCAGATTTGCGGGAATTGTTCATTTGATCATACAGAAGATCCCCATTAAAATTTTTGATTGCAAATCCGATTTATTTCTACATTGAAGATTCAGTCGATAAAATCTAGGTCACAGATCTCAAGTTTGTGTGATTGTTCATTTGGAATAAGGAAGAACTACATTGATTTTTCAAAAATTTTTGATTGTAAGAGTTCTGGATTATTATAATTTCTTGATTTATTCTATTTTCAGAATCATTTATTGAGTGTGTTTGATAATACAAGAACTGTAACTTTTGATGAGAAAGTCTATGATAAAATATTAGAGGTCAATTCACAGGAAGGAGAAGCAGTTCCACTTGATAGTCCGGTCATGGCTCAGGTATGATATTTTAAGTAAATTTATTCTAATAATAATAGTTAGATGATCTTATCTAAGCAAAAATATTTTGCTGTTATATTAAACAAGAATTTAAAGTTTTTTGCCCATAAACTGAAGATGATATTTTGGAGAAAAACCCAAAACAATTGAATCTAATGTTTGTTTATAATTTTACTTGAACAGGGAAATGTTGAAGTGTGGTTAGGAGAATTATTAGAAACCAGTAGAAGATCATTACATGGCATTATTAAAACCGCTTCGGTAGCTATACAGGATTCCAGCTTTAATTTACTGGAGTTTGAAAACCATTACCCATCACAGGTAAATTTTGTTTTCACCTGTTGAAGAAAACTAACCTTAATTCTGGACATATATGTTCATATATATATGTGTACGTTTCAGATTTAAGTGGATTTTACTTTAATAGTAGATGAGATGATACAGTTTACATAATTGATATATTTCTTGCCTTACAGATTGGATTGTTAGGTATTCAGATGGTTTGGACCAGAGATTCTGAAGATGCCATCAACAATGCACGAGTTGACAAGAAAATTATGCAGACTACTAATCAGAAATTCTTGGACATGTTGAATATGTTGATTGATCAAACTACAACTGAATTAACAAAGATGGAAAGAACAAAATATGAAACTTTAATTACTATACATGTTCATCAAAAAGATATCTTTGATGACTTGGTATGTTACCTCTATCTACTTAAACTGAATCTACTGTAACCTTATTGTGATACTTGATTGTTGGTCCGTTAGACAGTCTCTATAAACATTTGTTGTGATAGTTTCAAATCATTATGTTTAAAGACGGACCTACATTAAATTTTCTCAAACAGATAAACTGCCTAACATACATCACAAATTATTGGTAAAACTGTCAAATTGAAATATTGTTACATTTTCTTTTTACTTTACAGTACAAGTTGCATGTGAAATCATTGAATGATTTTGAATGGTTGAAACAGTCAAGGTTTTATTTTAAAGAAGATACAGATCAATGTATTGTATCAATTACTGATGTAGATTTCTCGTATCAGAATGAGTTTTTGGGTTGTACTGATCGTCTTGTCATCACACCATTGACTGACAGGTTAGTTGTAGCCAGCCTTCAATTACTACTTTTGTGATAATGTAATACTTATAAAATTTGATTATATTGTTCAATGGCACATTTTAAAATATAACAAAGAAAGTACATTTTTTACCATAAGATTTAGGGTTTCAAAAAATCAATAGATTAAACAAGTTTTGTATTTTTCAGATGTTACATCACACTATCACAAGCTTTAGGTATGGCTTTAGGTGGAGCACCTGCTGGACCAGCTGGTACAGGTAAAACAGAAACAACTAAAGATATGGGTAGATGTCTTGGTAAATATGTTGTTGTTTTCAACTGCTCAGATCAGATGGATTACAGAGGTTTGGGAAGAATCTACAAAGGTACCATATTATTCATATTTGTCAGTAAACTAAGTTTTTGTTAAAAATGCCTTATTAAGTTATTTAAAACATTAAATTTATTTGAAGCCTAGGATGTAAAGAAAGCATAGTATGATGAATATTTCTGGTTTTGCACCAGCTAATTGTTAAAATGTTTATATTTTAGGATTGGCTCAAGCTGGTGCCTGGGGTTGTTTTGATGAGTTTAATCGTATTGAGTTGCCTGTACTATCAGTAGCAGCTCAACAGATTGCTATTGTATTAGCCTGTAAAAAGGAAAGAAAATCGCAATTCATTTTTACTGATGGAGATTCTGTTGATATGGACCCTGAATTTGGTATTTTCTTGACCATGGTAAGTAAAATGTGATCCATTTGATTAGTACAAGAAACTTACCTTTTTATAGATTATTTGCTTTGTTAAACTTTTAAGATGTTTCATCATTAAGACTAATGATTTTATTTCAGAATCCCGGTTATGCTGGAAGACAGGAATTGCCAGAAAATTTGAAAATCAATTTCCGTACAGTTGCTATGATGGTACCTGACCGAGCTATTATTATCCGTGTAAAATTAGCTAGTTGTGGTTTCACGAACAATGTCGTATTAGCTAAGAAATTCTACACTCTCTACAAACTATGTGAAGAACAGTTGAGTAAACAGGTATGTATTGAGGGATGTCAATGGGATGAATCCTACCAAGAAATATTCTTCAAACTTGAAATTTGGCATAATCAAAACATGTGTGAAATTTTGTTACAAATTTTTAATTCTTGTATATCAACAGCACATTTTAAAAGAATGGTTATTGAAAGAATTAGTGAATTACTAAATATGGTGTTTATTATTTTACAGGTCCATTATGATTTTGGTTTGAGAAACATTCTGTCTGTATTGCGTACACTTGGAGCTTTTAAAAGATCAAACCCAGAAGATAGTGAAGCTACTATTGTGATGAGAGTTTTACGTGACATGAACTTGTCAAAATTGGTAAGTGAACAATATATTGATTCAGTCTCTAAGATTTATTGACTGATTTAATTTCATAAAAGTATTATCCTAAAGATTAACATAAGATTCTTGAAAGATGAGCTCTACTGTGAACATTTTTTTTTTACTATCAGGTTGATGAAGATGAACCTTTATTTATGTCACTGATTGAAGATTTGTTCCCTGGTATGACTTTAGACAAAGCTGGTTATCCTGATATAGAGGCTGCTATACAAAGACAGGTTAGTTAACTACCAATATTATTTGTAATGTCATTCTGAAAAATGGCTCCATATTAAGATTACTTTCCTTTAAATTGTATACATAATTATATCTTTGTTTGTTGAAGAAAGCATGTGATAAACTTATGTACCGGTACTGTAACATATTTTAGGTTGAACAAGCTGGTTTGATACATCATGATCCATGGATATTGAAATTGATCCAGTTATATGAAACCCAAAATGTACGTCATGGTATGATGGCTCTAGGACCTACTGGTGCTGGTAAGACTAAATGTATACAAGCTCTGATGAAATCTATGACTGATTGTGGCACTCCTCATAAAGAAATGAGAATGAATCCCAAAGCTATTACAGCACCTCAGATGTTTGGTAGATTGGATGTTTCGACCAACGATTGGACTGATGGTATCTTCTCTACTCTCTGGAGGCGAACACATAAAGCTAAAAAGGTTTGTAAAATTTGAAACACCTATCACATGACACGATTACTATTTCTAGTACATTTGATAACACTTTTAATGTATAAAAGAAGTTGACATAGCTACAAATTCTCACTGGACTTCAATATCAGAATTGTTTAGTTGTTATTACATTTGATTGGAATATCTACAATGAATAAAGATATCAAAAATGTTCTCAGCCATATGTTTGACTTACAAATTTATTATAATGATTTTAGGGAGAACATATATGGCTAGTATTGGATGGTCCTGTTGATGCTATCTGGATTGAGAACTTGAATTCTGTATTAGATGATAACAAGACTCTTACCTTGGCTAATGGAGATCGTATACCAATGGCACCAAATACTAAGATTATATTTGAAGTACATAATATTGATAATGCTTCACCAGCTACTGTCTCTAGAAATGGTATGGTCTTCATGTCCAGCTCTGTTTTAGACTGGGATCCTATTCTCCAAGGTAAGTACACAATGATATGTCTTGACCTAAAAAAATTACAGAATAATTTAGATTATATATTGAATGTAATATTGATCTTGATTCATGAATAATAATTTTGATTTTTCTAGGTTGGTTAACTGAACGCCCACCAAGTCAAAAAGATGTCATATTTGATAGTTTCTCTAATGTCTTCCCACAACTGTATGCTTATATCATGCAGGCTCTTGAACCTAAAATGGATGTAAGTATATGAACATTTTTTCTAGGATTATGTGATGTTACAAACAACCAATAATAATAATTATTTTTAAGTAGTTCAATAAAATTCTGCAACCACATTTAAGTATCATATTTTGAAGGCAGAATAACAAACAATAATAGTTATGATACAGATAATGGACATTGATCATGTTATTGATAAATATTTGTTATTTTCAGATATTGGAGTGTAGTTATATAAGACAGGCTATTGATCTATTAGAGGGATTAATACCTAAAGGTGATGATGGTAAAGATATACCTAGAGACCATCTCAATAAACTTATTGTTTTTGCTATTATGTGGTCCCTGGGTTCCCTGCTCGAGTTAGAAGATAGGAAAAAGGTAAGATAATTGAGAATTTTACATCAACTCAAGAGCTGCTGTTCTTTTAATGTGATGATATATATTTCAAATAATGATTTTTTTATTTACATGGTTTAACATTTTATAATAGCATCTTTATTCACATAACATGTACTAATATTAATGGTTTTATTTTTTCCCCTCCAACTAGATGGAAGAATGGTTAAAACAGAATTCTGAGCTTCCACTGCCTAAAACAGAAGGTGATGCAACTATCTTTGAATACACTGTCAATGAAAGTGGAGAATGGCAACATTGGGCAGAAAGGGTAAATATGTTATTAAACACTCAACCAAGTTCTATAGAACTGATAACAAAACATTTGTATAGCAAGGTTTTAAAAATATTACTAAATGGGTGACAGACATTTCGTCCATGAATATTTTATTCCCAATGGTTAAGACCACAAAGGTTAAATTGGAAATTGTGGCTGGCCAAGTTAAGGGCCAGAGTAAAAGTTAGAACTTAAAAATCTCTGTGGCTGAAATGAGTAATTTTTGCATCTGTGAAAGATGAAGTAATACTTGTATATATTTGAATATTTGTATATTTAAGGTACCGGACTATGATTACCCAGTGGATAATACACCTGAATATACATCAATCTTGGTGCCTAATGTTGACAATGTTAGATCAGATTTCTTGATCGAAACTATCTCCAAACAGGGAAAATCTGTACTACTTATAGGAGAACAGGTATAATTGAATTCCGAATTTGAATAATTCTTAATTTTATCAATCTTATTAAATAACTATAATTTTCTCCCTTTAGTGTGCTGTGTTTTTAAATTTTTTATTTGGATTATCTTCCTTGACACACTAAAAGTTACTCTTTCCAGTTTTCTGAACTTGGTTTTTGTGTTCATTAGGGTACAGCTAAGACTGTTATGGTACAAGGTTATTGTGGTAAATATGATCCTGAAGCTCATCTCTTCAAGAGTTTCAACTTCTCCAGTGCCACCACAACTCAGATGTTCCAAAGAACGATAGAAAGTTATGTAGATAAACGTATGGGTACAACATACGGACCACCGGCTGGTAAAAAGATGACAGTATTTGTTGATGATATTAACATGCCTGTTATCAATGAATGGGGTGATCAGGTTAGTTATATATTTTAAAGAACAAAGATATATTAGATATTTTGATTATACTAATTATAGTTAGTTAACTGACATCAACATTTGATATAATTAGGTACCTTAGAAAAATTTCTATACTTGCATCCAAATGAATAAACCATGAAACTGGGTGGTCTGTTAAATGACACTGCAGATAAGAAATGATATTATAGGTATGGATGCAGTTTTGAAATTTTGTGAAGGTCATATGTTTATGGTGTGTTAGAATATGTATGTATAATAAATTGTAATGTCTTTCTAGGTAACAAATGAGATTACCAGACAGATGATGGAGTATAAAGGTTTCTATAATCTTGAGAAACCTGGTGAATTTACTAATATAGTAGATATACAGGTTATAGCTGCTATGATTCACCCTGGTGGTGGTCGTAATGACATACCGCAACGTCTAAAGAGAGCCTTTAATATCTTCAACTGTACGTTACCTGCTAATTCTTCTATTGATAAAGTCTTCTTTACCATTGGATGTGGTCATTTCGTTAAGGTTTGTGCTTTTGATAAAATCCAGTAATGAAAATATTTTGATTTTACCTGTTGTTGTGTCAGTGGCTACTTTGTAATAGCTTTTAAGAAATTAAGTGACACAGTTGTTCTTGCTGAGTCTTTAAAGATCATTCTTTGATTTGATTATCGTATGACTTTTCAGGAGAGAGGTTTTATGGAAGAAATTGGTGAACAAGTCAAATGTTTAGTACCAGCAACAAGAAAATTGTGGCAGAAAGTCAAAGTTAAGATGCTGCCTACCCCTGCTAAATTTCACTATGTATTCAATTTACGAGATCTTAGTCGAATCTGGCAGGTAAGAATTTACATTAATTTTAATTTTTGACTGGGATGGATTGGAAAAGAAATGAAAGCATATTTATAAAATGTTATATTAAAGTTTCATTTGAAATTGGATTGATTAACAAACTAGACCTATGTTGACTACTCGCCAGTTAAATGATAGATAATATACTTAATCATTGTTTTTGTGTTATAGGGTATGCTCAATACAACCAGTGAAGTAATAAATAATACCAGTATATTGATGTCTTTATGGAAACATGAATGTGCAAGAGTTATCTGTGACAGATTCACAGAAATGACTGATAAAGACTGGTTTGAAAAAACATTTATGCAGGTTTGTTGTAATTGTAATACATGTATATCAGGGCTGCCGACAACCAGTATCGCAGCGCAATTTGCGATACATATTTTGTCCGTTGCTAACCGAAAATTAAAATCTAACGTTTTTGATTCGCAGTTACTGCGAATCATTAATATGCCTGTCATTTTGGATATTGACACAAGAATAATCCACATTTTGAAGACTAGAAGGCTTACTCAACTCTTTCAACGTGTATAAAATGTTGAATAAAATTTTATAAACAAAACTGAATTCTCCGTGTGACATTTTCTTCTCGACCTACCCAGACACAATACTATATAACACAGGGACATAACTCTATGAATAGGGACTATTGAACCGGAAATAGGGAATCAAGTGGTACCACTCACGTTGCGAGACATCAAGTAATTATATCATATTCATTTTGAAAGAAATAAATCCAGTGTATCCCCCATGTATTGTAAATAAAATATAAAAAAATAAATACATGTTAACATATTGTAAAATGATAAATCAAAGTAAAAATTCCTGTAAAATATTATTGTTTATATCGTGTGTGTCTAGTGAATTGAGGTGCGCCCGATTGAACAACAATAGTAATACACGATAAAAAGCAGACGAAATTGTTTTCTAACGAAGATTTCTAACGTAACAAAAAAATAACAATTAAAATGAGTGGGGCTTCGGAAGTCACTGTCAAGAATTGGCTTCAGACATAAGACCTAACTAAATGTCTACATCACATTCACAAACTGTCACAACTACTTGTGGCAGTGCTAAGAAATCTAAGAATAGTCGGAATGGAATCTAATCTTATTTGTTATGAATTAAAGTAATATCTTGTTATTTAAGTGTTTTACGTTGAAACTGAAAAACTGCTAATCAAATTTGGCAAAATTGGACTTTTTGATTAGCAGTGCTGCTAATCAACTGTGAAAAATTACCCACAGCCCTGATGTATATCATTTCTATATAAATATCATTCTTATTTCTTTGAATGGTTACAAAATAACTTAACATTTTTAACTGAATTTCTGTTATGTATTAAAGGTATCAGAAGAAGAATGTGGTTCAGCAATGGCTAACAGTATGCACCCCGAACCATACTTCGTTGACTTCATGAGAGAACCCCCAGAGCCCACAGGTATGTTTATAACATTGATTTCACTATCAATCTTTGATAAGTTGTCATTGTAATTTATAAAAATATGAAAGATTGTTTGGTTAAAACATATATAAATAATGTTATTTTTTTTTTATTGTGCCTGAAATATATTTAATTTGACTGTATTTAAATAGGGGAAGAATCAGAAGATGCTGATCTTGATGCTCCTAAGATATATGAACAAGTTCCTTCATTAGATGCATTAGCTGAACGTTTACTATCATATCAACAACAATACAATGAAACAGTACGAGGTAGTAAAATGGATCTGGTATTCTTCAAGGATGCTATGACTAATCTTGTAAAGATATCTAGAATCATACGAACACCTAGAGGTCATGCTCTATTGGTTGGTGTTGGTGGATCAGGAAAACAATGTTTAACAAGATTAGCATCTTTTATAGCTGGTTATTCTACCTTCCAGATTACCCTTACAAGGTAAATATACATTTATTTGCCTTCTTTAATCATTTCATTTCATAAAATCCATTTTACTTATATCATCAGAATGCTTTTGATAAAATGGTTTTACACTCCTTAGTCAAACTACTTAACACTATTGAAGCTGTGTAATTGATGAAGGGTTATATATTAGATTAGATAAACAAGTTATAGGATGACTTTAATAGAATATTTTATTTTTGTGATTTTTTAGATCTTACAATGTTACCAACTTATTGGAGGATTTAAAGTTTTTGTATAGAACTTCAGGTCAACAAGGAAAGGGTATAACTTTCCTCTTTACAGATAATGAAATCAAAGATGAAGCCTTTTTAGAATACATGAACAATATTCTGTCATCTGGAGAGGTAAAAGATAAACATTTTATAATGAAAGTCACAACTAAGCAGGTTGTGTTATTTTTATGTTCATATGGTTATATCTTCATAATAATTCAATTTTTGGGCCTTCTACAATCTGTTGATTGCAATAATTTTTTGTGATTTCTACATACAACTTCACACCTGTATATATTAAAGCGTGCTTTGACTTTGTCAAAGACTTTACATTTGTGTTAAAATGATACATGTTATTTTTGTAGGTGTCTGGTTTATTTGCCAGAGATGAAATGGATGAAATAACACAAGAATTGATTGCGGTTATGAAAAAAGAATTTCCAAGAAGACCCCCTACCGCTGAAAATCTATATGATTATTACCTAAGCCGTGTTAGACAAAATCTTCATGTTTCCCTCTGTTTCTCACCTGTAAGTTGGTATATGTTTTTTCATTAGTTATAAAATGTAAGGAACACCATTCACAGTTCCTTGATAGATTCTGATCAGTATTTACAATCTTGAAAATAATAAAATCCCCTATTCATTAATCTGACAATTCTGGAAAATAAGTGAAGTATAATTTCTTAAGGTTACAAAATTAAATTTCACAAAATAATTTTTCCTTACATTTCAGGTTGGTGAAAAGTTCCGAAATAGATCATTGAAATTTCCTGGTTTAATTTCTGGTTGTACTATGGATTGGTTCCAACGCTGGCCTAAAGATGCTTTAGTAGCTGTATCTAATCATTTCTTGTCTGATTTTGATATTACATGTACACCTACTGTAAAACAATCTGTTGTAAATACCATGGGATCATTCCAGGTTTGTTCTCTTTCTATTTCTTTCAATTTTGTCTACATATTGGTTTTAATGCAAAAACTGAACAACAGAAGAAGCCTTGAGGTGTTGTAATGTCAATTCTGTCTTGATTTATTTGTTATCTTGTTCTAGGATAGTGTAGCCGAGGTCTGTATAGATTACTTCCAGAGATATCGTCGTCAGACTCATGTCACCCCCAAATCTTACCTATCTTTCCTGAGTGGTTATAAAAATATCTATGCTGAGAAAAAAGAAGAAATTGGTGTATTAGCTAACAGAATGGACACAGGTAATCTTTTAAATAATGTCTTCATTAGCCTAATTGGTGCAGAAAAGTAGGATCTTAAACCCCATTTCATTTAAAGTAATGATATATCTCGAATATTAATTATTTTGCACCTAGAATAATTTTTAATCAAATTCATTATTATAAAAACCCCATTTTTATATTGAACAGGATTAAAGAAACTGATTGAAGCCTCAGAATCTGTAAATATTTTGAAAAAAGAACTGGCTGTAAAGGAGAAAGAGTTAGCTGTTGCCTCTAAGAAAGCTGATGAAGTATTAGCTATTGTAACTGTTAAGGCACAAGCTGCTGAAAAGGTTAAAGCACAGGTACAAAAGGTCAAGGACAAGGCTCAAGGCATTGTAGATGCTATTTCGGTAAGTTTCAAAGATATAACTATTTACATTTGGTAATCTGCTATGATTGATGAACATTGGTGTTAGTTTTGTCTTTATGAAGTAAAGATTTTGGTGGTGATGTATAAAGAAAGCCAAAGTGTTATGTTGTTGTGTTAGGTAGTGATTGACTAAAAGAGCCTGCGAGTATGTTAGGTTTGGAGCCCCCAAAGAAGTCAATGTTCTCACATGGTTCGTTCCAGTTGTAAGAGAAAATTTTGCTATAATTATGTTATTATTACTTGCAGGCTGATAAAGCAGTAGCTATGGGTAAACTGGCAGCAGCTAAACCCGCTCTACAGGCAGCTGAAGCTGCTTTACAAACTATTAAACCAGCTCATATCTCAACTGGTATGTATACTTCTTATTTCCTCTATTGTTTACATCACATATTGACGATGCTCATTACAACATGTTTACAGAATATATGCTATAAAGACAAATTTCCTCTAATGAATGCTTATAAGATAATGAAACCCATCGATAGATAATTTTTCAAAATTTGGAGAACTAAAATATACTTTTGTTTGTACTATTTGTTATCTTTATTTATTACAGTCAGGAAATTGGGTAAACCACCCCATCTTATTATGAGGATTATGGATTGTTGCATGCTGCTGTTCCAAGTTAGAGTTGATCCAGTACAGATGGATCCAGAGAGACCGTGTGTAAAACCATCATGGAGTGAAGCTCTCAAACTCATGTCAAAATCCAATTTCTTGCCATCCCTGCTTAACTTCCAAAAGGTGGGCCATTTTAAATAGTTAAACACAATCCTATAATCTTTTATATGCTCACATTTAATGTGAATATATATATTGTGTCATCTCTCTGGTCACATTTTGACATTTTTGTTTGTGAACCTGACAGAGGACAGTGATCTGAACAGAAGTTTGAAAAATTGAGTTGGATTTCTGAAATATTTTGACATTGATTTTAGAGTTAGGACAAATGACTTTCCAGGTATTGAATGTATTAGAAGACCTGATCTATTTTGATTATCTCTTCATACTTAATGTTAGAACAGATATAATGTATCATACAACACATAACTCACTGCATAGGTGGATTCTTATGTATAAAAGGAATAGATTCAAAATATTTATACCAAATGGTTGTTTATTCATCAATAGGATTTGATTAATGAAGAAACTGTCGAACTGATGCAGCCATATTTAATGATGGAGGATTATAATGTGGAGTCAGCTAAGAAAGTGTGTGGTGATGTTGCTGGTTTAGCCTCCTGGACAGATGCTATGGCCATTTTCTATAGTATCAACAAAGAAGTTTTACCATTAAAGGTAATGTTTATAATATGCTTGTGTGGAGGCTAGATTGTGTAGAGTTGATAAATAAATTTGAACTCTTAAAGCTAATTGTTAGATAAATTAATAATGGTTATTAATATTATTATTACAGGCTAATTTAGCTGTACAAGAAGCTAAATTGAATGTTGCTATGACAGATCTGGGTAATGCACAGGCTCAGTTAGATGAAAAACAAGCAGAATTGGATGCAGTACAAGCACAATTTGATGCTGCCATGGCTCAAAAACAGGTAAATTTTAGAATCTGTTTTGATCATCAATACAAGCGATTGTATTTTTTTTTCTAACCATTTATGTTTATGGTCTAAAACTGATAAACAATTATTGAGTTGTTTTGGGGAATATGATTAACTAATATCAAGGAATAAACCAAGCAAATCAGTTAATTACGGTGTATTTTGATGATTCCAGGAACTGATGGATGATGCTGATGCTTGTAGAAGGAAGATGAACAATGCTGAAGCTTTGATTAATGGTTTGTCTGGAGAAAGAGTTAGATGGACTGAAGCCAGTAAAAACTTTGAATCTCAGATAATAAGATTAGTTGGTGATGTCCTGTTAGCCACTGGTTTCCTATCTTATACTGGTCCCTTCAACCAAGAATTCCGTAATATTATGATCAAGACATGGAAGAAAGAAATGGTTCATGCCAAAATTCCTTTTAGTGATGTAAGTCAAGTCATTAATCCAGAAAACAAAATTTGATAAAAAAAAATTTTTTATTAGCTTGACATAACTTTCTTGAATATTATTGCATTTATAAAGTAATTTTTAACAATACAATATTTTGTTTGTTGTGCAGGACTTGAATATTGTATCAATGTTGGTAGTTAATACAACAGTTAGTGAGTGGAATCTACAAGGTTTACCTAATGACGAGTTGTCTATACAGAATGGTTTGATTGTAACCAAGGCAGCACGTTTTCCATTACTTATAGATCCACAAGGTCAGGGTAAAACATGGATTAAAAACAGAGAAAAAGAAAATGAACTTCAGGTATTTTGTCTATTAATAATTGTCACAACACATGTATAAAACTTTTAAGAATTATTCCTAATGCTAGGTTCCCACTACCACGTTTTGTGCTGCAATTGAAATCACAGTTTTAATCGTAGAGTAATCATAGTGATCCTATCAGTTCGTCATATATTGAGGTCAGTCGTAGCAATCGTATTGACCCTATCAAAACATATCTGAATGTATCTGCATGTAGCAGATCTTGGACTCAATAGGGACAATCCTATCGTAACGCATTGCACGACAGTGGGCACCTGGCATTATGAATTTTGGTTTTAGTTTAAGAAAAAAGTATTTATGTACATGTATGGATTGAATGTACATTGATTGATTAATGATATTTCAGATAACAGCCCTTAACCACAAGTATTTCCGTACACATCTAGAAGATAGTTTATCATTAGGTAGACCACTGTTGATTGAAGATGTAGGAGAAGAACTGGATCCAGCTTTAGATAATGTTCTAGAGAAGAACTTTATTAAATCGGGTAAAACACTCAAGGTAGGTAAAAATTCCAATATAGTAATGATTCATTTAATTAGATCACTTTTAATTGAGGGAAATCTATGCCTTGAAAAAATTAGGTGTATATGGTTAACTCACATAGAAATATTTTCTTCAGAATACAGTTTCCAATGGATATTTTTTTACAATGATCTTGAGATTCTTCACGTAAGCAAGAATTGTTTTGAAATTCATAATTGCTGCCATTGTGGGGATGAAAGGGTTACTGGCAAACGCAGTGTCAGTGTTTTATTTTGAAATAATTATTTGTTGATTTAATCAGGTAAAAGTAGGAGACAAGGAAGTAGATGTTATGACAGGTTTCAGACTCTATGTAACAACCAAACTGGCTAATCCTGCCTACACACCAGAAGTCTCAGCTAGAACATCTATCATTGATTTCACTGTCACAATTAAAGGCCTGGAAGATCAGCTTTTGGGTGTTGTCATCTTGACTGAAAAACAGGTACGTTAATTATTGTAATTAAAAAAATCATTTACTGAGTAAAACTATTTATACACTGTAAGGTAATTTCACTTAGTTATTGATTTGATATGCAATTTATTAAATATTAAGGCATGAATTGTTGTAAAAAAGGGAATATTTGTTCAGAATTATAGACTAGAGTATTGTACTATACTTATATCCTACAGGAACTGGAAGCAGAGAGAACAAATCTGTTGGAAGAAGTAACAAACAATAAACGGAAGATGAAGGAATTAGAAGATAATCTACTATACAGATTGACATCAACTAAAGGTTCCCTGGTAGAAGATGACTCTCTTATTGAAGTACTTAAAGTTACCAAAGTCACATCAGAAGAAGTCAGTGAAAAGTTGAACGTTGCTGCTGAAACCGAGATAAAGATTAATACAGCTCGAGAGGAATTTAGACCAGGTACATTATCATTTTGATGCTTATGTCAATACTGATTCTCAATTTCATGATTGAACAATTCCTTCATTATTAGACAGTTACTCCCTGCAGTCCTAACAGAATTCTAGCAACTGCTTTATTCAGTTATGTATGTTATCGTTTTGATCTAAACCCCTAAAAAATGAGATATTGACTGGAAAATGCATGTCCAGGATCTGCGACTTTATAGATGGTAATTTTTATCTTTCACTAATTGGATCAACTTCAATCTATATTTATTTCTCTTTTCAGTTGCTTCTCGTGGTAGTATTTTATATTTCCTGATTGTTGAGATGTCCATGGTAAATGTAATGTATCAGACATCTTTGAAACAGTTCCTGGAACTCTTTGACTTGTCCATGGCTCGATCCCAGAAATCACCAATAACTGGAAAACGTATCAACAATATTATTGAGTATTTAACTCTGTTGGTGTTCAAATATACATGTAGAGGTCTGTACGAGAATGATAAGTTCTTATTTACCATTCTTATGACACTGAAGATAGAGATGGCAGCTGGTAGAGTCAGACCAGAAGAATTCCAAGTCTTCATCAAAGGTGGTGCAGCTCTTGATTTAAATGCTGTGGAACCCAAACCTAAGAAATGGATTACTGATATGACCTGGTTGAATTTGGTAGAGCTTAGTCGTCTACCACAATTTACACAGATACTCTCACAAGTAGCTAGAAATGATAAGGTACAATAATATTATTAACTTTCTTCAAGTATTTTACTTACATTTTGTGTTAAGTAATATTCAGCATTTCTTTTAATATTTGAGAAACTTATATAAAGTTAATGATGTAAAATTGTAGGTATGGAAAGCCTGGTTTGATGAAGATGCACCAGAAGAATGTCCTATACCAGATGGTTATGGTACTCAGTTAGATACTTTCCGTAAACTATTACTGATCAGAAGTTGGTGTCCTGACAGAACTACACCAATGGCTCGTGTTTATGTTGGTGAAGCTATGGGAGCAGAGGTCAGTTGAGCAGAAAACAATACATCAATTATTATATGCTATACAAAAAACAGTTTAATAATTTTTACTATAACTTGAGAGAGATTGTTGGGTACTTATATTTTGATATAACATTTCATAAATGAGATGTTTTTATTAATCAATTGATATGTGTATTTGTAGATGGCTGAAGGTGTAATTTTAAATATGGAGGTTTTGTGGGAAGAATCTAATAAGAGATCACCATTAGCTTGTTTCCTGTCTATGGGTTCAGATCCAACTGATAATATAGAAAGACTTGCCAAACAGAAGGGACTCAGTAAGTAATTTAGCTTAACAAAAAATAATTTTGTGACAAAGTGCAAATAAATCTCAAATATATCATATTTAATTAAAACTTGATTAAATTGAGATGATATACATTTGGATTGATTGTCTATTTACAGAATGTGGTGCCATTTCTATGGGTCAAGGTCAAGAAATTCATGCCCGACGTCTTCTTCAAGTTTCTATGGCAGAAGGCAGATGGGTTCTTTTACAGAATTGTCACTTGGGTCTTGACTTTATGGATGAACTGTTAGAAACGGTGAGAAAGCTAATCATAATAAACAGTTTTACATTTAATGTTATAAACAGTTTTACATTTAATGTAAAATTATTAATAGATTTTAATACTGATTTATAAAGTAAAAAGAATTATCATTTCCAGATTCATCCTGCTTTAAATATACACTGATTTTTAAATGAGTTGAAAATTTATTTTACAGGTAATATCTACAGAGGTTGTACATGATCAATTCCGTCTATGGTTTACAACAGAACCTCATCCTAAATTCCCTATTAATTTATTACAATGTTCTGTTAAATTTACCAATGAACCACCACAAGGTGTAAAAGCTGGTCTTAAAAGAACGTATGCTAGTATTACTCAGGTAAATTATTATTTTACATAATCTTTGTGCTAGAAAGTGTTAACTTTTTTGTTTGTGATTCTGTTTGGTTTATTTTTTTTTCATTCATTCACCATTTGTACTATCATATTTCAACTTGTGATAACCTTTATAAATATATCTTTGTTATTGTACAGGAACAACTCGAGTATACCAATCTAACTCAATGGAAACCTATGCTATATGCTGTTGGTTTTCTGCATACGACAGTACAAGAAAGACGTAAATTTGGACCAATTGGTTGGAATATACCTTATGAATTTAATCAGTCAGATTTCACAGCTACAGTACAGTTTATACAAAATCATCTAGATGATGTGGATCCGAAACGAGTAAGATATTTTAATCACATATTTTGTATAAATTATAAGTATAGTTTATAATTATTTCTCTGTTGCTATTAAAAAATGGATTTAAGAAAGTACCAGGTATTTTCTTTACCCAAGGCCTGGTGTTCTAGGTGTTCACATCAGTTGAATATGGTTATATGTTCTTGTTATTTACAGGGTGTTAATTGGATAACAGTGCGTTATATGATAGGTGAGGTACAATATGGAGGTCGTGTTACAGATGATTATGATAAACGTCTACTCAATACCTACTCTAAAGTCTGGTTCAGTGAAAATATGTTCCAAGATTCCTTCCAATTCTATACAGGTAACATAATAATACAAAGGAAATCTACTTGAAACATTGTCATATATATATATATATGAAGAAAACTTGTGACAATTAAATTACATATATATGCTTTTACAAATAAATATTATTTACTTTGTGTGAAGAATGTGATATATTTGAAATAGGTAATTTAGTCTTATCAAAATTTAGATTTGTTCTATTCTTCAAATGAGCTGTTTAATATTTTAGGTTATAAAATACCAAAATGTAAGACAATAGATGAATACAGAACACAGATAGAAAGCTTACCACTAGTTGATACACCAGAATGTTTTGGTCTTCATCCTAATGCTGATATCACGTAAGGTTTACTATATACAAACAATTAGCCTATTATAGACATCCAAATTGTGTAAAACAATGGTAACATTTCTTAGTGAAATAACAGTTCAATTATTGGATTTCAATAATGAAAAGAAAGTAAACAATGTTATGTAATAAAGATTTAACTTGAATAACTATTATTATATTATAGGTATCAAACTAATACAGCTAATGAGATGTTAGCATGTATTGTTAATATACAACCTAAAGATGCTGGTAGTGGTGGCGGTGAAACCAGAGAATCTGTTGTCTATAAACTAGCTGATGACATGTTGGAAAAATTACCTGGGGATTACATTCCTCATGAGGTAAACATAACATATTGTATTAATTGATTTTCATGATACACAGTATAATAGATAATAATTAATAATTTTCATGATATAGAGTATAATTAATAGGTGTTATTATTTAATTTGGTTTGTGTGATCCTTAATCAATTTCTTTTTATCACCATTTTAATTGATTCAAGACAAACATAAAGGACATTATCAATTCTTCATGCTGTCTTACTGTCACTTTTACATGAAATATTCTTATTACAGGTGAAAGATCGTTTGAAGAAAATGGGTTTGTTACAACCTATCAATATTTTCTTGCGCCAAGAAATTGACAGAATGCAAAAAGTATTGACATTAGTTCGTAATACATTGAAAGATCTGAAACTTGCTATCGATGGTACTATTATCATGAGTGAAAATCTACGAGATGCTCTTGATAACATGTATGATGCCAGGGTACCAAATAACTGGAAAAAGGTCAATAATTTATAATTCTTTACTTCATAAAATATGTTATTCTTCCATCACTTGCTGATGTAGGGGTTGGATGGCTGAATGGTTAGCACGTGCGCACTGTACGATAAAGTCTGTCATTGAGTCAACTGGTGTGAATTTGATTCCCCGGTTGTACATGACAACCTGGTGGGTTTTCTCTGGGTCCTCCGGTTTCCTCTCACTGCTAAAGAACCCTACGCACAAGCAAATTATTGAAATAAAATTAAACCATGTTAGTCCCAAAATGACCTAGTTTGTGTCGAGGACGTTAAACCCCATTTCTCTCTCTCTCTCTCTCTCTCTCACTTGCTGATGTTCTAAGACATGAAACGGTGATGTCATGAAATCAATAGAGAGTAATGGCCAGACTATTTTTTTTCACAGTGATGGACTGAATGTCTATATTTGCCTTTTAGTCTGGAATATTGAATTCTTTAATAATTATTTTTGTTATTATTTCAGATCTCCTGGGAGTCTGCAACATTAGGTTTCTGGTTCACAGATTTATTAGATCGTAATGCTCAGTTCCACAGCTGGTTGTTTGATGGTCGACCAAACTGTTTCTGGATGACTGGTTTCTTCAATCCACAGGTACACCATTTGGATTATTATAATGATTCCATCTTAATGAATAGTTCCTTAATTTAATAGGTTGTTTTCATAATACTTTTTACCATTTTGTTAAATTACTAAGACTAAATATTAATTAAACTTTGAATATTTTTCCAGGGTTTCTTGACAGCCATGAGACAAGAGATTACAAGAGCTCATAAAGGTTGGGCTTTAGATTTAGTAACACTAGAGAATGATGTTACTAAGATGATGAAAGAAGATATTGTTTCACCACCATCTGAAGGTAAATATTTCTCTAATTATTCTTTCTCACCGTTATTATAAAAACAATTAATAAAACTAATTTGAAAATTTGTTATATTTAAACTAAATCAATTGTGCTTATTGACCGTTTATTTAAATGTTGCTCCAAAATATTGTTGATTTAATATTTCTACTTTAATATGAAATATAATGTTTTTAATTATAATTTTAGGTGTTTATGTCCATGGTTTACATCTGGATGGTGCTGGTTGGGATAGAAGAAATTGTCGTATTATTGAACCCACACCTAAAGTATTATACAGTTTACTTCCAGTTGTACATGTCTTTGCTACAAATCAAGAGAAACCCAAGAGTGCCACCCAGTATGAATGTCCAGTATACAAGAAACCAAGACGTACAGATTTAACTTATATCTTCCCTCTCATGCTTAAAACAAATAAACATCCTGATCACTGGATTCTTAGAGGTGTAGCTCTGCTCTGTGACACCAAGTAAACAATGAATTAGGTGATCATTTTGATCAAATCCAACATACAGAGGCATAATTAGAGCCACAAAACAAATTAAGGTTGTCAAAAATCCATGCAGAAACCTGCTTATAGAATAACGTTTTTTTTTCCTGTGTGTTTGTTAATTGTATAATTAAATTGTAATTCAAAACTTGTGTACAATCTAATGTAGATCCTATGTAACTGTACAGTCAAATCAAATTTTTTTTCCAACTGACAAACACCTATAAATCACAGATGTCCCTTCAAGTGTATATATTTATATTTACAGTACTTTTATCATTTAATGAAACTAGAAATGTTTTACTGTGTTCATGCCTGAAAACATGATTTTATTACAAAACAAAGCTATATTTAAAAGTGCCAATACATTTATTTTGAAATAAAATGATATAACATTAAAAATAGGTTAATATAATGTGATCAAAAAATAGGTTAATATGATAGATGTTTTAACATCTTTCTTTGTCAAACCAAAAAAATGTGTCAAGTAAATATGTTTGTGTGTGATTTGCAATTTGTATTATTAAACATATATTAATAATATTGATTATATACAAAAGGTAAAAAGTGATTATCATTCCGTACCTCCAAAATCAAAATATACAAATTCTATTAAATTATTTATATAAATATTATTTCTTTATATTTTCTATTGTTGAGTTTAATTTCTATTTATATAATATATTTTTTATTTATATAATTCATCTTATGTTTGAAACATAATAAAAGTTTTGTAAAGCAGAAATTTTAATTTACTTTCTTGTTCCTAATTTACTTTCTATGTTTGAAATCTGAAAAATTTGAGGATTTGGTCAATATAAGTTTGTTTCACCCCCCACCCACCTTTTCTTGAGCACAAACAGGAGGCACATACCAAATATAAGAAATGTAGACAGCAAGATATTAGAAGGGTTGAAGGCGTACACATCCCCTCCTAAGAAAAAGCCGGTCTGTCTCCTCTTGCAATTTTTTTTATTTAGGAAAATATTTTCCCTCAGGGAAGCCGACGTTAAATCCCCACCAAGGAACGAACAAACCAAAGAGCCTGTTCTACTTTTAGGATTGGCCATATCTACCAAAATGTGTAATATTCTTAAACAACGGCATATTTAGCCAGCTGTACCATAATATTTATTAAGATCCATTCTTCTACAATCTTAACACTAGAGAATATCCGACTAGTCATAGCGGTCGAAGAAGTGGACAATAATTATGACATCAGTGATGGGGCATTAACCTCTGTATGATTAAAGATTAGTGGGGTCGACTTGTTTGATCATTTTAGTTGGCATTTTGGCTAACTGTATTGTGACGACAGTAAAATACAAAAGATTATATTACACCTTTATCTGTTGACAAAATTTCCTTTGATGAAAGACTGTCATCCAATAAAACAAAACTACAAATGTATACATGAAATGGATATACGAACATGGGCTCCAGCTATATACAGCCACATTACAATGTGGGCGTTTAAAAACAATACAATATCTAATTAATTATATATATAATGTATATATCAACAGTTAATCACAAAAATAAAAATAAACGTTATATATTAATATCAGTTTGTACAAAATTTATGGGACTGGTAGGATTGAGTAGCTATATATTATTTTGCCAATCTGTGATCTTTGCTTATTTGGCACCCGACGTACTAACTATACTCTAAAGAACTATAAAATCATCTATTGAACATTCGAACTATGTCGTGGTGGTTTAGTAATATATGCTAGCTCGCTAGCCAGGTGGGCTTGGGTTCGCGTCCTGTTTTGGCCGTGAAGTTCCTCAAGATTTTTAGACGTGGTATCTATGTCTTCAATAGCACAGCTGGTACAGGAAAGTAGGACGTTAGACCCTATTGCATTTCAATTCACAACCTGTTAGCTATGGACAGGGTTTTATATTTGAATATCAAGTGCCTCTGTTATGGAACCACATCCCAAAAAATCAGGAATGCTGAAGGAAATGAAATGAAATGAAATGGGGTTTAACGTCCTACTGTTCTGCTCCTGTACTGGGCTAATGAAGACGGGCATACGCCACACAGTGTGCTATGAGGGAAATTTTGCCCGGGCAGCGGCACTGCCAAGGGATCTTTTACGTGCATTCCAATGTATACACGGGACCTCGGTTTTTCGTATCATCCGAAGGACTAGACAGCTGTCCTTGTCAGGCCCTCCGTTCTGCACCACTGACAAGGGGAAACCACGTCGGAAAATCCGGATGAACTTTCTCGGCCAATGCAGGGATCGAACACCCGACCTCCAGGCTAGCGAGCCAGCGTCTTAACCACCTAGCCACCGTGGCTCCGAATGCTGAAGGACTTAATTGTTATTTCTGTGTTCTGTATATAAAAGCTCATGATTTTGCCAGCGCCTAACATAACGGTGGATAACGAGGTATTAAATTGTTCATAATAATATGATATTATTTATTTCTGATATAATTTTGTTGGTGTCCCAATCGTCATAGCGGTAATATAATAATTGGCGCAGTAAAGGCCGGTTGGAATGTACATGCTCTCCTAAAAGAGAAAAGTGAACACCCGGTGGTATTTGTTTTAAAACTTGTATCGGTCTTGACACAATTTGAATTAACATTTATCTGAAGACTTGATGGGCTGAACTTGCACCATGTTAACTTTGTTTATGTCTTCAACCCTCCCTGTTCCCAACATTTTTCTCCCGAGCAATTTAACAATCTCAAATAACAACTCCAACATCTCGACAGCTGTAAGTATGGAGAAACCAACCCACAGTCCAGCCTGTCCACCCAAGTCTGATAGTAAGCTGCTCCACTGAAACAAAACCAAAATAATATCATTGACACTTTCGTTATAATGTGCAGGTGGGCTCGATCTTGGCAAATTTTGTGAAATCCCAAAACCGATCTTTTAGGGTATATATATTTAGGATTGGTATGTGGGATATGCATCCTCCGCGAGCGACACTTATTCAATTGGGTTATGAATTCAAGTTATTTCCAATTATGCACGCCGAGAGAACAATATCTAGCAGTAAGATTTTATACTATATTAAACCTACATCATATGCTGGTGTTGCTGTTATACGTTCATAGTTCAACTGCTTATAAAACATCTCTACTTTCAACACATTTCTCCTGAAAAATATAGAACTGTGTGGTTAATGTCAAGTGACCGACGCAGATTATGGGTGGGGCAGGGGGTGTAGTAAGATTGGCAGAATTTTTGCTCTTTAAATTAATAATAGCATTATTTTATATCTTTAAAGATACATTATGGAAGATTAGATAAAGAGCTGGCAGTACTCGCTATAATAGTCAAAAACTAGATAATGTAAAGGGAATTTGCTGAAAATTTCAGTCAAATTGATCCACTATGAACCGAGATTTTTGCGATTGAATTTTTGGCCTAGCCTCCATCATCATTACTAAAGTCGGTAGGATAAAAAACAGTCTCGATTATCCATTTCATGATTTAATTATGAATGGAAGTCGAACAGCAAATCGGAACCTATTCCAATAAACATCGCAGGCTAGCGATGCCATCTAGAGTTGATTATGGTCTGGATAAGTTAATTAATGTTTATAATATAACATTTCAGGCCTAAAGAAAGACCTGCAATGGGCAGCTATTTAGCTCTTGCATAATGTATGTTTAACTAATTATTGGGCTCACATACATGTATTGTAGAGAAGTCATATCTCACACACTCAAATGAATTAGGAGTTGTTGACACATAAAAAGATTAATAAAACCAAAACATAGCTGATTCAGGGAGAAACCCGTGTTTATCACGTGTGTAGGAAAATCACCATTGCATCATTTGTGCTTAGTAACCAATAGCTATAATTAATTACGTCATATTTGACCAATTACATAATTGAAAGCCGGAACCCAAGGGTAAAAAACCGTCAGAGCTTTGGCCGTTCGACAGCCGCTAAATTCTTAGAAAGGGCAGACATCAAGTCAGACACCGCCTGGGTTCTTTAGACGACCATATGATGTAGCGGTTTCATGAGTCTACGGGAGTTGAAGTTGAGAGAAAGATATTAATTTTAAGTATTGTAATGTAACCTAAGCTTGTAATCTATGTATCCAGTGCTTGCTATAAAACGTAGAAACGACCTGATGCACTGTTATTCCTGGTAGATAAACGTCTTAACGGCGGAGATAAAAAAATATATATACTATTCAAAAAAAGTAGGGGATATTTGATTTTTAAGTGTTATTAAAGTCACCTAATGAAACTGACGAAGAAACAAATGATCGTTAGACTAAGTAAGGCACAGACCGACCATTATAAGGGTAAAATGATACCCAGGGTCAAACAGCAAAGTTACCACAGCATCACAACTAAGTCAGTAACGGGTAAATCCTCCTCTGTTTGCCAAACAAGCATTGATCCGACGTGGCATACTCCAAATGAGACGTCTAAGGTCATTTTGGTCCAGATTGTCCCATTCCTGTTGCAACGCAGCAGCAAGTTCTTGGACATTGGCAGGACGTTGTTGACGTTGACGTAACCTCTGTCCAAGCATGTCCCAGACATGCTCGATGGGGGAGAGGTCGGGACTCAGTGCTGGCCAAGGTGATGTTCTGTTGTTGGAGGTAACCTGTAACGATCCTGGCCCTGTGACATCTTGCGTTGTCATCCTGGAAGATGAAACGGTGGCCATGACGTCGTGCGAACGGCACAACATGGACTGCCAAGATGTTGTCCCGGTAGTACTGGCCTGTAACACGCCCTGCAACAACATGTAAAGCCGTTCTTCCAGCAACAGTGATGCCTCCCCACACCATAACAGAACCACCCCCAAATCGATCATGTCTGATGACGTTAACGTCTTGGAAGCGCTCGTTTCGACGACGCCACACCCTCCTACGTCTGTCCAAAAAATCAACAGTGAACCTTGACTCATCTGAAAACATCACATTGCTCCAGCGTCGATTATCCCAGTGTTGACGATCCCTACACCAACGACGTCTTGCCTGAATGTGATGATCTCTCAAACAAGGGATCACGCGAGGACGTCGGGCGCGAAGGTGACCCCTATGCAGTCGATTCCGAATCGTCTGGCCACTCACTCTCACACCAGTGTCTGTTTGAAGACGAGCGCTGATCTGATTTGCTGTGATGACACGATTTCTCAAGGCCAAGGTACGGATAAATCGATCCTGGGCTTGAGTTGTCGCCCTTGTTCGACCTGAGCGTGGTCTGTCCTGTACAGATTGTGTATCACGGTATCTGGATTATAGCCTGCTTATGACAGACTGAGAAACATTCACCGTCCGCGCCACAAACGCCTGTGTTGTGCCGATCTGTAGCATGCCAAGGGCACGTAACCTTTCATTTTGGGTAAGCCGACGCATATCAAAATTTGTTTTCTGGTCACTAAAACAATTAAACTGATGTTTCAACCCTGGAATTCAATGCCACAATGACTGTAACATTCAAAGTCAGAGTCGTGCAAATCTTGGGTTGGACCCCCATGATGATCCCAAGCATCACCTGCATTCCATGCGGTAGCTATTGGTGCGTTTGGGCGTCACATGTAACTGGAAATGTTTCTTCTGTTAGGTTCTATAGTGACTTTTTTCGTAGTCATTTGCATATTTTAGTATTATGCCCCCAAAATCAAATATCCCCTACTTTTTTTGAATAGTATATATACACAACGCGAGTCCTAAGAAGCGAATAAGAAACAAATATAACCCGAGACAAATTACTGGTAAGTTGAAACCGTTGCGGTATGAACCTGGACCTTTTAGTAATGAAACAATTTTTATACGCCCACATTTTCATGTGGACGTATTATGCCGTCGCCCCTGTCCGTCCGGACGTCCGTCCACAATTTGTTTGTGGACACTCTACAGGTCACAATTCTTATCCGATTTTGACGAAACTTGAAATATAGGTTTATCTCAAAAAGATCTCGGCTGCTTTCGATATTGGCATGTATCGGATCGAAACTTGATGGATTATGGCCCCTGTTTGTACGAAAAATCACGTTTTTAGCTTGTGGACCCTATAGAGGTCACAATTTTTATCCGATTTTGTTGAAACTTGAAACGTAAGTTTATAACCCAAAGATCTCGGTTCCTTTCGATATTCGCGCATATCGGACCGTAACTTCCTGAATTATGGCCCCTGATTGTACGAAATATCGCGTTTTTAGCTTGTGGACCCTATAGAGGTCATAATTTTTATCCGATTTAAAAACCCGTATTATTATATCACCGTTACACCCTAAGGACGACTGAGTTCGAATTTCGTGAAAATCGGCCCAATATTGACAGACAAAATGGCTGCCGTTCGTTCTCAAATAGCGTAAAAATATGGTATATCAAGGTTGTGGACCCTATAGAGGTCACAATTTTTATCCGATTTTGTTGAAACTTGAAACGTTAGTTTATAACACAAAGATCTCGGTTCCTTTCAATATTCGCGCATATTGGACCGTAACTTACTGAATTATGGCCCCTGATTGTACAAAAAATCACGTTTTTAGCTTGTGGACCCTATAGAGGTCATAATTTTTATCTGATTTAAAAAAACGTATTACTATATCACCCTTACACCCTAAGGATAGCTGAGTTCGAATTTTGTGAAAATCGGCCCAAAATTGACAGACAAAATGGCTGCCGTTCGTTCTCAAATAGCGTAAAAATATGGTATATCAAGGTTGTGGACCCCTAGAGGTCACAATTTTAATCCGATTTTGTTGAAACTTGAAATGTAAGTTTATAACCCAAAGATCTCGGTTCCTTTCGATATTCGCGCATATCGGACCGTAACTTCCTGAATTATGGCCCCTGATTGTACGAAATATCGCGTTTTTAGCTTGTGGACCCTATAGAGGTCATAATTTTTATCCGATTTAAAAACCCGTATTATTATATCACCGTTACACCCTAAGGACGACTGAGTTCGAATTTCGTGAAAATCGGCCCAATATTGACAGACAAAATGGCTGCCGTTCGTTCTCAAATAGCGTAAAAATATGGTATATCAAGGTTGTGGACCCTATAAAGGTCACAATTTTTATCCGATTTTGGTGAAACTTGAAATGTAAGTTTATAACCCAAAGATCTCGGTTCCTTTCGATATTCGCCCATATCGGACCGTAACTTCCTGAATTATGGCCCTTGATTGTAGGAAAAATCACTTTCTTGTTAGCTTGTTCTCTATCCATCTCTCGAAAATGTGGGCGTATCCTGCCTGGCAGCCGCTGGTTATTTTTGTCATTAAATTATGTAAGTGATCGATGGGATTTCTACTGTGTAACCGTCTACGTGAAAACTTACCGAAGGAACTTCAACATATCTCCAGTGTCCTCCAATTCGTCAAATATGTCCGTAGTTATGTTCTTCTTTTTATACACGTTTTTCACTTTATTAACAGTTCTCGTAATGAGGGGTTTAGAGGGCCATGTACCAGTTGAAATATCTGTTGTAAATACTATTTCACTGCAAAAAATATATACAATATTAGTAAGTAATGTTTAAGTTAAATCACTATTGACCGGAATAAATCTAAAATAGTTGCCACGCAGAGATTAAAATGAATCCATACAATTAATGATTTTAAATGTACTGTATTCTATCTGTATTCACAGATACTGCAACTTTCGACCTCAAAAGTATAATGATGTATTATACCTATACATGTAAACATAGCTTTAATGATTCCTAAAGAATACATGAACAATTTGAAATATTGTAGAATAACGTTTGTGTAACAGCCATGAACTGTCTTCATTAGCCCAGTCGGTGCAGAACAGTAGGCCGTTAAACCCCATTTCATTTCATTTCAACAACCATGAGACAAGCTTATAAGAATAATGGAATATTAGTATCACTAAATCCTAAGGGACAGCAATCATATAATACGACGCTGCTGTAATGATAATACCTTTCGTGTAACTAATGAACTATAGTACTAGTAGCAAAGTAGCAATAATGTAAAAATTATACGCCAGCTATTTGAGTAAAGTTGAAAAAAAAAACCGCACAGTTTAACTATGGTATAATGTACAACTAAAATATAACGTACATGTAAGGATGGCATAAACGTGTAACTAAGGTATTAGGTACCCGTATGGATGGATGGTACAAACAAGTAACTAAGGTATAAGGTACATACAAGGATGCTATAGACGTGTAACTAAGGTATAGGGTAGATGTATGGCAGGTGCGGATCCAGGAATTTTTCTAGAAGGGTGTTTGCCAGGTTCCTAAAACAATGTACCTTTGGGGGAGGGGAGGGGTTGGGGGCTCTCCCTTGGTTATTTTGACGTATATTTGGGGTAACCAGAGGTCACTTTGACAAAACATAGAAACTGGGATTTTACATAAAAAACATATTATAAATACATCTACCTACTACGCTACGTTTTAGTTTTACTGATAGGCAATGAAAATTCCAAGAAAAACTTATCAAAAATAATGATTAATTTCCAGTCGTTATCATAGTTAAAATCACATCAAATAGGCCTATACACCTTCGTGTTCTGGGATACACATAGATTCATAAAAACGCTATGGGAAAACATTTCAGCGTGTAAAAGTATAGCAAAAAAAGACGGTAAAATCACGACGATGTTATACAGACCTTTTACGTGTGCCGTATCACGTATGAGAAATACGCACACATTGATGACGTCACACGCAAAGTCTATACGAACCAGGAATTTACGCTTGACAAAAGTCTCTGGTAACTCAGGTGTAACGCACGCGTAAGGGTGATAGGAACGTTTAAACTATAAGATACATGTAAGGTGGATGTACTGATGACAAAATTTATATACACATGTATATAGCTATATGAATTTTGAAAATAACAGATTGGCCCATTGGCCTACTTTGTTGATAACAAAAATGTCATGAAAAAAAAAAAAAATATTTGATGTTGTTATTACACAGGGAACCTGGATTTAATTATATAACTAATTATTATCTCCAGGACTTAAAAACAAAAGTTTTCAGCATCAGCAAAATAAAAAGAAAAGAAAATCATTAATCATCACACTGGAACCACCCAAACAAGACCTCGAAGTTTTGATAAAACAAAAACAAAAAATATATATATATATATACTCACGAACACGAGGGCACACATATGTCAATGCAATCTAAATGTTCTAGTTCATATTCCTTCAAAACCATATCTAAACATGAACCTGAAAAGGAAAATAGTTAAGAGTGTATCCGCGAAAGACCAGGCAAGAATCGCAAGAAGTGCCAAGATGTGGAGGTCGGAAGTTTTTGATCAAACTTATGTTATGACATCCCCCAGGAGCAAGAAGTGACATGCTGAAGTAAGTTACAATCTGATGTCGCTATAAAGGACTATGCTGGAAATAGTCATTTATGGATAAAATTTTATCACCCCTTTTTAAGCACAGGCTGCATTCTATGGCGCAATAGCAACCTTCTAATTTTGACCCTGTCTGATAAAGCGGGTGGTCAACTTCCACCGAGCACTAATTTGAAAAAAAAATCATTCCATACATATTTTTTGTGGACTTGTTTTAGGGTACCATATTCATATTGTCGCAAAATAGTACAGAACAAAATACACTGTAACTTTTTCTTTCATGGTCGCGTAAAAACATGGACCGGCATGCAACATACTTAAAATATACAGCTTATTGAAAAGTGCTCAAAATAAGCTTTTGTAATACATTTTTTTTAAAGATGCATGATTGGAGATTAGATAAAGAGCTGGCAGTTCTCGCTATAATAGTTAAAAACTAGATAATGTAAAGGGAATTTGCTGAAAATTTCAGACAAATTGATCCACTACGAACCGAGTATTTAGCGATTGAATTTTGGGCCTAGCCTCGATCATCATTTACTAAACTCGGTACGATAAAAACAGAGTCTCGATTATCCAGTTTTTGATTTAATCAGAAGCAGCAGACCGGGTTCTAATCCAGTAAATAGATAACATTTCAGGCCTAAAGAAAGATCTGCTATTTGCAGATTTAGCTCTTGCATAATGTATGTTTAATTAGAGAAATAAAATTTCTGACTATTCTACGTTTTAATAATATCAATAGCTGTAATTTGTACCATGTGGTAGGCCTACTGTATATAAATGTATATTTGGTATTTATCGTTTTGTACCTTTTACATATTTGTTGTATTGTCCCTTTAAGGTTTCATTTTCCAATAAGTCACATCCACTGATTTCTGCGATAAAGAAATTTGGAAGCTTAAATTTTAACGCAGCCTTTCGTCGAAGTGAGTGACGTTGAACAGGGTAGTATCTTGGCTACCACTTTCGAGCGCCGCGAGCTACACCCCCAGGGCCGGATTTAGAATAAGAGAGGCCCTAGGCAATCCCCCACCCACGCGACTAGAGGAAGATGTAAAGGGCCCGCGACATGGACCTTGGGTCCCTGGGGCAGGCAAGTCCGTGAGTGGGTGGGTCGGGTATTATGGGCCAGTCAAGAGGAAAATTTTCGCACCCTCTGCTACCTACTGGCACTGATGCCATTTACTTAAACATGCATTATGCAAGAGCAAAATCTGCTTATTACAAGACTTAGTCTTTCTTTAGGCCTGAAATGTTATCTAAATTATCAATTAGACATTAATTAACTTATCCAGACCATAATCAACTCTCGATGTCAAGGCTAGCCTTCGATGTTGGCTGGATTAGATTCCTATATGCCGCTAACGGCTATTAATAATTAAATCAATAAAAGCGGATAATCGAGACTATGCTGTTTATATTAATGATTTTAGTAATGATGACCGAGACTATGCAAAATTTTCACCCGCTTCTTTCTCGGCTCATAGTGGATTAATTTGACTGAAATTTTCAGCAAATTACCTTTACACTATCTAGTTTTTAACTATTATAGCGAGAACTGCCATCTCTTTATCTTATCTCCCATAATGTATCTTTAATATTTTCTTCCTATAGTCATACGCTAATTAAAACTTTTATGGTAAGACATGGAATTATAATTTTTTTTTATTACAAATAAGTTGACAAACCTTACCATCAATAGTTTCGTTACATCTTCGTACAGGGGTTTCTGTTATATCAACTAGAACCTCGTCAAGAGCCTGACCATCACATGGAAAGTCAAAATGACAGCATTTACATTCTTTAATCACATTCTTCTGGTAACATGTCTTCATACACGCCTACAAATATCAAAGAATCCATTAGGTCAGAATTGAAATGAAATGGTATTTAACGTCCTACTTTTCTTCGACAACTGGTCTAATAAATTGAAATGGGATTTAAAGTTCTACTATTCTGCTCGGACTGGGCTAATGAAGACGGGTATACGCCATACAGTGTGCCATGGGTGAAATTTTACTACTCTTATATTGAAATCCAACTGTCACGCTAATCTGTAAACGGGACCTCGGCATTTTTTTACCATCCGAACGACTATACTATGGCCCTTGCCAGGTCATCTGTCCTGCACCAATGACAAAGGGGGGGGGGGGGAATCGAACAAAGAACCTTCAGGTTAGTACGGGAAAAAGCCACGCAATGTGCTACGAGATAAATTTTGCCCGGACAGCAGCGCTACGGTCTACTCTCATATCGAATTCCAACTGTGTACAAGAGACCTACCTTTTTCGTCCAATCCGACCGACTATACGTTATCTCTTGTCGGGTCTTCCGTCCTACTGCATTGACAAGGGTGGGTGGGTGTCATTTAAAATCACATGGCAAAAAGACTATGACGTGGAGTCCATTCAAACCATGCAATTATTTCTGAAAAGGCCTTTCATAACTCGTAACAGTTACGGAGTTATAAGCATTTTTATTCGTGAAAAGAAGTCGTTTTATGTTTGAATATTTCCCTTTTTTTTTTCTTTTCATAATTGTTGCAAATTGTTAAAGGCTTGTTCGTTTACGAGATTCTTCACAGTTCTTCAACAATCGTCTTCGTGTCACTAATTTGAAATAATTCTACAAAGTCACCAAGAACAATAACTCTGAGGGTTATTATCAGAATGCAATAAGTTACTTCGTCTCACTAACGAAGACAACGTAAATATATCAATTTTAAAAGATCTGATGAGTGTTCACAAGAAACTACGGACAACAAACCCACGAAGGAGACGGCAATTTACGACCATATTTCAATGTTTACCTATGAAAATAGAATATTTCATAATGTGTACGATGATATTATGTGAAAATAATATACCTTCTCTGAATATGAAACATTATTAAACTCAGCAAAAACATTAATCTCTTTATTATGTTCTTCTGTATATGATTTACATCTGCCATGTGGTGGTTTACTTCTCTCTAAAATAACCTAAAATATTTTTTATATAAATTATTTATCAGATTATAACGATAGATTATCAAAATATAACTGTAGATTTAAAGGTGCATGTAGAGGTGGGTGAGTGCCCTAAGAAGTCAAAACTGTGGGGAAAAAAGTAATTAACATTACACCGATTTTTCGTTCCGTTTCATTTTTCGATTGTTAACTACATTTCATATTTACGGTTTTGGGTGCGTTCAGTAATGTACGTATTGTGATTGGTCGACTTCAGAGCAACCCACTAATCAATTGCTTATTCAGATCTTAGATTGATTGTGGATTCAAGATCAAAGGTATTCGCACACTGTCACCACAGGCCCGGAGCGCGCTTTTCTTAAACATGTCCTGATATGTTTTACAAGAAACGTATCGAATAAATATCTGATCTGAAATTAGATTGGCAAAAAGAAAAAAAAAGTGCCCTCGGAGGAATTATTTTTCAATATAATAAGTTCTTTAATTGAATAGCTGTTTTTCTGATAACAGGGATCAATACATACATGATTTATACATGTAACGCATATTCTTTTTATATGTCAATAATTAGTCTATGGTTTTTTTTTATGGAAAAACAATGTTAAGCCAAGCTTAAAATCAGCTTATATATATACAAGCAAACAAGTTCTGAACAATTATCTTCAAGCCTAATAGATGAAAATGATTGGAATTTAAAGGAAAACACGCCTATATAAAATGTTGATGTACCCAAGCTCCGAGTTTTCTTGCTTAAATTAAATTCATGGCATCTTTTAAAATATGGCTGAAACTACAGGGATTGCAATATGGTTACAGACAAAACATCGTTTTATTAAGTCAAGTCAGATCAACTAAGTGTATCACTTTACTTGGGTCACTTTTTGATTAATATACTTTAAAATTTATATTTTAATTCCGTTTCTGCGTATCAAGAATTACCTAATTTGATTTTATTGATAACCCTTTAAATAAAATACACATGTAGTACAAGTTTTTTTTTATATAGATTTTCTTTTTGAACAAAGCATTAGGCTATCAATCGGGTATGTTGCCCCTTTAAGAAATAAAAGATAATAATTTCATCAATAAAGTCTATTATAATATAATAATAGTTAATCAATTTTATCAAACTGATATTCTAACATTGAGGTGGGTTTGTCAAGTCCTCTATCACCTACAAAGTCATCCATGCTAAATCTAAAATCGTTGTGACAGAGCAAGTTTTTAGAAATCTATTACCTACTCGATTCGTAGCGTTAACAGTCAAAATGTGACACGAATGATAACTCGGCAGAACAAATAAACTATAAACATACTTATGGAAAACAGCTACTGATTTATTTAGGCGACGTTTCGAAGAGTATTCTCTCAACGTTTTCAAGCTTGCTAAAATCGAATTTTAATAGGGTTCCTCCAAACAGTAACAGAAAAAATCAAATTTACAAGATAAATCGGCAAAACACGTTCGAAATTTACGATACAATTTATAATTCGATAGGATCCTTCCTATAAAAGAATGAACAAGCATGTCGGATTTTAAAACATTTAGCATGAACTATGTCCTGTATCTCGTTTATAGGCCCGAGCATAAATTGGGAAATAACTCTTAAATTATTGATAGGATTCTTTCAAATGAGAAATCTCTATACACATGGACGTGGTTAGAACTGCTTGTGAACAGAATTCACAAGAAATATTTTACGATCCTATATGGACGACGGGAGCATGTGATCATCATGTTACGTCCACATAAAATATGTGTTTACACTGGCTTCCAGTTCTAAACAATTTTTCATTGTACAGGCGATCAGTAGAACAATAATGAAACAATCTATAGGTAATTACTAGTTCAATAAGGAGTTGGTGTTTTAGTGTATAAATATATATTTACAAAGACCAAGTATCACAATATATTAATCAAAAATTGGTTTTGTTTGTAGACATGAGAGGTCAAAAAAGTAATTTATCACGTTTAGCTAATGATTTCTCTACTCGTTATTGTATGTGAGGAAGTTATTTATCGTTAGTGACATATAATGTTTGTACATCATATTGTCTGATATCAGTTACTATTAAAAAAACAAAAGCCCTCTACACAGAATTAGCCATATTTACTCCCTGAAATATATCCGGGGATTTATTCTTTAAGCTCAGAAACAATAAAGATACTAAAGAAAATTCATGTAAGTGCGGAGTTAATTCGGCCAAATGCCACTGATATTTCTGTATATTCTTTTTACGATCGACCTTATATTTACATAACCATCGTTGAGATACTCTATCCAAACTGGAGCGAAAAAGACATTGTTTAGAGAAAAGGACACTATTAAGGGGCGATATTCAAACTGGGGCGAAAAAGACACTGTTTAGAGACACTATCCAAACTGGAGCGAAAAAGACCATGTTTAGAGATACTATCCCAACTGCGGCGAAAAAGACCCTGTTTCATGTTGGATTAGGAGACCTATAGCTCTGATTAATCCACCTCATTCCCAATATTGCCTGGGAAATAATGGAGGATTAAGCTGAACACTAACCTGACTTAGACCAACTGATGTTGACATACCAGGACTGATTGACACACCATCATCCTCTGGAAAAGGCATACTACCTTGATGATGTACCAATATCTTGGCTCCCAAAGTATCAGCTAAAAACTCGGAATATTCTGTCTCTTGTATATATAACTCCATGGTTAAACCTGTTATGGAATATTAATTCATGAATTTTTCCTTCAAGAACAGGTCTGCATTTACAGTATGTACAGGAACACAAGTTCGACTCTGTTTGGAACAGCCACGTGGTTTCCAGTGAGATTTGTCTAGTTACGGCCATGAATAGTTGATCCCTTTCACAAACGAACCGTCCACAAAAAAGGAGGCACCGCAACGATATATAAATAAACATAAATATATACATATACTGTAACAATAGACATAACTAATCTAAATTGTCTTAAATTAAAATGATACAACGACAATGAACTCCCCAAATGAGAAAAGGCATCTACAATTCTACATGTTCTAGAAAGAGTAAGCGCAACACAACTTGTAGCATAATGGGGCGATGGGTCGGCCTGGGATTTTAGAAGTCGATATACATAGTATTACTATGATTCCACAAATTACATCACATCAATATATATTCCTTTAGTAATAGGCCAAACGATCAGTTAGTGTTTTTGTCAGAATCATAACTACTTCTTTTGTGATTTCATATATGGGTTAGCAGACGCTATCCAAGCCATTTCCGATACGATAGTATGCATTTAGGTGCAAATCATAATGCAAAATGTAACAGAAGCTCTTGAACACGACGAAAAACATTTCAACTTACCATATCGTGGTCCAGGTTTTTTAGTTTCTAATTTTCTTGGGGATATATCTGGGTTTCCATTAAATGTATAGCAATTACCATATTTAAAGTTATAAAAGCTGGTAAAATTTCTGAAAATGAAAGGAGATAATCAAAGAGTGCATGTTTAAAACACTTGTGGTATAGACCACAAGTCATGTTATCTATACATTTCATTGACGGTATATCTAACCTCGTGGATCTACTGGTACTCCAACTTCTGCCCCCATTTCCCGCAATATAAACACCTTTGAAGATCACAACGAACAACATACATGTAATTATTATAATAAAAGATCATGTACCATATAGTAAGTGCAGGAAGACTGCACCACACATAATTTACACAAAAGCGAATAGGCCTATATGGACAAGACATAATACACAGAAATCACAAACAAAGGAATAATTCAAATAAGTGAATGGATCCGGGGGCTAGCGGTAAGCGTCTACTGTTAGTCCATAAAAGACCTGGGTTAGTGAACGCCGGGAAGAGAAACAAGAATAGTGTGTAAACACCAAGTCCAGTAGTAGATGAAACCGTGTTGGATACAGCAATCTAAAATTTGGTATTTAAATTTCCGGAACTAATAAATACCTGGCCGAACATGGTCGTCCTTCATATGTGCAGGCTATTAACATATCTTCTATGGCATGTCCTATCATTTGTCTGTCTGTTGTATTCATAGCTCCAATGACACTAATAAATGCTGATTCTATATTATATTCTGCTGTCAAAGCCTCATAAAAATCTGCGGTATTTTCTTCGTCATTTTCTTCTTCTACTACTTCTTCTTCTTCTTCACTGTTTTCCTCTTCTTTTCTTCTTTCATCCTAAATTATTTCACAAAAATTCACAAAAGTAAATGTATAATGTTTACAGTTCAATCAATATACACGATCTCCATATGAGGCCAAAATAACACATTCCTGAGCGACAATATGTTTTTAAGCCAAAATCCCGACTCTTAACTGTTTCCTCTATAACTGGGTTTTGGCGTGATTTTCTCTAGACAAATTTTCAAGAACCATACTCGATAACTAAGCAAGAAATGCTAGGAAATAAATAATACAAATACCATAAAATAAAAAGATAAAAAAAAAAATTCCGAACGACACTATTTTTTGCGACCCAGTAGCCGTAAACATAGGTATTTATTTTCTTGGTCTAAAAAGTTATCAATCAACGGAATCAAACCTGATCATTTGCTGAACCAGATCCAGGAAAGTGCATCTTCGTGCATTTCCCCAACCCAAACATTTAGTAGATTTTTTCTCTCTACATGAACGTAGGATTTCATTTACCATTTAATGCGATTTTTTAAAAAGAAAATGTCAGCAGAACTTACAGCAATGTTTATTAAATCCACTAAATCATGAAATCCCAGTTCTTCTACTTTTGATTTCAATGTTGATCGTTTGGCAGGATTCATATTACAAATAGTTACAGCTGGAAAATCTAGTTTATTATTGTTTTCAATTGTGACCACGGTGGACAAGGGCCATTGGTTGTAGAGAATAATGATCTTTGCTACATGTTGTATTGCTATACCTATAATGAATACATACATACAAAAAAAAAGAAATGGGATGCATTGATGACCTTCAGTTAACTTTATTTAAAACTTATGTCTTCATGAGGTCGAGCAAATTGAAAAAAAGATCAGATAATCAGAAAACAAAAGCTCATTCTAATTCCAATTAGACTAGATATTTTTAAGTAAAGTATTTGATAAAATATTGCTTAAACGTAACTGTTCTGTGTTTAAGTCATCTGATCTACAATATGGATCTAAAAGTAATCCCTCGACATCACATTGTTCTTTTCTGTTGGACGAAACTATTATTATATTATAATTCCAAACAGTCTGATGTTTACGTCACATACTTAGATATGCGTCTTCGGCTTTTGACAGGATCTAGTATGTTAAATTATTTAGATTGTTATTATCAAAGGGCCTATATCCGCTAGAAGCTCGATTTTTACTGAATTCATATATAAATCACAAAGTGAGAGTAAAATGGGCCGATTATATAAGTCCCGCGTTTAATGCCACTAATGATGTGAAACAAGGTGGAGTTCTCACCACAATCTTATTCTGTATCTATATGGATGAGAGAGAGAGAGAGAGAGAGAGAGATGAGGTTTAACGTCCACTCGACACAAACTAGGTCATTTCGGGACTAACATATGGTTTAAAATTATTTACATAATTCGCTTGCGCGTAGGGGTCTTTAGCAGTGGGAGGAAACCGGAGGACCCGGAGAAAACCCACGAGGTTGGACAGGCGACCCTTCTCCTTGTCACGTACAACCGGGGATTCGAAACCACACCAGTCGACTCAATGACAGACTTTATGATACAGCGCGCGCGCACGCTAACCATTCAGTCATCCACCCCCCGCCCCCTATATGGATGAGCTACTGACCAGGCTAAAAAGGGGCAAGTTGGGCTGCCATATTGGCCATGTATTTGATGGTGCTCTTGTATGTGCTGATGACATAACTCTAATTTCGCCAAGCCGTCATGCTCTGACGTCTATGCTTCTTATAGTAAATGAATTCTCTAAAGAATATTGTGTTGATTTTAATCTCGAAAAAAGTAAGTTTGTTATATTCAGCTCAAATAACAAAGATGTTAAAATCAAGAGTATACTGTTCAATGACCAAGTTATACAAATATCACGTTTAGAATTACATTTAGGTAACTTTATTTATGTTCTTAACAAAAATGATCAAGTTAATGAATGTATAAGTAAGTTTTTAACCAGGTTCAACGTCGTGTTTTCTAGTTTCAAACATGTTCATTCTGATATTCGTTATAAGCTGATTAAAACTTTTTGTATGCCTCTGTGCGGTTGTCAATTGTGTGACTTGTCTCACAATAGCATTGAAAATTTCCATTGTGCATGGAGAAAATCAATAAGACGTCTATACAAACTGCTCTCCCGTACACACGGCAACCTACTATATATATTTTATATGTAACGACGCTAACGTCGATGTCAAACTCTTCAAAAGATTCCTTAAATTTTTTAAAAATATCTCCAAAAGTGACAATGAGTGTACCAAAATAAGTGGCCTATACTAGCTCTCAACGGAAGTTGTTCTAGCACTTGTAATAATTTAAATTTAATCTGTTTTAAATACAACCTATGTAAATATGATATTCCTGTAACACAGATTAATTGCATTCTGTCCAAAGTTGTTCGATGTGATGAATATAATGCTAACATTGATGTTTCTATGACTGCTGGTGCTATTTCTGATATGATTTATCTTAATGACAGAAGTAATGAAAATAAAGAACATCTAAACTGTACATTAGACTTATAGAATACCTGGGTACAAAATAAGTTAATAGACATATATTTATTTTTGTAAGCGTATTGTATTATATTGTACTTTGAGTACGAATAAATATATTATTATTATTATAACAACAATATTATAAGACCGAAAGTATGGAGTCGAAGATCTAAATTGACGAAACTAGAGAATACTTCTCTTTTTCATTGGCCGTGTTCTTCAAATAAAAGAAGTCCCCTGAGGCCCGTCCTGTACGTGAAAGTGACATTCTTATCCTAACGTGTTGAAATTAAAATTTACACAAGAATGGAATTGGGGGATTAGAAAGAGTGTTAAATAGCTCAAAGTAACAGAACAGATAATAACCTATATGAGCAAAACCATAGGACAGAGAACGTCAAATTGTAACAAATTTATAATAGAAACAATGTCCGAAACCAGACTGGTTTCAGAACAAAGCTGTTCTTTCCCATTAATAAAAAAAATTGTACGGTTGTAATATGGTATAACTATGGTATAACTTATTTTAAGGCGATCAGATTGAATTCGTGGATACAATAGAGACTGGTTTCGGTAATTCATATCAAATTCTGACAATAGTCGAACCTTCCGAGTGTCAGATTTATCTCCTTACATGTATATTTGAAAACCACGGGACCCTTGGGTTAGTATTTCGTGTGTTTGTGGTTAAAAGCTTTCGTTATAATTTTACTTGACAAAATAATAATTTTGAACGAGTGTGCATATTGTATTATCTGTATTGAAATGAAATGGGATTTAACGTCCTACTGCACCAACTGAACGAATTAAGACCGACAAATATTACATATACTTACCAGAGCCAATTAAAGTTAAAATTATCCACATAAATCTCCTGAAATTCCCTTTAGATTCTGCCGCTTTTGGCCATCCATGCATGCTGGAATTGGCTGCAAAATCTTTAACCAAACCTTTAACGCTTTGTTGTTTATCGTCCAGCATTTTGATTTTGAATCACGACCCGCTTATTTGATTGTTAGTTGAAAATCAGAAAATTAAAACAAAGCAAAAAACGTCTGACTTTTTAGTTTTGTGTTTGTTGTTCTATACAAAATAAAACTTTGGTATAGATTTGGTGACCACCTATCTACACAGATTATCAATTACTAGTGTGTTGTGTTCTGAAATCAATCGTGCAATTTATAGAGATAATTATAATACATCCCCAGAAATCGATGTTTTGATAATCGTGCAGTTCCATTACTATTAACCATAACTCTATCATTATATTGTAAGTGTATGAAAGGATTTTATAACATAGTCATACCAATATCATCCCCGGAGATGAGATGTTATAATACTCAACTTAAGTCTGACTACATTGTATTAATTAAACCACAACAACCGTTAATGTACATGTATTAGTAACATTTTAAAATTGTTATTAATATTTAATGTCGCGCAACTGATCAACAAACAATGCTTCAGTAACATGGACAATATAAGTTTTTACAAAATAAGTGAATGCACGTTGAGCTACGAGAACCCACCACAAAACAGTCCTATCACACTCTCCATCCATGAAAATAGATATAAACCGTCTATCAGTTTGAAATAAATTTAACGACAGGGACCATTTTTTTTAATACGTAACAGGTATTAGCGATTGCAAGATGACTAGACGTATCAGTTATAGTGGCAGTGGCAGCGGCAGCGGGTGGGTGTGTCAGATGTTGACGGTGGTGTTGGGATGAAGTATCAGATGTTGATAGTGATAGCAAGATGAAGTATCAGCTGTTAATAGTGACAGCGAGTTAAGTATCAGATGTTGATAATGACCTCGAGTTAAAGTATCAGATGTTGATAGTGATAACAGTTTTTGATAGTGATAGCGGATGAATGTATCAGATGTTGATAGTGATAGCGAGTTAAAGTATCAATCCGCTGCGTATCGGATGATGTTGATGGGGACGATAATTTTGATAGTGATAACTTTCAGGACCGGCGGAAGCAATTCTTGATTGGGGGGAGGGCTACCATCCTAGGTCCTTAGGCGGGGGTCCTGGGGCCGCCTAGGCCCCGGAAGCTCTTGGGGATCCAGATCGTCATAAAAACACCATCTCTGGTGGTTTAATCCTGTGATGCCGAACTTGACAAATATATGCATAATGCAACTTACAATGTACGTTTATTACCGAAGAGATCTCGGTTCCGTTCGATATTGGCGTATATAGGACCGTCACTTCCTGGATTATGACCCATGATTTTACGAACCGTGGACCCAGTAGAAGTAACAGTTTTTATTTGATTGTAAAAAAACATTCAATTATAGCAGGTCAAATTTTATCCGAAATTGACGAGACTTGAAATATAGGTCTATCTCCCAAAGATCTCGGTTTCTTTCGAAATTGGCATGTATTGGACCGTAACGTCATGGATTATGACCTCTGATTGTACGAAAAATGACACTCTTAGCTTACGGACACTCTAGAGGTCATAATCTTCATCCAATTTTGATGAAACTTGAAATGTATGTTTGGTTCCTTTCCAAATTCGCGCATATCTGATTGTAACTTTGTGGATTATAGCCCCTGATTGTACGAAAAATCGCGTTTTTAGCTTACGGGCCCTCTAGAGGTCATAATTTGTATCTTATTTTCAGGTTACAATTTTTATCCGATTTAAAAGGCATTCGAATATATCACCGTTACACCATAATTACGGTTGAGTTCACATTTTCGAAAAATGAGACCGAGCTGCCCCACAAAATGGCCGCTCCCCTAAAGGCATATAATATTTAGTTTAGATCTAAATATTAAGGCTACCTGCAGATTTCGCCAATGTCACGAGATGTAAACAGGGCTAGCGCAAACCCTAACCAAAGATCTAGCCCTTCCCTAACTCACAATCCTCTGCAACAATCACTTGCCCTAACCCTGTTTACATGTCGTGACCTTGACGAAATCTGCCAGAAGCTTTAACATTAGGATCTGATCATAATACCCAGGTTGTAGACCATCCAGCGGTTCGAATTTTTTATCCAATTTTGAGGAAATTTAAAATATATATTTATATCCCAAAGATCTGGGTTTCTTCGATATTGGCTCGTATTGGACCGTAACTTTTTGGATTCTGATCCCCTGGTTGTAGGAAATATCACGTTTTTAGCTTACGGGCCCTCTAGAGGTCATAATTTGTATCTTATTTTCAAAACTGTTCAAATATATCACCGTTACACAATAATTATTTCCGCAAAATCGGACCGAAACTTCCCCGTCAAATAGCCACTCCCCTTTTCGAAAATCTATACTAATATTTGTGACTGTCGTTTGTCTGTCTGTCTGTTTGTCTGTCTGTTCGGGGGTCTGCCCCGAGTCTGAAATTTGGGGTATAGGGGTAGCTCGGACCGGGGAGTAACATAGGCCAGGTGGCGTTAGTCTACCACTTCCAGTTTCGGGGTTATGACCCCCGAGCGAAGCCGGGCATTCTGCTAGTAGTATAATAAAATCATGTAATACCCAGGTTGTGGACTATCTAGAGGTCACAATTTTATCCGATTTAGATGAAACTTAAAAAGAGTAAGCCTATCACTAGTTCATGGGTGGGTTCCATTTGCTTGCGCATCAGCCCCTGCCTTTTACACAAAATGTTAAATATGAATGAAGTTTGTGTACCTTTCACTATGAATTTCAACTGTGTGTTAAGGATCAAAAGTTCTTGGATCATTTCGACTTTGGTAGCATCATACCTTACATTCTAGAGCTATAGCCCCTGCTTTTCACGCAAAATCTGAAAAATGTACGGATTTTGTAGGCACTCCAGGTGTGTGTGTGTGTGTGGGGGGGGGGGGGGTACCATTGTAACTGTTGTCCCATTCTGTTAAGAATCAAATGATTTTGAATGATAGGATAACCTTTTTGATTTTACCTCTTCCCCGTCCATTTCATACAAAATGTGGGCATATCTTGCATGACAACCGCTTGTTTCAACTAGCCATAAGGGGCACAAGGAAAGGAATGGAATGAATGAATGAAATTGGGTTTAACGTCCTGCTGTTTTGCTCCAAGCTGGGCTAATGAAGACGGGACAAGGAAAGGGTATAAATAAAACTCTATCCCGTTGTTTTTCTAATTACCTTGAAATAAAGATCGACCGTTCAGTTATCTAATCGCGACCCTCGCAACCGCGGGTCTCTTAACCCTGGGAACATTGTATAGAGCATAGCAGGGTTTTCTTCTTCTGAAAGTCTACGTTCTAGAAGTCTCACTTCTATGTTAAATTCAAGCCTTTTTGTTTTTAATAGAATAGTTACTTGCGTGCAAAAACCTGGAGAAAAGGGTACTTGCGGCCAAAATCCCTAGCCCCCCCCCCTACTCCGCCGGGCCTGACTTTGTTAACGCTAAGCGCATCTGAATATTAATGGGAATTTTCTTTTAAAGAATCGTAGCAGTGATATAGAAATAAAGTTGTAGATTGCAATTATTTGAGAATGGCAGTGATGTTGTAGATGATAAAGAAAGAGACCTCAGGTTTTAGTTAATATGCACGTTTCTGAAAAAAAAAATACTTTGGCATATTGACGTAATCAACCGACGTACGATATAATTGATAATATAATTCAAGCGACTAAACCAAAATGAAAGAAGTAATTAATAATGTATTGCAATCATATTGATAATAGTAGTTTTATTCTAGTAAGCAATGTTAATCAGTATCGTGATCTATGAAGGCGATTTAATGATTGTTTGGAATGATCTCATTTTGTAATGATAAAAATGTTTTATTCCATCAGTGATTAGTATATGCATGAAGTCCGTGGTGTGTGAAAAGCTATTTTCAAGCATGCCATTGTTTGGGGTAGAAAATAATTAAACAGACGAGTAGAGGTGATTGTATGTAGCTTTTGTATTGTATTTTTAATTGGAGGAAGAAATATACCTCATGTGTTTGAATAGAGGACTGTGTGACAGAGTTTTATGGTTTGGTAAAGAACATAAATATATAACACTTTATCGTTTGATCAATATTATCATGTAGGTATTAAACCTACACAAATATTGACGAATATCAATCTCGGTAATATAGGTTAATTTCTATAGCCTTAAAAATGAAATTATACGTCTATTAAAATTGTTTTCAATATTTATTATGTTTGGTTGCTGGCAACGATTTATTTGTGTACTTTACTTATTTTTAAAGGACCATGAACATAAAGTTTGTAACGCATTATTTGACCGAAATCCGGTTTGTTATTCCGCACCCCGCGGATTCTTAACATGGGACCCTTAAAACTCAACAATCGCGTAGTTTTTTGTTTTACACTAAAAAAACGTCTACTATTTTCAAATCAGAACACTTCAAATCAATAACCAATGAAATGAAACACAATTACGCACTAGGCGTCACTTGATCCAGAAAACCAGCTATAGTAGAGCGGCAAAGCATAAAAATCGTTCACTGTGCACTGGCTACAATGTTGATTTTGTGTATAACCGCACTAAATCTGACAGATAACATGGGAGGATACAAAAATTTAATTGGCATCGTAGTTCTAGGTTTGAGTCCATATGAAATTCCATTCCGGGTAGAAAATAACGAATGTATATGCAGCATACAATCTAAATGCATACGAATGAATGAATATACCAACATACGTACATAATTATAAGTAAGTCCAAAAATACTCTGTCATGGTCCGTATACAATGTACATTATTAGTGAAAAAAAAATCATGAATCCGTTTGAACGAGTTAGTATCTCGTTTGAACGAATTAGTATCTCGTTTGAACGAATTAGTATCTCGTTTGAACGAATTAATTATCTTGTTCAAACGAAATACTAATTCGTTCTAATTCGTTCAAACTGATTAATATTTTTGTTTGTTTCGCAATAATAGTCCTTCGTAAAAAAAATGTAAGGAATTAAAATAATTTCTATATTTGCTTCGAAGGCTGTTTAAGGCGTTTTATGTTGTTGGGTAACCGCGGTGCCTCAGTAGATAAGACGCTGGCTCGCTAACCGGGAGTCTCGTGTATTCTTAAAGATAGAAATTAAAGCATTCAAAACTAAACATATCGTGTGCTTAGAGTTGGGAAAAGAAGACGCGTCAAGTTCAAAAATTGTTTCCAAATATTTTTATAAATAGGCGTATTTAGTAAAAGCGTACACTGGATTCCTTTCTAACTTTAAACGATACCCATAACCTTTCATATTAGGAGAGAGAAATAAAAAGGTCCTATCTAATATTATAATAATCTTGTACCTGGCAATTTAATATAATTATAAAAAGAACTATACGTAAGTTTAGAGCCTATTTAAATTCTAAGCTGTCATTCTGCCATATATACCTTATCGTGGCCCTTTAATGAACAATATCTAAGTATATCATATTCATTTTACATCAAATTATAGTTCGTAACTATGGCCAATTTTTATGGGATTTTTATGTGCATTCCACGATATTTTGAAAGTTTGGTAAATTTATAACATGTTTATCGAGCTAGTTGAAGCCTGATATTTCAAGATTAGTAAATGTGTACACATTGTAAATTAAGAATTGTTTACTGTATTATGATCATATATAAAGATGTTACTTGTTGGGTATATGAACCTTATTTTAAAAAAAAATCAACCGTTACAACATGGAATATTATCTGCTTACACTGACTCTACTAAGCTTGGGTGAGTTTTAAAGGAGTCAAATCTCTCCTCTTTGGCACTTAGAAATAGGCAAAAATGGGTCGCAAGACATATAAAAACGTAATATTATGAATGTACTGTATATATAAACTGATTTTACATCCAGTCGTTTCTGTTTTTACTGTACTTTCTAATCAGTCCGTTCGGCGAAATAACATATCAACATCAATGTTGATTTAGAGAGAGAGAGAGAGAAATCGAGTTTAACGTCCACTCGACACAAACTAGGTCATTTCGGGACTAACATATGGTTTAATTTTATTTCAATAATTTGTTTGCGCGTAGAGGTCTTTAGCAGTGGGAGGAAACAATGTTGATTTAAATTGACCAATAAGCCGTGTTTGCATTGTCGAATAAGGAATAAGGTGCTTACGTGAGATGTTGAATTTAAGGGCATCTCGTAAGCAAATTAGATTCAGTTGTTTTTATGGATTATTTGGTTTTGCTTGATTTCAATTATTGTTTGATAACATTAATTATTTAGCTTTGTAACTTGTTTAAGAATCACTATATAGAGCTTTAAAAATCTTCACTTGTCAGTCATTTGAAGTCATGTGACTACTAATTTATAAAGGCTTATATCTACACCATTCAAACTTCATTATGTTTATTTCCTTGTTGAAAGGGTTATTATTTTTCTTTATAACTTTTTGATGTGATTTTGATTATTCAAGATACCATAAATCTTCTGTTTTTCTGCATGAAATAGGTGTGGGAACAGAAGCCATTGATTGTAGTACATTTAACAAAGATACCTGTCAACAAGACTCTATAAGATATTGTTTACCCGATGGAACAATAATAGATGGTACTTGTGAGGTATCTAGTCTTGTTTGCGAGTAAGTATCAATTAAAGATTCTAGCGTCCAGAATAACCCAGGGGGTGAAATGAGATTTATCGTCCTTTTTTCTGCATCAAGCGGGATAATGAAGACGGGCATACAAGAACACCAGGCACTGTTCGAACGATTTAGTTGTTGTAGGCGTTCTCTGACAACCTATTTTGTTTTGTATTTTCCCCTTGGTTTGAACAGAAAAAAAACCCCATCAGAATTCTCCATCCAGCCCTTGGCCATTGCCAACCATTTTTATTTTGATGCCCCTTCAGTCAGTTATAAAAAAGAAAAAGCAAAGGTAAGAAATTTGGTGTATCACAAAATGTGCAAAACATAATAAAAACAAATGTCTAACTTTTGGTTTTGGTGAATTAGGATTGGTCGGGGCCCCGAAAAAATTAATCCAACCATTAACTTGTGAAGCGAAGTGATTTATGAATAATATCTGTATTTAATCATTAAAAATATTTGTAGATCTGGTGCCGTTGTAGATGAAACATTTGCAGCTTGTGTGTCGTCATTAACCTCCGCGTTTAACTGTACAGGCCACATAGTAGGTGGTGCTTGTTTACCTGATAGTATACCATACTGTTTAACTAATGGAGAAATTGTCCTGGGGTCCTGCGATGCCAAAGCTAAAGTTTGTGAGTAAGTAAAGACACAATCGATGTGAATTATTTACTAGATTTCTATAAACAATTAATAACTTATCTTATAATTAACTCTTTAGATAAGGATGTCCCGGGGCCATATCTTTATATCTAACAGTTGTTAATGTGTCCACACAAAACAAGTCTCGGGGAATGATATCCTTTCATGGCATCTGAAAGAGTTTTCAATGTATTTGATAGAAATTTGTATTTATAAGTTAAATAGCATTGTCATCTGAATTGAACAGTTTTGTTATGGCGTTATGTCCAAATTAAGCATTATTGTTTAGCATGAGAATTCAATTTTCCACTAAATTGTTTACAAGTCAAGTATTGTTTAATTGGATCTCCTTATATTTTTTCAAGCACAATAGCCTTTTTGAGACGATTATAATGTTTCGTCTTCGAGAATCTATAAATAATTCTGCAAGGTTTCCGTGCTGAACGTCGTGAATCAAGTTAGAAGAAATTAAATGAAATGGCGTTTAACGTCCTACTATTCTGTCCCTATACTGGGCTAATGAAGACGGACATACGTCATAGAGTGTGCTATGAGGGGAATTTTGCATGGGCTGCGCACTATGGCCTACTCTTATAGGGATCTTTTACGTGCACGTCAATGTTTACACGGTTTGTCGTCCCATCCGAATGATAAGACAGTTGTCCTCCGTTCTGCACCACCAATGAACTTTCTTGGCCAATGCAGGGATCGAACACGCAACCTCCAGGGTAGCGAGCCAGCGTCTTACCCACTTGGCCACCGTGGCTCCCAAATTAGAGGAACTTTAATAATGTAAAATAGTGCACATTTATTAGATGTTGAGCTATTTTTGAGCTGGACAAACTATAACTGAACAAAAACCGTGCATGTTAAAAAGATATGTCAAACGGGGTTTAACGTCTTGCTTTTCTGTTCCAACTCGGCTACTGGAGAGGATGTGAAAAGGTGTAATACATGGAAATTCAAACTAGAATAGTCGTCGGATACATTTGTTATAATTAGGTGTCTTATTTAACCGTTTCTGTTCCATTATAATGGGATTTAATTCAGTTTAACTTAAGTTATCCTTGGGCAGGTCAGTAATATTGATTTTCTGAAAAGGGAGAAAATATGTGGACAATCGAAGTTTAAAAATAAAATATTGTTGCCAACATTGATTATTGATAGTTTTCAATTTTTAACAGAGATGGGGAAGAAGTAGATGTAACAGGTGTATCTTGTGCTGATCCTTTTGATTGTAATTTCTTTAATCCCGATGAGATATGCCGTCCTGATATGGTGCCATACTGTTTAAAAAGTGGTGAAACAATAAACGGTATATGTGAAACAAAAAAGGCCATTTGTGGGTAGGTAACAAATACATTGAACGTTAGAACTATTTTTATCTTACGCAAAACATGATCTATAAAATATATCTTAAATAACACAATCTGATAAAAAATTACCTGTCAAAACACTTCAGCTCGTCCACCAATCAAATTGTCTATATTGATTTACAGAGCTGTGTCTTGTGTTGTATTGAAATGGGGTTTAACGTCCTATCTTTCCGCACAAACCGGGATAGTAAAGACGGAAATATCGATGAAAATTTTGTCCATCCATGGAATTTTAATTTAACTGTGAAAATTAGATCAAATATTAGAGTTTTATTTGAGGTAAACGTAATCTTTTAGCATGCATTTAAGAACACTTGCACTAGAAATAAGTAAAACAAAAGCAAAATTCTGACAACTATTTCTTTGCATTTAAGATAGGTGACCTTGGTTACATGATCATGTGTTTCTAAATATAGCTTGTAAGCTGATGAAACTATTGATATTTCTCTGGCAATGATATGAAATGAAATAGGGTTTACAGCGGGAAATCAGCCCGGATAGCGGCGGTATGGCCTACTCTTATATCGAATTCTAACTGCCAAGAGATCTTTTAAGTGCTCGTTTTTTTTCGTCCAATCCGAACGTTCGCTAGCCGACGTCCTACTCAATGAGCCACCGTGGTCCCCCCCCCTACCTCCCTCTCTCTCTCTCTCTCTCTGGCAATGGATCGGATTTGTCCAGGTACGTATTAATAAAAAAAATTATTTAAAAAATAAATAGTAATATTTATAATTAATTAGATTGAAAATAAAGATAGTTACGTAGACTATCTATATATTCAGATATCGGCAACGAATTCTTAATGTAGGTCTACATAATATTATCACTGGTCCGTCCGACGCTCCGTCCAAAATTCATGGGTTAGAGATGCTTTCTGGGATTGATCGGCAGGCCACGAGATTGGGCCTTATAAACATCGAAATCCACACATTTTTGTAGAATCACCACCCCTGTCTGAGAAATCGCTCCACATAATTTTTTTTGGCTTCCTAATGTTTTGGTTATTTTTTATGATATTTCGGCTAGTCTTGTCGAAATTCAGATGCTGACATCAATTTTTTTCAGTTATTACCCCTGTCACCGAGACATTTTAAAATGCTTTACAGGTCAGGTGGTGATAATTTTCTGCCTTTCATTAAAACCAACTAAATAGCGTTATTGCTCATTTGATTTTTATTATAAGTAACAGAATAAGTAATTAAAAGTATTTTATTTAAAAAAAAGGTAGACATAAGAAACTATGGACTCGAAATTTTGATGGTCATGCTTACACAAGATTGTGATCAAAGCCGAAGATGGGCATAATACATGTGATACAAACAGTAATTTCCGACATTTTGGAAATGTGATACTGTGGATATCATTTGTGGTTATTATACTGACCTCCGTGATATCCATTTCCGGTGGGCCTTTCTAAAATTCCTTCTTATTTTAAATCAAGACGGCCCCAATGAGACAAACGCCAGAATAATATTGATGGTGTGAAACAAGACAAAGAGCAAAATGTTGGTTAGTCTCTTTCTTTACGACACCAAGTGTAATTTCTGGCGTCTGTAGTTTGTGTCATCAAGAATGTCACGAAAACATGAGAAAAATATATTAAAAAACCAACAATTAACATGGCTTTTAAGTTAGACCGGATTTAATACGCATAAAAACGGTATCTAGACTAATGCGCAATGATTGGATTTGCCGTTGAGGTTTGGTTGAACTTATGACATTTTGTTTGTTCTGCAAGACAGAATATCATATTTTACATTGGAATTCTCTGTTTCAGGGAAGGGAAAGAACTGGATTCTACTGGAGATTCATGTAAAGACAATGGTGCTAGAACATTGAGCCTTTCCGTTATATTGGTATTCACTATTTCCTGTTTCAGGTTATTTGAAATGTAAATTATCTATATTTCGAATTTGCGATTTTAAGAAATAACGAAATTATAAGCATTTGTATTTATTTTGTATAAGAATCCGTTCAATATTTTTTGTACTCTATTATGCCTATGACCTCGAACCTTGTTTATTAAAAAAAATGAAGGCTACATTAGGCACCTTTTTGTACTGATAACAAAAAGATAAATGGAACTTATTATAATACTGTAAGTGAATTTAGATTTAGTTAGATAATGGTTTATTTCTATAATGGCATTCCCCCGGATTATATATATATATATATGTTTATTGACGGACAGCATAAAGCTAGCCATGAAAGCCATTACCATATGAAGTATGAAAGGGTGAGATGGCCTATCAGTAAAACGTTAAAATATAAATCAAGTGTTTTTACTTTTCATATAAATTAACCTAGTTTGGAATCCACAAAATGTTCTATCGGTTATTTCCGATAGTAAAGTATAATTGACTATCATGGGTATGGTTATAAGCGTGTATTCAAACAGAAATAAAAAAAGAGAAGCTGAACACGTGATATTATTGGTAAAGATATCCATATCCAGATTTCTCTTTATCATTTCAAATCACCCGACTGGTTTAGAATAAAAAATTCGTGATACGTTAAAGTTACAATCTTCAGCTTGTAACAGGTCAGATGATTGTTTGTGGTAACGAATTAATTTACTTGTTCAGTTAGTTCTATCCCCTCTTACCCCATCCCACTGTTGGTTGGTGCGCGTGGTTTCGATTCCCCGCATGTACGTGACGAGGAGTAGGGTCGCCTGTCCAACCTCGTGGGTTTTCTCTGGGTCCTTCAGTTTCCTCCCACGGCTACAGAACCCAAAACGCAAGCGAATTATTGAAATTTAATTGAACCATTTGTTAGTCCCAAAAAGACCTAGTTTGTGTCGAGTGAACGCTAAACCTTGTTTCTCTCACCCCATGATAGAAATAAAAACAACCAGACCGACCGATCCCATTTTTTGGCCAGATAAACGTTAACAGGTATTCTAAATTTTGTTGTGAAAGCATCGATACTCGATAGAGCCTTTTATACGGACAAACAGTTCACAAAATTTGTTGTATATAAAATATACACACCACACAAGGGAAACCAAATTAATAGTAGGTCTTCAACGATTGTTTCGCAGGTACCGTCACACGATTCATGCTTCTTTTGCAATATAAGGGTGATAACTCTTGACTAGGTAGAAATGAAAAGGGGGTTTAAAGTCATATTTTAATTTATTTTCCCTCCACCCGGTTAATGAAGACATAAACATGCATGTAGATACGAGGAAAATTTTGTTCGGACAGCAGCGTTTCTGCATAAGTGTATAAGGGTTCTTTTACGTGCAAGCCAGCGGGTGGATTTCCGCCTTCTCTTCTCCGTAGTCTATAAAGTGACTTTTTACGTGCCCTACGAATTTGTACAAAGGGCCGCGTTTTTATTGTCCCATTCGAAAGACTTGACACTAAGGCTAAGCGAGAGGGGCGCAATGACGAGCTTTGCGTCATGGTTTTGAGTTTTTGCGCCCCCTCGCACATGGTAAAAAATTACGCGGTTTCGAAGCGGTTTTCAACATTATAATCATAATCATAATGCTCAACCTAGCTGTGTCAAACATATACCGTGGGTCAGATATGCTACAAATCGACTCTATAGCATGTTCCACACAGCCCAATATTAACCGGTGGCACCGGGAGGGACTGCCATTCCACCCCCTCCCTCACACAAACATATAAATAATGTTTTTTGGGCGCCCGGGCGGGATCTTGTTCCTCATGCAAATTCATGGGTCACCACGCTCCTGCCCGCACCACCCCTGTCAAGCGAGGACAGTGCTGAAAAAGTTCCAGGATTAAAAACCTTCATTTCAACGTTACGAGCATAATCCGTTCTACATATTCGAACTACATAACTACAGCAGCGAATTCAGTTTTCTTTTGACCTATAAATAATATACATTATTTCAAGAGAATTAATGAGTATTGCGGTGAACATTCTAGAAATAGCCAATTTTTGTGATAGTAATCAAACATAACACAAGCTTTAGTTTCACAACGACACGCAAACCTCTTTTATTTCTGATGTAAGTTCCATGAAATATAAAGTTGTAGAAAATTCTATACATCCAATTCATTGCAGCAACGCAAAAACATGGGCTATATAATTTGATACAATTTCAAAAATTGTCAGGCAATTTCATAATCATTGTCTCAATTGGTTGGCAAGAAAGCTGATTCCTCGGGAAGTTTTGATATTATATTATTTATGCTGACCAACCAAAAATCAATCTCGCCACAGTCGTACACGGGTGATTAAACGAGATGTTTACACTTGGTGGCGCAATCGTTAGTTGCTATAAATATACCGTCAACACGAACGGGCATGATTAAATAGAAGAGCAGACGACAGCGTGAAAGGACCGATTCAAGTGAATGCTCTTAACCCTTGTTAACAGATACCTTGATTTTTTGTGATATCAAAGATGAGTCGAGGCCGTGGAGGAAGGGGAAGAGGAGGGGGTCGGGGAAGAGGAAGGGGTAGAGGAGGAAGCAGGAACGTACCCGCCCGTTCCAATGACGATGGAGAGAAGACAGTGCTAGTAAAAGAAGATATCAATGTAGAAACCGAGCCAAAAGAATTTTTCGTAGGAAATGTTAGTTTTGAACAACATTTAAAAGGACAGAATACAAACAGGGAAAGATATGCTGCAGCCTTGGCAGCTCTAGAGGCAAATGGCGTGGCTATTATTCAAAGTATGTATAATATAATATACGTCGTGTACCAAATGGCAATGTTTTCCTTTAATCTTCTTATTGAATCAATGATACGCTTGAGATAACGGGCAATTGGGGTATACTAATTCACTTAGATAAGACCATTATATTTATAAAAGCTCTCCAGTAATTATTTTATTCAGACGGTTATCATGACTATTGTTTCGGCTAATCTTGCGTCAGAAATCGAAATCCCAGATTTCACTGAAGACAGCAAAAATGTGGATTTAAGTATGCAAATAAAAGGCACAAATGTGACTATGTTGCCCTATTGCATATTAACCTTGTCTAGATTTGCTGAATGGGTTTATGCAACTCCAATAAGAATTGGACTCTTCATGAGTAAAATCACAACAATGCAAGTATACATAGTGAGAAAGAAATGGGGTTTAACATCCACTGGACACAAACTAGGTCATTACGGGACTACATATGGTTCAATTTTATTTCAATAATTCACTTTCGCGTAGGGGTCTTTTAGCAGTGGCAGGAAACCGGAGGACCGGAGTAAACCCATGAGGTTGGACAGGTGACCATACTCCGTGTCCCGTACAACTGGGGAACCGAAACCACGCCAGTTGACTCAATGACAGACCCTATGATGCAGCGCACACACGCTAACCATTCAGCCATCCAACCCCCCTACAAGTATGGTTGTTCAAGCACATACACTATGTGAAATTTGGGGGATTTATGGCTAATTCCGGAAGGAAACTAATAGTTTGAATTTCTATTCGATAAAGTATCATAGCACTTCATATTGTTAAAAAGGACTAGCCTTTCATGCACCCCTGAATGAACAGGTTTTATACACTAAAATATATTGGGGACAACTTTAAATCCAAAATTTCAACTCAAATAAGTTTTTTCTCTACAAATACATTCTGTATCCTTTCCCTGTGTCTAGAATTCATAAAAAAAAAAAAAAAAATTCGTAATGCCATGAAATAAATAATAATTTCACTAAATTATATTTTGCAGATGCTAGAATTCGAGCATTAGCAGCTACATGGACTAGAAATGACTATGAGTTGTCCAAAGCATTCCTGAGTGATCGTGAACAGTTTGGTTTGGTTGAAGTGTTAAAAGCCTTAACCCTGTTAGATTCAGGTCGACAAATCAGGGTACTTGAGAAAAAAATAAAAAGATTGGAACTATCCTCAAATAAAGTGAACAGAACAACTTTAGGCAGAATAAAAAGAGATATTGATAATCTTCAAGCCAACAAACCATCGGTAAGTTGCAGAGAGATTCAAAACGACATCGGTACCATTGTTCAAAGGTTTATTAACTACCCTTGCCATCTAGTATTTTGAATCAATGTTTGGAATTAGTAAAAGTAGTATTTGAAAGTCATTTGTCTATCCCAGTTTATATTTAATCACTATACCCAGTAAAAGGGTATATATATGTTGGGTGATATTTGGAATATTTATTTTTAGATTTTGAACAACTCCCTATGTAAAGATTAATGAAATCATATCTCTAGATTTTGAATGACTGCAATGAATAAGGATAACCAGAACTTGTCCAGGTACAGCCTGGTTAATGAGATAACAAACGCTTATTAATAGCATAATAAACATTTATTTTAACCACTTTCATCTGAACATCTGATTGGTCAGGGTTTAAAGAGAGAGAGAAATGGTCTTTAATGTCCACTCGACACAAACTAGATCATTTCAACACTAACATATGGTTTAATTTTATTTCAATAATTCGCTTGCGCTTAGGGGTCTTTAGCAGTGGGAGGAACCCGGAGAAAACCCACGAGGTTGGATAGGTGACCCTACTCCTTGTCACGTACAACCGGGGAATCGAAACCACATCAGTTGATTCATTGACAGGCCTTATGATACAGCGCGCACGTGCTAACCATTCAGCCATCCAACCCCCCAGTCAACATGCTATGAAACAAGTAGTGGTCAGCCAAGGTTTAAGAATCACTCTCACAACTAATTTATGTACAGTCGTCTAAATTTCTCACATTGTGCAATGTAATAATTTCATAAGTAAAATGTTTTGTTTTATTTGTAGGTTGGTACAGCAAGTGGTGCTGTGTGTAAACATATAAGTCAGTGGGTAAGGACTTTATCAGAAGAAGAACTACAGTTCTATGCTTTACATTTACCTAAAGAACCATGGAAAAAACTGGCTGATATTTGTCATTTCAACCCTCAAAAGGTAAGAAAATTTTGCATAAATCAACCCTTATACAGTCACTAATAAAGTTTGCTTTAAGATGTTTTTTTTCTCATCAATATTTTTATACAAGAATACAAGACTGAATTAGATAAATCATATTTTTTTGTTGTTTTTTTTACAGGATTTTCCAGCCTTACCCTGGTTTTTACCCTTCTGTTTTGGTGAGCCAGCTCCGGAAGATACGTTAGTTAATAGATGTAGGGATGTAACTGTGGATAATGTTAATGATTTAGTGACAGAATATGATGTACCATATAGTCACATCAAGGAACATAAAGATAAACTAACAGAAAAATCAAAGGCACGCATTGCTACTTATGAAACCAAACTAGACACAGTCTTATGGTAGGTTTATCAAATATTGCAATTTATACATAGAATAATGACAGATCTTTCAGACACATCATTAGTCTGGGGGAGTTAAAACTGACAGATTATCTACAAAATAATTAATTCACTATGGTAAATTTTGACATGTTTGTTATTTTTCAATTTTTGTCAGCAATTCCAGAAAGTTTTAATAAATATATCTACATTAAATATCTACAGCACAATATAACTATTATAGAAGTTATACAGTATATGAAAGGAAGATATATATTCTATTTGTGTATTAATATTTTGAACTTATTTATATTAAAGGTGGTATGAGGACCTAGCATGTGAAGAAGTAGATAAAATTATACAAGCTAGAATAATCTCGGGCGAAGAAATCAATCTACCTAATGGTAAACTACTGGAGAGATTGTTAACTTTTAAAATCATCCGGGAAAATATCCAACCAGGGGGTTATTTATTCTATAATCGAAATAACCCCCCATCTAGAGATTTGTCTGGTAATAAAGCTCGTTTCTTAGAGAATCTTATACCAATTGGAGAGAAAAAACTTACTTCTATCAGGTAATTAAAATAATTATACATAATGCCATTTAACCACTTAATAATGTCTGGCATGTAACAAACTAAACAATTAAAGATGGGTTTCCGCATACAAACTGGGTGATTTAGTGGTATATATGGACCAAAAACATATTTTCAAACTAATTAATTTGTCATAATTATGCTTCAAATCCTTCTCAAACATTGTAATTGGGAAGGAATGCCCTGCAATTAAAATTCGATCAAACCAGGTCATGGTTACGTCACGTCTTGGGAGTCAGAGGAGAATTCATTGCATACATAAGACGTTGTTGTCTTTAATCGCTTACTATTTATTACAAATATCGAATCCTAATTAAATTCTCGGATTATCAACTACCCGCGTCTTTTTCCGTCATTTTTATCTCAGAAAGTATTGTACTACTAACTCTTCATAAAGTTTATCAACTTGTACATCAAGCGCTCAAGGTTCGCTTGTGACCTTTGACATCACGCGTGCAGAAGTTCTTAATAGTCGGGCTGTTGATTTGGGGAACCCTTACATTTTTGTCCTGTATACCTCCATGAGTGTTTTTCGGGGAATCCAGTATTTTTCTAGTAAGATTGGATATCTATACTTTCCATATATATCAAAATTGCCATACTTTTATTGGAAATAACCACCCGATAAATACTTTTCTGGGAACCCATCTTTAAATTAAGCAAATAATTTTTAATACAAGTGAACTCTGTCTGAAATCCGACTTAGCCCAGCCATCGCTATACATCGCTTCTCAAAGTAAAACTAATATAAAGAAAACCCTCTGTCCACACTGACTTTGATTTAATACATCCAGAAAGTAGGTCCAGTATAATTTATTTTGCATATTTTTCTTCAGATTACCATTAGAGGCGCCAATAATTGTGATAGGGGATGCTTCTGGTTCTATGGAGATAGCTATAAAAACAAGTACTATTATAGCTAGTTTATTAACAGCTATAACCTCAGCTAGACTTGTCTTCTTTAACACAGAGAATAGAGCAGCACCTTATATACCAGAAACTATTGAACAAGTAAGTTTAAAAAATATATTCACATAGATATAGAAGAGACATCAAATGAAATTACCATTTTTAATTATTAAGTGCTAGGGATAAAAGCTTTAAGGTGTGGTAACTAACTAAACATGACAAATTTTGAATGATATAAACTTTTTAATTGGCTTAGAAATCTAGACACTTTCAGTGTTTAGATTAAAGCATTAGGCAGGATGAGCTAATTAATCTATTCGGAACACCAAAGACCACTTGTATCAATTTGTAAAGCACACAACTTTTTGGGGTGTAACTTTATACACCCCACTCCCCAATTAATTTTTCATTTCTATCCAGATATACAATTTAAATAATATATATATAATAATAATATATAATATAATATAATATATATATAATATAAGACATTGCATGGCCCAAAAATAATGTATTATTTTATAACTTTTTAGGTGCTAGAGTTAGCTATCTCAACTAAAGCTGGGGGAGGAACAACACCTGCTGCCAGTCTCTGGCCATTTTATGAAAAGAAAGAACAAATCAAAACATTTATAATGGTAACAGATGAGGAAGAAAATGGAAAAGTTCAAAATCAAAATTTCTGCCAATTGTACAAAAAATACCATGATGAAGTTTATCCAGCTAAATTAGTATTTGTGTCGTTTTTAAGGGGTCAACACGCTAAGGGTCAAATGGTGGAACAACTGAAGACTGCTGGTTTTAATCCATTACAATTTAAACTTGATGGAAGTCGTCCAGACTTGACAAAATTAGATAATCTGTTTGGTTTATTATCGGCTGATTCAAAAACTTTTGAAGAAGAGGTCACTGCCATTCAAAATCAAATCAAAACAAAGGGCATGCAGACTGTTTTTGAAACATTAAAACAAAACAATGCAATTGCATAATTTACACTTTTATCATAGTTTTATACAAACACTTGCTCATTTTAACATTGCAAAATAGTTGTTTACTTTTTTTCATTAATTTATGTGATATTATTCTATACAATATATATCTATGTTAACTTTTAATTGTGTTGTCTATTTTCTGTTCTATGAAATATTTGGCCGTTAACATACTTATAACCTCAGCACACATTCTGATGCTATTTAATACATATTGGTATCAATCAATAGATCAACATTGTTAATAATCATTTAAAGGGACTATCCCAATTTGAACAGAGTCTCAAAAATAAAAGTCCATGTACGTATGAAATTTAAGCACCAAAATACAGAAGAATGGTGTATTTACCTTGTCTCAAAATTTCAGCTCAAAATATTGAGTTGTTTGGGCGTGAACATCAAAACCGCTTATCCGGACACGTAACCCTTTTAAGATTTTAGGTAAATTTTTTCGTTTGGTGACCTGATAATCCTTTGGAGGTCTATACAGTGCTCGGCCATAAGGTAGAGGATTTTAAGCAGTTTTATTCTCCAAAATATAATTGAGATTGGTCCGATAATAAGATATCTTTACTGTTGGAGATCAGAATATCGTGCAGAAAATTAATCTTTTCAAACGAGTACTATGGATGCCATTTGTGCCTATTTTTCAACAAGTAAATCTGAATAAGAATATAGTCATTATCTGCCACTTGACTATAAATTATAGTATTACAGTATATACCTACTATTACCCTGTTATATCTATTTATTCTGAAGAGGGGTGGTCAAATAGGTTAACTTGTAGGAATAAATGAAGTTATTACAATATATGTACATAAATAAAATGACTTCAATGAGGTGGAAGATTTTCTTGATTCTGACTAAACCTGTATTTACCAAACAACATTGGTGGTGGTGGTGGTAGATCACCTTTACATGGTGAGGCATCTGGCATTATACCCATCTTATTTAATCTTGTTGATAATAACTCCAATACTGGGGGAGTCTTGTTTTCTATTTTATGTCCTAATTTTTGTGTGAGTGAAACTGGTTCTTTTGGTTCAGTGACTGTGGTATTATATTTATATATAGTGTTCAACTCAGTCAGCTCCTGGAACAAAAAATACAATATCAGTTGACAGTTTCCAAACCAGTTGAATAATTTAGACGAATATCGGATGCAGCACCATAGTTGTTTATACTGGGCCTGGGTTCCATCTATCATGTCTTTGATGCAATGCCAATAGGTATAATAAATACACAAACTTAAAGAGTGTCGTGTTCTGGAGGCTACTGATAAAAACCAATACAAATTAAATGAGATGGGGTTTTAACGTCCTACTTTTCTGTATTAATGAAGACAGACAAATTACATCCAGTGTGCCGAGGAAAATTTATCTGGGCAGTAGTGCTCCTGCTTTTTTGAAATTTTACGTGCACACTAACAAGTACACAGGACCTCAGGGGTTTTTTTTGTCCGATCCAAATGACTAGACACTTCCTTGACAGGCCCTCCATACCTGCACCACTCAAAGGATTTTATTGGCCAACACTGGGTTCGAACCAGGAACCTTGTTAGTGCCCGCTGTGGCTCCCCAAAACAGACTCAAATGTATACTGCTTATGTACCTGAAATGTCATAGTTAACTCAGGAGGTTCAGGTTCCTCATCATCATCAGCAGTTATACTAGCCGTATTATAATTACTGATATATGAGTTGTCTACTTCAACTCTATCATCTAAACCCTTCTTTATTTGTTTCATTCCTAAAAAAACATTTTAACACAATTAAATGATGTAACAAAATTAGCAATAAAATATCTGTTTTAAAGAAGCATAAATGCTTCAGAGGCCTTGGACAGTTGGTAATATAAATGTTTTTTTTTATTGATGTCATTTGACTATATAGTTACAATGTGCAAGTTCAAATTTCATTGTATTCAAAAGCTGTAATAATAAATCTGCTCAGACATCACTGAGACATGACATTTAAATGAGTCATAACATTTTGCAGGGTGATTTTAAGGACAGATGCATAACAGCTTAATCTTATTCATATTTCACAGGTTTTTTAATGTGCTACCAGTGGTAACACGGGACCTTAGTTTTTCAACCCCATGTCCTGCACCACTGACATGGGACACCAGGCAGGATAATTCGCACACCAGGCAGGAAAATTCGCTAGCTGGTTACTTTCTTAGAGAAGGCTTCTTTCAGCTGAATTTGATTTCTTGGGTGCGCTAACCTACTGGCATCTTTTGAATCGATTGATCGTTATTTCAGCATTGACAGGACTTCCTTCATTTGTCACATTTAAGCTGTGTATTAGTTGATTTAGTGGAATCATTGGAATCCAACACATAGTGGTTGGCATTAAAAGCATTTAACAAACTAAATTTCATTTGATCAAAACAAATTTGTTTGGTGTAACAATATTATGGTTCAATTGACCAAAACTGATTGCATTCTGTTGATGCCAGTCAAAATACACTACTAATATCTGATGGTATCCAAGATTACTTAAGTCTATACTACCTGGTGTTTGTAGCACTGGAGGAACAGGACTATCAAATCTTTGTTCAAATGATGGTTGAGGTATTTTATGATGTTCTGATTCTTTTAATTTATGATGCATCTGTTTAAAAGCTGGTGTTCTGAAGACTGGAGAAAGAGGACTATCTGTAGCTTCTGTTGCAAAGACTGAAGGGCTGTTTGCATGTTGATCATATATATTTTTCTTACCTAAGATATGGTTATTATATTCATGTTATTTATTCATTCAAACAATACAAAGTTATCATCTCAAACAATTGATAAATTAAAACTAAACTAGTGCTAATAATTTTAGTAATAATGAATTTAAAATATTAGAATTTCTTTATACGGCCCTAGAAAAACCTGGTTGCAGCTTTATCATGGGGTCTAGATCGGATGAAATAAAAAAAACGAGCCCCAATATACAAAACGGCCGTGATCATGAATATTTCCTTAGCAGTTGGCATTTAACATTATGTACTTACAATTTGCCGTGGGTAAACAGCTATCAGGTGTATAGAGCGGCCATTGTGACAAGTCCATAATACTTGGTGTAACAGTAAAACCATCATGGTGGAAAACACTAGGTACAGATTGATTACAATGATTTGTAGTTGGAGTCATTATGTTATCTCGATCTGTTACTTTTACTCTCGTATCGCGTCTAAAATTAGAAAAACAATGCATCTTTATTTATGCAATTTTATCTTAACACTTAAAGAGCTAATTAAAATATAAGATAATATTCCTCTATCCGCCCTTTTAGTAGTAGAGTTGACACGGATATAGTTTTTCAAGGCAGTTCAAAAGTATTTGTTGATTTTGTTACTTTAAAGTATTGATAATGGACTTTTAACATTTTATGTCTCCTATTGGATATATTTAACACATTAATTCAATAAAATCAACTACTTAGTATTCAAAAATAAATAAACAGACGGAAAATATATTAGTCTGAAAGATTTACAAGTTCTAGAATACTGTGAATGCAAAAATGAAATGTGGGTTAACGTCTTACTGTCCTGCTTCGACTGGGCTAATCAAGACAGGCATACGCCATACAGTAAAAAATTCTGCCAGGACAGCAGTGCTACTAATCTAATCTAAATAATGCAAATAAATCTAATACAGATCGGATGATTACTTTTGTAGTTACAGAATTCACAAGGGGTTCAACAAAGTAATACCAGGACCATAGCTCTGGAAGTAATTAATGGAAATGGCTGAAATTCCAATAGGATTCTTCAATTTACTAATTTAATTTATGAATAAAAATTACATACAGATCGGAAGTTAGCTTTTGTCATTAGTGTGTTTACGCGGTTGAAATTAAATAGGCTTTTTCATCTCACTAATGTAAAGAACATATAAATTTCAAAATGAGCAGATAATAAATGTAGTCTGTAGAGTGTTCACAAGAAATTGTGGACAACGGAGGCTGCAGCAATATACGACCACATTTCAATATGGGCGTATAAAAAAGAATATTATTTCTATAACACTAAGACGTACCCAGTTACCGGTTTATTTTGTGCCATTCTAGAAATTGCTTGTAGACCGTAATTACTTATACCAAAATCTTCCATTCTAGGTGTTCTAGATGCTGATTTCTTGGTATTAGGTGGGGGTGTATTACTAATACAGTTAAGAAATTTATATAAAAACATAAATGTTTAAAACATAATCAATAACATTCTGCAATAGTTTTTTTTTACCATTCAAATTTATCTGCAGAGCTAAATAATGCACACAGATGGAACAGTTCACTTGAGATCGTTGTATGACTTATTTACTAATTTATACTTTGAAATAACCTTTCAATTAAAGCCAGGTACAGTCATTCTGATATTCCTTCCAACATGGCATAGCATGTAAATAGATTGAGATGCTTGCTTTACACATGATTGAATATTATAAAGATTGACCTTGGTGTACATCAACAATATGACTTGGAAACTTAGAAAGGATACATCATTTCTGATGCTGTGGTCTTTTTGTTCTCAGATATCGAATCAATATCTTCTGTTTCTTCTTTATCCTCTGCCTCCTCATCTCCTTCTTCATCTTTCTCTTTTTCTAACACTACATATCAAAATTGTGGACAAAATAAATTAAAAATATACAATAAGTAAGGGTATTTTCTCTGTAACCTAAAAATATTTAGGACAAAAATAACCCCAATTTATATTTTTGTAATTTGATGTGTTACAAGTCATCTTAAAATCTACTCATAAATCAGACTGTTTCTTTCATAAAATCCCTCGTCTGACTATAAAATGCATCTCATAATTTTCTGCTACCCAAATTATTTGGACTCCGATCACTGCAAGCCGGCAACTAACCATAATACTGTGAGAGTGCATTATCGTGATAGACTGACTAAATAAACAAAACAACCATAATGCTGTGATTGTGAGAGTGCATTATCGTGATAGAAATGAAATGAAATGAAATGAAATGAAATGGAGTTTAACGTCCTACTGTTCTGCTCCTAACCTGGGCTAATGAAGACGGGCATACCCCATACAGTGTGCTATGAGGGAAATTTTGCCCGGACAGCGGCACTACGGCCTACTCTTATATCGAATTCCAACTGCCAAGGGATCTTTTTACGTGCACGCCAATGTGTACACGGGACCTCGGTTTTTCGTCCCATCCGAACGACTAGACAGCTTTCCTTGTCAGCCCCTCCGGCCTGCATCACTGACAAGGGAGAACCCCGCCGGAAAATCTGGATGAACTTTCTCGGCCAATGCAGGGATCGAACACCCGACCTCCAGACTAGCGAGCTAGCGTCTTACCCACTTGGCCACTTGATCCCCTTATCGTGATAGACTGACAAAATAAACTGACATCTGTTGCTGTATAAAAATATAATAAATATGGCAATCAGCATAATTAAAGCTAAACCAGGCACACTTTTTCTGCTCCATCTAGATAAAATAATGGCTGTGTATGTCTTCAGTATCTACGCATAATTATAATTAATATTTATGCCTGTGTCTCATTTATTACATGTTTAAATAATTATTTGTTGAAATAAAGACAGGATTTGGCAGTTTTCTTAATGATCACCTGGGCCTTTAAAATATAAAACCTGTTTTAATATCAAAAGACTACAAGTTTAAATGTACTCCTTGTTTTCATAATTAAAGTGTAACAAACAAATTTCCTAGCTGAAAAAAGGCCAAATAAAAAAGGTACCTTGGTTCCTAAACTTTTCCATTAAATTGTCTACTTTAAAGTGTGCTAATTTCAGTGAATGGAGATATGGGACCACCTTTTACATGACCATCTTATTTAACATTGAGTATGTACCTGGTCCAACATAGCCATAGTTGGAAAGATAAGATTCTATTTTATTTAACTCTTCTCTTTGATTTTCTATTAATGTTTGACACGCTGTCAGAACCTGATTAAAGTTATTTCCACCAGAACTCAAACTTTTTAAGGTTGTATTTGCATCTGTCTGAAAAAGAAAGATAAAAACTTGATGAAGCCGTAAGATTACAGAAAAGTAGTGTTCATATGATTAATGATTTGTGAATAGTTACCATATAAAAAACATATTTACAGGTAGACCCAATACAAATACCACAAATACTAACTGCAGTAGTCAACTGAAGTACCAAAAATAAAGAGAATACAAACAATAGGTTTTGGATTTCTAGAATGTATGACTTAACATTAACCGTAACGAGTTAGTTCGCATCAGCACCTATTAACCATCATACTCCCGGCAGTGTTTCGTTTGATTAGAGCTGATCCCACCAAACACTGCTTTAATGGAAGCAAATTTCTGTTCCAAATTATGACTGGTCAATAGTCCGATTAACAACCAATGGCTAGCTGCATAACAATGTCATTACATTTAAAACAAAGCTCCAAATTGGACCAAATATGTTTACATAACGTTACGTCATGACTCACGATTTTATTATGCCCAATTAACCAGTGCCCAGCAGAATATTGCAGAAAAACCAATTGCGTGACAAACGAGGCTACCAACAAGAATACAATGTAAACAATACTGTATGGAGATGAACAAGACTTTCACCGTTTTTAATACCTTAAATCAATGTCCAAAGTTTTAGGGAAGACCCCAGATTAATCGAAGGGATGTCATTTGATTGAACGAGAAGAAGCCAATCCAGCAATGCCCAGAGAGGGATTTCTCGCGCCATTGCTTCAGGAATATGATTAACAATGGACTACTGAATTATCTGATACAAATCAAATCATACACAGTTTTCACTTGTTTGACAGGTAAAAAGGGCCACTTGAGAATATCCAAATTGCAAACCACCATTGAATATACAGCTTGTGTTTAAAAATTTGATGAAGTAAGAAAAGAAGATAAAAATATGGGTGTCAGGTTTACTAATTGGAGTTGCCTCCCCTCCCATTACACAGTGAAATACACAATACATTTTCATTCTTTGCTTTGTGTGCTTTTAAAAAGTCATAAAACAGTACTGCTTGCCTTTGTCCACATTTATGTCTAGTTTCCATAGTCCTATCATGATTTCAAAATTCCTACATACTGTATCACATATTCATCATCATAGTAAAAAGATAAGTTGCCAGGCAATGAAATATACACCCACAGTAGATGTACCTAAATTGTCTAAGCAGCCCATAAAGTTTGATGTGTTGTCTGTGCTGGCATTTCAAATTTCAAAATCTTGAGAATATGCTTTTATAGTAACCAATGTGCTGTGTTTTGTAGTGATCATTAAAGTAAAATAACATGTAATATGTACCAGGGACCACGCATGGCATCTTGGAATTTTTGGCATCATAAATAAAATAATAGAAGTCCATCAAGGAACAAGCATGCGTATTTTCATGATGATCTACTTCAATTGGCAGAGCCTTTTCCTTTTTTGGAAGAGCGTTGACCCCAAGAACAAGAACGGCATGAGTAGAACTTCGGGCCCAATTCCTGTAAACATAACCAGTAACATAATAATAGGAGTATATTAAATAACCTAACCTTTAGTTGTTTAACTTGTGATTTCTTCTCCTGTAATATTTGTACAGCTTTATCATTATCATCATCCTGAAAGTTTCTTTTTTTATCTTCAACTTTTTGTTGTATTTCTCTTGTTCCTAGTTCTATATTTTTAGTTAATCTGTAAAGTTGACTGAATATTGATTCTGGTTTTCCTGCCATTTTATCAGTAAATACCCTAAAAGTAAAAGAATTAAGCATACATGATATATAATTATTTATGTCACACTTACTGATTGTCTCTAGGGGCTTCTGGATTCGTTCAATATACTAAAATAAAATTGCTAATAAACAAGAAAGGATGTTATCAAAATTGGAAATAAGACATCTGTCACAGACATTGTCCGACATTTAATTTTAACTCAGACTTTGTCATACACATTCTTTTTTAGGCACATATTTGTCTTTTCTTCAGAGTTCTTCATAGTATAAGTTAGAATTAGATTATTGGTTTATTATTATTGCCTGATATCTGTTATTTCCTGTAGGACAGTGATTCTCAACCAGTGTGCCACGAAATTTTGAACGGCACACTAAAAAAATGCGAAAAAACAGTGATTCCAATTGAGTGTTCACTGCCACTGGTGTTTACTGGTAAGTTCATAGCTGTATTTTCTTTATTTAGTTTGAGTCATTTTATGTGTCTATGACTAGTCTCTGTCTACGGTTGTATGACGTCTGACTTACCTTGTTTTTTTTATTAAAGTTACAATTTCATATATTTAAGTTATATTTTTAAAATGTATTAAAATAAGGCCCTAAAATAGATGGTATCTATAAACAGTCCTACATTGTTAAAGAATAATCCTATTAATCCTATAATTCACTATTGTCAGTTGAGAAATCGGCAAAAATATCACTTCAACTTCAAATTCAAACATTTGAAGATAGCTATTCCATGGTGGGGAATAGAAAACAAGGGAGGTAATTGTGTTATTATTTCCGGTGTGAAGATTTTTAAGTGGGAGAAAGATCGTATAATAGTGAGTTGACAACCTATTGAGCAAAAGACATAAAAATAAATATGTTTTGACTTTCTTAGAAAATATGAAATTGTAACTTTAAGCAAAATTCAAATATTTTTCATATTTAGCCAGGTGTGCCACTATTTTTTCATGTGTTCCAAGGTGTGACGTTGGAAAAAGGTTTGAAAACCACTGCTCTAGGACCTCGTCTGCCAGAGACTGTTTTAAAAGTAACTAGATATCTGTCAGATATAACCAAAATCATTATTCCCATAGCAAAATATAAGAAAAACATTTTTTTCCAAATCATTCCAATTAACATACTGGTTCCATCTAAACCTATTTTGACCTTATAGTGGTTAATCAAAGTGGTACAGCTCTTTAAATAATCCTCAATGCAGCACACAACCAATTATCATTCAACATACATTATGCAAGAGCTTAATCTGCCTATTGTTGGTCTTTCTTTAGACCTGAAGTGAAATGTTATATATCTTCACTCTAGATGGAGCAATTTTAATGAAATTTTCAATACATTCATTTTGCATTATCTATTTTCGAACTATTATAGTAAGAATGGCCAGCTCTTTATCTAAATCTTACATAATGAATGTATCTTTAATAAACATTGACATATATTATATTAGAAATGGTTCCACTACTGATGTCTTCCGCCTTACTCCAGCCACAGTAGTGCCTCGTCCTACAAGAGTTCCTTTGCGCAAGTTTTTTAGTGAAATCACTACAAAAAGGTAACTGGCCTATAGCTCCCTTAATTTACACATAAACTGACCCAAAACAGTACTGCACCTAGCTTAACATATAATAAATCAATTCCTATTGAAATAAAGGTGAAGCCTTACCGCATAATTATATGATTTGATGAAACCCAACTGCTACGCGAAATTTCAACCGGCTGGTGTCATGGCGGCTTGTGTAATACGTCATTACAAGAAACATCGCTATGCAAATGTAGAACGCATAACCATAAAGAAAAACTGTTCAATATTTGTCATAGAATTACTTATTCCAATACAAACTGTAATGATATGTGTTGACAATTGTGCGGTTGAACCTATTTGAACTTGCGTAAGGATTCTTAGACTGTATCAATTGTAACGTTAAACACAGTTTAACGTTACAAGTATAGTAACTAATATTATATATGTGATCTGATGTACCGCCACTGGTAATGTAGTGAATGTCGAATCAGTTATCACTATCACTATAGTACTAGTATCAGTGAACCTGTCCTCATGTTATTGAACAATTTTCTCCTAGTGGCTAGAACGATTCGGGCAGCCTCGTCAGATCACGGAATCCATAATTAAATAGACTCTCGTAAACTCCGATAAGAATCCGTTACTAAAGTCACAAACTCACTGACAAAAGTTTAGCCTATCGCCAGTTGAGTATCAGTCCACCTGCCTTCTTTGTGTTTATAATGTAGCGAAGCGGAATTTTAATATGTTTATAGGTTTTATTATGTCAAGTAATATAGTGTATTGAGAGAGTGCACCTTTAAACTAACAAACTGACACTAATTTTAATTGCAACTGGTCTATAATAACATCTCTCCTTTAACTTGGCTTGTTAACCTGTACTGTTTTCTTAGAGCCCAAATCTTGGGGTGAGTACAATTCTACTCCCTTGGTTACAAGCAAGTTTTCTTTTTATCTGAACCTCACTTTAGACATCAGACATTAGATAGATTTCGAAGTGTAAGGACAATTTGATATCTTCAATCAAATTGTTTAACTTTATTTTCCAAATCTAGTTAGGTTATTTTCAGGGAATTGTTCCAGTTATACTACTTCAGTATTACAGGTATGTGTGCTAATTCTCTTATTTTGGGTAATTGGGGTTTAGATGGAACGGATGTAGGAATGATAGAAATTGTAATATTAAGCAGCCATTTTATTTAAATAGATAGAAAATAACATGTAAAGATCATTAGTTTTTCATATATACATATATATAGTAGATTATAAGGTACCGTTTTGAAAGTATATTGTATGTATAATCAGAATAATGTTATTTTCCAGAATATAGTTATCTGAAGATTTTGTTCACCATCTGTTTAATATGTTTAATTTAATTAGTGATGTATTTTAGTGTATAAATTATTGATATATTTCATTGAGTACCAATATGCATGCCTTACTATTATTTTATTGTACTCAACTGTTACTGTGATATATATATTAATTTTAACGTAATATTTCAGGGTTTTTAATAAAGGTTTAAAAACTAACCACCTTAGTTTTTATTGAGAATTTACACCCCCCGGTTACAATAAAACTTATTTTATGTGAAAGCATATTCTTATGTTATTCGCGAATTATATCGTATAAGCCAATGTATCATTGGAAAACAATAAATATACAAACAAACCCAGACTTTCAGAAGAAACAATCAAAGAAACTGGCAAAGTAAACAGGATAGGTTGGGGATTCCCTTGCTTTAAAAATGGCGCCCAAATTTATGACGTCAAAAGTAAACAGCGCTGTCACGTGGGTGACTGGAAACTCCCCCTTGTCAATGAACCGCTGTACCTAACTCTACGGTTAGTTCTAATGAGAGTATTAAAAAGTGATTGATTAATTAATGGATTTAGCAATGATATCGACAGGTGAGTAAAATATACATTTCTAGATATGATGCGTTTTCTCTAATTGTCAGCTTTGACTATTAAAATAAAATTTTGGCACAACTACTATATCATAATATAGCCTCGCTGCATGCACCCTATCTACGAATTATTTGGAAGAAAAACGCCCCCTTCCTCAAATATTAAGTACATCATATTGACATTCCATATTAATGTATTTGAATAAAACAGAATAAATATTAGCAAAGATGCCAAATATGGAGTTTTCTCGTTTCGTAAACAATTTAAAACAACGCCCAATAAAAACAAAACGTATTGATTTGAACCATAACGACAGTATATACATAGCTGGTCTTGATGCTATATAACGGTCCCAGAGACAGTTATATAGACCAAGTATATAGGAGCATGTAATATAAGCGCATTGGGGCGTTTTCTGTCTAAATCGATTTGGAGAGATGGGTGTTAATTAGGAATTAACTGGATGTCAGGCACTGCAGAATGATTTTGTCGTAGATAGAGCAGGTAGAATACAGAAACAAATTATAAGCATTTCTAAACCCGTTATTATGAATATGTGGCCTTATTTAATACATCACATATCGCAGTTAGGCTAAAATAATTATCTGCAATTAAAACGATCGTGACAATGAACATTATCATATTTCTTTTTGCAATGTCTAATATACACTGATAACGAAATTATGATTGTATACTAATTTCATTTTATCTGATACTGATGACATAGGAATATTGCGTTATTAAACGTCCAAAATTAGAACAGATTACATGATTAAGCCCACCTTTTATTTTGTATCATGATAATGATATACTGCAAGGTATATACCCACTGCAATCTGACTTGCGCATCACTTCTAAATAAAATCAGTAGGCCACCATGTATCTTATCACATATCAAATATATTAACAATGTATTATATATTATTACTGTGTCATATTGCAATCTGCTATATCGGTATACTACTATAACAATGCACTACAAATCTCCAAATCACTAACGAAACGAAAGAGTTCATTCGTTCACATCATTTAGTGTCTGGGCCAATGCAATAAATATGACCAACGCCATGCTTTGTTCTGTTTCAGATAAGAGTGTCTATGTAGATGATCATGAGCATAGTGGGAAAATCAACCTTTGAACTAGTTACCTGATTGTTGATAGACTTTCTACCTGTGCCTAGATATGGAAAATCCTTTTGATGTATTCAGAAAGAGATGCAATTTGACTATGTCGACATTTAAGCTTTTCTGAGTTTCACTGGATTAACCATTTCTGATCTACAATGGTGGGTGGGGTGCCACTCGTATCATCGTGGGGCGTAAAGATATTGCTGCCTTGCTTTATGTTATTTGTTCCAAAAGTTCTATCGAGAGGCTCAACAATAACCCCTATCAACCCAGAATGTAACGATGACATTATTGGCACATATAAAGAGATACAATCTCCTAACTTCCCATTGCCATATCCACGAGATGCCAACTGTCAATGGAAAATTAATACAAACAATACAGATAAGATTAAATTAACCTTTATGGTATTTTCGCTTCCTATTGTAAATGATGGACGAGGTACCGAAGAACTACTTAGCTACACTACCGACCCCTCTTTGCCGGATACCATCGTTACCAAGGGGTTTAGCGGACTACTCAATGAAAGCTATAGCTTTTTGTATAACTCAAGTGTTTTATGGTTAAGGTTTCGGGCCAGTTTAAATGCGACTGAAATCCAAAAGGGAGAAATTCGTGGATTTTCAATTATCTACACCACTTATTCTTCCACTATCACCTGTAAAGATCCTGGAAGTCCTGAACACGGAAGACGCAATGGGGACACATTTACACTAGGTTCGTCTGTGTCGTACTCCTGCAATCCCGGTTACAGACTGGAAGGGCCAAACATTGCTGTTTGTAGAATAGTGACCACTTTTCAAACATGGTCAACGCTTGTACCAACCTGTGTTCCGTCATGTGTTCTGCCAAGAGTACCGGAGAATGTCGAAATGACTGGTTCCAATGTATCAATTGGTTCGGTTTTGTCGTTTTCATGTATCGCCCCGTTTGTTATCAATGGTAGCTCTATTATAACATGCATTACAACCACTGGAGGGGGTGGAGCTTGGGATGGAACTATTCCTAAGTGTTATATACCGGACTGTTCAAAGCAGATTATATTTACTCAAAGTACAGGTATTCTTGTTAACCCGTCCTTTCCGTCTCCCCAAGGTCTACTAGGTGGCAAACAATGTCGATGGAGAATTGAAGGCGATCCAGATGAAGTTATACAATTTAATGGTGATGTCACCCTTCCATTCGATGATGATTTTAGTTACATTCAGTTTACCGATGTTGGTAATTCTACGACAAAACCGCTACGTAAAGTAACAGGAATTGATACCATAGTCAACCTCACAAGCACAACGAATGAGGTTTCTGTTTATTACCATGGTCCAAACCTAACATTTGAACATAATTCTTTTCATATTAGCTATAGATTGATCAATAGAAGCAGTATATCAATACCTACTACAGCTGAAGTTACTACGGCTACTCCCACGACTACTATTATCAATACATTGACCACTTCTGCGACTACTCATGTACAGGTATGTCTAAACTATTCTCGCATGAATTCCTACACCATCAAAACAATTAGACGACTTGCCTGGTCTTGTTTTCCTCTGAAAATATTATATTTAATACCGATAACCCATTACTCTTTTATACAGTTAGCCATCATTTGTTATCTTAATTTCACAAAAGTATTTTTAAAATCCTTTATCTTGACCATTGTGCCATTTATTCCGCATCTTGATTTCATTAATTCGTTTGAACATAGAGTTCTTTTATTAGTGAGGAGAAACGGGGCAATTCGGAAAAAAACTAATGAAATTAGACATGTCATCTTACTCTCAGATAATCACCCAGTCTCTCGTTCTACCATAACGACAGTCAGTATTTCCTGTAAGCATTGGGCGGTTAGGGCCACGAGCCTCTTGTATTTTATGTCATTATTGAAATTGTTACCCCAGAAAAGACTACCAAATGCAGTATTCAAATAATGGGATAAAAAGGGAATGTTATTTTTTTTCTTTTTTCTTTTTTTTAAGAAAATTAGAAAGCACTCCCACCCTCTCACCCTCTCTATCCCTCTCTCTCTTCCCAAATGTCATTTGCCTTGCTTTGAATGATCGATTAATCTCCAACGATTTCTCAGTATTTAGATGTCAAGTTGATTATACAATGTTATTGACATCAGTATGCAGGGGGTGGGGTCGATGATCTTGATCTAAGAACCGATTATTCATTATGTTTTCTGGGATCAAACTGAATTTACCCGGTGTTGTTAGAGTTAATTATATTTTAACAAGTCGCCACACAGGCAAGCTAATAAAAGCTGAGGAATATATCAGCTATTTAAACAATCACTTGGCGACTTTGTGCCGAAGTAGAAATCTTGTTCGTACTTTTGTTGTGTTTGTTTGTTTGTTTGTTCTTTTTCTCTCCATCATGGATGTCACCATTGTGTTAAACAAATAAAACATCAAGTTAAGATATAAAGTTAGGCCTGGCTTTTGCCAAACGTAAAGTACTCAATGACGGCATTTTCTATCGTTTAGGTAAGTTGACCTGACACAAAAGAAAGCTAAGTATACACGGTCGAGTGTTTGTCAGTAATACTCTACGATTTTGACGATGTCCGATTTTCTGATTAAAAATCGATTGTTTATAAATTAATCCTGAACTTGGAGTTGCTGCCAATTCATATATACAACTTATTGGGGACCTAACGTCTAGACCAAGCTGGTATTAAGTTCCACCAGTGGATCAATAGTGGGTAGACATGTTATATATTAAAGTAACCAAATCTTTAACTCAATATCATCTACAGTCTTCGACATTGCAACCGCGACTTATTGCTCAATTTAAATCAACATTGATGTTGTTATCATACTGTGAAAAGATGGGCTTCTGATATATATACAATATTTAAGACAAAAGGAAATTTTTTTAAAAATTGCCATACGAATCGCGTGCCCGAATGCATTTGATCGCCATTTGTAATGAAGCGACTCGATGAGCGAGGCCAAACATATCCCAGAGGAGAATACAATCAGTCTAGACTGGAATAACTAAACGCCAAAGACTGCCATTCCATTCGGACTCTTTTCGTATTTCGCCAAAAATAACTGAATAGAAATTACAGTAAAAACAGAAACGATTGAATGTAAATCAGTTTATATACATTATCCAAGATTCCAAAACATTATGCGCTTCTCTTTTAAAAGTTCAAAAGTGTGAACGGTGTGTATATATATAGGAGGAGGATCAATAATTATCTCGAGAGTTATGATATAAATATTATTTTAACATTTCATATCACTACCAGAATCATTTATCGATTACTATTCTGTAATATATATCTTACCAGTTGCTGTTGACAGGGAAATCTTCAGGCAAATTCAAGTATATAATCACATGGAGTCTCGGGTGACCAAATGGTTTAACGTATAGCGTGATTTCACTTCCCCGATTCTTTGTGACAAGGAGTAGGGTAGCCTGTCCAACCTCGTGCGTTTTCTTCGGGTCTTCCGATTTCCTCCAACAGCTAATGAATCAAACCATGTTAGTCCCGAAATGACCCAGTTTGTGTTGATTTAACTCTATACGATCAAATCCAAAATCATAGTTACTTATTCAATCTTTATTTTTTATACATGTATATATAAAGCGTCGCTTTAGATTCATTTAACGCATATCGGCAGTATTTACTTACAGTGATTCATCGTTTTACAACATCAGATCGCACACAATGTCATGATGTATGTACTTACTTAGAGTATTTTAAGAGGTAGCTCCCAGGTCAGCTAATATATTAAACTTCTCAATTATGTCCTTAAAACCAAATATTTAAAAATACAAACAATAAAAAAAAGCTATTCCTGTACTATAAATCTAAGTATCCCATAAGTAATAGTTTAAAATTTAAGTGATAACGCTGCTGACCTGATGAAATTCCACCCTACCCCACACACACCCCTCCCCATTTCAATGGCATGACCGTGTCATTTTCGATAATTGTCTCTTTAAAATATACTGTTTGATAAGTGATTTTTAGATATTCTAAATGTGCGAATTATTGGCAAAAAAAAAACAAATCAGTTATTTTCAGAAGGTATAGGGCATATTTGGACCCATGTTCTCAAAGGTCTGTTAAAATATTATGAATATCATCAGGTTATTATTGGGCTATACTTGATGTTTGCATATTTTTTTAAAACGTAAGCGTGTTACGTGTGCCACCATCGGATACCAGGATAAGACTACCCACACCATGTTGGATAGTCTATCGTCGACAGGTTTTCCTTCGTCTTCTACGAAATAATAGAAAATTCTAAATACGGTTTACCGAGTATTTTAACTTATTTAAATATGGACTGACGAATAGACAGCGTTTCTTCATTCTTGGTTTGTTTTACCTGTAACAACAAATATAGGTATTTAGTGTTTATCTCCAAGGACGGATGTCTCGATGACTTAGTTCGGCTGTATTTGTGGCGTTGTGTGAGACTATAGTTGCATCGATGGACTATTAGGTTTAATAATGTTCTGGATTGTGCGATAAAATAACAGCATATTTATAAATACAGAAATTGCCATTCAAGGAATTTATGTAATGTAAAGCGCTGTGTACACGTTATTCTGCATATTATCTGAAATTTTGGAAACAGAACATACGATTACCAATGATGATTACTTGCTTTAAACAAGTCTGTAATCATACTAGGACAGAAATTTATGTGGATTTGCTGTGAAGTCTGAATAAAACCGCTAATCTGAGATTAGGATGTACACAATAGCTATAGGATTCCATTATTATTTCCATTTTGTCATCAATTACTGGATATTAGAATTCCATGGAATTATCGGATAATGAATTCAAGTGTTTTGGAAAGCTATCTGAATATAGGGGTAATATTTAGACTTATTATATTTTTATCATTTGAACATTCTTCTTCTGCCATTTTATACACCTGCATTGTGTCCGTAAACAGCCATCACGCATGACTTTATTGTAACTGTTCTGTGTTTAGGAGATAATCTCTAACGATTTTTTATTGTTTTTGTTTTATTTTTGAAAATTTTAAAACTTACTACATGACAGTTAAAAGGGGATGTTTTTCAATTTCGATTTTGCATTATTGCGTACATAAATGCATTAAAGATGAGAGGTGATGACCTCCATAGAATTTCATAGTTTTTTATTTATGAAAATCCCGATTTTTTGTTCTTGGCGAAAGACTTGGCTGTGCTTCATAGTAATTTTGAGTTTTGATCTCGTTATAGAGTGCCACTGCTTTAAATAGAGGGTCTAGAAATCACAAAGAGATTATTGCCGTTGGCTATAAAACGTTGTGAACGTTCTTGTGGTTAGAGTTCTCGACAAATGATAATAGCATGTAAAACTTTAGTAACGATTACATGTCGACAAAAGCTCCGACGGGGATTTCCATGGTAAAATATCTTTAATTCTAGTATTCACCGAGTTACGCATTTAGACAAAACGTAGCACTGTGTCGGTTGGTGGACATCAAATTAAAGTCACAGGGGGGGGGGGGGAAGTTGGCTGGTTTGTTTGGTTAACGTAAACTTCCACAGTAAATGAAGTCGCAGACCGTAGATGTTAGCTGGTTATGCATTATGTTTATTGAGATTACAGGGTTGCAGGGCAATTCTATAATTTATAGGGACCAAACGAAATAGTACATTTTATTAACTATATTCAGCGTAAGCCTATTTGCCTGATGTCTAAGATAATAACGTAATGTCTCTAATACAAGATAACCCAAGACGAGACATGGAAATAGCTCGAATGACTTCATTGATCAATATAAACACATTCGTTAGATTACAATTAAACCTCATTATAACCTTGTTTAAATAAAGAGCACATCGCTCAAATATTATTCGAAACGATCTTGCTGAATGTTTACAATTTAGTGCGAATTTGTTCTGTGTTCAGGGAAACAACCTTTCTGGCAACACTTTAACTCTTATAATCATGTGTGTTATTTGGACAGAGGAATGTCGCCCTGGTATATAGTGAAATTCCAACGGGTATCCGAAGACATTCTGGAAGAAATAAACACGCTATGCTGTCTTTAGTGCTAGCCTGGCATTCCACTGGGATTTCTTTATCCGTGTAATGATCCGCGGACACCAGTTTCTGTGTACCATAAAGCACGAGACTGAGGTTATGCCGGGGAAAGAAAGATTGAAAAAAGTAACGAAAAGTCTTTCTTCCCCAGCATAACCGAAGTCGAGGACTTTATCTTGCTTATAAACCCTCTGTGTTTATCTGTACGCAAATGTACGTATTGTTGCTGTACGAGAGGGCTGGCTGAAAAGTTCTAAGCAGCAACAAGTACAATCATTAAATGAATCATGAACATAAGAACTGCAACTATAGTGTTCTTATTGTCTTCGCACCAGACCATCTTGTGAAATCAACAGAAATGGACAAAGCTGGCTACATGGCAATCATCAAATACTAGCAACTGAAAGGACTAACCCCAACACAGATGCATGCCGACATTGTCTCCACTTTTCTTTTGGGGATAATGTCCCCTACTTTTCCACAGTAAAGAAGTGGGCTGTGGAATTTAAGCGTGACAGAGAGAGCCCTGAGGATGGCCCGCGTACTGGAAGGCCATCAACCATTCAAGAAAACGTTATCCGGGAGCATGGCATGCTTATGGGTGATCGACGATTGACCATTCGACATATTGCCAGTGTTGTGGGCATCTCCCATAATACTGAGCACATTATCGCCAACGAGTTAGGAATGACAAGAGTATCTGCAAGATGGGTGCCAAAGCTCTTGATTGTGGATCAGAAACGTGTCAGGTTCCTGACGTCCCGTGACAATCTCCGTTGTTTTGAAGAAAATCCTGATAATATTTTGACCAGATTTGTAACATGGATCAGACTGTTTCCATAAAGGAAAGTCTAGCTTTGTCATTTTCCTAGTAATGATGACGTCAGTAGTGAACGACTTTTTTTAGGATGGCTAATGAAAATTTCTTCCTAACCGGCATCCAGGCCTCACAACATCGTTGGCAAAGGTGTGTAAACTCCGAAAGAGACTATGTAGCAAAATAAATGGAAACCATCTCATTTGTACGGATATGCTTATAACTTTTCAGCCGCCTCTCGGACGTCGTGATAACAATGGTTTTAAAAATTATCCTCAACGTTAACTGATATGTCTCATCTATATATTCTCTTTGATAAAATATATCACAAAATACAAAATGTTTCATACTTTAACATAGATTATTGACTATTCTCTAATGTTAAACATACATTATGCAAGAGCTAAATCTATCTATTGCAGGTCTCTCTTTAGGCTTGAAATGTTATCTAAAGTATTAATATAGACATTAATTAACTTATCCAGACCATAATCAACTCTCGATGGCATCGCTAGCCTGTGATGTTTATTGGATTAGGTTCCCATTTGCTGTTCGACTTCCATTCATAATTTAATCAAGAAATGGACAATCGAGACTATGTTATTTTTTTATCCTACCGAATTTATTAATTATGATCGAGGTTAGGCCGTAAATTCAATTGCTAAAAGCTCGGTTCAGATTTGATCAATTTGACTGAAATTTTCAGCATATTCCCTTTACAGTATCTAGTTTTTAACTATTATAGCGAGAACTGTCAGCTCTTTATCTAATCTCCCATAATGTATCTTTAATAATATAAAACTACTAAAATGCCATTGGCGTTTTCTATATAAAATGACATTTAGTACACGGGAGAAAGTTATTTTGTTGATTTTGTTATTTTCTTACGATGATTTGAATTACAAGGAAAAACTCTAATTGCTTCTATATTACTTATCTCGGATACATTTAGAAACGGCGTTTTTTTATTTTGGTTCAAATTAATTAATCTTTCTTTCTAGACCCAATTATGAGCTTAGTATGTTAACCGCCATGTTTTTCTTGACCATTCCGAATTTGTTTTCATCAAAAATGGGTAAGATTAATGACCGAGTAAATACGTTTATTATTTTAGATAATATTTTCTTTTCTTATAATAATCTGAGATGCATGAAAGTCTCGGTGTAATTATAATATACCACTTCACACTACAGTTGACCTGCGATCTAATTAGGAAAACACTGATCTATTAATGCTACTAGGAAGCTGATAGATCTGACAGACCTGATTACATATCACCTTAAGGCTATCGGTCCATAATAAATATTTAGATTATGTCAGATAAAGGTTATTAACTATCAATATGGCCACATTAACGGCAACACTGGCAGAAATATCTCAGGTTGGACTCTATATATTTATTAAAACTCAAGTATGAATATTGAAACTTTATCTTTTTTTAATAATCTGATTTCCAGTTCATGTGTAAGGAGCAAAACTTCTTTTATGTAGGTCAAAATAACTTATTGAATTCGATTGATTAGGTGTGTTATTTTAATAAGTGATCGAACAAGATCTATACGATTAAATTTGTGTTCCCAATGATTAAACGGAAGTCAGTTTGTTTATAAGTTTTATTTCTTTTTTCTTTTTTTGGTTTAGCCCACTGTGTCTAGTGACGTACCATTTTCAAGGAAAACAGATTATCACCACAAAAAAAGAAATATAATGAAAATGTAAACCTAATTAAATCGAAATATTCACAATATTTTATTGGTTTTGATACAAATTCAACCCATGAATAATTAATAGATGTTGGGACTTAACTTACTTTAATAAATCACGATTAAATTATCGCTAAAGACGATGGAATATGTAAACTAAATCTTCTGGTTATAATATTTGTATTTTTTTAATACCAAAGTTTCACAGTTAGCACCATAAGGTACCTTACTCACCAGTTTTGTTGATGTAATAATTTTTTCACTTGGGATCCGAAAATAAGTCTGTTAATAATGATATGCAAATCAAACTCCAAAATGGTCAGAAACAGCCTGATTGCCTTTGTCGACGTATATTATTTTTCTTTGAAATGTAATGTAAACGTATTACAGGGCACTATTTTTCTAGGGACTAGATTCACACAGAATTAACTGGTTTTATTTACTGATATATATCTGGGGTTTCTACTTTAAACATACATTATGCAAGAGCTAAATATGCCTATTGCTGGTCTTTCTTTAGGTCTTAAATGTTATCTAAATTATTAATTTAACTTATCAAAACCATCGTTAGTCTGCGATATTCAGTGGATTTGAATACGTTTACTGATGGATGGTTTAACGTAAAAATGGATAATCAAGATTTTATTATCGTACCAACGGTAGTAATGACGATAGAGGCTACCTAAAATTGAATCTTTAATATCTCGGTTCAGAGTGAAGCAATTTGACTGAACTTTTTGGCATATACTGGCTTCATTATCTAATTTTGTAACTATTATTGTGAGAACTGTCAACTCTTTATCTAATCTTACCTAATGCCCCTTTAAGATAATTTATGGGTAATTACGTGTTCAATAATGAGTTTGTGTTTTTAGTGTATATATTTATAAAGACTAAGTATTACAATATTTTAATATTAAATTGGTTCCGTTTGAAGACGTGAAAGGTCAAAAAAGGTTATTCTGTTATGTTTAGTTAACGATTTCTAGTTCAAGTTAGTGTATTTATGCGAGGAAGTCATTTAGTGGGTGTCTTGTTAACAACCACTTGTGAAGTTCAGGAAATTTTCAGATAGAACATTAAATGGACAATGTTTTAATTAAAAAAGTGACTTTTTCTATTCAACTGAAATAATGTAATTTTTTTTACATAGAATGTCTGAGTTAAATTACTATGAAATCAACAAACTGAGAGAGAGGGAGGGGGGGGGGTGACGCCCACTCGACACCCCTATATGGTAGGGGTCTTTAGCAGTGGGGGGAAACCGGAGGACCCAGAGAAAACCCACGAGGTTGCATAGGCAACCCTACTCCTTGTCACGTACAACCGGGAATCGAAACCACGTCAGTTGACTCAATGGCAGACCTTATGATACAACGCGCACGCGCTAACCATAACGCCTCTCAGAATAAAGTAATTTGAATGAAATTATCAATATATTCATTTTTCATTATCTATTTTTAACCATTATATCGAGAACGAACCAGCTGTTGATCTAAATCTTACATAAAACATCTTTAATGGGAATCGATCTGTTAATGAGTGCAGTGGGAGATATCTTTCAGTGGTGCATACTGTTTACCAAGAATGGAGAGGGTGTTTATAGAGTATGGGCGCAAACAGAATTTTACGTGTGGAATACCCCCTAAATAGCATTATTTTGATAGATTATATCAGTCACTGGGCGTCTCTGTTAAAGATATTTTTTCGTGGCCCAAATTGGAGGAGTAATGCCCCACCCCCTCCCCCAACACACCAATGTTATCTCTACAGTAAGGCCTCGTACAACCATTTACCTATTTTTTCTTGGAGGTTGACTTTCTACTTTTCTGCAACACCAAGGCTAATAAAGACGGTGTTCTATGATGGAAATTTATGTGAGGAAGTCATTTAGTGGGTGTCATGTTAACAATCAATTGTGAATTTCATTTTTCAGTGGCCGAAAGATTCTTTGGCTGTGGGCGATATAAGTAAAAAATGGGGTCATTATTATTATACATATATTAGGTTGTTATTTTTTATTTGTGTTTGCATATTTTCAGACTACTGTGACCACAACTTCAACTTTAACAGTATCCAATACGAATGCAACAAGTACGACACCAATTATACTAATAAGTTCAGCTTCAACTGAGAGACCAGTTACCCTTGGGGCCGTTGGTCAAGGAGATAATAACGACAGCGTGAAAATAGCTGTAGGTGTATTAGTACCTCTCTTCATTATTTGCCTAATAGCCAGTTTTATTTTCTATAAATGGTACAGACGCAAATATCCAGTTAGAATGATCCTTGGAAGAGAATTCGCTAAGTTTGAGAACCCAGATTATCTCAATCGTGCTTCAACACTTTCTTTAGTTCGTGATGATGCAGACGATTATTTTTCTCGCGCCACATCGAAAGCGACATCTACAGTCAGTTTAGCTAATCATACCGCACACGATAACCTAGCTTTCCAACACGACAAAAATAATTTAAACCCGTCGGACGATGACTATGACATTGTAAAACGTAAAAGTTTTCTATTTAAAAGCCTAGAAGAACACCGAGATTGGATGGAAACTGGGTTTGCCTCAGCCACTAGTTCACAATCATCTGTGTTCGAATCTGTTCCAACAGAAAGCGACAAAGCTTCTGAAATTTCAAACAACAATTCAACTAGTGCCAAAGAACAAATAAATGTTCACCGTTCTCAAGAGGAACTGCATAATCTTAAAAACTCTAATCAAAATTTCCCCAAAGATACCCCGATAGAAACCATCTTGGGCCAAGTGAAGGACAGAAGGTCCTTTACCGATGATCCAACGCTGGGTCGACAAAAAGACTATGATAGCGTTTCATTGTCTAAATACAGATCCCAGTCAGCAGATCCCATATCTCCAACACAAGTTTACACGGAATTACAAGGTCAGAGGCCAGAAGAAGTTGTGAGTTTACAATCAGACCATTCCGTTTCTAGCGACTCCGAACCAACTGTTAACATCAGTGAAGAACAATTAGAAAATAATAGTGATTTACCAAAGAACATTAGAGGGGATAGTGACGTTTCTATAGTTATATCAGACGAAATAGATCTCGGTGTTAGTCCGTCTATTATCATTGAGCAGGAGCAAATTCAAAATTCCATCAGAAACAAATCGCCAACGTCGGAAAATGAAAAGATGTCCGATTCCACAGACGACTCGGATAATAAAGATGCCCTACTCCTAGCCAATACTGAATTTTCGGATAGCGGTTCTATAAATGATATACATATTAGTGTAAAACCTCACAGTGACAGTGTTGCGTCATTACGAGGAGGTTCAGACAGCAATCAATCGCAAAACTCCTCCAGACATTCATCAGTGGTTGAGTTTTATAACAGTGCTGGAGTAGTCCCCCTTTATATGCCAGCTCATGTTTATCAAGATGAGAACTTCGACTCCATTTTAAGCAACGATGTTTTTGTAAGTGATATAAATAGTCAAATTGATGATAAATTTGGTGCTGTTATTAATGAACAAAGTGGTAATGAAGAGGACGACGAAGATAGTCACCATTCTGAGATTATGTCAACAATCCCTAACTTTGAAAGACAAAGTTTACCATCTACGCCAGAGTTCAAACACAAATTCACAGAAAGAACTTCGTCCATGTCCTCTGAATCTAGCAATTCTTCTGCCAGCTCAGGGTCCTACCATTTTACACATTCCAATAGTGATATAAAACAAAAAGGAATTTCTGAAAATCTTCAGAAAACCAAAGAACCCGATAAACATGCCAGTGAAAGTAGTTCAGAAACAGATGAAAGTTCCACGTCGGAAGACATCGACACGGACAATAATGACAACCGAGTACTTACACCAAACCTTGTGCAACATACGGATGAAACTGGGGGGTTCCATAACAACCCGAAAGAAGAGCAATTAGAACCAACAGACACGTACACAATGACCGGCCCCATTCACAACCCAGATCAAGATTTAGTATCCAATGTCGATGGCCGCGCAACAGATAACTTCTCCGAGTTAAGATCGCCCAACAATGAAAATGGTTCGATGGATCAAGTGCTTCGCAAATCTGTTGGACCAGATACATCTTTCTCCCCCGATAGTGTCAGTATTACTTCTAATACTGTATCTTCGACAACATCATATTCATCAGACGATGAAGGCGTTTATGTTATTGATCCAGAACACACTAATCTGGCACCCTTGGACGTAGATAATGTGGATTTTGACAATCATGATCTTATGTATGGTAATCCAAACCCCGGAGATGCTTCTATAAAGGGAACTACGGTAGATGCTTCATCAGCCGGTTCTGGGGCACCACCAACTAATATCGAAGGAGGAGCTTCGTCTGTTGTTATTGATATTCCTAATTTATCTGATACTGACAGTGATAATGAATTATTTACAGACGAGGATATTCTAATGGCTCTACAGGACTCTCATCTCTCGGACGATGAAATCGACCACATACCTACAAATTCAAGCGAAGCGACCCCACCACGAAACATTTCTATTCAGGCACATCAGTTTCGATTTGATGATGACGATGATGATAATGATATTGACGTATAGATATCAATGGAAAATTTATCCTTGTCTATTAAACGATTGAATTTGGTTATTACATATTATTTTACTCGGCCATCAGTGGTCCTTCAATTAATGTGGTGATTACTTTGAGTACGTTGCGATTTTGGCCAATGAAACGATTTAAAATATATTGGAATTCTATGAATATTTTGCTACTGCACGACCGAATAAGTGTTTTAGTGACATAACTTTTTCAAATGTAGGTTATTTTGTGCGAGTTTCAATGTGTTATTATCTTGATGTGATAAAACATATATTAAGATAATATAATCTAAATAATAATTATGTATTTTTAAACATAAATTAACATTTATATCATAATATATTATTGTGCCCAATATCCACATATATTTTGTTAAATTCCCCCAGCCAAAGTGCATTAATTGAAGTGAATTATTAGGTATAGCAAGCATTGTGATCTATTTTGTATGTTTCATCAACGATATTTTAATAATTTATATGTTTTATATAGATATGTTCTAATGTAAATAGCCACTAAAACCATATCTTGAAAACGTATTATTCACCCAATGTGCAATATTAAAATATATTCGTTTTATAAAAGACGATATTTTGTTACCCAAAACTAGTCCCAAATCACCGACTGAGATGAAATATAGCATGAATGATAAAATTGATATTTTTCTCTTTTTATATGTATCTGAAGAAATGGGCGTTTTATTGAAGTATTAACAAGCAGTTAGATGTTAAGTTTAAATTCAACCCAAAAGAAAATTATGTAAAATTTACGAATAATGTTAAAACTGAAAATGTAGAAAGTACAAAAATGCAACAGAACGACTTTAATGTAAGACTGGTCGTTATTATGAATAGCTAAGTTAGTTGTATTACATATTTGTTGATATTTTTGATTAGATATCTGGTGCAATTCGAAAATGTCATATAATCATTATATTTTGATCTAAATTCATATATTGTGTAATATTTACACCAATTATGGTAATTAAGCTGTACTTGAAAACCACACTTTTGGTACTTTAAATAACAATTAAACATCTCCTCATTATATAAAATGAAATCTTTGTAAGACAGGATATATCGAATATCAAAACACTTAGTAGTTGTTTTATGAATGCGGATCCTATGTGAGACGAAGAAGTCCGGGGCACTGGGCTGCAAACATAAAGCCTAGTTCACAACCCGAACTACGCGTCACCTGCGTGTGTTCGGCACCGTAGAAGACGCACGGTTTTTGTACGGGTGGCATGCATTAGACCTACTATACAAGTACTCCTGACTTACCATCATTGCGGCCCTTATTATCATTACATCCCACTTACTACCTCTATGCGTAGCGTGCTATCAGTGGACAAAACCTGCACGTTGTACATTGGAGATTGTCTAGCATGTATGACTGCAGAAAGCACAAATATGGCCGTCACTATACCGACAGATAATAGAAGAGCCCTTGATGTGTGTGACACCCGCATTACCAAAAGTCTAAGAAGTCACCACCCATTTGAGCCCGGGTTGAAACTGGCTATTACGACCCGATTCCTGCCTACAGTGAACAGTTACAAGTCACTTGAGTTTTCATTCCATGTGGCTTCAAATACCATTTGTATGTTTGTACCAGAGGTGTGTCGTGCTATATACGAGGAATGCAGAGATGAACTATTTATCATTCCTGACACTGCCCACATATGGCTCGCTGTGACACCTTAGTTTTCCATACGCTAGAACTATCACCAATGTGTAGGAGCCATTGACGGAAAACACATCTGTATTAAGAAGTCCAAGAATAGTGGGCCAGAGTACTAAAATTACAAAGGATTCTTTTCGATAATACTCTTGGGCCTTCTAGATGCCCAATAAAAGTTCTTGTGGATGAGTGTTGGTGCCAGTGGGTCGGCGTCGGACTGTGGGATCTTTAACAGATCAAGCCTTTGTTCTGCATTGGCAAATGACGAGCTTGGTCTTCCTCCTCCAGAACTCATTGCGAACTTGGATGACAAGACCCCAAAGTATTCTCAACTACCGCACATACCGTGCACGCCGTGTTGTTGAGAATGCATTTGACATTTTGGCACTCCGTAGGAGATGCCCCAAGGCGACACTGGCTGCCCCCTCTCTGGAGGGGGCGTGGACTTACTTTTTGACATTTTCGTTATTGGTCCCATGTTTTAAACGAAATGAAAATATTCAATTTCTTTGGTCGATATGCCGGAGGCAAAACATTAATACGCACTTATACTAACTTTGCCATCAATTATTTGGTAGATATCGGTTAAATCACTCCTTTGGAATAATATATTGTAAATGTATATAAAATACATATTATCAGCAGCCTATAAAATGTGAATTAGAATATATTATTTAACATATCTGAAATTTTAAATAAAATCTACAACAAAAATTATATACTCATTGTTTACGGAATGTAATAATATAATATCGAATCTTATTATTTATAATGGCAATGACTAGGATTGTTTTTATGTCCTATGATGCTGTTACACGTGGTTGAAGTAATGCCCATTTATACCCCCTGTGTTACTTATACGATCCATTTGTAAGAAATAATAAAACAATAATTTGTCATATTTTGTTGGTGCCTTTATTTAAATTTTACAGACATATTTCTGAGCTTAATTAAATTTAAATTTATAACTGCCCAGTAATCTATCGATTTGTCACAATATTTCGTACCTATTAAAGACGCACTCCCACGAAAGTATTTATAGGGTAGATATTTCCAATAAAGGTAGGCAAATTAGGTATATATGGAAAGTAGAGAACCCACTCTTAGTAGAAAAATACTGGATTCCCTGAAAAACACCCATGGGGCAAAGCACAGGGCAAAATGTTAGGGTATCACTAAATGGCAACCCGGTGGTATATTTTCTGCCAGCTTTACTTAGGAAGCGCTTGTTATTTCTTGATCGAATGGTTAGGCATTGTGGGAACAGTGAGAGGTTTAAATGTACAACAGACTCTGAGCTTGAACGGCGGATAAAGAGGTTGCCAAAGAATTTACTTAGGCTTCTATATGTATGGTAAATGGACAACAAGTAACGACAAATACAATCTAAAATAGGCCCTCCCTCGATCAAGTTACATGACAAACAAGTCTGCTGAAAATACATTTCTACCGCATGAGGTAGGGTTTGTTTTTTTTTTTTGGGGGGGGGGGGGTCCAATTAAATTCTTTTGAGAGTGATTTCAAGCAAACGTTTGATAGATAAATTAGTTATGTTTTTAGTCCAAGTTTATCGTCAAATCACACAGATTGTATCGGAAAGCATCTTTTATTAAATGACAACTTGCTAGCCAAAATAAATCCTACGTCACATTTATATCCATGAATTAATCAGGGTAAATGCCCTCAAGAGGTACTCGCAGCTCGAATGTTTAAAATCAATGGCAAAACACGATGGTCTGTATCCTGGTGCTTTTGTCAAAAAGGGGAGTTATCTCCTTTTGATAACACGTAGATAGCCTATGTATTATTCGGTCAGCTTTTGGGACTAAAGTAAAACACCAAGAAATGAAGAAATGAAATGAAATGCAATTTTACATCATACTTTTCAGCACCAGCCAGTAGAAAAAGGGAAGATGCTTCAAAAGGATATCTTTCACGGGGGCGTACTGGGCCTCGGGCCGTCGGACGGGGTCTGGGTACCCATCGACACCATTTGGGAAAAATACATTTGATATATCTTTTTTCAAAATAAATCAAAATCATCTTCATATCCACTGACGAATATAATGGTCTAAATTCAAGGTGAATGGAGCTAGTTTCGTTCTCTCATTAAGTCACGCATTCTTCACCGTTATGGAAGCCGAGGGAAACCAGTTGATCTTAGGACACAGGGCCACCAAGTTCTTCTATGTTCTTCGGCATTATCTCCAGCTTACGGAAGAAAATATTATAGGTATACCAGAACGGGATATATTGTAAGACACAGTATAAGTTGCATTGATTTTAGTCCAACTACACGACATTCAATTATTATTACCTCTTGTAGTCAGGAAGCAACACGTTGAATCGATGATAAACCACTCAATCAATGCATAAATTTATGGTGTAATAATTAGAATTCTGCTCTGTGTCTGAAAATTGCAAAATGGTCGTTATTCTGTTAACATAAAGGCGGCAATTGGGATGAATTAAATACGGTTTCGAGGGAGAAATGCCAATACTCTTTTACTACATCCTTGACTTGCAAACTTCGGTATATTCCATTAATTCATAGATCCCAGATATAGGTCTACCGGAATAAAACTAAACTGGTTTTCAGTCGTTTTGGCGTACATTATTATATATAGTACGCCAAAACAGAGGGGGCGGGGACCGTCTCCCTAAGATGATTGCAAATTATTGGAGGGAGGGAAGAGTCATGAGATGTGTACTTTGTGTGGGTTTTTTTTTTGGTTTTTTTTGTTTACCAGACACTTCCAAATAACTAACAGCAAAAATAAAAACTGAAGTATTTAACAAAAACAAAAAAATCCATTTGCGGGTAGCTTATATTGGGATCCATTATGGAGAGAAGAACTAAAACTTTCGAATCGGGGGTCGTATCTAATTGATTAAGGGTATGAAAACATTATTTTCATTTCTTAAAGACCATGGTGTGTATTTTGTACCCCCTTTCGCCATTACATCGTCCACTAGTCTCTAAATTAATACGCGTTTTTTATGTTGTTTTTCTTGGGTTTGTGTGTGTGTGTGGGGGGGGGGGGGGTCGTTATCTTGATCACTTTAACAGTATATTTTATTAAAAAATATCGACAAAACATAATATAATTCACTGATCTGTTCACTGTAATATGGTAATTAATCGATAAATAAACTCCAGTAATTTATTACTCGTCAAATAATAAGTATTGTAAATGGATACAAATAAAAGGACAATGGAGTTGAAAATTTTCGATCAATCATTTCTTGAAGCTCCCGTGGAGTTGAAAGTAACAGCTAGGAAAACCTATCGATTTTTTCAATGTTTACCAGTGGTCACCTGTCAATTAATGCTATAAATATATTGCTTGTCTTTATCTTATTGCATGATAATAAAAACATGTCCTTGCCCGTTATATATAAATAATTGACTTAAGGACGTTTATGCAAATGCGATGGGGGTCGATGAGTTGTAGATTTCTGTGACAGTAAGCTACAGGAAGGCGTATCTGGAGGTTAATTACCCTTCCATAACGCTACTATTGTGTTCAATAGATTACTATCTATCAGTAGTTCAATCGTTGGACTTTTATATAGGAATTCAGACAGAGAAAGACAATTTGAACTTAGGATGCCACATTATGGTTGATATGGTTTAAACAGGGTAAGTATAATTTATCTATACCTGGAGCTGTAAAACATTGTTAATATTTAATCTGGCTGATATGGAAACATAAAATAACATGCACTTGCATTTTTATGGTTAATTGTCGCCATGCCGATCTTATCTAGTTTGCTTTGTTCGAATTCCCGAACACTGTCATGTAAGCTGAGGAAGGCCTGAAACTAAAGAATAACACCATAATAAACATAAGGCTGCCATAATGAACACAAGGCTACGCATTAGTGCACAATACAAGTCTAGTGCACAAAACAAATAAAGCCTGGACTATAGCGGACAAAAATATATATTAAAATGTCGTCTTATCGGCGGGCATTGATTCATTTGTTTACATATGATGATAAATATTATATGTTGTTAGCGACGCTAGGAAGTAATTACCATGTCTACATGTAAGTAACTAATCAACAGTGGGGAATGTAAGACATTAATTAAAGAACAGTTGAACAGATGGATAAGATAATAGGTTTATATATAGATTAGTCAATGATGGCATTTTAAGTTTTCCATGTTCCAGGCAACTACTGTAGTTTGTTGACAGTTCTATGGTAAGATCAATAAAGATCGTCAAATCCGGCTTATCCTGCTAATACATAGCAGACGACCACTTAAAAATCAAGTTATTTAAATCATCGAAAAATACTGGGACTTGAATTATTATTGATACTGTAATAAAGAATATTATTACAAAAATATTAGTTGCATAATCTATTTTCATCGATGTAAGTAGACATAAACTCAAATTAAGTCGAATCCAGCACCATCATTACAAAGATGCAAATAATTATGTTATGTAGGCCTATAGATAGATTTGTCGTGTGTGGGAGGATTTGGATATTGTCTTCGGGACATTATTTTTCTGTCATAGTTTTTAACGAACAAATTTTGATGATTGTTCCTTGACTGTAATGCTGCCCTCGATAATATGTTTGTATTCTCTTTCTATTTTTGAGCGTGTGTCTTCTAGGTCAAAATTTCTCCCCAGGATCTGGGCCCTTATTCACGAAAACTTAAACTAAGTTACAACCGAAATTTTAAGAAATACTGCAACTTCATTGGATATATGCAAATTGATTTTACTGGTCAGCCAATCGAATTGCAGTATTTCTTAAAATTTCGATTGTATCTTAGTTTAAGTTTTCATGAATAAGGGCCCAGGTTGATAGGCCAGACAAATATAAAATAGTATATAACGACATTTAAGCTAGTGCAGTAAAGGGTATAAGACACTATTTGATCAGCCTAACAAACAAATAATTAGTGCAAATAAAAACTGATCACATTTCAGTGGCTTACCACATACTCCTTGTTTACATGGGGATATTTTGAAAATGTGTAAATTTTCTTATGTGATTAATCTGACTGTATGGACACATTTACCCGTCTGTAGATTTGACTTGTGATTGCCAATTTATGCCTAGTTTTGACTAGGTATCTTTGGTTCCTTGTCGCATGGACGTAAAGCAAAATACATACATCACATAGGAAGAATATAACGAAACTTTCTACAGAAGCTTTCCAGTCTGAGCTTGTTTGTGGCAATGACGTAAATGAATCACTTTAGGAATTTACTACAATTTAATTTTCTTACAAAACCAAAACTTTGTATAGACGCATATCAAATATACTTCGTTATAACGTATGTAAAATTCTTTATTCGTCGCAAATTTGTTTATATTACTATGCAAAATATCGCCGTATTTAAAGACGTTATTTGATTCTTGAGTAGGTTTGGAATTCAAAAATATAAGAAATTATAACATATGTGATGAGCATACTTACTTACCGCTTCTCTTTCAACGCAGGGAGATCGTGTGGCTAAGTGGGTAAGACGCTGGCTCGCTAGCCTGGAGGTCGGGTGTTCGATCCCTGCATTGGCTGAGAAAGTTCATCCAGATTTTCCGGCGTGGTTTCCACTTGTCAGTGATGCAGGACGGAGGGCCTGACAAGGACAGCTGTCTAGTCGTTCGGATGGGACGGAAAACCGAGGTCCCGTGTACATATTGGCGTGCACGTAAAAGATCCCTTGGCAGTTGGAATTCGATATAAGAGTAGGCCGTAACGCCGCTGCCCGGGCAAAATTTTCCTCACAGCAGACTGTATGGCGTATGCCCGTCTTCATTAGCCCAGTTTAGGAGCAGAACAGTAGGACGTTAAACCCAATTTCATTTCATTTCATTTCTTTAAACACAGTTTAAATATAAAAGGAAGTAGCCTTTCGTAGTGTTTTAAAGGGCAGGGTAGATTGCCTCCTGAACCTTGTGGGATTTCTATTGGTTCTATGATTTCCTACCACTGCTAAAATCTTTATACGCAAACAAATTCTTGAAATATAAATGCACTATATGTTAGTCCCAAAATAACCAATAACCTCGATTGTGTTGAGTTCTTTGACCAATCCTCATTGTTTCATGAATTTTTCACACAGGCTCTAAATAGCTGACAATCACTTGTTAATCCGCGACATAGCCTGCATGTATAACGATTTTAATGGTTTTCAAGGAGATTACGAACCCTCGTCAAACACACATTACTTTATATAGATGGGTTCTTGGATTTTATTTAATAAGGCGATCATAGGGGTTATTTATTTTTTTTATGGGCGTAAATGGCACAAATAAGGATTCGCAATATTAAACATCTATATATACTAAACAGCATAAAAAAAAGTCAGAACAATTTCAAAATCAGAGAGGCACTTTAATCAAATCATTCTAGAAAACGACTTACTAAATGGATCAAAGCAATTTTTTGTGAACAGTATTTTGACACATTAATGATTAATTCAGCACAATTCCAAGACATTACGAGACGATGTAGAGTCTGTACACAGTCTATACATCAGTATTTGGTGTGTCCACCACGAGTGTTAATAACAGCAGCGCGGCGGCTGTACATGGAGTGGACCAGACGATTGATGAACGCCATTGGCACCTGGAACCACACTCTCAGAAAAGCCTGGCGCAATCCATCGGCTGTGTTTGGTCTCGGTACGACGTTATTTTAAGTCTCCTCTGAATTTCATCCCGAAGATGTTCAATCGGGTTTAAGCCCGGACTAAGGGCTGGCCAATCATAACGTTGACACCGTTCTGCTGTAGAAAGTCCCGAGTAACTCTGGCTGTGGTCACGGGCGTTGTCATGCTAGAAACCGTTGTTTCGATGACGTGCGAAATGTGGCACGGTATGACGTGGGGTCTGAGAGTTTGATCGATGTAGCGCACTGCTGTAATGTCGCCTCCTCTCCCTGGACCAAGATTTTGGAACACCACAGGACCCACTCTCTGGTTCAGGCCGATTCCATCCCAAACCATTATGATTGGACCTCCCCATGAGTCTCGTTCTATGACACATTGGTCAAAATAACGCTGGCCACGTCGACGCCATATTCTGGTCCTGACATCTGCAGTTGATACGCAATACCGATTCTCATCTGTGAACAGAACCGTTCTCCATTGCCTGTGTCGCCAGTTCGGGTGTTTTTGGGCAAACTGTAGACGTTCACGTCGATGGCGGGTGGTGAGGATCGGTCCACGGCAAGGTCTACGACAATGGATGTTCTCTCTGGTGAGACGTCGGCGCACTGTATCGGTACTGATGGGTCTTCCGTGTGTTCCTACTGTCTGACGTGCTGTCTCAGATGCCCGTGTGAAGGGATTCTGCACGTGCTGTCGCACAACATGATGATCTTTTCGCCTTGTGGTAACCCTTGGTCTACCAGTGCGGGGGCGATCATCTGTGGTGTTGGTGGCCCGAAAGCGTTGCTGAAGCCTGTAGATGGTCCTAACATTGACCTGGAAGTGATTGGCAACGGCTTGGGCAGTGTGGCCACCGTCGAGTCTTCCAAGTATAGTTCCTCTGATCTGTCGTGAGTCGTGGCATGCTGCTGACGTTGTAGTGTGAATGATTCAACCAGGTATGGGGGTGCATTTTATAGGGCTTTTCCTGGTGAACAGCACGTGTAGCATGAGTTAAATGAAAATCAAGGAGAACACATTACCATCTCAGATGTCAGGTTGCGTTTTTGAGAACATTTCCTGGGTTCAATTATGTGTTTGGGAAGGAGCCTTATTGCTCAGGTAAAGTTGGAGATGTGGTCACAAATATACAATAAAAACATTTGACAAGTTTTATGCAATGCGTCTTTTCAGAGTAATATACCAACCTGACGTTTCTTTTGCTGCTTAGTATATAAGCTTGTCCCAATGAGGAGTAGTTGAGCTTAACAGGTCACACATTTTACGTGACAGAGTTACGTAACCCCGTAGGGCAATTTTGGCGATTTTTCCAAACGGCTATAAATTTCCGACTAGGTAAACAGGTTATATCATTACATTTTGATATTTGGTTTGACATTACTGTACAATAATATATCAACTGATACCCTGCGGATTGTGAGTACCCCCATCCCCTTTAAGGTTTAGTATATGTGGCTTGTTTTCTGCATTGTTATGATATTTGAATTTCTTACAGATCAAAAGAAGAAATGCACAAATGAAATTCATTCGGACCCATCAACTAATCATATGTGTAATTGTGTATTGTAAAGTCGGTGTATAATCCTCTAATCAGTAAGCTAGATTAGCCATAACACTATACTTATATATATATGCGTTCACTCTATTTGTATGCCATATAAGCAGGGTTCATTAAGGACATGGGGCTTATCTAAAAATGGAGACCACCATTTCATACCTAATATGTTATAGAATAGAAGGATATATGGTGATCAGGCAATTCCCAATTGCACACAGACAACTCAAATATTGATTGTACTTCTTCCTGCAACTATTGTTATTCACCTGTATACATGATCAAAAGATTGGAAAACACAAATACAGAACAGATTATAACACCATCACCATGACAACACCAGACGGTAAGTTTTTGTGGTATAGGAAATATTGTTTGAATTTAGTCATGCTGGGTACAGTACCTTGTAAAGGAAAACTTATTATGATATTATGGGCAGTACCAAAAATCAGATTCTTGACAGTTACTTGGAGAGAGACTGCCAAACATTGACCAGACCAGACACACCCACTCCTCTGAATGATTTAAAATGTATATCGTTTAGGTGGGTGGCTCTTTGGGCTTTCAAAAAGTTTGTTGTTACCAGACACGCGCAATACCGACCTAAAAAAACTTAAATCATATTGTTTTGGTGATATTTAACTCTCCAAAAATTATTTTGTTGAGGAGTCAGTGCTACCCAGATCCCTCTTTAACCTGGTCATAATTAAGTTCAGAATTTTGCGCTTTAATATCGATTACCCCGCATACGCCAGCAAGACTCTTCCATAGACAATTACGTGGAATTTGAGCCAGTTATATTAAAGTGTATAAAGGTATTTTAACCTAATCACAGGAGCTTGACCCCATGATTGATATTAACTGGTAGGTAATAAATTTGATCTATAACCCATGGATTATTTTAGAAGTTGTAAACATATAGCGTGTCGCGGGCTGTATACTACATTAATAAAGTAGTTGACAATAAAAAGACAAGTCTATTTACATAGTATTAATAGTAATAAAACTATTGTATAAAATAAAAGATTAACCCCACCACAATTCATATGCATGTATATCATTCAATCACACTGTATGAAGGACTGATTCATATGTATTTTTACGATACTGAAATGAATAAATGTTTTAAAAATTTATGTTTAATCAAATGTATTCTTCTATAGGTGCAGCAAAGAAATTCCTTTATACTGGACCTGGGTCTAAATCTAGAGATCAAGACGTCAATCAAGATTGGAACTATACACATAATAGAGAAAAACGAGAAAGTAAAGGTAATGGTAATATTCTTACAGTAAATCAAGAAACGTGTGCAGATCTCTTATACAAAGAACCTTAGAATGCCCGCTCGTACTAATCAAAAGAAGGAAACCAGGTGAATCCAAATACTCAGTATGATAAACTGGCCCCACAATGAATCTAACTACATCTCATAATAATTATTATATGCGTTAAAGCGGTTAAATTCGCATGTTTGAGTCTTTACTGTATACTTGTCCATTATAAATGAATATTTGGATTATAATTATCGAGAGATATCCTATATATTTGAATTGTAATTACCGAGAGATATCCTGCATATTTAAATTGTAATTAATTAGGGATACCCCACATAAGTAAATTGTAATTACCAGGGATACTCCATATATTTAGATTTTAATTGATACCATACCTATTTAAATCGTAATTAACGAGGGATAACCTACCTATTTAAATCGTAATTACCGAGCGATAACCTACATATTTAAATTGTAATTGAGGGATAACTTACATATGTGGATTGTAATTACTGAGGGATATCCCAGCATATTTGGATTGTAATTACAGAGGGATACCATACCTATTTAGATTGTAATTACCGAGAGATACCCTGCATATTTAAATTGTAATTACTGAGGGATACCCCACATAAATAAATTGTAATTACCGAGGGATACCATACATATTTAATTTGTAATTACTGAAGCATAACCTTCATATTTATATTGTTATTACTGAGGCATGTCTTATATGTTTAGATTGTAATTACCGAGAGATACTCTACATATTTAAATTGTAATTACCGAGGAATACCCACATACGTATTTAAATTGTAATTACTTAGGGATACCCTACATATTTAAATTATAATAATTTAGATCTACTATGTACCAGGTATATCAAATAATTATAAATTTTGGCTCATATAAAGTAACTTCAGATCCTAAAATAGGTCTTGGTTTATATAAAGTAGTTCAGATCCCAAAATTAAAGTCTAAACCATTTGGCTGTAAATAGTGACAAGACAGTATCTTTCACTAGGCATAATACGACTCATTTAGTTCGGAATGTCGCATTCTATAATTAACATTTTGTTTATACTTGTGTCATATTAATATGAATTTATTTATTATATCTTATATGTTGGACTAATTTCTACCTTGTTTTGTTCATCACGCTCTATCGTTGTGATTTACTACATTAATGAACTTATTAAACTGATGTTATTAGTTTATCCAATCGATCTATCGCATTGACTACTGTCTACATCACCATGGAACCTAATATCAAAACAGTTCAGTTAGTTCACGGTCATCTAATTGTTTCAATGGATTCTTTATTTTCAATCGATAAGTTTATTTTCAAATAGTTCTATACTATTGGCAGACGATACATAAAATGTTGATTATTTCAAAAGTCAAAAGTTGTCCTTGTAGGAGTAAATCAAATAAAGAATCATTCATCAATGATAACAAATAAATTCTACGTTGTATAATTAGAACTTGATGTTTCCATAGTAATGAGGGAAAGAGAATTAAGAGACATTATATCAAAGTTTAGAAGTAACGAGGAATTTCTGCTTTTTTAAATTTCATTTGTTTCCCTGATTGCTTAGTTGCGGTGGGATGTTTGTTCCCTCTAACAGTATGTCTATTCGATATGGGAACACAAGGTTCTAATATTTTTACTATTTTTTAGTAGAAGGGATTTCTTATATCCAAGATTGTGTACACGGAAATTCAGATTTTCGTCCTATCCGTCTGGTTAGCGAGCTAGCTGCTTACTCACTGAGCCACCGGGACTCCCATATATCGACTATGAATAAACAAATCTGTTTTAAATGTGGCATACAATCTTTTTTTGAGTAACGGAATATCCAAATCATTTCTACCGGCCAGTAAAGATGTCAATTCTAATTTTAGGTTAATAAAACTGAATATATTGTTTGTATGGCATGTAGCAATTAATCGGTGACTTGATTCAATAGGTTTAAGTGGTTAATAATTTGCATATTATAAACCTTTGCTTGATAACGTGAAGAGAACAATCAACGAAACGTCGCTTTAATTGAAAAAGTAATTGTGTTCCATATTATTTGTTTGGTTTAAAACTGGACATATGTGTTGTTTTTGCTATAGGTGAAGCTGTAGACTTGGAAGATGTGTGGAGTATAAAGAAAAATGTTGGTATAGCCAATAATACATCCGCACCAAATACTGATAAATTTTCACTTAATGCCGATACCAAATTCTACTCAAGATACAACAGTTTAAAGGGTATGTAATATAATAAGGCTCAGAACTAATAAAAACGGAAATAAATCTGTCAGTTAAAAAAGATTACAGATCTATGACAACACACAATGCGAAAAGTGATAGTAATTGCCACACATAAATAATTGTTGTTTATAAAAGAATTCCATCTTTCTAATTATATTACCTATGACAGACAATAGTAAACAATAGATGTCTTTTTCTTGATTTTTATATAAACAGAAAAAGATAAACCCAATCAAAATAAAACACCAAGCAGTTTTACCGATGGTAAGTTTCTTCTTTTACAAATAGCTTTTTAAAAGAGGGTTGTTAGTGGGTAGCAACCAAGAATCCTAGCGAAATTAAGAACGTCTCTACCTGGATGCAGATCACCATTAAAGCCCGTATTAAAGCCCACATGTTATTCTCATTCTTTGCCCGCTTCCAACTTGAACCCAAATATTCGTTGAACTGAACGCTTTTCACTTTTGAAAGTTTGTATGAGGTTGACCACTGATATTTTGAAATCACACAAACCTGAAGTAGCATACTATAAATATGTAATTATCTATGGAAGGATAACGTTGCCAATATTATTTCATTGTTCACGGTGCAAACTGCAAATGTCAGTAGTTCAAAATACGTATTTTAGTTTTACAATTTACAATTTCCATTGCTCAACAATACCAATGTCACGGTGTTAAAATACAGAATACACTTTTCAATAATACAAAATACAGTAGAATAGTTATTTTGCACATTACACTTCTGCATTCTGTATTTTGCATAATAGACAAATGCATAATAGAACCTTGCATAGTAGAACATATACCTTATATGGGATCTACGACGTACGTCATTTGCATACGGAAAAAAATCCGGACTATGACGGAAATTAATGATTTACGCGATAAAGCCATAAGGCCGAGGTCATGAAAGGGGCAGTACTCGATTTTGTTAGTCTTCAACGTCCAGGCTCTATAATGTAATCAGTTCGACGATTAGAGGATTCTGAAAGATAATAGTCTGCACACTGATCAGCAGTGAATTTTCGCTAGGCCGCTACAATCACTGATAAGGATGACATCGATGCGACTTAATGTGGCAGAAATATTGACTTTTTTCTTGCGACAAATTAAATTCTAAAACATTTTTTTTATGTATTGGGAAAATAAATAAAGGCGTTTGACGTATTTGTAGGTAAAAATTATTTCCTATTTAGTGTAAATGGGTATTAAAATGACTAAAAGGCAGCATTCCGCCCGAAGCAGTAACGTCTTATGTAAACAATGCACGCGCCATTCAGCCAATGATTGACCCCGCGTGCTGTGACGGCACGTGTTAAGGCAGTCATCTTTGACAGAGATATTACAGATTGAATAGTCTGGTTTAATGAGACTATTCTTATTTGTTTTCATCGGTAAAACCCCCCAGATATTTCAAGTGAATTCATTTCTTGTTAAAAATTAAATTGAATATCTTATTTAATTAACAGGTCTCTAAAACCCTTTTTTGGGGTAAGGTTAAAGAATCTTATAGTAACCGAGTGGAATCTCTCACCCGGATTCGAAATGAAGTTAGCACACATATTCCTAGCGCCAATAAAAACCTAGATATAATTATCACGAAAATAATTGTTACCTTTATATTAAGACATATTAATGCAAAGTATATAATAATATGTAATAGACCCCCCCCCCCCCCAAAGAAAATTTGCTGAACTAAAGATCTTGGAGCCACCAAAGCTAGTTTAGAAGTTATTGCGTGCGCAGTGAGTCTACCCTAACACGATTCCGCCATATTTTTAGTATGTTTCCGGTAATATTTCTCTAAAAGTCAGCTTAGGAAGCTTCTGAAAATTTGTATTCTAGTAGTTTATTCGTCCCTTGATTTCATGAAACAAAAAAACATTTTGCCACCATAGCTGGTTTCGGTGCGTTTTGATGCAGCGTGGACGTACCCCTTTTCTGCGTGCTCAGTTAGCCTAGTGTGCGATATTTTAGTATGTTTACGGTAATAGTATTTTTTTTTTCATGAGGGAGGGAGGGGGGGGGGGTCTTTTATATATATACTTTGCATTAATATGTCGTTTTCTAATATAAAGGTAACAATTATTTTCGTGATTATTATATCTAGGTTTTTATTGGCGCTAGGAATATGTGTGCTAACTTCATTTCGTATCCAGGTGACCTAATGGCTTTATCGTGTAAATCATTAATTTCCGTCATATTCCGGACTTTTTTCCGTATGCAAATGACGTTCGTCGTAGATCCCATAAAGGTATATGTTCTACTATGCAAGGTTCTATCATGCGTTTGTCTATTATGCAAAATGCAGAATGCAGAAGTGTAATGTGCAAAATAACTATTCTACTGTATTTTGTATTATTGAAAAGTGTACTCTGTATTTTAACACCGTGGCATTGGTATTGTTATACTTCCATAATTATCCGCCTATAATAGATCACTGTAATCAAACTCTTAAATCGGTTATCCTTCCGCCTTTAAACCGTGAATATTTTCGAAAACCATCTTCTTTGATTCTAGATCCCCAAAACCATCTTCTTTGATTCTAGATCCTAAAAATCAACTAAAATGGCCAGACTAGTGGTGGATAAACCAGCGCCTTACTCGCATAACCACTGGTTACATTTTTATTTTATAGAGCTTATTATTAACATGATGTCACGCCCTTATTCTCGGTAGGATTTTTCACGGTGAAATACACAAGTGCCCATGTGCGATTCAGTATTTTTCGAGGCATCTCTAGGTTTGTTGTTTAACTTTTAAAGTTCTAGGAGGGTCATCTTCAATAGACGGCTTGATCTCGCTTTAACTACGTACATCTTATCAAGGCTTTCACGTAATACCCTGCATATTCCGGCACTAATTTCGATTGGGTACAAGCCCAGCTTGTGAGTCTATCAGATTCCTCGATCGTCGCGAATACCAAGTCTCGAGCTTTCAAGCTAAAATGTCTACCTGTGATAATCGAGTTGCAACGTTCAAGGTTCAGTCAATGTCAAGGTTTCCGTGGAGGTCGCGATGTCACAACCTCTGATTGGACGCTACTGCTCATGTGTCTGTAGATAACATAGCTATAAGTTCGGGAATTGTGAAATAAACAAGCAACGGCCAGATGTTGTAAAACCCGCAGTCGTTGCTTCAGGAACATGGGGGAGGGTTAACTTCGCGGAATATTGTGACACTTATTGGGAAGGTTCGTGAAGATTGAATTTCTCAGTCAAATATATTTATGTGCAGTTTTATTTGAATATTGCTTAGTTTGTTTTCACCTTTAGGTAGTTCATATCGCTTGCCACCAGAACTTAGCAATTCTTTTTCAACTCAACGCCGGAACTCCAACACCAAGAGACATTCATTAACATGTGAAGATGAGTTCGACTTTTAATGATCTGATGAAAATTTCAAGATTTATATTACATGTATATTAATTTCATAATTATTATGGAGATTGGAAACTGCTATAGGAAGTCAGAGGGGAACACTCCGTGTGATTGCTTTCTACTGGTTTAAATATTACTTTATATTTGAAGTTGCGTTCTTGATAACTTAGATTATTGAATTTAACATACTGAGATCTATAACTATACAATAAATTACGTTACATTGAAGACTTCCCACTTGAACTGTACATTAGTGGACACGGTTGACGTATGTGCTCTGTTATCACATTACTTTCGTTTTACTGATTTTAAAACTATGATGTATACAGTGCCGGATTTACGTAAAGGCTTGTTTAAAACACACTTTCATCTTCTTAGTGTTGAGGGTACGGGGACTGGGATGGACCTTATAAGTGGAAAAAATTAAGGCTTCTCGTTATCTAAATCTGACACTGGATGTATACCATAATATTTGTACCACAGTAACATCCCAGTAAAGACTAAGATATGTCGTTGGGCTACCCATAAACATTTAAAAGAAATCTGCATTGGTTTAAATCCTTTCGAATATCCAATATTTTGGCTGGGTTATCTGCTTTTGAGTTTGAGACAATTTCTATGTCCATGCGCTTACGGTGACAACATTAGCTTGCCAGCCAATCTACATTTTGGGGGTCAAATAACCCTAAAATATTTAAAAATGAAAATGTTTCTCGGACTTTGTCATGTTAGCCCTTTAATATTCCCCATTTTAACCATAAAAACCCCCCAATTAAGTGCTGTTATACATGTAGTAGATACATGAATACACATAACATTAGTGCTATGAGAAATATTTGTAAAGGTATTGTAGTTTATCGTAGAGCTAGCTAGCTGTGTAGGGCCTTGGTAATGTGATGTGCAATATATTGACAGGGAGGTAATCTGACTCATCTTTTGGTTTTTATTTTACATATTATGTGTGATGTAGACAATAAAAAAGTTTGAAAAATCAAAAATTTTGTTTGCATTATTTATATCGCTCTCACTACAACTAGTAACAGATTATCTTTTTTAATTAAAACACATCAAATAAACCGATATATGCGGCCTCTTATATTTATCAATTGTTGCACCATGGCGTTCAACAGGTATCGCCTTTTGGCCCTTTAGTCACAAATATTATTTATAACTCTATTTTATTCCACAAAATTTTAAAGTCGCACTCCTCTACTAAACTAAAAACTCGTTGGTATTTTGGGGTAACTTATATTTGTCTCTCTCTTGCTGTTGTCGTGTATATCGGTGGTATATTAATTCCAGAGTTTCTACTATTGTCCATATAGAGAATCCCATCCATAAACTAGCCTGGCCTCCAACTTCAGCCAAGAAATTTACCCACTGAAACATATAAAAAAACAAGTACATAATTTCGCGACGACATAAATGTATACATTATTAAAGTGATTAAACCTTTTGGACATGGGTCAAAATAAATTATTGAATCTGATTTATCTGGTGCGTTATCTCGAATAGTGATGGCATAATTCCCATACGATTTAATTTTCATTTCGTTAATGTACTTGGAAGTCGGTGAAACAAAGTTTAGTTTCGCTGTTGATTAAACGATTATTGGTCGGCGAGGGGGCCAAAATAGTCCCCATGGCAATACTGATACCGAGGATTAATACAGTTTGCGTTTGAAATATGCAGAATGTCTTGTTGACTGGCGTGGCATTCCTAATGTATTCGAAGCGGATTTTCCGTACATACATTCCATCAAATCTACACGTTTATTTTTGACCCAAATTAAAGAAATCTATCCTATAGGCGTTTTACAGATTGTAGCAACAATAATTTAATATTAAGATTTTGCAATCATTTACCTCTCTTTATTTGAAAAGCATGGTTTACCAAACACTATTAAAACTACTTCAGTATTCTTCTTAATTGATAAAATATTATTTAATGCATACATTTGTACATACCGTATATGATGGGAAACTTTCAATATATTGGCTACTCAGTGTATTGTAAAATACATTCAGCTTTGCAAAATTATTTCTGAAAAAAGAGGTTATACTTATTATAGAATCAATTTTATCTTAAATACAAAAGTCTAAGATAAATCAGTTAGCTATATGAACGTACCCAATGGGAAGTGGTATGGTGGGTTCTAACGTTAACCTGACTCGTGTGCAACACCCGTCACTACATGGACTTGAATTTCAGAATATGAAGGTTACTGGGTAAATGTCAAATGTTATACCCAGCCGAGGGTGCCCTTAGTAACAATCGATCTATTTTAAAACAGGTTGTGACTATCTTTGTACATCGGATGTAAATAAAACAATAATAATACGGATATCTATTCCATTGTGTAAAGTACAAGCCAACCATTCTTTATATACGATTCTCGTGCTTGGATGTTCTCAATTACGGGATGCATGAGTGATTCTGAAAGTGGGGGGCCATGATTGAACAACACAAACAATTGTATAGAGCGGTGTTATGTTCTTACCCGATCTTTGAATTTGCAGAGCCATATATGCACTATCATCAATATAATTATGGTTTATACGAAAGGTACTAGTTACTAGTGGCAAGCGGAGCAAGGCGAGAATTTTTCGACCATTTTCATACAACACATGGCCACATAATATTGTGTATTATTCGCTTATAAATAAAGTCTTATTATCTAACCTTATTTGCTCTTTCATACGAGTTGTATATCTGTAATGAATTTTAGGCAGGTATGAACCAACTGAACGAAGTTTACTATGAAATCGGGCATGAATTGGTATCAGTTGTTCTTCTATAGGCCAAACACCATATGATATCTGGTATTTAAATGTCGATTCTCTGTGAAGAAAGTAAGTATACGAAGAAAGTGTTAGAAAACGCATTGCAATCACTTAGCTACAGAGAATTCCATAGCTGAGACTACAATCTGATATATCAACAAAAAGATTTTCATTTATCTATATAAGGACTTAAGGAAGAACACACGCGTTTTTTACGATTTAAATTTCTCCTGGTTCGGTCCATCAAAACCGATGTTTAAAAGTAAGCTGTGATAGGTCGATAATATACTGCCTGCCAATCTGGTGCGTTCTCAAACTTATAATGATACCCTGCCACGTGCACAGGAACTTGCGAAATGGAAAATCCTTCAAAAAGTACATTAAGCTGAGACTTGATAAGTATCAAGTATTACGCCCAAAGTCATATACATGGGTTGGATGGCCGAATGGTTGCGCGAGGGCGTTGTATCATAAGGTCTGTCATTGAGTCAACTGGCGTGGTTTCGATTTCCCGGTTGTCCGTAACAAGGAGTAGGTTCGCCTGTCCAACCTCGAGGGTTTTCTCTGAGTCCTCCGGTTTCCTCCCACTGCTAAAGCCCCCTGCGCGCAAGCGAATTATTGTAATAAAATTGAACCACATGTTAGTCCCGATATGACCTAGTTTGTGTCGAGTGGACGTTAAACCCCATCTTTCTCGTAAACACACGGGAGGAATTATCACATGCAAGGGAAATAACTCGTTCGAAACCGTTATCAATCTGTATTCTGGGCAATTTTAATAGATTTTGGTTAAAATTGCTTGCGCCAGCGCAGTGAAAATTTCTAGTGGTATTCGGTGAAAAAATAAAAATAATCTTACATGCAAGGTGGGGGACAAACATCTGCATTACAAATTTGATTGTCTTCAAACAATGCTGTTATTCTGTCAATACATCCTATAAAATTAAACAAGTATTGTACCTAAAATAGGCTTGAGTTTAAAGTACGAGCAATTTTAACGCCTTTCAATCGAATATAAAGATAGCTCTGTTCCATACACAGAAACAAAAACTTCACAACACCCGAATGTTTATGCTCTCAAACGAAATTTATTGCATAAATAAATATATGCAAAAGTAAACAAATCCTCCATATATAGCAGTGAAAGTTGTCAGTGTAGCCCTTAACAGACCTACGGCGCAAGGAAAGCATACACCCCTTAACCCCTTGCGTCATAAAAGGTATATGTTTGGATACTAGGCCATTGCATTAAGGAAAGTTCACAGTGGGGCCTAGTCAACTCACTACAGCAATAAGCTGGTAAGTTATTGTCATGACGAATGCTGTGATGTCATTGAGACAGATCGCACGACAGTTGGGTCGCCATTCCTTGCCCTTTAGTCGGTTATTGCGGAAACATCTACCGTCAACTTTCTGGCAGCTCGCAGTACATAAGATAAGTTGCAGCATTATTGAGACTTGTGCGATGTCATCCTTTTCCGTCAAGGGAATGGGTACCTCATCAGTTCTGTAATCAGTTCAAACCGGCTGGATGTAGCGCTAAGAGGTCTATCAGACATGAGCGTAAGGCTACACGAATAGCATCGTGCCGAGCACGCCACCGTTGGAACATTACGCCATGGCGAAAAATGAACTGGTCGGATAAAAGCCTCTTTCTCTTGTTCATGGCGGAAGGTAGAGCAATTGTATGGCGACGTCGGAACTTCCTAGAGTAGGCTAGAATCATGATATGGGTTTGCATCCATTGGTATAAGTTATAGGGTTACTATCTATCAATGGCCAACCCTACCAAAAAGAGAATAAACGTAGTCTGTAGAGTGTTCACAAGAAATTGTGGACGACGGACGGACGGCAACACACGATCACATTTTCATGTAGTCATATATAAAGGGGTGTTGCAATACTTTTTCTTTGCGTATTATCTTACTCTAAGGACGCAGAACATATATTACAAATCGTATATATTACTTTAAAGGCCGACTCTATATAACAGCCATTTATGTGGGTTTGGGGAGGAGGGCGTCGAAAATTTGAAAATATTCGATGGTTGTCAAATCTTTATAGTGTGTATGTAATAATTAATGGTTTTAACTGGTGGATCTTTACCTTTCATTAGTAACTCATGCTTTAGTGTATTTTCCCAATCTGAAAAATTCTAGTGTCAAGCGATAAATTCGGCATAATTTGAGTTCTATATACATTTGTTTATAATGTTTATAACGCTCTGTTATTTTTGTCCATTAATAATTGAATGCATTGCGTATATTCCTAATTCCAAAAAAGTTGTCAAACTGATATTTCAACAATGGCTGTCAAACTGATATAATCACAATATATCTGTTACTGTGTCTAAATTAATGTTTTAAACTCTTGGTAATCAATATTTATGTTCCCACCAGAATCATTTAATATATCCACTGTGTTTATTTGCAACCTGTTTTTAGCTATGTGAAAGATTTTGGTTTAGTAGAGGGTTATTGCTGGTACTCATACTGAACTAACATCCCATCCTATCCCACATTTCGCCCCCACCCTTTGCCTCGTCATTCTCCAGGCCCATTCTCCAGTCAATTTTTAAACTAAAAAAACGGATGTCAGAGCAAGATACGCCCACATTTTGTAAGAGATGAACAGAGAACAAGTTAAAAAAAGGTGAGTTTAAATTCAGGGCCCATAATCCAGGAAGTTACAATCCGATACGCGCAATATCGAAAGGAACCTATATCTTTGGGATATAAACATACATTTTAAGTTTCATTGAAATCAGATGCAAATTGTGACCTTTACAGGGTCCATAACCTATTTGCGTACGGAGAGCGGTCATTCGTACTCGACCATTATTATGCCGTAACGGTGATAAATGTAAACTTTTTTTTTAAAATCGGATAGAGGCATCACAATCAGGGGCCACAATCCGGGAAATAGCGGTCCCGATGTGCGCGAATATCTAAATGAGCCGAGATCTTTGGGATATAAAATATATGTTAAGTTTCAACAAAATCTGATATACAAATTGTGGCCTCTAGAGATTGACAATATTTGGTAACTCGGAGCGGCCATTTTGTCGGGTAGTTTCGGTCCAATTTGCACAAAATTTGAACTCAACCATCATTAGGGTGTAGCAGTGATATTTTACACGGTTTTTAAAATCGGATAAAAATTGTGACTTCTAGAGGGTCCACGAGCTAAAAACGCGATTGTACAATCAGGGGCCATAATCCAAGAAGTTACGGTCCGATATCAACGAATATCGAAAGAAACTGAGATCTATTGGATACAAACATTTATTTTGAGTTTCATCAAAATCGGACACAAATTGTGACCTTGGAGGGTCTACAACCTTGATATGATACATACTTTTACACTATTTGCGTAGAAGGATATTCATGGAATTCGAACCCAACGGTCATTATGATGTAACGGTGATATATTCGTAGAACGGTTTTTTAAATCGGATTAAAAAAAAGTATGACTGCAGTCGGTCTCAAAAGCATGCATCGCCGTCTTAATGAATTAATGAGGTAAACAAATAATGCCAGAATAGATCCCAATTACTAGTCGGTCGCAAAATCAGTGCAGTCAGTCGTAAGATATGAGCAGTCGGTATCAAAATAAGTGCTCACTGCACACGTCACTACTCACGCAAAACTTTAGTATAAAATAACCTTGTCAACTTATCATGTTTGAAAAAAATATTTTCAACCCATGGCAAAAAAATAGTCGTTCTAAAAAAAAAGTGCTCACCGCAGTCGGTCTCAGACTAAATGAATTAATGGGGTGTTTTCTGACCATCAGAATTCTGCAAAATCTCTCCCCAAAGTCCAGGGCATTTCAGAGACCAAGTAAGCGCCCCATTGAGGTAAAGTGCCCTCAGGTCCAGTCCTCAAAAATTAAAAGCTCAGTTACATATCGGCGCTCAATTCCATTATGCCATCATTATTCAACTTCTTCTCTGTCTTATACTATCTCATCACTATCATATTCACAGTTACAGTGAATCGCCCAGTTAGTAGTACCACTAGTGAGTGAGTCGTGGTTCAAAAGACTGTAGAATTGTTAGTTCTACTGTCACAAAACAGGCGACATTGACAGATAGGCCTCAAGATTCTGTCCCATTTCTTATCCTCTCGTTAACGAGAATTTGGATCCATTTGCCATGACATTGAATGAAATTGTCAGGTCCAGTCCCAAAAATTAAAAGCTCGGTTACACATCTCAATTTTTTTCGCGCCTGCGGCGCTCGATTTCATTATAACATCATTCTTCCACTCCTCTGTTGTCTTATACTGTCTCAGCACTATCATATTCACGGTTTCACTGATCTGCCTAGTTATGTTAGTAGTACCACTGGCACTGGTGTGTGGGTCGTGGGGCGTCAGGCTATACAAAAGTTCTGTCAATTCTTGCAAAACAGGCGGAATTCACAGGGGCAGATTTCGAGATTTTGTCTAATTGACTCACATTTCTGGTCCTCTCGTCCACAAGAATTTCTCCAAGCAATGACCTCAGATGCCAAGATATTGACTCAATATTTCAAAATTTTCTCAGGTTGCTCAGTGTTATAGCCACAATCATATATGACATAAACTTTATGTCAACTTAAATAAAACTGCTTTCCAGCGAGACAACGATCGGCAAACAACTATATAATTATACAATACCACCTATGTTCTACCGGGACGCTTAATGTTATAGCCAGTATTTTGTTGACATTCATTGTGGGGTGGAATTGTGGCTGGGGTGGCGCCCTAATTTTGGACCCCCCACCCCTATCTAGATCCGTTACTGCACATGGCCCCTACAAAACTTGCACCTGTGGTGCTCGGCTCCTGACTGCGTCACTCGTACTAGGGGTATGGGCATCAGTCGGTCGCATTTTGGCTAAACACCCCCCAAACAAAATCGTTATGTACGCCCCTGCTTAGAGTTTGTTTGAAATCGTGTATGTAGATGTATAGAGATACATGTACAATCTCTAAATTTATTAAACTATTGTATAAAGTGGTGCCTAAATAAGTGACAAATTAGTCTAATATGCGCAGATTAGTCCCACGTTCAGCTAAGTGTTTGTTATATCAGATCGTAAGGCTTGGTATGCGAACGTTGATGGTTATTGTTTATATACCAAATTACACATTTTAATGTCTATAATGATGATACGTGGGTTAAAAACTAATATTAACCCACGTATGGTCATTATAGACGTTTGGCTTATATAAGATGACGTTAACAAAATGGACGTGGGCATTCAAAATTTATTCAGTGTCTACTAACCTTCATTGGTATGATTACATTTTCTTATTTCAAGGTTTTTGGTAATTAGATCTTCAAATAATGATGCGTTAGGAGAGTACCATGGATCGTAACATCCACATTGTTGTAAGAGATTTGTCTGGAAACAGTCTCTTGAGCATGCCTAAAATACATCAAACTATATGTAATGACGTTTTCTTTGTAAAACATAAAAATGGAAATATTATTACATGTATAACAGAAAACTGCTCTATAACGGCAAAATAGTTACCTATTGGTCGATAGCACTAATTCGACCATTTCGATATCGAAAGTTGATTCAGGATTTTGGCGCACGTTAAGGCCTTGGGCGATGCTGGCCTCATCTTCACTCAACCAGGCAGGCTGTCAGATAGTGACACCCTTACGATGAAGACGGGCTTGCGCCGTACAGTGTGCTATGACATGAGGGAAATTTTGTCCGGACATCGGCACTACGCCCTACTCTGAATTCCAACCGCCAATGGATCTTTTACGTGCACGCCAATGTGTACATGGAACCTCTGTTTTCCGTCACTGAGCCACCAAATTCCATTTGTCAGGGGATCTTTTACTTGCACGCCAATGTGTACACAGACGAATCCCGGTGAACTTTTTCTGCCAACGCATGGTTCGAACAAGGGACCTCCAGGAGCGAGTCAACGTCTTTCTCACTGACCCACCGTAGTTCCGGTGTTCCTTTGTGTGTCTCTACTTTCCTTATTATACCAAAAAAGGCCATACTTTTATTCTTTTGTGAGAATGTATCTTTGATACGGTAATATGGGAAGTTCTAACGTTACGTGTTAAACTGTTAACTATTAAGAATGGCTATATAAAAATAAACAAAAGCTATTTGCCAATGTAGATAAACAGAACAGTGATGTTTTCTCAAAACTAATAGTAATTAGCTGGTGATTCATCGAGACTAAATCCCTAATGTAATAAAGCTCATGACAAACACAGTCTTATAGAAACTAATATATAATATTATTCATCTAAAGATGAATAACTATCACGAATATATCTCAATGGATCTAGTTTTAATCTAGTTTTAACGTATTCTATTTAATTACACGAGAAGATTATACCGAATTACTTTAATTCAGAAGTGACTGTACTCACTAAGACTGCTCAGATGTGTGGTATCACAAGGTCTGTCATTGAGAGAGAGAGAGAGAGAGAGAAAGAGAGAGAGGGGGGGGGTTAACGTCCACTCCACACAAACTAGGTCATTTCGGGACTAACACATGGTTCAATTTTATTTCAACAATTCGCTTGCGTGTAGGGGTCTTTAGCCAGTGGGGGGAAACCGGAGGACCAGGAGAAAACCCATGAGGTTGGAAAGGCTACCCTACTCCTTGTCACAACCTGGGAATCGAAACCAGGTCAGTTGACTCAATGACAGACCTTATGATACAGCGCGCACGTACTAACCATTCGGCCATTCAACCCCAAGGTCACATACGCCATGCAACGTCGTTTGATGGAGGGGAAGTGTGATACTTCTGTGCTTTTGTTATAATGCTGCAGTTGCAGACCCTGGGATAGGCGATATCCAAACCATCCTTCCACCCCGGCCACACGTTTGCACAATGCAGTTATTTTTGTACCGTTCGTCACACTCGCATTCTTCGGTCAGCGTTTCTCGGTTTCATCTGAGAAGGGGACACCATGTCATTGTCTTAATCGCCACTGTCGGTGATGCATTTCCCAGCCTAACCAAGAATTGGTCGAACATAAGTACGTCTGATATGGAGTCTGGCAGAGCGTACGGTGATCATTGCTCCTTTACAATTTGGTTTTCCGTTTCCATTGGTACTTTTTTTAAAACTTCAGGGAATGGTAAAAGATGGACATTATTCAAGAATATTACTAGTACACGAGCTGAATATTTGATAATTATTATGATTAAACGCTGATTAATGACGACATATTATTCTGGCTTGCTTAGACTTATTGTGTCTTCCATGATTAATTAGGGACATCAAAACTATGAAGCTTAGGTGTAATTACATGTATGGATACTTTTAGATCCCAAATTTATAACTTTATACACACAGCATATACTTAATTCCGGATTAAAAGGACTTCGCGTGTTTGATTCGGTTTTATATACTAGGTATCACTTACGCTACGATATTAAAAATCACCAGCAGGCTGATTAAATACGTGGCAATCAATAATTAATTAGTGTTTAGCATCTATACGACTTTCTGAGTGCAAGACTAACAGATCACCACCCACAATACCCTTTGATCAATTTCAAACCCTTTGTTAGTTCAAAATTGAGTAGTTCTTAAAGGCTCAATACCACTCTTGTTGTAACTGAATAATATGTCCCAATCTTTATTCTGGTCAACAAATTGTACTATTTTACAATATTCCAATTAACTGATGATACAAATTTCAACTTAACACACCTAATTTAAAAAATTGGAAAAATTCAACTAAATGATTTGAAAAGCCTGACGTAAAGCTTTTCAAATGTGACTTGGATTTAAAAATATTTTTGAACCCTCTGGACAAGTAAAATAGGATTTAATGGATAATTTACACAACATGTAAGACACTAACACATCTAGTACTTAGAATAGGGCTATTTTTTTTATTTTCTGGAGCTGTCAAGCCAGCAAGACTGTTATTGTCCCTTTAAGTTGAGTAAAAATGTTTTATGGTTCCGCGACCAGATGATATAAGATCTCTTGACAATGTATTTGTATATTACCTGTATGGAATATGTAGCGCCATGAGTTTCTTGTCCGTTATCTTTACCAGATTGTGTATCAATACAAGTCTCGGTATTTACACGTGACGTCACACTCTACAATACAAAAGCATAGAGGGATAATTATTATATGTCAACTAATTAAATTTCTATATTTTACCATGCCCGAAAAATGAGGGCTCGTCAATACTTGTAGACTTGATATAAATCATACGATATCTGTTGAACGTCTAGACTGGTGGATCCATTAGTCTACTGATTCTCATTAAAACAGCCGGTTATGGAAACAACAACATAAGTACCATTAAACATGTTTAATTAAAGGGTGTACGGTTTTCGTCTTCCTAAAGTCAGATATTTACACAAAAAAGACGAAAATGTCACAAAAACATATGTTCAACAATGGATGTAAACTGCAAACAATTTTCACGTCCTTCAAAACGAACAGTTTTAATCATTAATTTTTCTAGAATTACAGCCAATCAAACTGCACAGATCAATCATCTACGATTAGGCATAAACAATAATGGCGTCGCAACAGAAATCGAATGCTAGAAGTACTGAACAGCTCTGGCTGTTCGAGGGTGATATATTACAAATTAAACTGATATTTTTGATTTATTTTAAAAGTTGCGTGCCTTTTCCACGAGAATAAATTACTAGAATAAATTACGGTGTACGGATACGTGTCGATTTGAAGAGGGATTTGTGTAAATCAGGGGCCTGTTTCACGAAATTTTAACTAAGATAAAATCAAAATTTTAGTAATTTGATTGGATAATATTAGATTGATTTTAGTGCTTAGCCAATCAAAATTGAAGTATCTACTAAAATTGGATTTTATCTTTAGTTAAAATTTCGAGAAACAGGGCCCAGGTCTAGGGTGTCACAGCACATCCTCCTTGATGTACTGGTAAGAAGAGAAACTCCATTGTCACCACTACAGTGTACAGAAAACCAACACCTACAGACAAGAATTTCCAGTACAAATCTAACTATCCCAACAGCGTGAAATAATGATATAGACATATGTGACATCGCAATTAATGATTTGCATCAATGGAATTGAATCACAATTGAATCAAAATGAAATGAACTGGGGTTTAACGTCCTACTAGTCTGCTCCTAAACTGGGCTAATGAAGACGGGCATACACTATACAGTGTGCTATGAGGGAAATTTTGCCCGGGCAGCGGCGCTACAGCCTACTCTTATATCGAATTCCAACTGCCAAGGGATCTTTTAGTCCCATCCGAACGACTAGACAGCTGCATCACTGACAAGGGGAAAGCACGCCGGAAATCTGGATGAACTTTCTCGGCCAATGCAGGGATCGAACAGCCGACCTCCAGGCTAGCGAGTCAGCGTCTTACCCACTTAGCCACGTGATCCCCCACAATTGAATCAATGTGACGTCAAAAGGGCTGTTGGATTTCTCTCTTTAAAAAGCTTAGTATGTACGAGCGCATATATGCCTACGTAATTTGGAGACGATGATGACATCATGCATTGTCAACTGTCAAATTTCCTAACAGGAACCTGGCAAAGCTCCTCGTGTAAAAATCTGGGCTTGTGATAACTAGTCACTGTTCTTGTATCCCATTGGTTAGTTCACACTGATGTATCTACCGTAAACCGTTAAGCCTCAAGGAAGGAACGAATGTATTTTCTCATTCTATTTTATCTGTTTGTGTATATGCTTGATTACGACTTGTGAAATTACTAATACAATATTTATTCCATAAAAAGTGTGTTATTTGATTATGTCCCAATCACTAAATGACATTCAGAGAATATGTCTATAGATCTATTAAATATTAATAACGCGCTAAACATCTAATGATAAGGCATTGATTTTAATAAGCAATAAAAGAGAAACACTATCATGTTGCTGCTGTTTTTCATATAAATGTTAGGTGATAGAAAGCAGTAAATAACTGTTTAGCTAAACAATAAAAACTAAAACTGGTGCACATTGAATTTAATCAATCATAAACAGAAAACAGATTTATGTGGCTGCGGTTTTGTGTCTATCACACATGTATAAACTAGCCCCAAATTAGAAACATAACCCAGATACTCTCAATCAAAGATACTGGCTTAAATGACCAGACTAATGAAGACGGGCATATGCCATACAGTGTGCTATGAGGGAAACTTTACCCGGGCAGCTGCACTATGACCTACTCTTATATCGAATTCCAACTGCCAAGGGATCTTTTACGTGCACGCAAAACCGAACCTCGGTTTTTTGTCTCATCCGAATGACTGAACAGCTGTCCTTGTCAGGCCCTCCGTCCTGCACCATTAACAAGGGGAAACTACGTCGGAAAATCCCGATGAACTTTCTCGGCCAATACATTGATCGAACACGCGACCTCCAGACTCAATCTGTTTCACAGAAAATTACGAAAGTCTTCTAATATCTCTGTAAAAGATGACTGCCTTCAACACGTGCCGTCACAGCACGCGGCGTCAATCATTGGCTGAATGGCGCGTGCATTGTTTACATAAGACGTTACTGCTTCGGGCAGAATGCTGCCCTTTAGTCATTTTAATACCCATTTACACTAAATAGGAAATAAATTTTACCTACAAATACGTCAAACGTCTTTATTTATTTTTCTAATACATCAAAAAATGTTTTAGAATTTAATTTGTCGGAGGAACAAAGTTAATATTTGATACTCATTAAGTCGCATTGATGTCATCCTTATCAGTGATTGTAGCGTCCTAGCGAATATTCACTTCTGATCAGTTGGCTCCAGACTAGCGGGCCAGCGTATTACCCACTTAGCCACCGTGGCTCCCTAGGAGCGTGGATTAAACCATGGTTTTAATTTTTCAATTTGCTATTTCATTAACTATCCCGTTCAGAGCGGCGCATTTTGGTTTAGTAGAATATGTATCTCACCACGTCGACAACAACATAATACTAGTCATATAATACTAAAACATTCGTTGACTTCTGAATTCAGGAAATTGTATTAAAAAAATAGTCTCGATAATCCAGGCCCGTCCATCAGCGTGCGACACCCTATCATGACTATCAACCTCAAACAGAAAGATTAGATTTGTAGAAATGAAATTTAATTATTCAAAGAAATGATTAGAAATAATTAAATTAACAACTATTTTAAACATAAAAAGTGAGTGACATCACATCACGTTCTTTATCAGAAATATTTGAAAAAAAAAACGTCGACATTACTAACGAACCTTTTCTAGAGCTATGAGTGAATGTGTTCCGGGTGTTATGATGATACCATTTTCGGAAAGAAAAGGAACCGAATTTTCTTCATGTATAACTACCTTAAAACCAACAGTCTGTGAGAATTTACCGATATATTCTTCCAGCTGCACATTCAGTTCCAACTGTAAGCCTAAGAATAAAACATGAAATAAAGTAGAGTTATAAATAATATTAACAATAAGTAACTTACACCTATTATTCTATTAAAAGCTCTGTGTAGAAGTATATAGTAGTTGGGAGTGCGCGTTGTTTTGTATATCCTTTAGGGTTTTAAGAGAATGAACATATTTCTACATGTTAAAACAATATTAAATAAGGACTGAAAAAAATCAATAAGAATGTCGTTTTCTTGGATCAAACAGGTTTATCTTTATAATCTTGTTATTTTTGTATTTAATCCATACAAGACATATAGAAATAGATTATACTAAATTAACACACTTATATGGATATACTACTTCTGAATTTTATGTCTTATGTGTATAACTGTATGTGTATTGAAACGTAGCAGGTTAATAAAATTCAGAAGTAGTATATCCATGTAAGTGTGTTCATTTTTATATCTGTTGAGGAAAAAGTTGAATTTAATGTTCTGAATTTTTTACCATAAGAAATATTCTACTCATGTAAAATGAAACCGCTAGATTTTTATATACACAGGTCAGCTACGCAACTGTCTGCAAGATCGAATTCCTGGTTTCCTTAAACATATGCAAGAGCTAAATCCGCCTATTGCGGGTATTTCTTTAGGCCTGAAATGTTATCTAAATTATTAATTAGACATTAATTAACTTATCCAGACCATAATTAACTCTCGATGGCATCGGATTAGGTTCCGATTTCCTGTTTAAGTGGATAATCGAGACTATGTTTTTTTTTTATCCTACCGACTTTAGTAATGATGATCGAGGCTAGGCCGAAAATTCAATAGCTAAATTCTTTGTTCATTATAGTGGATCAATTTTACTGAAATTTTCTAATCTCCCATAATGTATCTTTAAACCGTTCCTTTGAACTTCTGCAGTGACCTGTTACATCAGATGTGTCAGAGGGGACTTTGGTTAATCAAGTGAAGTAATCATGGATCCTGATTCAGAAAGCACACACAAGACTTAAGTACTGTCAGTACTGTTAAATCTAGGCATGCCATTAAAGTGGGGTTTTCTTTTCTTCAGAGTTGTATAAGTGAAAAATTTATAAATATGAAACCTACCTTGATCAGGACCTATTTTTCTTACATAATCTCTTGTTTTAAAAGTGTAACAATTTCCATGCTGATAATCGTAAAATTTGGTAAAATTTCTGAAATATATAAATTTTATGTCTTGTCTACTCTTACATTTTTATAGTCTACATAACCCTATATAAAAGACATTCTAGCTTGGCACATTCCTGTCGATGTATCCAGGCTTTTCCAAAAATGATAACCCGCAAATGAAGACGGGCATGCGCCATACAGTGTGCTATGAGGGAAATTTTGCCCGGACAGCGGCACTACGGCCTACTCTTATATTGAATTCCAACTGTCAAGGGATCTTTTCCGTGCACGTCAATGTGTACACGGGAACTCGGTTTTTCGTTCCATCCGGACGATTAGACAGTAACCTTCGGATGCAATATATTGGACGACTGTTTACACGATACAATGGTTCTATTCGTTGTGTGGCAATATTTTGTTCCTTTAAGTTCGTAGTAACTCAATAAAATGGCAGTAGGCGACACCTAACATCATTGTCTTCGTATAGTTTTAATGCCGCGGGTTTCACAAAGTCCATGCTTCGTATACAGAGTTATTAGATATTCTAATTCAGTCGCGGATAAGTTTGGAATCCATTTTACAGTACGTCAAAGTACTCGAAGCGACAGAAGTTGATATCTTTAATCAGGAATTCAGATCGCCAAGTCAGATATGATGTCATACAGAGGAAACTGAAAATCAGTAAGTAATATACACCGACTAAAATCACATTCGATTGAAAGTTATCACACACATTTTTAATGTCCATGTTTGCCAGCGTACTTAAACGTTTTCTTTCTTGTGTTAATAAACGAAATTTGATCCCTTTCCAGATGGTATCATTGAATTTCTGGAACCTCAAAATGTATGTTTTAAACACCAAGATTATGATTCTAACTGGTTCAGAAGCTGATATATTGGTAGATATTAGTATACCGATTTGTGTTTGGTTTTTTTCCAACGTAGACAAATTTCTCTTTCTTGTGTAAATAAGAACAATCTGGAGCCTTTTTTAGGCTGTATAATTGTATTTCTTGGATTCCCAAAATTTAGGTTATTACGTACAGAAGCTATTTTTTCTGACTTTTTTAAATGAACGTTTTTTCTTTGTTTTTGGGGTTTTGTTTTGGTTATTTTTTTAGTAAACGCAATCGAGATGTTATAATTGAAAATGTAGGTTTAGACACAAAGACTGCGATCCTCAGTGGTTTAGAAGCTAAGATATTGGTAGATATAGTTTTTTACAAGGCGGAAATCTTAAAGATCCAATATGGCGCCATAATACATATTTGGAGGAAGTGGCGCATTTCTAGATGATATAACCACATTCCTTGATCCTGCAAATGTAGGTTTAGATATTAAGATTGCGATCCTAACTGGTAGATACCGGTTTTTACATAGCCAAAATCTTGAAGATTCAAGATGGCCGCAATAATATATTTGGGGGAAGTAGTTCCTAGCAGTGCCTAGCAAAGAACGAAAGCTAAAATAAGTAGCATTTTTGGAAGATTGGACACTGTTGTCCGGAACGTTCACATACATCCGAAATCTGCTTCTAAGCTGTCTGACTATCCGTACTGTTTACCTTTCCGTGCCGATTAACAACAATGCTATCAAATATATCAGTGAATAATTTGTTGAATAATTTGTAGAACATCAAGCAAGTGTGAAAAATAATGTCTCTTTGAACTTTATAATATAGATTCACTGATTTAATCTAATGTGCAATTAATTATTAATAGGGCCAATATAGTGGTGCGATGGCTTGTGACATGATACAAGTATGAAAAGTGCATGGTTCTGTTACAATAATAATATCTATGATCGTATTCAAACACAGCTAAATTTGTTGGTTTTACAGAATATTATCCACTGGGAATCAGCTGTCTGTTCCATATGTGTTATGTCATACCAAATGGAATTGGCTTAATCCTACAGGATATATTTAATACACAGATATACGCCACGTACTCGAAATTAACTCACCGAGTTGTACAAGGTTTATTATTAAAGGAGCAGCTCATCAACATATGATCTAAATGGTGGCTGTATAAAGCTTTACTGGAAGTGGACATCTGAATTAAAACGTCTTGTAATCCCAATCTGCCCAACATTTTGCCAACCACCTTACTACCTAGTATAGGGCGTTTAGTACTAGCATTCTAAAAATATAAACACAGAAATAAAAATATTGTGATGATACACGTCACATTTTCAAAAAATATTAAAACAAAGAAGCTTATATTTTACAAGTAACATGCATCTTGGTTCCCCTGGGGTCACTGCTTCGTCAGCAATCTTACGGGTCTTATTTTTGTTCTAAAATGGTGATTTGCTTTTGTGGGATACAATGTTACTAATTCAGAAAATAGCAAGACATGCTTAAAATTAAGGAACATTAAATATAGCCATACTTATTTTAATTCCAGAAGACAGTGTAAAAAAATATGGGTCCAAGGAGAATGTTTTACCATTTTAAACATCAATTTGGCTATTGTTTCCACCGTCTTCTTGGATTTCTTACCACATTAATAGATACAATTATGTAACATAATTGAATAAAAATACCATCGACAATCACAAGTAGAATCAGTTAAACAGGTCGTGTCTGGTACACAAATAGAAATGATAATAGCCTATAAAATTATGGTCATGAAAGGACCAACCCTCTCGATATTAAGCATCCCGCGAGCTTCCGTTCCGGAGTTCTCCCCCTCCACCCGATTCTGAAAACCTTGTTAACGCGATAGAGACACGGGCATTTGAAGGGATTATATACTATACTGTTGTAGGCAAGCAGATTAAAATAGAACTTCTTACTACTGCTTGACTATTTACTATTGTATATAGTTTATAGTCAAGCAATTAGTAAGAGGTTTTGTTTTAATCCCTTCAGGTGCCTGTGGACACTGACTATAATGAATTTCGTTCAAATTTGGTATGACGCTTTGGGGCACGAGAGGGCGAACCCTGCCGATATACAGCATTCTGCGACCTTTCGTTCCCGAGTTATCCTCCCTTTTACGAAATGAGACGCAGGATCAGCTAAACAGACACTGCCTCATGCACAAGCAGAAATGACTATAGCCTATTATGTTCTTCAATATAAGAGTAATTTGTAAAATATGGTAGAATATATTGCGCTTAACAAACCAACTACGATCTGATTTACTTGTAATAACAGAAAGGTTAAATCAGATTATTTCAAAACCTTCAGAGATCAATAGCGATTGCCATTTACTTTAGATTGAAAATGCAGAACAATTTCACTTCATTCCCGAGGGAAATTTTTAAAAAAGGAAAGGCTATAGCTTACAAATTGTAAAATATTTTATTCGGGATATCTGAATGGGACTGCTGAACAGGCTTATGTAAAACTACCCCGCAATGTTTACAGATTGTAGATAATGTAAGAAACCCACAAAAACCACTACTTAAATGTTTTAGAAACAGCAGCTAAATAACAGAAAGAGAGAGAGAGATATATATAAATGGGGTTTAACGTCCACTCGACACAAACTTGGTCATTTTGGGACTAACACGTGGTTCAATTTTATTTCAATAATTCGCTTGCGCTTAGGGGTCTTTAGCAGTGGGAGGAAACCGGAGAAAACCCACGAGTCTAGACAGGCGACACTTCTTGTCACGTACAACTGGGGAATCGACTAAATGACAGACCGTATACAGCGCTCGCGTTCTAATCATTCCCCCCCCCCCTAGCTAAATAACAAGGACGTGTTTGAAGGTTATCAATATAAGAAGAGTCATGTATCTACAATGTGTGGACTTTTGGTAATGTAATATATGTAATTTATAAAAGAAAAAACATGTCACACTTACCTTCAATCCTCCAATTATAGCATAGATCGATTTATGGGCTACAACTGATCTTCGAAGATGATTTAAATTACAAACTGTAATGGCAGGGAATGGCTGTTTACGTCTATATTGCTTTGTTGTCAACGTCGATACTGGCCAATTATTCAAAAATAGACACAATCGTGATAAATGGTAAAATGAAAATCCTGTGAACAAATAATTAATATCTTGATATCATTTCTTGTATGTGCAACTGCAAATCGAGTATTCATTTTGTGTATACAGCGGTCTGATAATAAAGAAAATGATCTTGTGTATAGAAAGACACGGTTAGATGAAGATGCTTTTTAGTACCTTATCATTGATAGTAATGTCATGATATATACTGTCTTACAGTTAAACTATTACATAGACGTTTAAAGGCTGTCATATCAAGATGATAAAAACAATTTACCTGTGGCGATTAATACTACAAATATCCAAAATAATCGCTGTCGCTTCTCACTTTTCAAAATTTTCTTTATAGCTGTGTGAGAGATTCCTTCGCCCATATTCCTAGATATGTTTAACTGATCGATTGCAATATTATGGGAACATATTTCACTCCTCTAGATTATGAATATTTAAGTACTCGAGTCAATTGAAAACAATTTCACAATTTATTGACACGCAGCAAAACATTTGGTCTTACAGTAACTGGATGAATAATACTCAGTTGGTTGATATTAATATTTAATGTACAGGCTAGATATTGACATTTAAATAAAGAGGGAAGGGAACTGGGTTTATCGTCTTATCTGGACTTAATGTATGTTGTTTACTGAGACTAACATACAGTATTTTTTTTATTTCTTTGGAAATATTTGTCCGACCAGCCGCGTTTCCGCCATCTAACTTCCAACTAATTGGGCCAGACTGGGCAAGCACACGCCATCTCCTCAGCGGCCCAGATTAGGCACTACCCCGGACTATTTGTACCCCGGAGATTCTTTAACGTCCACTGCCACCGAAGTGATATCGCAGACAAGGGACACTTTAACCTCAAAAGCACATTTATACACAAGAACCTAACAACTACGAATGGCTCTTCGTGCCCCACGAACGAACTAAGCATTGTAGAGATTTTAGATTTGTTTAAAATGTTTTGCCATACACTAATGCCTAGCGCATACGGGGAATATTTAGGAAACCTTATGACGTTTTCGAAATCATGGCTATCTGTATAAGCGTACAAGGAATAATTATCTTGTGCATATAGGGATTTTTAAGCTATGGGGGGGGGGGGGGGCAGGGGGCCCGGGGAAAAAACAACGAGGTTGGACAGGCGACCCTACTGAATGGGAACCACGGTTCTTGACTCAATGACAGACCATTCGGCCACCCACAACCCCTCATGGCTAATATAACAGTACTGCACGTAAATATGGTATAACAGAATGCATGGTTAATATTAAAATACAATGATAATAGGCAAAAATGGGTTATAGGCAAAAAGAATATACGACTGAGATGTTGGTGTAAAAACGTGGTATAAGAGGATGGCTGATATAACAGTACTTTGACGGGCGCAAGTGGTATAATACAATATAATATATGGCTAACACTACAACAACCCACGTGGATAGGCGTACTTTCGGGAAATCAGTTTTTTAGGGTGGGAACAAATGTTATATATTTTGGGGAAAAATATTTTGCCTTCCAGTCGGAAAAATATAGGGTCCGATATCTGGCATACTCCTTACTGTGTTTCGCTTGATTACCTAATCACATTTAACACTGCTGTAATGGAAGCAAATTTCTGTTCCAACTTATGACTTGTCAATAGTCCGATTAAGAACCAAGAGCTAAATGCGTAATAGTATCATTACGCTTTAAACTGAGCTCCAGAATTAATCAAATATGTTTACATAACGTTACGTCTAATTAAGCAGTGCATAGCAGAATATTGCAGAAAAACTAACTGCGTGACAAACGAGGCTATCAAAACGGATACAATGTAAACAATACTGTTTGAAGACGAACATACTTTCACCGTTTTTAATACCTTAAATCACTGTCTAAAGTTTTAGGGAAGACCCCAGATTAAAAGAAGGGCTGTCATGTTGCTGTACTTGGGATAAATTTGATTGAGCGGGAACAATAGACACACTCCCTCACAAGCTCAAATATCGGAAGTCAATACAGCAATAGCCAGAGAGGGGTTTCTCGGGTCATTGCTTCAGGAATATGGAAATCCGATGACTTTTAAGTATAATAAAACAGTTTCACTTTCCTGTAACTGAACACGACGATTTTGTACTGCATTAATTATGGATTAAAACATTTTGTCGGATGTCACTCGACATTGTGCGATATTTTACGGGCAACGATCACTTATTTGTTTCGTCAATTCTTCAGGAATCGTAATTTCTTTAAATTGAATAATGGGTTAACGTTATTGGGGTAATAAACAGACTAAATTGGACCACTTTCAAGTTGCTGAGCTCACGGGTTGGAATAGCAGGGCAACGGGTTGGAATAGCAGGGCAACAGGTTGGAATAGCAGGGCAACGGGTTTGCGGCCGACAATTTTTAAAATGATAGTTTAACGTCCACTCGACACAAACTAGGTCATTTCGGGACTAACATATGGTTTAATTTTATTTCAATAATTCGCTTGCGCGCAGAAGTCTTTACCAGTGGGAGGAAACCGGAGGACCCGGAAAAAACCCACGAGGTTGGATAGGCAATCCTACTCCTTGTCACGTAGGCTTACAACCGGGGAATCGAAACCACGCCAGTTGACTCAATTACAGACCTTACGATTCATTCGCCCCCCCCCACCCAACCGCTCAATCAGAGTGTAAGGTCAAAAGCAATGCATGGCTAAATTGTCAATTCGCCATTTTCATCTTCGAATTTCGGCGCGTATCGACGATTTCAATATAAACGATGATTCGCGCGGGAAGTCGAAGTGATCAGCGTGGTGGCATTCGTGTGTGCGCTTATAGTAGGCCTATAAATTGACTTTAAACTCGAATTATTTTGCCGTGTTTTTTATGTGCCACCCCCCACCCCACCCCCACCCCCTCCAACATCTGAAATTCTGTTGGTCATTGTGTGAGATTTCGATTGCAAAACTACATAAACAAAGTAATCGTTATATTGAACCACTTTCAAAAGCTTGGAAGAGCAGGAAAACGCGTTTGCGGCCGTCTATTTTTCAAAGTTTTCTGGGAGAGACCGCATTCTGACGGTAATAAGTAAAAACATGGTATAATAGAATATACGGCTGAGATATAAGTACCACGTGTGGTTGGTAAAACGTGGTACGAGAAAATAATAGGCTGGAAATGTGGTATGGTTGATATTTAATAGTACCATGTTTGATATACATGTGGTATATCCCATCAAGCCCACAGACTGAAATAGTGGTAAATCCCGAATAGGCCTGTTAAAAAATTAAATAATTAACATAATTTGCAAAATCATTTTTTATAAGGTAAAATTACTACAACTTGGAAGTACGTGGTACCAAACACGCTTACCACGATTCATTTGCATAGAAGCAATCAATCTCCCAAACAGAGTTGTCTACTGTTGCAATTCACACTAACGAATGCTGGTAGCGAATTTTGTGTGGAGAATGTGAAGCAATTTAAGGAAAAGGGTGGTATTTTGGAGTGGGGTATTTAGCCACTGCTGTTCGGGGGTATCCACCGCTGATCTTTTGACTAGGTATGGCGGAGTCTGTGGATGATCACATTAATAGTTTGCGCTGATTGTCCAAACAATAAAATTGTTCCACAAGATATGGCGTGCAGGGCCTAATTTAACGTGTCTACAGGCACGTATCTGCCTCTGGATAATAAATCCTTGCTTTGAAAATCTGAAATTCGTGCTTTTGTTTGAGAAAATGATATGTAGGGGCTAGCCTTGTGAATCTGACAAGAATGTATGGGGAAACTTAGCTATCATTATAATCGATTTCTGTTTCAAACATTTTGTATTGTTGACGTATTCCCACCACCACCTAAAAATTGACAGGCGCGGGTGACACTGAACGTTCGTTTGACTTTCGATAAATCTGAATACACCACAGATACTATTTCGTTTCGTGTTTTATAGTTCAAAATTTCGTTTTACTTGTCTTCACAACCCTAGGATCTGGAATAGTTGTTATATAGTATTACATTATGAATAATGAGTTATCCGTGTTTTATAGTTCAAAATTTCGTTTTACTTGTCTTCACAACCCTAGGATCTGGAATAGTTGTTATATAGTATTACATTATGAATAATGAGTTATCCGACCTTAAGCTGAAACGTATAGTGTTCTTATTTGGGAAGTTTCCATACGGTTACGAGTTTTCTAGGTTTATTTGCTGACCTTAGGGACAGTTCTGGGATGAAGCAAATTATATATTAATGCGCTGGTACGATTTGCCATTATCACCAAGAGGAAATGATGACATGTATATAGATAATGATATTCAAGAAATACATGAATTGTTTGACAAGATGATACAAGAAATACATTTTCACCCTCTAAACTCAACCATCCGCGAGAAATTGGATGTTTATGGTTCCAATGGCGGCCATATTGGATTTTTACTAATTATTGGACGCATGACCTTGGTAGCATTTTCCTATCTACCCGTACACTGTAAATAATATTTGTGTATTTTTACCGTAAATTGACTGACAGAAGGTTGCCAGTAAAATGACTGTATTTTAACGCTGGCTTGTAAATTTACAAACAGCATGTAAATTTATAGAGAGTGTAAAATAAATTCGATGTAAATTTACAGTGTGCTTGTAAATAGAAAGTGAGGTAAATTTACATTCACTCTAAATTTACACTGTGGTTGTAAATTCACCTCAAAGTTATCTAACACTCGCTCACTGTAAATTTACACTGTGGTTGTAAATTCACCTCAAAGTTATCTAACACTCGTTCACTGTAAATTTACACTGTGGTTGTAAATTTACCTCAAAGTTATCTAACACTCGTTCATTGTAAATTTATACTGTGGTTGTAAATCTAAATCTTCCATTTAGGGGTACATTTACAAGTCAGTGTTAAAATACAGTGATTTTACTGGCAACTTCCTGCCAGTCAATTTACTGTAAAAATACACAAATATTATTTACAGTGTACGGGTAGATAGGAACCATGTGATATTCCAAATCGGACACTGTATTTTAAGTATACTTATAACTGTAAATATATATGTATACTTTTAACAGTTTAATAGGGATCTTTTACATGCAGGCCAATTGGCACATGGAACCTCGGTGTTTCGTCCCATCCGAACGATTAGACAGCTATCCTTGTCCGGCCTGCATCACTGGCAATGGGAAACCACACCCGAAAATCTGGATGAACTTTCTTGGCCAAAGCAGGTATCGAACACTTGACCCCCAGGCTAGAGAGCCATCGTCTTACCCACTTATAGACGAAAAGTAATGAAGCCTTAAAAGGTCTATCAATGTTAAAGTTCTAAAGAGATGTACAATTACACGTTTCCTGTAAATTGTACACAAATCCCGTATTTAAAGATGTTTGAATAGTA